TGTCGGTCTGTCAGTCCGTCCGGGCAGCGGCAGCGGCAGAAACGCTGGTGTTGCGGCGGGTTTGTCGTCGTTCGTTGGAGCTGAGTGTCGAGCTTCCAAGTGCAGGGATGACGAAAGGATCCGTCATCGAAATCCTACAACCCCGGCCGACAAGAGGAAAAAAAAAATTGGAACGGTACGAGTATCAGGGAGCTGGAGCCCGCTGTCAGGGAATCGAAGAAGCTGAGGTCAGCAGAGCAGAGCAGCAGGCACGCGACGTGGCCCGACAGCGTCCGCAGCGCCTCGGACGGCGATGGGCAGTCTTTGGAAGCACGAGGATTTGGAGAAGCAGGAGAGCATTAGGATTCACAGCGAGCGAAGTTGCTTTTGAGGGGGTCTGGAGTTGGTGTGTTCAGGGCAGAATGCAAATGCACATGCACATGCAAATGCGCATGCAGGCTGAAGTCGGGTGCAATTCCGCCCATCAATCATCCAATATCGCTGCCCATTCGCTGGTGCATGCGCCGAGAAAAAGGAATGCCACACCTGCAGGCTGCATCTGGTAGCGGGCGGCTCCCTACAGCTCCCTACAGCTCCCTACGGCAATGGATTTGATGGAGCAAGCAGGTCAACCTCCCTAGGGAGAGAATTGAGTCCCGTCTGTCTGTCTCCATGGGGGCCGGGGCCGGGGACATGGACAAAGTGCACGTACTACTGTAAGTGACGGGCTGAGCTGAGTTGGATGGATTTGATGGCTTGGGCACTTGTTACGCCACCGCTGCTGTGCTGTGCTTCTTCAGCATACACGAGCCTCAACTGGCTCAATTCAACCCAACCCGTCCATAGCACGATCCATCCATACTGGCCGGGCAAGGGCATTGAAATGTTTGCATTTTTTTTTTTGTCTAGGTAGACGAGATCAATGCTGGCCCCTCCCACCCCATCCACATCCCCTCCTCTCCCCTGGAGAAAGAAAAAAAGAGAAGAAAAAAAAAAGAGCACGACCAGCCCCCCGTCCAAAAAACGGTGGGCCTCGAAAAAAGGATCAAATCAATGGATCCAAATGGAAGATTGGAACACTTGACCGAGTGCAGCAAACCGCTGCATTGCATGAATTAGCCGCTGGTGCCTGTAAGCTCTAGCGCATCGGACCCCTCCCATCCGGCCATCCGACCGCTGCGGCCCTTCTGAGAGATCCTGGGACCTGCATTGGGCTGCCGCTACAAGCAGTATAACCATAACTGCTAGCCAGGGCCCGTTGACACCGGCATCTTCTGCCTTGGTGCCAGCCATGGCGGTCGCTCTAGCGTGGGCCACGCAAATTTGACCCATGGAATACGAAGGCGGAGCGGACGGGATATGGAGAACATAAGTCAAGTGTCAAGGGCAGAGGGAACCTTGGAGAGAAAGAAAAAAAATTGACCACCGATTGCCTCTACGGTACGGCACAGGTCATACGGATGATGCCCGTAGCATGGCTTTTGACTACATGCATGCTGTGTGTATAAAAACCAGAGTCGACGTCAAATAGCGAAGTTACTCCGGCATGTCCATGTCCACCGCAAAATCCATTGACCCTTCCATCCCGCCTCGGCACTTGCATCCTGCCAGCATCGCATCGTATTTAATCACATCACTTTCAACTCGTTGCTAGCCAACAGACGGAGCAAGGCCACGTTTCGAAACCAAGGGGAAAAAGAAATCTCCGCCTGATCTCCAGAAAGCTCATGCGTCAGTCAAGTCAACCTTCAGCTGCGGGCGATTGGCGCGCGCACTCCCGCATCAGCTGCGTCATCAACTAGCAGCTTTATTGGACGCCGTCTCCGTCCGCCGGCCGTCGGCGAAACCCAGCTGGCTGGTCTCTGTGTCGATCCCAGGGCGGACTCGGGCTCCTTTCGGCTCTCTCAGCAGCATTGATTGCTACCGTCGTCATACAGCAGAGCTCTGCCCTGAGAGAGGAGACGGGACATGGGGCCAACGTCGAAGCCAAGGCCAAAGCAACACAACATACGAGTACATGTACCTACAGGCGCAAAGTGCCGTGCTGGACGTGAGAGCTGCAGGTTGGTGCTCCGACGCAGCCCTACGGGGGGGCGTTGGCTTGTCTCGTCTCGTCTCGTCTCGTCTCTCTGTCTCTCGCACATGTTCGGTGTGAGACGCGTTTGAGGACCGGGAGACGAGAGACGAAACACAACGTCATATTCTCTCGTAACCATTATCTCATTACCATTATGCATGAACAACGGAGCTGAATGAAAGAGAAGGGAAGAAAAAAGAAAGAAAGAAGAAACGCCCGATCAAGCCTCTGCCGACTCCTGGCCCGTCTCATTTGCCCAGCTTGCGTGGGCCCCCTGTTCGGCCTCAATTTGCTTGTGATGACCCGGCCGCGTCCCCGATGCCTGGCTGCCCCGTGCAAGTCGAGTACCAGGCACATGGGCGAATTGTCATCAAGGAGCCCTAAAACCACCGAGAATCGCAAAATGGCAACACCTGTATGCAAGGCACAGACTCCTTGCATGCCGTGTCAGAACCTGGACCCGGAGGCCGTGCGTTGCGAGAGCTGTGACTGTGACTGTCGTCCGCCCATTGTTTACTTGCTCGAGATGTGTTCCAGGGGCCAAAGAGAGCGAGCATTAACCGCATGCCTGTTTTGTCTCTTGCAGTCTTGCTGTTTGTCTTGACTTGAGACTGGAGTTTGTCAGCTTCACCCTGGCTTGCTCATCACTATATTACTCTTACTTACCGGTAAGCCGTCCAGGCCCAACCGCAAGTTGAGCATCCGTCTACGGTAATACAAGTACAAGCTCTACATGTATGTGGGAAATTGCCGAATCCATGTCCCCGCAACCTCGTGGCCCTTTTTTACGTGCAGTCTGTCTTCATGTTTTGTTCTTCTCTCCCCTTTGCCCCCTGCGGTGCAAGATTTCCTCCCCCCTTCCCGGTTCCCTTTCCACTACTGCAGCATCCTTGACAGGGAAATTTCCTGGGCTGCAGGTACGCGGAGAATCTCATCTCAGAGGCACCTGTCCCAGTCACGGGCACTCGTCCTTGTTTTCAAGGTTCAATCTTCTTTATCCTCAACTGTAATAATACGCCGTAATCGTACCCGTTGACCTGATTATCTCAGTACCCGAGTTCCATCATAACAAGGTCCGGGATCCGGCTGTCGCTTCCAGCAATCCAATCGGCCAAGGCACCACCACCTAACCTTTTTGCCCAAAGCGTCTGGGCCAGTCCGCAACCTGAAGTACATACAAACCCATCCATGATTTGATCCATCCATCTGATCTCGCACGCTCCGCACGCTCCTTTTCCTGCATGTGTTGTTCCTTTTTTTTTTCTTGTTTTCTCACCCAGCCCGAGGCAACAACTGACTGACTCGCGCCTTGGCTGCAGAGTGACGGCAATTTCTTCTCCCTCGCATCATTAGGGGCTTTTTGCACTTTTGCAGAATAGGACCAGCCAGCCAGCCACCGCAGCCGCATTGTCGCATTGGCCCCCTGCTCAATTGTCGTATTAACACTTTTCGATAGGCACACGTAGGTGTTGATGGGTATGTACGGAGTACCAATTAGTAACAACTTCAACGGTGTGGACAGCTTCAGGTTAGCACGATGCACTTGCACGAGGCGCCCAGTCGCACAAGGCGGTACGTGAGTCTGCCTACATGTCTATTTCCAGTCCTTATGCGACGGATGCGCACGATTCACTTCATAGTTGATTGTTTGTTTCTCAGCCCACCGCCACCGCCTCTCTCTGAATGGCACCTAGCCGCATATGCAATCTGAAGTCACCAGATTCTAATTTGGGCTCAACACCACCAATTTTCGGCCCCAGACAAGGCTCCCACCTCCTTGGTAGACATCAATGTAGCATATAGTAGTAGTATTCGTCAACCTTGGAAGCCGGCATTTCTCATCTCGGTTGGCGTCGCCTCTTGTCAACCAGAGTTCAGAGTTGGGCCCCCAATTTGACACAAGAGAAAACACATAATATAACCAACAACCTTCCCTAGGTCGCTTTGATGCCTTGGCTCATGTGCTGTTGTCGCTATTCAAAAATGGCTTAGGAAATCCCCCCCTCCCTCACGGTCTCTCCCTTGCACATCACGGTTGCCAATCACCGCATCCAAATGGCCTCGACCCCGACTCGGCTCCCTTTCGACGTTGTCGACACCGGTCATGTCCTGCAGCTACAGCAGGCCAATGGCAGAATCTCTGGCAAATAACGTCGCTTTAATTTAGAGAGTGAGAAGCAAGGTTCCCGATATCCTTAAAGCCGATCTTGCTTGCCTTTGACATGCTAGGCAAACGAATTGCCACCGAAATGCCGCAGTCCCCGTAAGATGGTGTCAAGAGTGCATGTAGAGTTTTAGAATACACTGTTGGTCGGTAATGCATTCAGCAAACCCAGTAGACAAATATCTCAATTAAGATGGGGTGGTAAATGACTGCAATGCGCCCTTGCTATACTTGCCTGATAAAATTCAGACAAAATAGCAAAAGTCGTTCAAAGGGCCGTTTAAAGCCTGTTAATGAACGTGGGATTCCATAATCCGTATATTCCGTACCCAACTGAGTAAATAAGCGGAGAGAAGAGTGGTAAATATGGGAATGCCGGGTGAAGCAGCTGCTTAATGAAGCTGATAGACAAAATGACTGGGCAAAGGTCGTCCAGAGGCCGTTCAAAAATAGTTGCCAAACAATAGATGTGGAGATGTGTATACTCAATATACTCACCTAAGCACATGAGCGGAGAGTGAGACGGTCAACGTAGAAACGTCTTATAAATCAGCCGTTGAATGGAGTTGATGAACAAAATAACCTGGCAAAGACTGTCCAGAGCATGACAGAGAACCGGGCTATAGAAGAGACTCTTTATCCTAGATACTTGCAGTTTCTACAGATCACCTATCCTCCCCAAGTGGCAAATAGATCAATATTCTATATTAAACTCTTTAAGTAAGAAAGATTTACTACTTGGTGAGTATCGCTAGTCCAATACAACTCCTTTGCTAATTCATGTTCGATTTCACAGTGCAAGTTATCGCAGCACTTGCAGCGACTTGCCTTGCTTTGCCGTCTGGACGAACCCGACACGAATATTACACGAATGCCACTCTGCTATCAACGCCTGATGTATTCAGGCCTATTAGGCTCAACGGCATCCCTATTGGCACCAAGGAGCTCCAACCATATTCTGTAAATGGGACAGTCCATTTGCTCACAGATGGCCGTCGCTTTGGTCATGACGATTGGGTTCTCCCTGGGAGAAATGGCATTTCCTGGGAATATCGACCCGACTCGAAGCACGGCTGGGCAAACAGGGCGAGCCCTACCCAAGGCTTCTATAATTTCGTAGGGTCTGGTGGATTTGTGCACACAATAACCTGTACAGCCGATGACGCTGGCTTCGTGGCACAAAATTTCGACCATGGTGCGTTTTCACAATCTAGCCTCGAGTCGGAGTATTTGAACGAGAGTCGCGGTCACTTCACAATAGAATTTGCAAGTGACATTGTCGAATCGGCCACTGACATTTTTGAGGGTGATCTAACCAACATCTTCTTCAACGCTTTGGAGATTTTTGCTTAGATGTGCTGCGCCGATGAGGCTGTCTTGCCACATAGCTTAGGGACTACCTCATGTAAGTCGGGCCTTGGCATGGGATCGTATCATAAAAGAGGCCAAGTTTCCTCTGGTTTATTCAGATGCAAGGAAAAAGACAAGTTAATCTCCTCAAAGCACAAACTACAGCAATTGGGACTCTTTGCACCCAATTGCTTCTTTCGAGCTCGTCGTCTGTTGGGTGGCCGTAACGCGATGAATTCCAGGTTATGAAGATTTCATGACAATTGTCCTCTCCCCCCCTTCCTTGCCCAACCTTGGACAAAGCAAATCCGCATTTTCCTCCAACACAATTCCATCATGCTCAAGGTAATCGTAGGCATTGATTGGCTTTTTGTAACTTTATGTAGTGTAACTAGCGATGCGTGGTACGCCGGTATGCCTTTGGCCTCTCTCTTCTCTCCCCTTTCCACTGCTGCGTTGTGAAACGCCATGAGAACTGGATTGCGCATTCTTATCGCCGACGCGAGGATACAAAATGCGAGTTCAAATGCATCGGGCCCAGCATCGCCAAGACACATCACGCCTTGGCAAATCGGCACTCATCCGCTTGCATCAAGAGTCTTGCAACTGTAATGCCCGATTTGTTCTATACAAGCTATGATTATACCGCCATATACGTGCTGCGACTGAAGCGCACAAATATTGAAATTTAAAGCAGTGGAATGTTAAGTCTATAAGCGCAAAACGCGTCATACCAAGCTTTTCACCTTTCCGGGAAAATACGTGAAAAGAAGAGGCGTCATTCATCAAACAAAGAGCAAAAAAAAGGTCCAACGGATTGATTCCACTTACAAGATGCGCACGCATCCAGAAGCAGCAACATGGATCAAGAGAAGAATGGATATGTATCCAATTGCATCGATTCACCGAGTCGCCAACAACCCAAGAACGAGGAAATCCGCGAGCTTTTTTTTTTATACCCCAGAATGTATGGCAGACCGTGTTGCAAGTGGATCACTTTTATAGTGTCGCTGACGGCCGAATCGCAGAGAATGTGGTGTCTGGAAGGGGAAATCGGCCAGGACAACGTGCATTGGTGCGGCCCGACGATAGGCGACCCATTTTGCGCTTCCCATCAGGGGTGCGACGAAAAAGAAAGAGAGAGAGAGAGAAGAAGAAGAAGAAGAAGAAGAAGAAGAGCGAGTGAGACAAAAGAAAAGAGGGGGACAGAATGTGTACTCGTACAGTCTGCTGCCCACTCGCCCGCTCACTCACTCAACCACGCCCTCTCACTCACCCGGTTTTTTTCTTCTTCTCTTCTCTTCTCCTCTCGTCCCGCCTTTTTACCTTGTTAGTTGGTTGCTTTCGTGTTTGTCCCCGGTTGGTGGTGTTGGGACGCACAGCGAATGGGATCAGATGGCGATTGAGGCCGGACTGAGGCTGTGGCTGGGCGCTGCTGCGGGCGAGAATTTAGTTGATCCGATCTGCATCTCGACACACACAACAAGCTTCAACAAGGGCAACAAAGAGAGATGAAGGATGAAGGAAATTTGGCGGGCGTCACGTGTGGATGATTCAATCCGTTGATCGATGACGCCCGTCTGTGACAAAGACGGAGACAGACAGAACACGCGGCTGCCGGTACGTACCGCAGTACTGTGCTGAAGCTGTCCCGTCCTGTCCTTGGAACGTCGAGCCACGGAGTACATGTACCTGTAGCCGCAACTCTGCGAAGCCGGAGCTTACCTGTACTGTACTTGCTGTAGTCGTGCGCTGGATGGGCCCCCAAGATGCTGAGAAGGGCACCACGGCGAGGCATGTACATGTACAGTTACCAGACCACGGGTTCCAATTCAAAGCACACTGACTGTACTGTACAGTGTACTGACTGACCCCATCCGCAATGGACGCGGCGAGTTCCAAAAGGTTCAGACGCTTTGGGTCTAGGGCTGGAGCGCATTGGACAAACGCCCATGGGGTGGTTGTATTTCCCATGCACCTCTTAGCTCGCGCGGAGCTCACCCTGGACCTCCTATATCGCGTCTGATTGGCCTCGATAGCTCGCTGGTAGCCAGCCCGCAGCTCCAGCCTCGCTGCATTCACGCCCCCTTGCTGTCAAGGGCCGTAGGATTAGGATTTTGTTTGCTGCCAGCCCAGAGTTTCTCGCTGCCGTCGACCGTACAGGTACGTGCCGGGGAAAAAATGGCTGGGCTGGGCTGAGCTGCGGCTTGGCTGGGCGACTCCCCTTCGGCCTGCTTCATGCTCACGCCTCTTGCGCGCTCTCTCGCTCATCGTCTGTCTCTGGCCTTGTCCCCCCTAAGCAGCCGCCATGTCACTGGAGACGCTGTGCCGACGCCAGACTCGCCGCAGAACCCGCCGAACATGTACCTTGCCTCCGTTACAGCGGTACCTTGGAGGCTCGCCGGCAGCATGGCGGACAGAGCTCAATGCCCATCCATTGACTCCATGTTGTAGCTCCCCTACCTAACTGTACCTTAGTTCCCATCAGTACTGTAGCAGTAGGTCCAGTTGGAGTAAGACTGGGCTGGACTGGACTGGCCCTCCCCCTCCCTCTAGCTGTCGCGCTCTCTCTCTCGCTCGCTCGCTCGCTCGCAGTCTGTCACTCCCCTACCTTGCCTTTCTTTTTTTCCCTCCCCTTCCTCTCTCTCTCACACACTCTCTCTTTGTTCCTCCTCACATATAAAAGGCATCCATTCCCCCCTCTAGGATTGCCCGTCCAGCGTCTCTCGACCCAGACTTGCCCTCTCCAATTGCGTATCTACACCACCTGTCCCCGTCTTACACACAAACCCACACCATGTCCACCCGGAAGCGCACCCGTGACGAGGAGGATGAGGAAGAGCTCGTCTCCCTCCCCGAAGAGGATGATGGAGAAGAGGAAGAAGAGTAAGTCATGACAAGACCCTGCTTTAGCTGCCGGCCATGGTTTGGCCAATGTGCGAGATGCGCCTGGTGCCAATTGATCATTGCTGCCGCTGGTGTTTCGCACAGCCCACGTTGCACTCTGGCACCCGCCGGAGAGCTGCAGCGGCCTCTCCTCTAGTCGCAAGACGGCAAAACTACTGAGTGGATGGACTGTGCTGACATTCTCTGCAAGATACGTCTCTACTGGAGACGAAGATGACAACGAAGAAGACGACGGAGAAGAGGAGGAGGAGGAGGAGGGTGACGAGGAAGAAGAAGAAGAGGGAGACGCCGAAGAAGCTGCTGAGGGTGCAGATGCCCCAGTGAATGGTGAGTTGAAGCCACTCCAACATCCATGTCCATCATCAAAGCCGCCTCCTTCTCGTGGCAGCAGCAAAATGCGTCTGCAAAGCCGTCGCAAGATAGCGCAGCTCCATGGCGCACTGCTGCTACTTCCCATTTCCCCCACACGAAGATGATGGTAGCGATGGTGCCGTTACTAACAAGCGAGCAGGCGCCCAACCACCTCACAAGAAGCGCAAGACGGTTGAGGAAGAGGTTGCCAACGGCGAGGGCGCCGACGAGGAAGATGCAGAGGAGCAAGAAGAAGAGGAGGCAGCAGAGGACGACGCCGAAGAGGCCGACGAAGACGAGGCCGAGGAAGAGGCCACTGAAGCTGCTGCTGAAGCTGCCGCCCCAGCCAAGGAGGTCAAGGCCCCGGAGGTTGCCAAGGCCACAGACACGCCAGAGCCCAAGGCGGTGACTGCTGGAGGCGACGAGTAAAAGAAACTTCCATTCGATGTTGTTTTCTTTTTAAATCCTTGAAGCTGCACGCACTATGCAGACAGAATGGGGAGTACCTTGGTGTACCATGTTTGGCAATATCTGGGGGAGTACATCTGGATATGGATTTTGGACGGGCGCAACAGGGCCCTATTAGTCAATAATATGACATTGATCTCTCACCAACGTATCTCGCTCTGCTTGGTATCAAGTTACGACGAATGCACGCCTCTCCAAGTAGTCAATGCAAATGCTCCAGGGCTCAGTCGAATGCGCGCATGGCTACCAGGCAGTAAGTAGTGACGCCCAGCTTGCCCGTCGCGCATCATTATTTCGGGCCGTGCCGTACAAATGTCCGGGCGTCGGTACGAGGATTGGCGAAAAAACAAGTGTCCATGTCGCATTTGTTTCTCCATAGGCACTGGATTAAATAAAACGTACGAGCTTCCTCAACGAATCCATGGAGATTTTTTTGATGATTGATCATTCCCGCAAGGGTCAAGTCTGGCTCAGGTTCTCAACACGGGGCGACAAGACAAAGCGCATGTCGGCTTTCAAGCAGCGCCCCATGTACTAAGACAGGTACCGTACTTGCTGGCTTTAGGATACCTCATATGAAGCAGGCTTTCCGCAGTATGCGCACAGAAAAACACATTGATCAGCCTGACAATGGAAAAAGTAGATTTGTACATCATTGCTTTAACTATATTCAATCGAAAATTCCATCTACCTCGGCGCCCCAGCGTTGACGAGAACATGGTCTAGGTAAGGTGCTTTCATGCAAAGTTGCAGGTCTAATCGCTCTCTCTAGGCTTTCTGCCCGCCAAACAACGCATTGCCGCTCAAAGACGAAAGAAAGAAAAGAAGAAAAAAACATACACACAGAAGAAAAAAAAACACCACAGGGTTCTCGCTTTATAGTTTTTGTTTCGGAGGTCTGCTGTCCGCCTCGTCCTGCTCCTCCCTCAAAATCTCGGCAATCTGCTGCCTCAGCTCCTCAGCCAAGTGCTCCGCCTCGTCCTCGTCCAGCTCCTCCCTCTGCCCGCGACCAAACATGGTGAAGCTCTCGCGATACCTTCCGCTGGCGCGAATCTCGGGCCGCGGAATCAGATGGTAGTGCATATGCGGTACGACCTGCGCGGCCGCGGCGCCGTTGTTCTGCACCACGTTCCAGTCGGCGATGCCCGTGGCGCGCACCAGCGCCGCGGACAGCAGGCGGACGTAGCCGCCCAGGTCGCGCGCCTCCGGGTTGGTCACGTCCGTCAGCTTGGGCCGGTGGGCGCGCGTGCACAGCAGCATGTGGCCGTGGCTGAGGGGCAGGATGTCGAGGAAGGCGATGAGCGCGGGCGTGGACAGGACGACAAAGGACGAGGGCGCCGTGAGGTTCGCGGGGAACGGGTTGGGAGGGTCGATGGGGGAAAAGGGCGGGTGGGCGGCGGCGATGGCGCAAAAGGGACAGTCTTCTTCGCGGATCGTGGGAGGCGGGAGCGACGGGTCGAACGACGTGTGCATTTTTGCGGCTGTGTGCTTTCTCGTTGCGTTGTTCTCTCGTTTGCTTGATGGCGATGACTGCTCGGTTTGCCGGAGGGAGGTGTATGTGGGAGTTGTGAACGAATTCCCGCGAGGGAGAAAAGGAACAAGGGATTGGATTGAGTCGCCCTCTTCTTTTCTTGGCTTGGCCCGAGACAATGGTCAGCTAGAATCGCAGGGCATGGTATCGATCGAATTGGGCGGAAAACGAAGTCGTAATCAAACAAGATCCCAGCAAAAAGATCAAACCCGCTAAATCGACTTGCGGCTAAATCACTGGATTGGATCTTGCAAGGCAAGGCCCTCAGTCTGCAGCGGGCAATGACGAGTTTCGTATAGACTGATGCTGATGATGATGATGATTGTTCAAAAGGCCATATGCATTGTAGCAGCTAATCGGGTGTAGAGAAATGATCGTAAGATGGGCGATGAGAGAGCGTCCGGGGTCGTCAGGCAAGTAAAGCCAGTTGCCGAGGTACTGTATGTTGCGCGTTTGTGCGTACAGCTGTGATTACTTAATGCCCGAAGCTGTTATGGTGAAGATTCGAACTAAACCTGGACAGACGATTCACGGGAAGATAATGAAAACTATGCAATAAGAAATTGATCCTGAACGGTTAATTCCAACAATTGTATTCACCTATTCAATAACCCTGTCACATGAATTCAGCCAGCCGCGTTGAATATCTGCAAGACACTTCCAAAGTGTAAAGCTTAAAGCTCATACATCACTGCTCCCCCCCACCGCCCAATTCTGCCGGACAAAATTCTCCTCCACCGCCACTATTTTCTCTCCCTTCCCATCACTCCATCATCCACCTCCCGCAAAACCACATCGCCTACAACAACAAAAAACAGCCCCCCGACATCCCCCATCTCCATCAGAAAAAAACAGCCCAAGCCATGCCTCGCGAAGAGTACCAGGTCCCTACCGCTGGCGCCGGCGCCTCAGCCGGAGGCATGGCCCGCGGCGCGACCGGCGGCGAGAGGCACGAGAGCCGGTCCGTCATGACCTACATCTGCGGCGACTGCGGCGGCAACGTCACCCTTAGCAAGGATGCGCTGGTTGCCTGCCCGCATTGCGCCGGCCGAGTGCTGTACAAGGAGCGTACCAAGCGGTGAGTCTTGCGTTGCTTGTGCTGGAGGCTGACGTTTTTGCTGACGCTGTTTGGTGTAGAATGGTGCAGTTCGAGGCCCGATAGGCGGCATAGACGAAGCAGAATCACCCTCAGCGGGAACCACAGTAAAGAACAATCCAAAGACAAACATATTATAGATCGCACTCGGGGAGTTTGGGAGGCAATCAGGAATCACAAAGGGAGTCAGATGTTATTATCAAAGGGGAATGTTTTGATATTACTTGTTATGCAAATGCGCGCCCCAAAAGCCGCCTAGTTTTTTTCTTCTTCCTTTTTGCGCACCTCAAATCATGAACAATTTGACATAGCCAAGTTCCTTTTGCACCCTGTGTTCACCTGGTTCCAAAAAAAAAAACGCCGTAATTACCTGTACGCCTCCAAATGCTCCCTCACGTTGCGTTACCGCTGCATGTGCAGGTATTTCGCAAAGCTCGCGTCGCCCAAGATGCCTTCGTCCTTGCCTTCCATGGCGGCGGCATATCTGGCCTGTAGACCCTCCTTGGTTGTTTCGTCGTCCTCGTCGTCATCGTCGTCGTTGTCGCTTGGGACATCCACGTCGTCGTCATCGTTGGTGACCCTGATAGGTCCCTTCTCGGTCACGTTGTTGGCCTCAACCGACATGCCCGACATGCCCTGCATCATCTTATCCAACTCTTGTTCACGGGTCTTCTTCTTCCGCTCTTCCCTCTCTTCCCTTCGTCGCTCTAGCTCCGGCAGATAATCGTCCAAAAACTCCTTTCTCTTTTCCTCAACGGCCTCGAAGAACTCGTCGATACCCGTTCCCACTCGCGAGCTGACGCCCACCATGCTGAGATGCGAGTAGAATTCCTCCAGCACCAAACTCATGGAGTTGAGTAGGCTGCCCATGTAGCCGCTTCCACCACTTCCAAAGCCTTCCTGGCCTCCGAATGTGTCGGAATTCTCATCGCGGCGCAGAGCTTCTTGGAATGCTTCGAAATCCGTCATCCACTCCTTTGCGAATGAAGCGTCTTTGACGTCGGTCTTGTTGAAGACGAGGATCATGGGTAGCTTCGTCTTGTAGAGAATGGAACAGGCATAGAGCATGTTGGACATGAACGTCGATGTTGAGGCAGTTCGCGGTGTATCAATGATGTAGGCGATAACGGTAGGGAATGATGATGCAAGAGATTCCAACAAAATAGTTCCCGAGGCGGACCATACAAAAGCTTCGATTTGACCGGGCGTGTCAACCAGGATTCGGTCGATGGGCTTGCGTTCGGGGTGTTCGGGGTCGGGCTTTGAGCGCTTCTCCAGCAGATTGACAATCTGGTCGACCTTTGTAGCGAAGAGGTTGAGCGACGTTAGAATTCCTCCGTTGGGTCCCAGGTTGTACTGCTTCATGACCTCTTCATAGTTGACCGAGTCCCGAATGTCGATGTTGCTTTCGAAGGGAACGTTGAGAACCGCGGGATCGAGATTGATGACATAGGGGGGCGTGTTTTTTGAGTGAAGATGGGCGTTGATTCTCTGCATAAAGGTCGTCTTGCCCGAGCCTACGATTTGGCGTAATAGCGTTAGATGGTTGTAAGATGAGAGGAGAGGCGCGCTGCTATGGGAGCTTACCAGCCATGCCAACGCAGACAATGGCGGGGGGCGACGACGCCGATATCGATGGGGCGCCGCCGGTGGATGACGAAGCCATTGTGAAAACCGAGAGCGCTGTAGTATATCGTATAGAGACTCCGGGGGAAACGAGAAACTGCAGTCAAAAGTGCTTAGGAATGAGGTTGGGTGGGAGAAGTGGTGAAAAGCTTGGCGGGTCGAAATTTTGGATGGCGGAAAGATTTCAGCGGCTTCAGTGATAAAGACATCAATTCCATTACCTTAGCTGCCCCGCCTGCTCCCTCGCTGAGCTGCCCACTATTAACAGAATCCCTACGGAAACTGCCCCGCGGTGACGTGTGTAAAGTCCCATTGGATTAAATTAGGATGGATATAAGGTAAGCAGCCTCAACCTCCATCACCAACCTCAATATCGTTGCATGCTGTTTAATAGTATCATATGATATGCTGCCCTCTGCTAATCGCTAGGTTTCAATGTGCCCCCCTTTTTAAGATTCCCGTCTGCAAATCCCCCCTTCCAGATTGACAATCCCAGCCAGTTCCCCCTTTTGCAGCCACCATTCCCCTTATTAACCATCTGTGCCGCTGCTGCGGAATGTTGCGCATAGAGCCGCATAGTGGTGCGTCAGATCAAGCACATGCTGCGGGAGGCTTGTTGCTTGGATGATGCTCCTGACTTTGACGGCGCCTTCATCCTCGATCAGGGTCCGGATGGTATGCAGGAGCTCCGGGCTGAACTCGCTGTACCACCTGTACTGCCAGGTAACCAGTCGAATCACTGCCGCCACCGTCTCTCTCGTGCTCTTGGTCTTCTCAAAGACGCGGAGCACACCAGCTAGGGCCTTGGGGCTGAAGCGCAGGGACAGGCAGGCACGGTATGCTTCGGCGGCCTCGTCAAAGTGCTGCAGCCGTTCCGCAAGCGAACCGAGAATCTCCCACTCTTCCGCCGACTTCTTGTATTGTATCTGCTGCGCGCGGTACTGGGCCATTTGCGTGCGCCAGATCGTGTAGACTCGCAGATCTTCATAGAGAACCATGAACAAGCTATCAAGCCAACGCTCACAGAGCCGTTTGGTGTTTAGTTTGGAGAGATGGTCATCGGCATTCGTGCCCTATACCCTCAATGTGTCAATAAATAGTCATGGCTGGCGTTTGCGCAAGGGCCTATTGTCTCGACTCACATTCTCATTATCGGCCTTGACCTCATCCGGGTCCACTGTACTGGAAGGCTTCTCAACTCCACCGCCCTCTCCATTGGGGGCCAATGTCGTTGCGGTCGGCTCCGAAGCCTTGTCATTCCCATCGTCCGAGCCCTCGTCTCCATTCGTAGTTGGGTCTGGTGTGCCGCGAAGGCCATCCATACTTGGACTCCGCTTCGGCTGGGCGGCCTGGGTGGCTTCCTGCTTCTCGGTACGGTACTCGTCCTCCATGACGAAGACGTTGCTGCGAATCTTTAAAAGCTGATCCCAACCAATCTTGGACGTCATTTCCGTCAATATGCTGTACGCCTTCTTAAATGTGCCGCGGTAGGATGCTGCCCTCAGACTCAGTAAACTCGGGTCAACTTGTTCCGAGTATCTCGACTCTGGTTCGCTGTCAATCTCATCAAGGCGCGTTTCGGGAAGGGTGGGCAGGTGAACGTCTCTCGGCTCAGGCATCAGAGGAGAGTCCTTGTCCTGATAAGTAAACATGGGGCACGAGTTTAGAATTGTTAGAGCATTCTCCCAGTCCTCCATGGCAACATAGACTTGAGCCAACCTGGCCCAAGTGCCAAATTCGCTTGGCGCAGCAATGGTACTGCGGTCTGCACAGCCGAGGGCCATCCTGAGCCTCTCCTCTTTCAACTCTGGTGTCTCGGCTTTCGAGGCCTTCTTCAAGAGGAAATCTGCCTGCGTGTCGAGCATGACATAGTCCATTGGAGTTTGTTGAAGCGACTGATAGAGAACCTTTACTCCTGACACTTCCTCGTGGCCCATGAACATTACTTTTGCCAACAGCGAGGCAACCTCGACGCTTTGAGTGCGAAGCTTCTCGAAGAGGTTGATGCCGGATGTATAGCGGCCGGTAGTCTCGAGATACTTGAGCAATCCGGTGGTGAGATGATTTGATACATTCGTAGGGACCTGAACAATAGAATCGGATCCTAGTTGCCATCCTGTAACGGAATTAGCCTACTGTCGTAAACAACTTTCACTTTCTTGAACTCTTCGTACCTCTAAAGAAGAGCTGTTCGGCCGAGTTAAGAAAGCGATGCTCAGTCTCTGTGTTGGTGACGGGATTGAATCTTCGGACGCCGACAATCTTGCGGATGCTATCGCCGCTACCGTCGTCGGCGTACGAGTATGCTCTTAGGACGCTGCAAAGATATGTTTCCAGCCACAGGTCGTCCGATGCCTTTCGCTTTTCGCCTCGCTCGTCGACGCAGTAGCTCTCGACAGTTCCGGGAATCGACACATGCACCCGCATGTCTAACCGAGAGAAGGCATTGTAGCAGCTTTGCCACCGTCAGCATTCCCAAGTCTTGCTTCGCAAGCAGCAATCGCATAGGAGTGTCTCCGCCACCTACCAGTATACACCCTCCACGATTCTGGTGGTTGTGTTTGGGTCATGGTCTCTGTACGTCAGCGTGTTGATGTAAGCCGCAAGACTTGCCGAAGACGACGCATCGACACCGGTAACGTGATGGTAGACGCCGGCCTGTAATTACACCTGAACTTTAGCTGCGCTGTCTCGTGCTCCGGGATTGTCGCCATGGCTAACCTGCTTTCCCGGATTGCGCACTGCTTGCTTCACGAGATGCACAAGATCCGGCGGGCCCAGCTCTCGCAACGCGGCAAGCGATTCCGTCCTGGCATCGATCGACTCGTGGAGGACGTCCTCGGATAATCTGGTGAATTGTGTTAGGCGGCGTCGTGCGAAGCTGTCCGTCACGGCGGGGGGGCTCACTCAGGCACTGCTGGCGCAACCATGGCGGCGAGCAGGCTCACGCAATTGCGCGGTCAATGGGATGGCGCTGGATTCGAGAGATTGAGGGTTCGGTCAAGCATGCAAAGCAGCCATGCAGAGCAGCAATCGTTGCGCAAACCGTGGGATTGGAGGAGCTATCGAGCTTCGAGCAAGGATTCTTGGGCCACACTGACCACGTATGACCAGCCTCGCTGCGCCTGCACGTGGAGCCAGCCCGCCAGAGGTACAAGATACGGGGGGGCTCTACAGGCCTCGACTGATAGCGATCCAATCTGCCCAACAGGTCCCTGCCACGCCTATATTTGGCCCCTGGAGGCGGCGTCTTAGTCAGCCGTTGGTGCGCCACATCCCTCCACTACAGCGCTACAGCGGCCTCTCAGCGCTGAGCTCTAGCCGTGCAGTGCGGGCGGTTCTACTGCGGGCGCTGCAGGTGACTTCGATACAGCACAGCACAGGACACGCACGACAGGCACTGATGCACGGCTTAATCTTATCGCCTCGGGCCAATTGAATTAACGCGACGCGCCAGGTTGAGCGAGCTCGACTTCCAAACGTCATTCAAGGACCAGATGAACCCCCGGCTTCCACCAACCCGCAACACAAACACACACCATCGCGAATGCTGGCTTTGTCAGTGTGCGCATATCGCTTGCGATCATGGTGCGTCCAATTGCCCTGCTCCCCTGATGATGCTCATGCTGACCCTTTGCCGCAGCCCGCCTTCCAGGCCATCAACCTTGAGCCGGAGGAAAATATCGACGAGCAGATCGATACCACCAAGGAGCTTCACGTGAGTCGCACACATGTATTCCATCAATGCAATGCAAGGCTTCCGGATGCTGACGTCTGCTGTAGGTCGACGAAGCTCTCAAGCGCTTTCAGAATGCGTTAAAGCTCCACGCGCAAGGCATCCGGTCCCGCGAAGCCGCCAGCGCAGCCTACGACGAGCTTTTCGAGTCGGAGATATTCAAGTATCGAGAAGCGAAAACCGACTACGAGCGAACGGAGCTACAGAGCGATGGCCAGGAGGCAACTTCAGCACCCGAATCGTTTGCCGATGGACTCGATGTCGCCGCGGGCGGTGCCGATGGAGTGGCTGCTAGTCTTGCGCTTGCACTTTACCTCTCCTATAAGAACTATGGGCAGTTTTACCTGGATAAACTAAAAGATGAGAAGAGCTCAAATCCCGAATGGAGCAACAAGCTCCAGATATACTATCGCAGCGACCAAGGAAAGAAAGTTCTCGACAGTTGGACTTCGGCACTGGACCAGGACCCTTCAGATCCAGAGCTGTGGAGAAAAACGGCGAGATTTGCTGGCGCAATGAATAGCGGAAGAATCAAACGATACTGTCTGGAGGCTGCAATAGAGCTAGATGATGATCCGGCTGTAATGGAGGTTGAACCCCCCTCTCTCGCGGAGAGCTTGGCTGGGGAGCAGCTCAAGATGTACTTGGATCTTCTCGGCGACGACATGGCATTGTCACACCCTGCCATGGCGCCTTGGCTAAAGAAAAAATTGCCCTCAATATTGAAGCGTCACCTTGACCCTATCCCATTCTTGCCAGACCCGACCTCGAGCCTCTCCATCCCACCAGAAATGCAGATTACCCAACAGCTGCTACCCGCCGACAATGCCGATGAGACCCTATCCGTGTCGAGCGACGTAGAACCGTCGAGCAAGCATGTTGAGTCGTGGTCCGATCTCGGGCTCGAGCTCATGAAATGCGTTGAGAGCACAAAGGATGCCTTGGAAGTTTGCAGACTAATCTTGCAAACGGCCAAGCAGGATACAGAGATGGATGAATCGCGAGACGAAACCACCAATGAGCCCCAGAATGGCACTTTGCCCGAAGAGAAAAAGGCTGCGGATACCAATGGAAAGGACGAGAAAGCGTCTGTGACGCCGCCAGTTGAGTCGAAAGGGAGCCAGGCGTCTGATGTTGTCGATGACGCTGCCAAAGGCTCTGACGGGACACAAAAGGAGTCCAACGCGCAACATTCAGCCAGGAAGCGATCACAGTCTGCTGCGGGACTACCAGACGGTGCTGACGAAGAGAATGTGACTGAAAAGAGGAGCAAAAGAGTCCGTAGAAGAGCGGAAACTTCTCAAGCCGAGGAAGCTCCTGATCCGAACACTGTTATTGCTAACCAACTTCGCCCTTTTCAAGAAGCTGACCAGCATCTCTTTACCATGACAAAGAACTTACTCGAGACCATTGGAGTTGAGGATAAAGAAACTATCGAGTACCTCGATGAGGTTCTAAACCTGTGCGTCGCTGAGGATCGGTTGTCCAAATTCACTCATGTGGGATCCAAAGACTTGCGCACCCTGATTGCCGACTTCAAAGAGGACGTTGCCATGGTTTTTCTTAATAAGAAAGAACAAGCCACTTTGGGGCTCTCTTCCTTCTTGGAGCATGCCAAGACTGGATCCGAGGATCAAGCTGTGAATGTTCCTTTTAATGAAGCTAAAGGCTTGAGAGACTTCGCTCAGAGAGTGGAGGAGAGGCATGAGTATATAACGAGCGACGATATTGTTTTTGAGTGGATGAAGACAATAAGCTCCAGTTATGCTTCCTTCAAGTGGTCGGATGCTATGAAGACTGCGGTGGTCCAAATGCTAAACACAACCGACTCATCGTTATACAAACTGGTTTCGGAGGAGCTGCAGTATTCTCCGCCCGAAGCACTCGCTGACCTGGAATCCCTAATCCCCATGGTATTCGAACTCTACATTGACATTTACGAGCGAATCACCAACCCTAGCAGCGCCGTTGATTATGCAACTCGCATGGAAACCAAATATCGACTTCAGCGATGGCTAGATTTAGCATCGGCATATATACGCCTGATGGACCGGCCGCAAACTGACACCCTATGCGTCAGGTTTTTGTGGGCGTCCGTCTTGGTGTCGTCGCTCTCGGACAATCCAGTCAGAGAGCACATTCTCCTGTTGTGGACATCACTTCGTGATTTCCTGTCGGAAGAGAAAGTAGACACGCTGACTCTACCAAATAATGTAGTTATGCCAACCATCTCCCCAGTGGCTGCAGATCGAGAGATATCCAAACTCACCACCATGGATTTTTTCCTCAGCCTTTTTCAAGAAGGGATGGAAAGCCCCGTTCACGTTATTGAAACCCTGGAGCCCGTTCTTAACCCTTCATCCGTCTGTATATCGGTAGAGAAGCAGGACGATCTGGCGGACTCGGATGTCGCATCCTCGGCTGATTCAGAGTCACAAAAGAACAAGCAGTCTATCTCGGATTGTGCAACCCAAGGCATGCGTGATCTATGGAAATTTCTACGTAGCAGCAGCACCGAGCTGAGGCTATTTCTGTGGTCACGACTTGGAGATGCATATGAAGCCATAAAATATACAACCAAGAGGTTCTCATGCCACCTCAGAAGCATCGAACTCATTGTGGCGGATCTGGAGAGTGAAAAGTACGCCAAGCTGCCGGACGAGTCTCGCTTGCTTCTTTACATGAGGACCTTGAAGTCACTCGATGAGTTGCTGATCCAGGCACTAACATTGGCCTTGAACGACCCCTCTGCATTCGACATCATTGACGATGACCACCTCAAGTCAAGCTGCAGTGCTCTCGCCAAGGTGAGCTCCATTCTTCACACTGCATTCTTGTGCGAGGACGAGGCCGCCATTGGAGGCAAGAAAGCGCCGTCTTCGAATTCTACTTTCCAGTCTCTCATCACCAAATTGCGAGAAATGCAGGTGCGCACCTGGTGTCTACAGTTCACCATGTTCAGAGCAGGGCTGCCCCTTCAAGAGTCCATTGCTCCGGAAAAGGATCTGGCCGACTTCCTCGCCGCCATTCATCAAGTAATTGGTCTTCGAAAGTGCTGCAAGGCATCCAACAAAATCTTCCTTAAAGTCATGCGTATGGAATTGCTTAAGAACAAGAATATCGAAAACTGGGAAGACTACCTGGGGCAGGTGGTTTATGATCTCTATGGACTCAAACTTGGTGTTGGAGTGTGGGAAGTTCAAGACCACGGCTGTCCGCATGAGAAACTCGAGAAGCGTCAGACGATGCAGCTAGTTGAAAAGGTTATGATTCTGGCAAATCGCATGCCGATGAAAGACCTCTTAAAGTCAGATCTCAAGACGGCCATTGACCATATGCAACAAACTATTGGACAGCCAAAGTCTACACCCCAGATGATCCATAACCTTCGCAACTTCACCGAACTCGTCAAAAAGCCCATCCATCCACTTCGATTGTATCAAGCGTTATTCGGAGAGGTATCGGTTGATGCTGTTTCGACAAATACACCGGAAGCTGCGCTGGCAAAACACGGCTGGTTTTTCTTGCTCGGAATGATAGCACTGACCAAGTTCAAAGCTGTTGATTTGAACCGACGCCAGACACCAGGTGCAACAGATGACCTTCGCATTGGGGCGACCTTCCTGAGGCTACAGCTCCAATTCAGTTCAGATAGCTGGGAGTCGTGGTTCCGGCTGGCCGAATGCTTCGACTACGATCTAGACGAAGCAGTGCTGTGGACTGCTGACAAGATGAACAAGGATCGACCCGAACTGGTCAAATTCCAGAGGAACGCAATCCACTGCTACACGTTGGCCCTGTCTCATTCAAGATATCAGGAGATTGAAGTCAACGACGAAGATCCGCTACATGACTTGTATCACAAGTTTGGAATGCGTCTGTACGCCTCAAGTCGAGAGCCATTTGCCATGGAGCCCTTCCAGCATTCCGATCAGGAGCGGTTCTTTATCCAAAATATGGGCGCTGGGACATTCAAAAGGATCCTACACGAGCAGATGACGGAGTACAAAGTATGGAAGTTTGCTGCCAAGCTTTTCAGAATGGCCATAGAGCGCAAGCCCGGGAACTGGAAGTAAGTGTTATATCAGGCAGATTGTATGTGGCATGAGACGGCACTAATTGTTGAAACAGGAATCCGTATATGCTAGCCAAGTGTTATTGGAAGATGTACCAGACTCCAGAAGAAGAACTCGACAGCAGCGATAAGGACACCAAGATCGGAGTTCAAACAGTGCTAAAAGCGCTAAAAGACGCCGTCAATGTGGCCAATAATGCGAGAAAGTCCCGCAGTAGCGATCCGATACTCGAGCCGCATTACAAGATCGTCTCTATTGTGCACAAGCTTGTGATGCGAGGGGATCTCCCTGCCAAAGAGGCAGCCGAACTTTTATCGGAGCAACCGTTGGGCGTGCAATTTAAACCGGATGATATCTTTGCTTCATTCGCAGAACCTGAGGACTGGGAAGAGTACATTATCCCGACGCTCGTGAAGCTCAAGGAGAAGGATAAGTCTAACTGGCAGCATCGGATTGTCGCACGCCATGCCAAGATTCTGTTCGATGAGAGCATCATGGAACAAGTTAGTGACATCAAGGTAGCGGCGAAGGCTGCTTTTGCCATCTTGAGAGAAAACATGTTTACCAAGACGATGGTGATGAATGTGTGGAAATGCGACGCAGAGCGTCCAGGTCGTCACCATGTCTTTACTGAACAATATGTGCGGTTCATGACCAATCTCCTCGTGATCATGTCCGACAAGACAAACCTGGAGCAGCTGCTTCGTCGTCTCCGAAAGAAGGGCGCAGATTTCTACCACTTTGTCGACTTGTGGCAGTCCTGCTGCATGGCGTATCTGAAGCTGTTGAGAGACACGCACAATATCCCCCATCCTACCGATGATGCTTTCAAGACACTGTCTACCGAGGAGTTTGAAATCTTTAGCGAGAGGATTACTGAGTGGGCTGTTCGTGACGAGGCAAACATTCCAGCCTTTAACTGCATGAAGGAGGCCATCGAATTGAAGAAGCTTAATGCCAATTTGATGAAGGTCGCCGGGATCGATGACTTGATTAATGATTGTTACTCAAAGATTTATGTCGATGTGGCAGCAACGTTGCCTGGACAGGAGCCAAGCAAGATTATCGAAGAGCGCAACCAGGCCAAAGAGATTGCTGCCAAGCTCGAGGCGGCGGCTGCGGCTGCAGCCCAAGCTGATTCCAAGCCGACGAGTTCTCTCAGCAACATACTCAATCCTCCAAGCACTCATGATAGCCTCCCCGGCACTGCGACGCCGCTAGAGGGAGAAAAGTCCGAAGCAGCACCGCGGACTCGAAAAACTGGGGTTCGTAGGCCGGACGTCCTTCGTAAGGCGGAACAAGCTGTTACTCGGTCTCTGGAAACACCCAAGTTGGCTCTCCCGAGAAGCCGTGTTGGAAGCATGTCGAGTGCAAAACGCGAAAGCCAGACGCCAAACGCCGGTGCTAGTGATGCCGACAGCGACGAGGAAGAAGGACCAGATGCACAAGTTAGACGAGAAGCTGGGGAGGATACTGATATGCCAGACACGCATGCATACGAGGAGGATGGCCACGACGGCCATGACGACTCCAAGTTGGAAGACAAGGAAGAAGAGCTTGAGAGTGATGATGCGCACAGTCTTGACGAGTCCGCCGAAGAAAGCGATCTAAGTGATGTTCCGGATGATTATGAAGAGGACGTCCCACCGAGCTTGATGTTCCCGCATCTGGGACGGACGATTCAAAGCGGCGAAACCAGTGGCGAAGACGCTGACAGCGAAAGCGAAGGCGACGAAGAAGAGGACGAGGAGGAAGACGACGATGAAGACGATGAAGGGCACGGAGATGATGAAGCCGAAGAAGCCGAGGAGGGCGAGGAGGAGCATGATGAAGGTGACCACGGTAAGGATATTCATGAAGAAGGCGGCGAAGAGGAAGAGGAAGAGGATGAAGAGGAAGAGGATGAAGAAGGCCATGAAGAGGATACCGAGATGGCGGAACCACATACGCCGGCAGATCACGACGAATCTGTAGATATGGGGACATGAGCTTGCCTTTGGTGGGAATTTTGATGTCTTTCTTTCTTTTTTGCGGGCGGGAGAAGAGGAGAAGGACTTGCTTTGTCGATTTTTTTTTTCCCCATCCCTCTGAGGATATTCGCTATTGGGTTGGATAGTTGGAAGGGGGTTGGGTATGGTTCAGGATGCGTCTTTCTTGGTTTGGACAATTCTGGCGTACTTAGTTAGTAAAGCATATGGATTATTGTCTTTACTGTCTGTCGTGATTTGTTAAAGATGGTGATGCTGCTTGTGTTCGTTGCGAAAGGTTCTGAATCCTTCTTGGATGTGTTTGAGGTGAGCAGAATGTACAATTTCACTTGCATCTTTAGATTTGGTCGGCATGATGAAATTCTCAGATAAGTTAAGAAAATACGAAGCACCCCAAAGTTGACAACCAACAAGATTAATGCACCTTTAAACACCCGTTCTGTTTGCCCTTTAAACACCATTGTTCCACAAAGACTTTTCCCATCTTTTCTTTTCCAACTTTTCTCTTTCTAGAAACTGAACCTTTAGCCCTCCTCCTGATCCATATTGTCTCTTCTCCTCTTGGGTCCAGCCGTCTTTCCTTTTCCTTTGCCCTTCTTATCCCTGCTTTCAAGGAAGGATTTCATCTCCACCCTGGCTTCCCTCTGGGCCTCCTCGACTCTGCTCTGGAAAGCCATGACCTCCTCCTTTTCTGTCGGGTAGAGTTCCAGCTTCTTGCCAAGCGCAGCCTCGATGCGCTGATAAATCTCGACATCGTACTGCGTGACGACGCTAATGGCGATGCCGGATTTACCGGCACGGGCTGTTCGACCGACACGATGGATGTACGTCTTGGAGTCCTGAGGCAGATCCAGGTTGAGCACCACGTCGACGGCGGGGATATCCAGACCACGAGCAGCGACGTCGGTGGCGACGAGGATTTCGCGGGATCCTCCCTTGAACTTGTTGAGGGCACCGAGACGAGATGACTGGGATAGCTGTCCGTGAAGTGGGATGGCGCCGAAGCCAAGAGTTCGTAGCAGGATGGCTATTCTCTGTGTTTCAAAGACTGTGCGTGTAAAGATGATGATGGACTTTCCGGCAAACTCGTTGACGAGGTAGATGAGATATGTGTCCTTCCACTTGTGAGGCACGAGGATGTAGTGCTGGAGCAAGGTTGACACGGTCTGGTATTTGCTTGAGCTGACGCTAACACGGACAGGGTCCCGTAAACTGGCTCTCTGGAGACTCTCGACCTTGGAGCTGAGAGTTGCGGAGAAGAGATATGTGCGACGCTCGCGAGGGATGAACTTGAGGATCTTGTCGATGCTGGGACCAAAGTCCATGTCCAGCAGACGGTCGGCTTCGTCCATGACCAGGTACTTGAGGGACCGCAGCGAGAAGCCCTTTGTCTTTTCCAAGTGGTCCACCAATCTACCGGGCGTGGCAACGATGATATGGGGCTTCTTCCCGAGAGCGATGGCCTGGGGAACCATGTCTAGACCTCCGACAATAACGGCACATCTCAGCGAGATGAGGGCTCCCAGAGCTTCAAACGATTGTCCGATCTGGGCGGCAAGTTCTCGAGTGGGAGCAAGGACGAGTCCGAATAGCGGCTGGGGCTTCTCGAGGAGGGCCTGCAATATCGGCAGAGCAAACGCGGCGGTCTTTCCGCTACCAGTTTCGGCGAGGCCGATGACGTCGCGGCCTTGGAGGGCAACGGGGATGGATTTAGCCTGGATGGACGTGGGGTGCTTGTAGTTTAGAGACTCGCAGGCTTCGCATAATGAATCGACGATGCCCTAGAGAAAAGAGAGGAATCTTGTTAGTCTTGAGTGTTTTTTTTTTTAAAAAAAAATTGCAACATTCAATCCACCACATTCTTGTCTCGTACCAGCTCCTTGAACGTCTTGGGCTCCTCCGGTGCATCTGCAGCATCGCCAGAGGAAGCAACATCGAGCGTCGCCGATTCTTCTTCAGTGGGAGGATCCGGAGATGCCTTGGAGGTGCTGCCTCCTGCTTCTGCTTCTGCTTGACGCCGCTTTGCCGGCGCATCGTGCGCAATCTTTTGCCTCTTTGCGCCGCTCATTGTTGCTCTGATGTTTCCGCCTTGGATATGCTGGATAGAAACGAAACGAACGAGGCCTTGAACAACTTTTTTTTGGGGGTCGACTTTGCAGCAGCAAATCAGGACGCAGTGCGATGAACCCCGGTCGAGGTTGATGTGTGCAGGGGTTTTGAACAATTACGTCTATATCAGGATTTGTGCGGGAAAAGGGGGGGTTCGAAATCGTGGCGTTTTCGCTATAAAGGTGTTCAATTGTTGCATCTATTTGCTTAATGCATGCAGAACACTGGCTAATGTCATTAAAGAGATTTTGCGGAAGAATCTTTCTCCTCCAAAGAGCTGCTTACATGCATAAGCGGGTTGCTCAAGAAAAAAGTTGGTGGGGCGGCATCGCTGCGATAAGCTCTTATCGCCTGGCCTGGGCTAAACTTTTTCTTTCTTCTTGTATTGGACTGGCTGTATAATCTTGGTATAATCCATTGGATGTCCACTTTGCAACAAAGCAATTCCTCATCACCTACAAACCAAATCAATCAGCCATGGCAAAACGAAGAGTCAAGAAGCGCACCCACATGGGCGCAAACAACCCGCAGCCCAACTCGGCCGGACATGCCTCGGCCCGTGATCCCAAGAGCATGGTTATCAGAATCGGCGCTGGAGAAGTTGGCTCAAGCATCAGCCAGCTCGCGGCAGATGTGCGCAAAGTCATGGAGCCTGGCACTGCTAGCAGGCTCAAGGAGCGAAGGGGAAACCGATTGAAGGACTACGTTGTCATGTGCGGTCCGCTGGGAGTGACGCATTTGATGCTGTTTTCGCGATCAGAGGGCGGCAACACCAACATGAGAGTTGCGCTGGCACCTCGAGGACCGACGCTGAACTTTCGAGTCGAAAAGTATTCCCTGTGCAAGGATATCCAGAAGATCCAGAGGCATCCCAAGGGCATGGGCAAGGAGTTTCTTGCCGCTCCTCTGGTAAGGACACCACTGAGCCCAAATCTCAGCTCCATACTAATGATTGTCAGCTCGTCATGAACGGCTTCTCTCGACCTGGCTCAACCGCCAAATCAAAGGTCCCCAAGCATCTCGAGTCATTAGCCACCACCGTCTTCTCATCCATGTTCCCCCCGATCAACCCCCAAACCACGCCGATCAAGTCGATTCGCAGAGTGCTGCTCCTGAACCGAGAGCCGTCAAAGGAGGACGACGGTACTTTTATTCTCAACTTTAGGCACTATGCCATCACCACTAGACGATCGGGAGTCTCAAAGCAGCTGCGCCGAATCAACGCGGCTGAGCAGTTCCTCAACACCAAGACCAGCCGACGCAGCCACGTGCCCAACTTGGGCAAACTCGAAGATATCGCAGACTACATGATTGGCGAGGGTGGCGATGGATATGTCTCCGATGTGACGAGTGGCAGTGAAGTCGACACCGATGCCGAAGTTGAAGTCCAGGACACGGCGTCTCGAAAGGTCCTGTCTGCCAAAGCCCGAGCTGCCGCAGCAGAGAACGGCCAAGATGAGGAGCCGGAAGAGGCAAATGTAGAAAAGCACGTGGTCAAGCTCGTCGAGCTCGGACCTCGTATGCGACTGCGTTTGACCAAGGTCGAGGAGGGAATGTGCTCGGGTAAGGTCATGTGGCACGAGTACATCCACAAGTCGGCTGGCGAAATCAAGGAGCTGGAGAAGCGATGGGAGAAGCGACTGCAGGAGAAGGAGGCTCGACGACGCGAGCAAAAGGCCAATGTGGAGAAGAAGAAGGCGGCCAAGGAGGCTCAAAAGGCATCTCAGAAGGGCGGAAAGGGCAACGGTGACGAGGAGGAGGAAGATGACGAGGATGACTACGAGTACTACAGCGATATGGATGTGGATGAGTTTGACAGCGAAGGGCTGGCTGGTGATGCCGAGTTCAAGGTCAACGAGCAAAAGGAAGAGGATGGCGAGTGGGAAGACCAGGAAGAGGAGATTGGTAATAACTGAGCCGAATGAGGTGAGGGTTGGGTATATCCTTGTTTCCAAGGGGAGGGGCATTTGTATGAAACATGTATGGCGCATGGGTGTTTATCTTCAAAGTCGAAATGGCTGCAATTTACAATGTACATGTTGATATGCCATCTTTTGCTTGCATGAGGCTATGATGTGACATGATTTGTAAGATCCAACACTGGTATAAGCAACTCATCTATGTCTAATACTATTGACGGGTAGTAACTGTGTTAAATAGACACCATTGGAGTGTTAATCAGTGCTCGATGCCCCTGACTACCCTCCATCAACTTATTAACAGGCTCGTCGCCGTCTTTCAACAATCTCCACCTCCACGCCTTAATAGCAGGTCGTTCCAATCCAACGCCCTCAATGACATCAACCACCCAATTCCCTATACTGGGGAGAAACTTGAACGCATGGCCACTTCCCCCAGTCGCACATACAAGACCCTCATATCCAGGGACATTGTCGATAACGTAGTGATTATCGAAAGAATCAGTGTACCAACAGAGGCGGCTCTCTGAGATGTGGATTCCGGCGTTGCCCAACTCGGGGAGATATTCACCCAGGAATTCGGCGACCACTTTGTGAGCTTGTTCGGGAACTTGATTTATTACTGATGTTGTAGTTTCGCCTAGATTGCCGCTCCATTTGGTCACGGGTACGCTGCGTTCTTGTCCATCGGACTGCTGCTGAGGGTTTGTATACTTGGTTCCTCTGTACCCAATCTTGAGAATACCGTGCTCATCGATGGGGAAGCCGTAAAGGCCTCCGTCGGCACCATGTTCACGCATGTTAAACGACCACGAGGGGAAACGAGAATGATGGAAACGCTGGCGAAGGGGCGATGATTCCGGGATGCGGAGCATAAAGACAGAACCAGCGGTTGTTTCGCAGAGTGAGTCGAGTGACGGTAGAAGCGACGGTGTCCAACCGCCGCAACAGATGACGATGATGGATGCTGCGTGATGTTTCTCGTCCGCGGTGGTGATGCCGGTGACGGTCTTGGTGGTGGAATCCGATGCTGTGTCGTGTGTGAAGGAGGTGAATTTGCCTTGTACAGGGTCTAGAACGAAGCGGACGCCGAGCTTCTTTGCCTTGTGAAGAGCAAAAATACAGGCCTTGTCGGCAAGGACGTGGCCCCCCGTGGTGTCGAGAACGCCGAGGACTTGTTTGTTGAATGGCTGAAGAGCATATTCGATGGCCCTTTGTGAGGCGAGCTGGATATCGGCCTGTTTGTTGTTGATGAGCTGCGTGCTGTCATATCCAGCCCTCTCCATGTTTTCGACGGTGGCAATCTCAAAGTCGGGGAGGGTGGTGGAGTCGCTGCAATTGAGGTAGCCGTTTGGAATAAAGAGGGAGCTGTTGGGAGTTATTCCCTTGATACCCTCTCCATCGTGATTTTTGAGTTCTGCGTTCCAGGCGGCCCACGCAGAGAGAGCTTCGGTGCTGAGATGCTGGTATTCGGTTTGAGAGCCATACGCTGAGCGAATAATCTTGTTTATGTCTGGATGAAGTGTGTGAGTAGGATATGAGTTGACTTGGTGCTGTTTTTGGTAAGCGAGGAATCCAACGAACCGGAGGATGCAGAGTCACAGCTTTCAAAGTAAGAGTACAGCGTCTCATCATAGGGGGTGCTGTCAAAGACTGTGATGTTTGTGTAGCCTCTTTGTGCGAGATGGATGGATGTGCTGAGGCCAAAGACGCCTGCCCCAATGATGATGGTGGGAGAGTCCTTGGACGGCGGTAGACGCTGAGTCATTGTTGTATCTGAAAAGGCTGACCAAGATGAGAAGATGGAAAACTCTCCGTGGTAAGTTCTGCTATGAACAAGGGGAAAGCCAACTGCAAACAGAAGTAAACAGAGGGTGGATTTGAATGAGGAGAGTGGTTACACAGATCTACGTGACAACTCAACTCAACAGTAAATATTTATACGATGAACGAGATGGGTATTTCAAGTCCTAGAAGATTTGTTGATGACGATTGCAAAGGAGTTGATCTACACTCTGTTGGTTCTACGACAGCGTAGTATTGCGACATTGAGATGAGTGGACAAGGCATATCCGTGTAAGTCGCTTTGGATTGGCTGCATTTGCACAAGGAATTAGCCTAATCTACCACTCGACATGATTCGCCGAGGCACATGAGATTGTGAGATGGAATCAAATACTTTTTCCATCATGTCAACTCACATCTCATCACGTAAGTTGTTTCATTATAAGCTACCTGATTTTCGTATACTCCATGTTCTTTTCCAAGCCTCACTCGGGATACGCGGGAAAATCCCACGGCACCGCCTTCGCCAACAACTCATAATCCAATCCCTTTGCTCCACCATTCAGAAACAAAAACTTTGTAAACGGCACCGTCGCGTAATACTCGAAACGAGTACCCGAAGGAATAAACGCAACATCTCCGGGGAGGAGATACTCCGTCTTGTAGCCCTGAACCGTCAGGGCAAGCTGGCCCTCGTCCATCTGGATGGCAAAGTGGTGAGGCAGCTGAGCAGCATTCGTCTTGTCGCCCTCGAGCCTCGGAGACAGCGTGAGCGTGCTAATGGTAAAGTTCTTGTAGGGCGTCTGCTCCGCCGTGAGCAGTGTCTGGATGACCTTGTAGCCGTTTTCGCTGTTGAGGTACTTTGGCCCGTAGTCTTTGGCGACGTAGTACGGATCCGTGGGATCCGTGGACAGCGAGTTGTTGCCGTTGTTCCAGACGTTGCCGTTGTGCCAGTTGATGCTTGGGTTGCCAGCGGTGCCATTGACAAAGTCTCGTCGCGGCACGTAGACGTCAGCCTTGGCCACGTACAAGTCGAGCGAGTTGAGCTGGGCTTCTAGCTCGGGTGTGATATCGCCAAAGGGCTGCTGGTCGTCCCCGATCAGCTGATACGGCGATCCGTGGGGAGAATCAAAGTCTCCGATGCTGTAGACGTTGTACAGCTCTTCGAACCCGGCCGGGTTGTAAATGTGCGTGAGCTGGCTATCCGGATCCGTGTGCTGAAAGGTGTGAATCGTGCCGGGCGGAGCGGTGCCGAAATCACCCAGCGTGAGCACGCGAGCCTCGTCAATGGCGCCCGTCACGTTCTTCTTGGTCCACAGCTCGACTCGTCCCTTGGAGCAGTAGAAATGCTCGTGGGCCTCGCGGTGAGTGTGAGGCCGCGCAGAAGTCCAGCCCGTCCATTTGCTGGTGTGCTGGACAACGGCAAAGGCGCCGTCGGAGGAGTTTGTGGTGATGGAGAAGCGGATGATTTGACCAGAGGTGGTCAGCTTGATGGCCTGGCCCTTGTAGCGAGGCAGGATGTAGGGACGGACGTGGTCGGGGGCTACATCGACGACAAGGGGAGGGAGGGAATAAGAAGCTGCCGTGGATGAGGCGGTTGAGAGGAGGGAAAGGGACAGCGATGTGAGCGTGGAGGCTTTCATTGTGGCACAGGTTGATGATGTTGGCTGATCCTTCAACTTGGGGAACATACAAAGGACTCGTTTCCTGGAGCATTCATTTATACGTTTGTAGATTTGTGTAGATGTAGACGTTCCCATAGCAAAAGGAATAAAAAAAAGAATATGTCGGCAGTTCACCCGAATAAGAAGTTCATCCTCACCTGCTGCATATCGACGGCCAGGCCCAATCAACGAACCCACTAGCAAAGCAAGATGTGAAGACTATCTTCCATTCTAGTTCTCTCACCTTCTTTCTACTACCCTTTCACCGACCCGGCTTCCTCTAGCTCCCGGATTGTGCATGCAACAGCCTGTCGTCCTGCCTAATTCGTGTATTATACATACATTATACATATTGGGTGTAACCCTCCAAGACGTCAAAGGCTCGCCCATTGACGCGATGACTTGATCGATTTCTCTCCGAGCGCTAAGCAACAGGGCGAGAAGGGGTTAGCATAGGTGGAATCAAGGTCCCGGGTGGAATCAAGCTTGTCCAGGGGGGTGACATGGGTTTATAACGTTAGCTTTAGCCAGGGTCGATCCTGTTTTCTCTGTTTGTGTGCTTTGGATTAGAAGATAAGAGGCTTGGTAATGATTAGACTATATGGTATCAAACTGCAAACAAAATGATTCATATGCGGTCAAATAATGTCGGGAATCGAGGTCGTGCTCACATGAGAGACTTGTAAGATGACACCACAATAGACATGCAGCTTCAAGTGACAGACGAGGTTTCTGTATTGTATTGAACCTCACGACAGCTTTCTATATCCCACAACACGGTATACATGTATCCATCATTACTCTCAATCCCTCTTCTTCATACTTGATTCACCGGCGCAACTGGCCTTCCCTCCCTCTTCCACCGCAACACATTCTCAAAACACTCCTTCTCCGCCCTCCGGATCGCCTCCTCCGTCCAGCCTCCCATATGCGACTGCAACACCACCTTGTCGCTCGTCCTAAAGTACGGGTTGATGTTGGGCTCATTGCTGAACACGTCTAGTCCCGCCCGTTCGACTTTGCCGCTTTCCAAAGCCTCAATCAGCGCCTCTTGATCGACAATGGGCCCTCGCGCCGTGTTGATGAGAAAGACACCGTCCTTCATCATCTTGAATCCGGCATGCGAAATGAGATTCCGTGTTGCCGGCGCAAGGGGGCAATTGATCGATGCGACATCTGCTTGGGAGAGCAATTCCTCTAGGGAAGAGCAGTATTCGGCATGGCATGCCTCTTCAATTTCGGCGCTCGGCCTCGTCCGGTTGTAGTAGTTGACTTTCATGTTAAACGTCTTCGCTTTGACGGACAGATACCCGCCAATGCTCCCCATGCCCACGATTCCAAGCGTCATCCCCGTCGGATCTTTTGTTGGCACAATACCGTTATACCATAGCCCTGCCCGAACTCTCTTGTCCGCAACATGCGTGTTTCTCATCACGGCCAGCGTCAAAAAGATGGCCATGTCGGCCGTTGCTTCGGCCACGGCATCGACAGTGTTGCAGAACCAAATGCCTTGGCTCGTCATCCATGAGACGTCGAACTCGTCGTAGCCCGCCCATACAGAGGCAATGAGGCGGCAGTGGGGAGTAAGAGCGGAGAGCAGCTCCTCATTGAGAGGCTTCAAGGAGGGTGTATCGAGGGTGCAGATGAGAGCGTCTATTGGGCCCGACCGGGCGATGAAGCGAGGGAGCTCCTCTAGAAGCCGTCGCCGGTTGGACGATTGAAGAAACTAAAACAAATCATTTGTGCATGAGTTGTATGAAAGACTAAGTAGAGAGTCTATAGTTTCAAATGCTCACGTTGATATCCAGCTCCGCTTTGACCGTGTTCAGGTAGTCATCGCCAACATACTTGACACTGCCAACATACTGCCACTCGGGGCTTCTTATTCAGTGCCACAGAGCTCATTGGTTGTTCTGGTTGCTCAGCAAAACAGTTGAATCAACTGCAAGAACTATTTTGAAGGGACATATTCCGTAGAGCAAGAAATGACTTGGGCCGCTTCTTCTTATTGCCGTGTTAGAAGGACAACAAGCTCCAGGTTTTGAAAATACCCTCCGTCCCACTATCTACCAGATCTGAAGCCGTAAAATGCCCCAAAATATGTACAGTAGAGGCACCCGGAGAGTGACGATTCAGTCGGGCGTTCATGATGCGGAGGGAGCCCGCTGGGAGTGTTGGAGCCTGTTGAAGATGATGGCCTTGACAGACGAGATCGCGCAAGCACGGCGCATTCGAGTTCTCATGTTTCAGGTTGATTGTTTGAGCTGCATATGTTGTAGATGCGCGTCGAGATGGAGATGAAAGTTGTTGATAGAAAATCGGCGGGATTGGTGGCTAGAGTTGCACCAACTGTCGTAGATGTAAGAACAAGTCTTGAATTACAAGCACATGTCTAGGAAACTTGCACCGAATCGTAAAAAGGCCGGGCCTTGAATGCTGGCGGCTATAGAAGAAGTCATTTCGTCAACTGTGTGCGCCGGGAGGCTCCGAAAATCTCCTGACCGGGTCAATTGCAATTTCAACACCAACAATCAAAAGGATTCAAAACATGGCGTGATCAAATACTTGGCCTTCGCTCCCCTTTCATTACGTCGTTGATCATTCAAGTCAATCTATTTTCGGCAAATATCCCTGCTTGCATCGATCCAAGTACACTGACTGTGACGCGAAAGATGCCTTGCCTGTTTTCAACCTACCATTTCATCTGCCCAAGAATCCGGTTCATTTCAGCCGCAATCAACGCAGCGCTCCATGCCAAAACCGACGAATAAAATTCAATGCTTACTGGCTGTATGACCACTTCGCCGCACATCGGGTAAGAATCGTTCGACAGCCAGAAACCCTGCAGCACACAAGATTCCAATCTGCCCCAATTCGGCCACCCCCTTCCAAGGCATCTTCACAGCACGAACCAATCGAGAGAGAGAGAGCAGCCAGATCCCGTCCGAATATGGGCTCACAGCAAAGCCTTACGCGCAAGGATTTTAGGCTGTGCAAAGCCCAAAAGCGAATTCGGCAGCCGTTGAAGCCCGTTTTGGGGGGGGTGAGAAGTGAGCAGATGCTCACTACTTTGGACAACCAAAATCACACCACCGCTCCGGCGCAACACACCACTTCTCGGACTATCAACAGACAACATCGCGGAAACGAGACACCACGCTCGGGAGAAGCAGGCAAGGCCAATTTTGCAAATGTTATCGACGGCTGCGATGGAGAGAATTCAATCTCGGATGCACTGCAGTCCACATCGACTACATATACATATACAAAAGCAAAACATCTTCCGCCATCTCTAGTGTTTCTTCACTTACACCAGCTCAGCCATCACCAAGCTGCAACTTATACATACAACACAATACAATACATACACATCTAGACTTCACCGTCTAACACAACACAAACCGCCGAAATGGTCACTCAACCAGCCAGAATCCCCGTCGCCGCCCCAGGCCCCCTCGCCAGAGCTTTCCCAGCCGTCATCGCCGTCGGCGTCGGTAAGTCATCCACCAAGACTTCACTCAACCAACTCCCTCGTCAATCCACTAATACTCAACTCCAGTCTCTGCCGTCGCGCTCAACGTTCGCTCGCAGCTCAAGACGCACTCAGCCACTCAGGACCGCTTCTTCGCCCAGTACAAGAACCCCGAGAGCGAAGCCGTCCGCCAAAAGGTCTTCGACGGCGCCGTCGAGGATCCCCGCAAGAGCTGGTTCAACGTCCTGGGCTGGTGACTATTTGAGGATTAAGCAAGGGGTTTATAAAGACGCAATTCGCATTACTGGGCGTTTGATTGTTACTTTAATTTTTTTTCGAGGAGTTGGACAAGGATATTTTGCTGGTTGGTGAAGGCGTCGTGCATCGGTCTGTTTCGATGCGACTACCCGGTGTATAGATGGTGGAAGAAGGGGGTCGTCGAGGGGCCCGAGCATTGATACCAGCCTTATTTACATGGCAACTTTAATCGCTAAACAAGTTCAAGAATCTTTCAAGTCTTGATTTTCATGCTTGAATTGCTACGAGAAGTATCGCCGTCGCTGAGCTCTCCGTCAACCTAGAGGTATAAAGACGACTAAGCAACAATCCGCTTCACTCAAACATGAGCTCAAAATTTCCCAGTTGAATATAATTTCTGTTTGCTTCGCTATGTGCTAAAATTCCCAAGGCTATATACAACATCATGTCGTATTTACAAATCATGAGAGCCATATATAGTCTCCCCCATTTTTTGTTGCTTTCACTTCATCCCTTCAAATCATACCCTTCATAAAAGAAAAAGAAAAAACATCCCATTCCCATCATTCGCTTATTTCTGAGCGAAGCCGAGACGCTCGTTGCCGAGGTCAAAGACGACCAGGGCCGCCTTGAGGGCGACATCACCAAAGATGTTGATGCCAATGTCAGAGCTGCTCTGGAGACCACCGAAGCAGGTGGAGCTGCCCTCCTCGATGGGGGTGAGGTTCAGCAGGTCGCCGGAGATGGTGATGGTCTGGCCACCAACACCGAAGGAGAAGGAGGGGAGGTCCTCGTCGCAGTCGAAGACGACACCTTCCTGGGAGTCATCGTACTCGGCAGACTCGACGTTGTTGTAGTAGGCGTCAACAACGCTGTCGGGGAGGAGTAGCAGGGTGGTGCCAGTGTCGGCAATACCGGTGATGGAGCTGCGGCCCAGCTTGGCACCGCCAACGGAGTAACCGGAGGCAGTGAAGCCCCAGTAACCCTCGCTGCCGTCGGCGGGAGTGTATCCAATGGTGCCCTTGGCGAGAGAAGTGTCGATGAAGCCAAAGTTGTAGCTTCCGGCTATTCGTTCGCCTCATTTCAGTTTACTGATGTCATAAAAAGGATAGAAGAAAGGGAACAGAAGGTTTTGTTACTTACTCTCCTGGTGCCTCAGATCGGCAGTGAAAAGGGGCTCAGCCAGGCTGTTGGCAGCGTTGGAGAACCAGGTCTTCTGGGCGCGGGGCTGGACAGTGTTGCCAATGTCGAAGCCGAGACCGACGAGACCGGAGATGACGGTGTCCTGGACGAACTGGGTGGAAACCTTGGTGGCAGACTCAACGGCCTGAGTCTTGACGCTGAAGCCGCCAATGCTGACAACATCGGTGTAGACGTCACCGCTGGAGCTGCTGCGGTCACCGTAGGAGATGGACCAGGTAGAGCCGGACAGCTTCTTGGCAGTGGAAGACTTGGAAGGGCTGTAGGTAACGTGTCCGGAGGCGGAAGACTTGGGGGTCTCGGAGCTGAAGACCCACAGGTCGGAGGAACCGGTGTCAAAGTCCAGGGGGAGGACCTGAGCGGGAGTACCAATGGAGACGTTGGTGATGTACTCGTCATCGGCGCTGTCGCTGGGGTTGGTATTGGCAGAGCCAGTCTGGCGCTTGGTGAGGGAGTGCCTGGCAGCGACGGCAGCGCGGAGGTTGTCGCTGATGGGAGCGCCGTACTTTCTCTTGGCCTTGAAGAGGGCGGTAGGACCGTGGGCAACGTAGTTCTTGTTGTAAGTGACCTCGATGGAAGCGGTCTTCTGTCCCTCAGTGGGGAGAGCCGCAGCCATGCCGCTAGCGGCGAGGAAGGAAACGAGGAAAGCACCGAAGGTCTGCATTTTGAAGGATGGCTTTTTTCAGAGAAAGCTGCTCAGGAGTAGACTAGGCTGGTTATCTTGAAGGCTGATGAGACAAAAACTTCAACACCAGATCGAGGGAAGATGGACGACTTTATATCCATCCAGGCTCGCGTGCCAACCTATCTTTGAGGCCAAAGATATTGGAGTTGCCCAGCTCCAAAGGCCTTGTTGACGGCTTCAAGAGCATGGTTTGGGAAGGTCATTTTGCGCCATCATCCTGGGTATTCACACACTTGCTGGGGGGATGGTGATGGGGAGAGGAGCCAAGATGGTGGAATCGACATCAGCATCCAGCTTTGATAGCTGATAGCTCGCAGTCACCAGGCTGTGGGCGAATCAAACTCTCACGTCCGGGTGTGGAGAGGGCGCCTAGTCGTTTAGCCCAGAGAGCGTATTGCCTTTTCTGCATTGCTTCAATGGAGACGCTGGAACCTTTGTCGATCCCGTATCGTCCTTGATCCCAAGATAGAAGTCCAGAGGATTAGTTCATGGCCACAACTGCTGGTTCGGGGACCGGTGCTCCAAGGCGGTCTCCAGAGGGGGGGATACTAGGTAGTACAGATGGTGCTTTAACAATAGTCCTCGCCACCATAGGCGCTCCGTCCAATCCGGGATGACTGTTGTCTGTGCGGCTTTAACGATGGAGAAGGGCCCTTGAAACGAGGACTCCCCGATGCCGATCTCTATCAAGCGCCTGCCTGACACTCGAACCGCAGTCCGTGCTTCGTGAGATGACTTGAGCCTGGTAGCGAAGCGGGCCGACGCGACTTCGGCGGAAATGCTGCGCCGCGGTCTTTGCTGCGATGAAGTTGGTCCGGAGACAGACGACGAGGCTAAGCCGACCTGCCCGAGCCATGTTGCAACGATGTTCCGCTGATTCCCACTGCCAGCGGACTGCTGCTCAGTCACCCATCAGTCACCCATCCAGCCGCAAACACACACGCAGCAGTTCTCATGGCGCAACTCCCGTCAACATTGAGCCAAGCCAGCCAAGACGTGCCATGCCGTGCCTCGGATCTGTCCCGTGGTCCGTACATACAAAAACAAAGCAAGGCAAGGCACTAGCGGAATCGGCCAGGGGATCAACCGCCAAGAAACCCCATTAAGTTTAATCCCTTGGTTAATGTTAAACCGCGAACCCATCAATCAGAGACGGCCGGTGACCGGAAAATAGCAGGCCAATCTGCTGGAGGCTCCGATCCGGGGGGGTCGCTTGACCTGCCTCAGGCCTTGGCTCTGGCACTACGGGCCATGGGCATCGACTTGGCATCCGGCAGTCAGGGGTGGGAACTTGTGGCAGAATCGCCATCCGCAATCTCCTCCGGCCACGCAGAAGTTCGTTACAGCCAGCTCAAGCCCAGAGCGGCATGTCCAACCAAAAGGCCCAGCGGCGCCCTTGGGAGCTGCCGGACAGGGGCCAGAATCCGCCCCAAGGCTCGCCGTTGGCTCTTGAAGGCTCCGGGCCCTTGTCTGCGGCCGGGTATTCGGCATGGAGACGACGGGGTGCTGGAATCTCGAGGGGGATCGCTGCTGGGCGTCACGGCCATGATTAGCGGTTGCAATGGCGGCCTCTTATGCCTACACGAGTAATTACGCCCTCGGAGCAGCGAGGCAAGGCGGAACCGGCCGAAGCAGGAGGCTGCCGTGGTCCGGAAGTTGCACGAGGTGAATTTTTTGTCTTGTCGTGAATGCAACGCTACGCTACCTACGCTGCAATACGGGTGATGAGGGAGGTTGGTTTGCACATATCGCCCACGGCACGTGATGGCAGCGATAGGACTTGGTCCGAGAGTTCTGGCGTCACTCTGTCTTGCAACCTGCCAATGCAGATACGGTAGGTATTTCTTCTCTTCTGTACAAAACACCACACACGACATCATCACGGCTTCAGTAGCTTCCAGAAGCCCGCTATGCTGCCCTGGCGGAAAATATCTCCAGCTGCCCAGACCGTCCAAGCCGACAGCCGATCCCGTCACACGCATCGCCAAGAAAATGTGCCAAAATGCCGGCAGACGAGCAGAATGCGACCGGCAGGTCTTGGCCTACATGCTGTGCCTGTGTGTGTGTGTGTGTGTGAGGAGGCACTCGATGCAGACAGCTTGGCAAGCTTAAACACGCAGCATCGAGCCAAACCCCCATGCCGCCAATCTGCTTCAGTCCTGGTGTCGTCCTTTGTCGGGCCCTGACCCCGGTCCCTGTCCAGGCGACGCCACTCGGAGACCAAGACCGCTCTGGAAGGTGGCCAAGGTGGCTCATGAGGCATCAACTACCTGCGCTCAGCTCGCGTTTCAATACAGAGACGATCATTCCCAACGGTGCAGGTGGCAGTGTCAAAAGGCCCTGGGCTTCGGGCTGCTATCAACGTTCGTTTCATCGACGCCGGCCTCGAGAGCCAATAGACATCCTTACCGACCTCCCAAAACGGGAGGCAACTGACAAAGGCCCTCTCCTGCGGCCGCTTGTCATTGCATTTACTTCAGCTTCTCTGCTCTTTGTCCTTCGTATCTCTTCAGCCCCATCCCACCCTTCCCCCGCGAGACCCAGAAAAAGGACAAGGAGGGTGCTAGTCATCCCGACGACTTAGATCGCATGTGATGGACCTTATTTCAGACTGCCGCGCTTGTCACGGCCAATGATGCAATCGTCAACTATCACAGGCATTTGCTGGATGGAAGATGACCGAGCTGCTCGGTGGCACAAAGCGGACTCTCACCCGGCGTAATGTCAGATCAGGACTTACCAGGCAATATGAAGCAACGCACCCGGCTGACCTTTGGGCGTCACTCAGCATGAGGAGAGAAATACGAGTCGGCGATAAGAGCGTGAGTGCTCAATGCCGTGGCGGCAGAAGACGACAAACAAGGCTCCATGAAGTGAAGCCACGGCTACTACATCACAATCAGGATATCCAGAAGCGCTATACAGTACAGTACATGCTGGCGGAGTTACAACTAGTTGCAAACAAGGCAACCTACTGCGAGGCTAGATGAATCTCATCCTCGACGCAAAGGTACCCGAATTCGTTCCACCTCGAGGCGTAGCACGCGCCTTTCGATCTACGCGCTAAAGCAATCGACGCCAAAGAGGAAAGCTTTGGTGTCAATCATGCCCGAGGAGAGCGTGACGGCTCAATGTACGGATACGGAATGTGAAAATGTTTCAAGAGTAAACAAGCCATGGGGTCAACTGGGGCATACCAAGTTACTAAGCTATTGTTCCAACTCCGCGGACGTGCATCATGGGATTACTCCCACAGCATTCACAAGCTGTCGTGTTCTCAATTGCAGCGAATCGTTGCTTGCAATATCATTGTATCAAGTACGGCCCCTCTTCATCCTTGTGAAGTTACTTTAACAACCTTCACCACTGGTTGATTGTGGAATCTACAAGATAACAGACACATTGACTCATTCATAAGTCAACTAATATCATGATCCAAATCAGTGATGGAAAAGATATCCAAATTACATGAAAATTTTGCTTCAATTATAGGGTAGGTTGCATCGAGTGCTACGCAACTACTGCAAAGGGTGTTGCATTCTAAGATCCATTACGGCCTTTACTTTGCTTCCCGCTCCCAACTAAGAATCCGGCATGTAGCAATGTCCAGCCTCTAGGGTATCATTGCGATGTGCTTTCTTAATACGGATAATTCTTGCGAGCGCTGGGTTCACTGTACCTGGCATCTCTCGTACCTTGGCCATTTTCACCTCCTCGATGAATACCATCTCATGATACCTCTTCTCGGTCGCTATCCATTACATCATGACACGTTTTCTCTCTACTGGACGAGCGCAAAATATTGTCTATATTAAATACGGTCTCTGTACATATCATTCCGATCATTCACAACCATGGCTCGGTCAACAAACCCCGTTAGTCTCAAGACATGAACTTCACTCTTATACTTCAGCCTAATCCACTCTCTCCTTGGTTCATTTTGCTTCGTAATGATAATGTCAAGAATACCTACGTATAGGCCATAAGAACCAGAGAGCTACAAAGCGTCCTTCTCCCCAAACGCTCCATTATTCCAGGGTACCCGTAACCATGCCTCACATCATATCCGTCCCTCCAAGTCTTAGAGCTGCATAGTACTCCCAAAACCTGCAGACTACACACCCTCTTGTTAAGATTAGCTCGAGAACCAACAAGCAAAGCAGTCTTTTCTCCAAAGAACTACCATTTTCGGAAACATCCCTCTTCTTAGCTACTGTTCTGGAAGCTTCTGTGTCTTTTTACCTGCATGGGGACATATGATGAGAGAACCTAGATGTGAAAAGATTCAGCTTGAATGACGACATTTGTGTGAGTGTTGTGGTGATTAGCTAGTTTGGTAATAGTACCTGACAGTATACCAAGAATGGGACGATGGTCATGACAAAATATTGTGCTATTACTAGGCAAGGACAGGTCTGTACCACGTCAAGATGGAGACACATGTTCCCGTCCCCGAATCCATCAATCCCAGCCATGCCAACTGCCTCTCACAAATGGTGTATATATACTTGTCCACCAAAAATGACTGCGAACAAGCGTGGTCAAATCTAAACGCTAAATGCCTTCAAATAGCCGCTGATCCTTCAAGAAATTGATCCTCCAAATGTTGATCGTCCAAGATTGATCCTCCAAAGAGATCCATCTTGCCATCTCAATGCATGTTTCTTAATCATCCTCCAGCCCATATTCATTGTCCATGTCGGGATCATCCTCATCATACCCTCCCTCGTATTCACCACCCCCTCCAAACTCCTCACCCTCACCAAACTCTTCCGGCTCCTCGTAGTCTTCCTCCTCCCCATGCTCCTGGACATCATCCCCAGCGACACTCTCATCGGGTGCCTCGCTAGCGTCATCGTCGGCACCAAAGGTACTGCCAGCAATGCTAGTTTTCCGGCTGGTTGCCGCAGATCCAAGTCCGGCATTTGGTATGTCGAAAATGCTGCGGATGGCATCGTAGTTGATCCTCTTAGACCACGCTCGGTCTTTGGCCACGCCGATGGCGGCTTCGGCAGCAGAGCTGGCAGGGCTGGTTTGGCCCTCTCCCATCCTGGCACGCTTTCTCCTCTTGCGAGTCTGCTTGGGCCGCTCCGCCTCCATTTTCCGGCGAAACACCTTTTCTTGGTGCTTCCTGAGCCAATCCTTGTTCTGGTTCACCCAGATAATCTCCTTGATGCGTGCTTCTTCTGGTGAAAGTAGACAGTTGATGACCTCGGGGTCATCGGCAAATTCATCTTCGGTGACATCGGCTGCCATGGACACCTCCTTTTGCGGTTGCTGTTGACGAGCCCAGAGGGAGTGAATTCGAGCTCGCTGTTCGGCATTGGAATATGCAAGGGCGTGTTCATAAGTAAGAGGGTCGTTGAAAATCTCTTCAATGACGCCTTCAAGCTCTTGCTCATCCTGCTCCCATTCTTCGTTGATCGGAAGCTGAGGCTTGGGCCGCTTGCCTTTGGCCCGGCCGCCAGATTCTTGGTCACCGATTTCTTCCTCTAATGCATCTCCAAATTCTTCGGCAAGACCCTCCAGGCCTTCAACTTCGTCTTCGTTTTCATTCTTTGAAGGGTTCAGATTGATGGTTCCTTGAGGAATCTGTGATGGCAAAGGCGGGATGATGAATCCATCAGCATCTCGGCGATAGTTGACTTCAGGCGCCTTGGATAGATCTGCTCCTCCTTCTACATGTCGCTTGAGTGGCGCATGTTCTGGTATAGGCTGTTCAGGATCTTCGCCCGTAATCCCGCGCTTGCGTTTTCGCGATTTTTCTTCCGCCTTCTTCCTGAATTCATCCGATTTTCGATAAAAGGAGGGAGGATCATGCGAACTCTCCAGGAAATCTTGTTTCAAAAAGTCCTCTACCGACATGCGACTTGATTCGGTGTTATTGAACTCTTGTAGTCGGTTCTGGATAGTGTGGTTTGTAACCTTGACGATGTAAACGACTTCCCGAATGGTTCGTCGAAAGTTGTGCATGCGTGCAGCCATGAGCAGACAGGCGCCGCAAATGCCAGAGGGCCGACGGCCCATGACCATCCAATCCCTACTCATTCGCTTGACCAGTCGAACTGCATCCTCGGCGACCTTGGCTGTGTCTTGGTGAAACTCCATCTTTGTGGCAAATCTCCAGATGAGATCTTCGGGGTATACGGGGATCAGTCCATCGGTTCCAATCGGCACCACTTCGTTCAGCTTCTTGAAGATTCGTCCCAGCTTGAACACATTGAGCTGGACCAAATCGGCCAGATCGATGAGCATAACTTTGCAAGGCGGCTCAGCACGGCAAGCAGCATAGAGGCACACGGCCGCAACACTGGCCAACGTGCGTCCCTGGATGAAGTTTGCGCTAGATGCAAGCTTGAAGACCTGCGTGCCTGCAGTGACAAGACTATCGCTGATGTTGAGCTGCTGGGCATAACCTTGCATGAGGCCTCGCGCCTCCCGGATGCTCTTCTCCCTGTCTTCGCTGCCACCCACTCTCCTAAAAGCAGGTCCCATGCCTCTAACACCAGCCTGGTCAGCACCGACAAAGGTTCCCTGCACCATGGCAGCACCGGACGACGTCTCGCCGAACTGCACTTCGGACACAATGTTGCTATCATCAGCGACACGACCACAAGTCTGGCAAGTTCCGTCGACGACATTGGGCTTCGGACAGGCCTTGTTGGCGCACTGCTGATGGGCCGGCGTGACGACGCCCGGCCTCTGTGTTGACGAAAGGCGTGCTGCTGCTTGGGCCGCATGACGGCGTTCTTCACGCTCGCGGAGGGCCCGGACGGGATTTGGTCTAGCAAAGCGAGGTTTTGAAGGGCCGCTGCCCAGGCCCAGGCCTGCTGGCCGTTTTGCCGGCGCTGGTGTGAGGAACGACATGGCGGCTACCGCTATGCTGCTGATAGCCGTGTCTGGATATAAAGCAATGTGTCGATGAGGTGATGGATGATGAGTCGCGACAAAAGTTGTAAGTGAGTAGTGAGTACCGATAAACAGAAAAAATTCCGGTCCACAACAGCAGAAGTTGCTCTTCTTCCCTCCTCCGCGCAAATCCGATTCTCAAAGGAACCTGTCTATCGTCTCGTTCGTTTCTCAAAGGTCATGAGCGCAAGCGATGCAAAGCAAATCCGAGGCCCCAAAAAAATATTGCTGCGTCGTGAATCCCGATGATGATAAAAATCCGTCTGTCGCGCTCTGGTGGGCAGAAGAAAATGAAGAAGAAAAAAAGTTGGGCGGGGCGCTGGCCCGAAACTGATTATGGCGGGATTAGAGTGGCCGAGTGGGGAAGAGGCACGAAAAAATGTGCAAGTTCGGTTTTGCCCAACAGAGCTTCCAGTCACGGCAGTGGCCTTGGGTTCGAGGCAGCCGCCGGTTCGAATCTCGAAGCCTCAAAGTTTTTTTTTCGAGATGGCAAAAGGTCGTGCACAATGTGATTCGGGATATGAGAGAGTACAATACAACAGCCTGCACGGTTTTTGTTGCGCAGAATCGCAGTCGAGGGCTCGTTGCAGAGTCCAAAGGCGAAATATTCTCAGCCCAAGGCAAAACTTTGACTCTTTGCTCAAGTTCTGTCGGTCCGACCGCTTAATTATCGGCTGAATCCGCATATAATCTGGTCGTCGCTGCGACTCCCATCTCGCGCCCTCCGTCCCGCATGCGTCACTGGATCTGCGGTTTTTGCCGGGTTGAGCATCCTCTTTGCTGTGGCTGTGTCCATGTAAGTACTCAAATAACAAGAACATTACCAAAAAGACGAAATTACAAAGTGGCGTCTGGATAGTTGGAAGGATTCCGTCCCCCGACATTCCCCGTCCAAATGTGATGCCTAACTCCATCTTCCCCCACCTTTGACATTTCCCCGATCGCTGAGCAACGAGGCCTTGCCCCGGAAGCTAAAAAACGATCTAAATGTTAAAAAGCGACAATGAGAGTTGCGGAGTATTTGTCAAGAAAATAGCAGTATAAGCCGGTGAAATAGTTCTCTGGCATCTGGCCTGATCTTACTACCTGTTACCCCGGTTTTAAGAGCTGTGGACACGGCACAGAGGGGCAGAGATGTGAGGCATCTCCATCAGCTCGTGTTATAAAAGCTCACAAACCATCCGTTCCTAGTCTCTCTCTCTACCCCTACACACCAAATCCTCTGTAACTCCAGCTTGCTCATCACTGTATCTCATATCATCAAATTCAACGTGACAACCATCACCATGGCCGATTCTACTTTTACCTTTTCTGCCCCAGCCGACACAGACGTCTGGAAGAAACCCCCTTCTCACGACGTCTTCACCGGTAACACTCTCCACCCGCATGTCCATAATACAAACACAACTAACCGAACCTCTCTCCGTCCAGCCCCCTACAAATCCCTCTCCAAAAACCCCTTCCCCCAGTTCAAATCCGCCTCCATCACCTTCACAGCAACCTACACCCACCAATTCGACCAAGCCGGCATCGTCCTCGTCTTCACCAAGCCCTCCCTCCCCCGCAAGTGGATCAAAGCCGGCGTCGAGCACTTCAACGGCCAGCCGCGCCTGTCCACCGTCTGCTGCGACAACTGGGCCGACTGGAGCGTCGCCAACGCCGCTTCCGCCGAGGAGATCCAGGCGGGAGGCAAGGCCGTGACCATTCTGGTCGAGAGGCTGGACGCTCATGATGGTTCGTGCTTGTGGGTGTATCGCGTCGATGGCGATGAAAAGGTTCCGATGAGAGAGATCAACTGGCCTTATGGAGATAATGGTGGCCAGGGCTGGGAGCTTGAGATTGGTGCTTTGATCGCGAGACCGGCCAAGGATACGACGGATAGCTTGGAGGCCAAGTTTCAAGATTTCCAAGTCAAGTGGGATTCTGCATAGATTGTATTGTCAGTCGTCTGCATGTGGCAAGTTTATACACACTGAGCGTGATTTCACAGCTTCTCAAATCAGAAACATGGACATTCACGTTGGCAAGGAACAAAGCATGTGAGGTGCGAAATTGTCTCATTAACCTCGACCCTGACGCGGAACTCATGTCAGGGAGGACCGCTAGCGACCCTGTAGAATATTTTCTCTTTTTTTTTGGCCCGCGTTGCGCCCCCAGGGCTGTGCAGCGTTTCTCATGTCTTCGTTAAAAAAGGGTAAAAAAAGAAAAGTTGGGAGCAAAAGCCAGAAGCACGCTCCGATTTCCAACCTTGTCCGAGATGTAACAATACTCGATCCGTAAAGCAAATGCCTTGTCCAGGTAATTGAAATCTTCCCATTTTATCCATTTCGTAAATTGTGTCCAAAGCCCAAATAGAAACCCGTAATGCCGAAGCGAACCAAGCAAAATCCCGTTCTGAAAAAGCCTCCCGGGGCTGTCAATTTTCCCCCATCTTTTCTCATGGTGCTGTAGATTTTATCAAAAAATCCCGAAAACTTGGCAAGAAAAACACCAAGGACGCGATCTAGCGCCGTAGAATGAAAGCAGAGTGGAGTACCGAGACTTGGAATAAAGCCAAGAACATGTATAAAACACACTCAATGCAAGCAGTCCGTATACAAAAAAAGATTGCGGCCCGTAGATGAAGCAATGATGAGACTCCCGTAAATTTGCACTCATCAGAACATCAGACAACCAAAAAGCGGTAAAAGAAGAAGAAAAGCAATGCAAAAGCAACCAAATGCCTGCCCGAGCTTATATCGATCCGATTTACCATGTTGAGTTTTTTTTTTTAATTTGTTTTTTTTTTTCATCCTCCGCTTTCCAACGGCTGTTGTATGTACTCAGCCCGTGCCGAAAAGCCAAAGTTGTTCTTTCAACGTCGTGCCCCCGTTTATACAGTCTTGGGCGAACGGTTATTAGTGACGTCGATGACGTCGTCCAAGTGGTTGCACATGGCAACGAACAAGTCGAAGAACAGCTTGCTGCCGCCGGCCTCCATCTCAGCTTGCATAGTGCCGCTGCGCTTGAACGTCTTGCGGCAGCGGATGATCAGAGCAAGGTAGTGCGCACGGAGGCGGCTGTCCGAATCAGGCGTGTTGGCATAAGCGTACTGGGCAGACCGCAGGATGGTGCCGACGTCGATGCCGGCATGCAGCCCTTGCTTGCGCAGCGCCAGACGCTTCAGCTCCTCGAGGCCGTACCTGTCGGCGGCACAGTAGATGACGGTGTCACGCAGGATCTCGGCCCCCACGCTGGAGAGATAGACGGCGGCATCGGAGCCCGTGCCGTTGTCAGGGGTTGGTGGTGGCTTCTGAGGAGTCCTCATGCGGTCCTCGAGCTCCCAGGAGTTACGGTGCCTGTTGTGGACCAGGCGTGGGTAGTAGTCTCCCTTGTAGAGATACTCGAGCACGGCCGAGAAGATCTCGGGCTCCTCATCAGGAAGGGAGATTCTCTTGTTCATGGCATCAGACGAGTCCTTGCTGCAGGCCGCCTCGAAAAAGCGCGACTGGCTGAGGACATCCTCGTGTGCCGCAAACAGACGTCCCTCGCGGCCAATGGTAAGGGTGACAATGGGCGAGGGCGTGATGTTGATGGGTTGAGCAGGTGCCGCTTCGTGCTCTATGATGGAGCTCTGCAGCTTAGACACCTTTGCCTTGACATGCTCCTTGGCGGAGCTCGGCTTCTTTAGTCTTTGAGCCTTGTCCACGCGGTTCTGGTTCTGGTTCAGGTTCAGGTGTTGATCCTGAGACCGGAATGCGCGCTTGAACATCTTGGCGGGTATAAACTTGACCTGACTAAAGAAGGAGGTGTCTTTGTGGGAGGTGTATTGGCTATGCATAAGACGCTTTGACTCTCACAGTCTGCAGAAGACTGGCATATAGATTGACGTAAGAGAGCGACGAATAAAGGAATGAGCGGAGGGATTTCCCAGGATGAATGTTGTGAATGACGAATGAATGAATGAATGAGTGACGCACAATGAAGGGAAAAAAGATTGTCGGGGTCCGGGCGCGAGACGACCACCTTCTTATAACCAAGAAAGTGACCCTTTCGCGAGAGCTTTGCGACCCTATTTGGCTTGCGTGTGGGGGAGGAGAAGAAGAAGCAGAATAGCAGCGGACGGGACGGGCACGGCTCCACCTTTTGTACCTCTGATGGCCGCCGCCAGGTACCGATTGACCGTGAATCTCGCAGCCGGAATTGCTGTCTCAGCCACGGCGGCAGCCAGCGTCAGGACAGGTACCCAGTACTTGGGCGGCCGAGGCAAAGCTACCGCCGCGCGGGTTGCCGCCACCTCCAGGGCGGGGGATGGGGGGCGTGTGCTGGTGCTGTGCTGTGCTGTGCTGTGCCATGCAGGACGACATCATCCAATTGGCAGGGCTGGGCAGATGACTGGACGAGTCTACCTATCTATCGCCCCTCACGGATGAATACAGTACTAGATACCTACTGTACAGTACTCGTTACAGCAGAGGAGGGATGGGAGAGATAAGTGCAGTGCTGCTCGCCACCAATCGGGGATCCGGAGCAGCTGAATAACACGGCGAGCCAAATCAGTGGGAAACAAGTGTTCGAGTCGTGAACAAGAGCACGCCCGACCTGAGCCACCGAATCAGGAAATGTCTCTCTCTCTCTTTTCACTCATACAGTACCGTACCTAGACAGACAAGGCATTACAACATCATGTTGAGATTAAACAGGTCACATTACTTTACACTGGGGGGACTCGGTGATTTGTTGCCCCGAGTCACTCCTCTTTCTCCTTACTTTTCCATCCATTGTCATCGTTACACACTGTCCCCTACGGCCTCATCCTCACAAAAAAGAGAAGAGTCATCCACTTACAGAGCCCAAATATAGCCAAATAGCAACTCGCCCTCCCATCGAAGCGACCCACACTTCCTACAGCAGCCATCAGGTTGTTTAACTTCTTCCGTAGTATAGTGGTCAGTATGCAAGCTTGTCACGCTTGAGACCCGGGTTCAATTCCCGGCGGGAGAGAAGAAACCGCCAGCTTCGAAATTCTTTTTTTTCCTACTTTACTTCTCACAAAAATAGAGTCCATCCCTTTCCCTCCCATTATTTTTTTACAAACATCAATCACTTCCCCTCCTTGATTTGGAAATACCACGCGCTTCATTGGGCGGGCGTCTTGCTGGTACCTCTACCACGTGGTCCCGCCAAACCCCTCTTCCAAAGCCGTAGAGACAAAGTACCTGTGACGTGTTCCATGGAGGGGTTCGATTTGGCGGCCTCGACTTCTCATCGCCTCACCCTCACCCTCACCCTCACCCTCACCCTGAATCGCCCATGGCAGCGTTTCGTTCCCCTGCGATCCAAACGATCCAAACGCCAGCTGCCACGCATCCACCCATCTTGACGTGACCAAACAGATGACCAGGCGCGAATGGGCGTGTCGACGTGTACAGAACCGCCCATCTGCACCGCCTGTTTCAACTGACATCTCCTGCTCTTAGGGGAGAACCCATGCAAGCGGCATATCATGTCAGCAGCAGAAGGTTGTGGATTGGTTCTAGTCAGGAACGCAAGCACTTCTAAAATTGGTTCTAGGTTAAAGAGAATACTCTAGAGCTGCTCTCCCCACACTGACAGCTCATCAATGAGGCTTTTTCATAGGGCGAAACCACTGCCGCCGACCATCGGTCAGGACCCTGGATGTGTCACACTACCACAAGATGCCTCCGATTCCTCCAGATCCAGGGAGTCACCATCATTACCCCTCCATTTAGTACAGCATCATCATTACCCTTCCATCGACTCTCGCATCTAGGCCCCGAGAGGGGCTTCTTGAATGATGACGTGGGGTCGAACGAGCGACTCTCGCACGCCAACGAAGCCCTGCATGAAGATGAACACTGCAACCATTGTCAGTCGTCTCAACACAAGGACGGCAGATATAGGGCCTTACTAATTGGAGCCAGGAGGACGAAGCCGATGGCGTATGCCGTCACCGCTTCTTGGGAGCCGGCCTCTGCTGGATCAAGCCAGAAGAAGGGGTATATGCCAGTCGCGGCGTGTCCAATGTAGGCCCAGCCGAGGTAGAGGCCGGCAAAGACGACGAGGGCGAAGAGGTAGGCACTGATTGTCTAGCGGCACGTCAGTCTGGCATTTGGTAGCGGTGACTCGCATTGTCCAACTCACCGAGGGGCGTCTGATGCTGTTGAGGAAGAGTATCTCAAACACCAGGATGATTGACGTGATCCCGAACAGGTTGACAACGGCAAAGGCCTTGAGCCACCCTTCGCCAAAAATATCGCTGACTGGAAAGTCATGTTAGCAGGGCCTTCTACCAAAGCCATGAGAAGATATCCCTACATGGCGTGTTGGGAGCGAGTGCTGCGAGAAACCCATTTCCGTCACCGTCACCGTCACCGTTACCGCCACCACTCCCATTATCGTCATCCCCAGTGCCGCCGCCGTCGTTGTTCTCCAAGTCGTACGGTCGCGTAATGAACCAGTAAATTACCGTGTTCATAAACGAAAAGACGACCGTAGTAATGTAAAACAGAGTAAAGTAAAACTGCTGGCGCAGGCTAGCCAGGTTTCTGGGCAGAGACATGAGGCTCACAAGCCATGATTCAACGCCCCCATCGATTTCCTCAGGATCCGGATAGTACAAGTGGGTGAAGGTCCACGACTGCAATCACAAACCCACGTTAGACATTCGTGACAACTCGACGAGGCTGTGCGTTTGACCTACAAACGTGATGATATAGTACAAGAGAACCAAGGCGCCGCTGATGATGGCAAAGTCAAAGAAGAGGCGCGCATTTGTTTCACCCGGCGCGGCGTCTGTAGTTTCGTAGTTCAAAACCAAGATGGAGGCGGCGACGAGATATGCGAGAATGAGGCCACGGAAGAAGACGAGCACGTTTTGCGGTATGAAGCACCACGGAGAATGGCTGGCGCGGAGGAAAACGGGCTGTTCACGGTGACTCTTTAGTAGGGAACCAACAGCAATGGACGGACGCTGCGCTGTAGAAACAGACTGCGTGTACTCACGTGGTCTTGTAGAAGGGCTTGGCCTGAGAGGCCGTTGTTGCCAACGAGTAGAGGCGTGGAATCCATTGATTTGCTGAAATAGTATAACAGCCAAAGTGGAAGATGAGTATAACAAAGTACTGCCGTAATAATACTTCAGAGATTAAGCTCCGTTCTAGTCAAGTCGTGGAGCTGAGGAGGTGGATATGAGGAGACTGTATGCGATAGGTTAGAGTCACAGCGGCGTGACAAGAGAGAGATGATGAATATTGTTGCGAGAAATGTTGCAAAATCGTGTCCATCCGGGGTAAACATGGCAGTCCGTGTAAACAACAGTTCGTGACTGGGGAAAGAGAGCTGCAATAGTTGGCGTGGAAGGTTCGAGGGCACCGATGTCTTCAAGCAGCCATTGGAAGGGAAAGTGAAATGAAGCCTCACTTCTTCACATTGTTTTTAATATTGTATTTGGTTTCCTTGTTTTACAATTGTTACCTGTTATACACTCAGCAATGCCGTAACTGGTTGTCCCAGACGTTCCGCAGTAGGTCGTTTCCATTCCCTTCAGTCGCTCCTCTTCTGCGAACTTGCCGCGCCCTCCTTCTGCATGCCCTCACACCCAGTCAACTTTCCAGCCCACTGCTCGGCCTTTCCATAACCCTGGTTTGGATCCCTCTTTTCACCAGCCTTTTTCAGGGCTTCGAGAGCAGCAGCTTTGTCCTGCGCGCCTGATGCCGACCAGGCTTGCGAGCCGCTAATACTGCCAATGGTTGCCTATAAGAGAGAAAATCGTGATTAGCAAATGATGATGTAGGTGGGAGCGCGAACATAGAAGAGCTTTGCAATGATCGAATCCATACCTCTCCGACGCCCTTGATATACTGCGCATGGGCACCCATCAGGCCTGCTTCTCCCTGCTGCTGCTGGTTGGTGTTGTTGTTGTTGTTGTTGCCGCCTTCCATGATTGCAATTGTGGTATCTGTCTGGCTCTAGGGTATGTAATTGGATTGGTATGATGCGGCTTTGGATGGCGATGAAATTTGGTTCAATTCTCAGTTTCACTGTTGAAGACGGTATCTTTGTAGTGCTCGGAGCAACTGGAAGAACCAAAGACGTCTGTCCTCGATTTATACTAGCCGTCGTAGCTTTTAGATTACAAGCGATGACATACAAGCTTTCGATGGCTTCCTTGTCAATGACATCAGATTGGCTCCCCGCAGATCGAATTGACAACTCAAGCTTGGACCCCGAAGCCTCCAAAATACAGCACAAAGGTACGTACCGATCAGCATCCAAGCATCGGTGGGACCCACGACCCGGGACGGCACCTGATTGGCTCGGGAGCTTCCAAAGAGCCACCATGTCCAGATCGTTGCCCGTTGATGGATTTGGGTCCCAATGCATTGTCATCAGACCACGACATAAATAAACATCCAGCTTGTCCACAACTTATATTTCAGCCATTCCTCCTCCCAGCTCGAACTCGACACTCTGAATCACTGCAATACGAGAGGCCACAATGTTTGCAGGTCTCCAGAACCCGCGCAATTTCGCCGCCCAGCTCATGAACTTTGGGCTGGTGCTGTCCACGGCATTCATGGTGCGTTGCTGCTGCTGTGATGCGTCGCGGATGCCTCCTGATATGCCTTCTGGTATGGGGGATGGATCTAAACTAACTGCTTGGATAATAGATGTGGAAAGGCCTCTCCATCGTCTCTGATTCTCCCTCTCCCATCGTCGTCGTTCTCAGTGGCAGCATGGAGCCGGCCTTCCAACGAGGCGACCTGCTCTTGCTCTGGAACCGCGAACTGATTAGCGAAACTTCGGTCGGCGAGATTGTTGTCTACAACGTAAAGGACAAGGATATTCCCATTGTCCATCGAGTCGTGCGGAAATTCGGCCATGGGTAGGTAAAGCCTTGCCATCGACATTGCTATGTGTACTAACACCTCTACTAGCGACAAGGCAAAGTTTCTTACAAAGGGAGACAACAACGTGGCGGACGACACTGAACTCTTTGCCAAGGGCCAGGATTACCTGGAGCGCACCGACATCATCGGCAGCGTGATTGCATATATACCTTTTGTCGGCTATGTCACCATCCTGCTGTCGGAATACCCATGGTTGAAGACGGTAATGCTGGGCATAATGGGCCTCATGGTGGTGTTACAACGGGAATAAAGCATGATGCCAAGTATATGGCGTTTAAAGAAATGTTGGACTGCTATAAGATGCAAAGGATAACCGGTATGCCAGCCATTCTCGATATTCTTGTGACGGGTGCTAAATATCTCCCAGGCAGCTCCGGATCCAAAGTGGCATATGAATAAAGTGATGTATTTTGAGGCTATGCTTTGATGGTCCGGCAATGGGGAATGTCGGCTCGAACGACAAACCCATTTTCCAGGTTCTTGAGACGCTCCTTCATGTCCCAACGAGGCTTGGGGCCTAAAAGAGCGTCTCGAGACCCTTGAAAATGGATTTGGTATTCGAACTGGCGCTTCCCATTGCCCTGCCCCGTTGCACAGACTCCAGATTCGAGGCTGACATGCGACGGGGAGGAGATTTGCTCACCTGGGCAGTGTTTTGCCTTGAGCCATGGAGGCTGATGACACTGGCTTGTTCTTGTTTTTACTCCCAAGGCAGAGAGACTCCATAATTGCTGGATGCCGCCTCGTTAGCCGCACAGCTGGACAGACTAGAAGCATATTAGCTGCGGTTAATACGAGTAGCAGCGCTTGGCCGGCCAAAGGAGTCGCATCATGGATGTGGATCCTCCTCGCCACCATGTATCGTGCATTTTTTTTTCCACATGGGGGGGCCTTGGCCCAATTTCCCCATTGCCCATGCCATGCCGTGCCGCTGCATTTAATAGCGCCGGCCCTCTCTTTGGATGGTGATTGATTTCTGTTTCCTCCCGTAGTCATTCGCTTTGTTGTTCGTTTTCGCAGCGCAAATCTCGCAGCCCAAGTCTGGGACATACACTCGCTTTTGTAACGCTTTTGGTTACAGCCCGTCGTTTCGTTTTACACGCCCTTCGTTTCACTGCGCTTTTACTCGAATAGTTGATTTTGCCCGTCCGAGGAGATTTGCGTCGCTTCTATACACCAACTCGCACTTTGTTCTTCTTCCATTTCGTCGCTCTTTGCCAGCTTATCACCTAATTCTGTCGCCAACCCCGAGATATTAATCGCCATGGCTTCTCAAGAGACTCCCCAAGTCACCGAAAAGACGGCCCAAAACACTCCAGCTCCTGTTGCAGTGCCCGCCCCGACACATGCTCTTCCTCAGGAGCTGGCTGCCGCTGGATACCAGCCATATTACCAACCCTACCCAGGCCAGCAACCCGTGTTACCACTTCCAGAGGAGACGAGGACGGCGGCGTTTACGAGAGTGGGATTCCATGCTGCTGGCGTTCTTCTAGGCGCCATCGGCTTGGGCCTTTCGTTGGCTTCCCTGCAGAATGGCAACATCAGCGCTGCTATTGCTGCAGCCCCTTCTGTATGCTTATCCCCTTTATTTCACAACTTGCATGAGCAACCCTGACTTACACGCTACAGGCCGGTATTGCCATGCTATGGAGCCTTGCAGAAGTGATTACGAGGGCTGTTCGGAAATTCAAAAAGGGTATTCACCCTGGTGCTCACGTTGGCGTGTGCCTCATCATCTGGATGCTTTCCAGCATCATGGGCGGCATTCTCAGCACATACGTCGCCCTGAACCCCTACCGGGATGAGGAAGAAGACTGCGGCACTTATACCTATTCAGACAGCAACGGGAACCTGCACAGAGTGAGTGGCAGTTGTGATCCATACAGAGATACCTATCCCCGTGGCAAGGTCCTCGGCGCTGCCGTCATCACTTGCCTCATCTTTGGGCTGTACTTTGGCTTCTTCATCGACGCCTGCATCAACACCCACCGACGCAACGTCGCCGCCAGACGCCCCATCATGATGATTGCACAGCCGCAAAACTGGCCTGCCGCCACTCAGGGATGGCAACCGATGCAGAACGATGCTTCTACCGAGGCCGTCCAGATGCAGCCTCCTGCCGCTACTCAGGGGCCGCCCGCGATCAGGGAGTTTTACGCTCCGGCTTGAAGGGAAGAGGAGCTAGTTTGAGCAGCGAGACAAGAGATGGAAACGTCATGTGTTTGGGCTTTTTGTTTTTTTCGGGCTTATTGGCGATATGATTCTACGAAGAGCGTTGGCCTTGGCTGGCCGCAACTTTGACTACCTACGTATAACTCTCTAATGATACTGAATACGATACCTTGGCAACCAGCCTGAAACTGAAATGAGTCTTCAACTCTGACTCTTTTCTTTATCTACTACTTTAATGCTTCTCTTCAGCCCGATGGGGCCTCGCTGCCTATTCCCTGGGACAACCCTTGCAAACCGACTCCATCCAGACCCTCCCTTCAGACCATGGACAAGATTAAGCTACCCCTGGCTCCTTTCCAGAACAGGAAACGGCCGAATCAGCCCATCTGGACTTTAACCAGCCAATAGGCACTCAAGAAGCGCCGCTCGCACCAATCATGTTTGAGCGTACTACGACAACTTGCGTATATACAGGGGTTCTTGTCTGGTTCGTCTTACACAAGATGTTACCATTACCGCATGAACGGCGTGCAGTGTGTTCTAGCTAAAACTACTTTACACGCACCGGCAGTTAGTGTGCCCAGTTTTTCGTTCGCTCTTTGTGTTTTTAGCGAGATGCCGGTTTGGTTTTTTGGAAGGGCTGAAGTGTGTGGCCTAGTGAGGAAGCTCGCAGACGAGGAGTCGACCTAATGTATGTCGTGAGACGGAGTTGTCGTCTTTTCCTCTTTCCTTTCTTCTCTTTATGCCACGGTGAGGGCTTTTGCGTGGTGTTTTTTTTTGTTCTTCGCGCTTTTCGCCTTTTTGAGGGTATAGACGTTTGTTTGTGTATATTGGTTGAGAAGGGGTTTTTTTGGGTTGCTTTGTCGCGCGTGTGTCGACGCATTCGCACGTTTTGAACCTCGAACCTCGATTGTTCCGCCTTTTCGAATCGGGACAATAGTAACCTTTGGACAAATCTCTTTGCGACAACATCTTCGAAATACCCTCGCCTCCTTGTTCTTCTCCAATTGTCGCGTATAATGTCTTCTTCCTCTCAACAACCTCCTCCCCCAGAGGCGCAACACCAGGAATCGCAGCAGACGGTCCCTCCTCCCGCTGTGTCTCCCGTCGCGATGCAACAGCAACAGCAACAGCCGGGTTTCCAGCCGTACGTCTACGCCGCGACAAACCCACCTGTAGTGTCGTACGTTCCCTATCCAGGACCGCAGCCGACCTGGGACGACCTGGAGCCTGTCCTGGCGAAACCCTGGGAAATCACAAAGACTGTGTTGCATGTCTTGTCTGTCCTTCTCGCGGCGACAGGGATTGGGTTGGGCTTTAGCAGTCTCAACTTCACTTACTTTGCTTACACCGTCGTCATATCCGCCGCTCCTCCTGTAAGCCCTCTCTTTCAAAAAACCCGCGTAACAAACCAAAAAAGAAACTAACCTCCTCTTTCACAAAACAAAAAAATAGTGCATCATCGCTGTCCTCTGGAGTCTCGTCGAGCTCATCGTCCGCGCCGCCCGCAAGTTCCAAAAAGACGGCATCCATCCCGGCGCCCACATCGCCCTCTCCCTCATCATCTTCCTCGTCGCCACCGTCCTCACGTCCCTCTTCGGCCCCTGGTTCCAAGACTCCTGGGGCGTCGACTTCAGCACGCAGAACTGCGGCGACCAATGGAACTCTACTCTGCATACGACTGTCTGGTCATGCACCGACACTGACGACGACGCCGCCGAGTACATGTTTCGGCATGAGAGGAGCGTTTCTATTGCGGTGGCTGTTGTCACGTATCTCCTTGCCGCGATCCATTTTTCGTTGTTTGTGGGCGCTTGCGTGGATACGTCGAGGGTGAATTCTGCTGCTTCGCGGCCGATTTATGTGATTGCGCAGCCGCAGATGATGCAGCAGGGATGGCAGCCGATTCCGCAGATTCCCATCCAGCCTCCGCCTCCGGTTCAGCAGCCTGTAAGTCGGGATGTGGCTCCTACAGAGGGCGAGAGTAGGAATAAGCGCAAGGATAAGGGGAAGGGGAAGGGGCCTGCTCTGAATAACATTGAGGAGCAAAACGAGGCTGGTGGTTCGCAATCGTGAGTTGGGGGAATGATGTCGGTGGAAGAGTGATTTCTTTTTTGGAGAATTTAGTAGTAAGGCGTTGGTTGTGATTACCTATCATGTTTGATATACCCCAAAGTTAATGAGGCACAAGTCGTTTCTTTACGGAAGCACATTGTTTTGTTTTATTTTGTTTTATTCACAATATAGAAGTGATGTTTATCTACATTACCCAACTGGGCGAGTTTCAGCCCATTTACCACTTCTGACTATCTATTGATCACTCGGTCTGTCAAAAAGCGTCATGAAAACAGAAGGGCATTTCTAGGACATCCGAGCGAGACCGAGTGCCGCGCTGTCGGCACAACTGGATTTGCGAATGCCACCAAAGTCTATGCTTCAATAAGCTACTTGATTAATTCTAGGTGGATCGTATAAGCATTTGAACCGGGTGGTTGCCATTGCCTGGCTAGATTACCTTGAAAAAGTTGTAAGCAGTTAATAATGCGACAGGCTGTTGGCAGTTCCAAGTGTCGGAAAATGGACATCGAATTAGAAAACCTGCATAAAGTTAGCAAGTGTTTATAAGGTCAAACAATATATATGAAGAAGACAATCACGGTCTGTTTAGTAGTGAAGAATATATAAAGTCAATGTAGCAATATCAGACAGTGCTTTTTATTCTACAACCACGTTTAACTAATCACCATGTCTATTAAATACGCCAAAGATCAGCCTGTAAGCTTTACTAATTATATTCAAAATGTTGCCGTCATCGGGGTAAGTCCTACAGTACTCTCGCTCTTCATGTTACTACAATTCCACCAACTAAATGCCCAGGCTGGAACCTATCACCACAGAGCTCCTCGAAACCGGAAAACACAACGTCACTGCTATTACTCGCTTCAATAGCAACAGTGACCTTCCTACAGGCGTCGCCATCATCCGCGTCAACTACGACAATGAGCAAACCCTCATCGACGCGCTCAAAGGCCAATAATTCCTCTTCATCACTCTCGCTGCAACAGCCCCTAGAGACACACAAGCAAAAATCACCACTGCAGCAGCCAAAGCCGGCGTATCGTGGGTTATGCCAAACTCATCCGCCCCCGATTTCACTAATAAAGCATTGATGATGGACATCATGATCGGTCCTACTGCTGAAGCTAATGTTGCCAATGTAGAACAAGCCGGCGTGTCTTGGATTTACATGACTTACAACTTTTAATATAAGTTTTCTCTCTCCATCGGTAGCCCAAGGTGTGGCTTTGATATCTTGGATAAAAAAAATTACGTTTTATGATAGCGGTAACACGCGGATGAACATGTCAACCTGGGAACAATGCGGCAGGGCTGCAGCACCCCTCCTCAGTCTAAAAGAACTACTGGACGACGAAACGTATCAGTCGCCAACAACCTCCCAGTGGCGCAATAAGGTCCTGTACATCTCTAGTTTCCTAACCTCTTAAACATATATACTCAATAGTTTACACCGGGTAATGGGCACAACCGATGACGACTGGCGGATTAACTACAAGCCAACGGATACTCACTATAAGCAAGGTCTGCAAATCCTCCGGTCCGGTAACATCGAGGGCTTCGGCATGGCCATGTTTGCACGTACACATTTCCCTAATGGCGATGGCAACTGCGAGGCTAAATATGGCTTGGCTGATAAAGCACTTGGGCTGCCAGAGGAGAATTTCCGTGAAGCTACTAAGCTTGCCGTTGAGATGACTGAGGCGGGATTTGGGGAGAGTTGGAAAGAGATAAACGGAGGTGCTGCTAAGTAAATGGAATTTAGAATAGCTTCCAAGAAACAAGACTCTTCATTTATTACTGGTTTTACATGATTAGTAACGTCGAATAGATTCCTCTGGAAACCACAAAACCAAGCTTCAACTCAGATCCTTTCTTTCAGCCATCTGGCTGCGAGGGTTCTGACGCAATTAACCAACAGAGAACCATACAACGTTTATGCAGTACAAGTCTTCCATATATAAAAACACATCATAGATACTAGTGATTAATACAATAATGTCCTGCAAGACCTTGATGAAACAGGAATACCATGTCCATGCTATCAATCCATACAACTAAATCAACAATTAAAAATTCCATATGAAAATAACAAACACCCTATAAAAACCCTCCATCGCCAAATTCCTGAATCACGGGTATCCCATCCCATCCCATCCCCCCAAAGCCCACACGTCTCTCCCTTTTAATATCTTATCTAGGTCGTTGCATCGTCATTTTTCCAATTACACTGCAATATGTAAAAAGAAGGCAGTTGTCTTCAAAAAAAGTCATGTCCAGAACAAAGTATGAACAGCAGGAAAACAAACGCCTGCAAAATTGCTCCCAAATTTACACCTCATCCGGATCATCCCAGCGTCTAGCTACCAATCTGCGCACCTTCTTGGGACTTCTAGGCCCGTTGGCGCCGCCCACGTCGCTGCTAATCTTGATGCGCTCAAACTTGCGGCTGATGCTCGTCACGCTGTCATGCTTGGGCGTGCCGCTGCCGCTGGGAAGGACAAAGTCCTCGCGCTCCTCCAGGGGCTTCCGCTTGCTGGGGCTGCGGTTGGAAAGCTCCCTCTTGAGGATCATGTTTTCGCGTCGCAGCCGCTCGACTTCTTGGGTAAGGTTCTCGACTAGGACGTTTTCCTTGTCAAAGTCTTCCTCAAAGCCCGTGTCCAGACCGCGCTCCAAGATGTCCACCTTGCGATCCCAGTGCTCTTCGTGCCGCTCCTTTTCAATCTGCATGGATGCTTTGAAGCGAGCCAGTTCGATAGCAAGACGCTGCTCGAACTCAAGCGCGCACTCCTCTCGAACGGCGGCCTCCATGTCGATCATGCGATCCTCCGTACTAAGGAGGTGAGCCTCGGCCGCAATACGGGCCTCACTCTGCACTTCGATTTCGTCACGGAGTTGCTCGATTTCCTCGCTCATCCTGGCAATCTCCAACGCGGCAATCTCCATGGTCACTCTCTCGTCGGTGGCTTTAATGGGCGAAAAGTGGCTTCTCGTAGACCCAAAGCCGGCATTGCCAAACGGCCTGGTGTGATGGGTGGAATGCGAGGGACTTGGTGCGAGCGAATTGGCCGTAAATGATGGCGCACGAGGAACAGTGACTTCTCGAGCAAGAGCGCTGTAGCGAAGGATCTGGGATGTTGCGTTGAAGTCGCCCAGAGGATCCGCCGTGACAATCATGACACCTCGCTGGGGGTTTCGGCGCGGAGTGTGAGAGTATGATCCTGCCGCGGACGGGAATGAGTTGGAGAAGAGGATCTCGGTGAGCTTGCATTGTCTGTAAGGAACAACATTGGCCTGCCGCAGAGTTAGGGATGATTCCTGTTTTGGTTTCGGCTGTAGATGGATCAACTTACCCTGCCAGCGCTGACCTCGCTCTGGCTCTGGAGACACTGGCCAAGGTACATGAGGCTCTCGTTGATCTTTCCCGCCTCTGCCAACGTCGCGCCTTGAGTCTTTGCATCCTTGGCCCTCTCGCTACCCGCGAGGTCGACAATGGTAAGCTTGCTTCCGCTCCACGAGTTGTTCTTCCAACCAAATGACCTCTTCTTGACTTCGAAGCAGAAGAAGCCGTGGCTCCTGCTCGAGACGCTGTTGCTCCCCGTACCAGCCACTCGCCTCTCCTGCAGGCCTGCCTCGAGCACCAAGAGGGCTTCTCGAACATCGGTGCAGACTACCTTGCGAAGGCCGGCAACTACCTTGCGATCAGGGGACAGCTCGGTAGGTTTAAACAAAAGGGGTCGGCGGTAGTCTTTGTTGGAGGCGGATTTGGCGGAGGGGGTGAGGAGGTCGTAGATGCGGTCGTTGTGAACCTCGTACATGGATACAACGACGGCGTACTCGGCGGCGGCATCGCAGGACACTGCAAAGTCGCCAACGTCCGGAGAATAGGGAAGCGAGTTGAGCAGGGTCGAGTTTCGGCGCAGGGTTCGTCGTTGACTCGAGTACATGGTGCTTTCGCCCTTTATGTTCTGTTTAGCTGTTGTCTTGAGGCGACTGGCGGCGGTTAACGACATGAATGGCCGCTCCAATGCCCGCTTGGGCGACGGAATTCTGGCCGCCGTGTTGGATCTGCTTATTCCCAGAGACGGTTGCGCCGAGCAACTCTATTGCCCTTTGCTATGCAGCGTCTCCCCAACTTCGCTGACAGGCCTGACACTTTTCGGGCTTGACACTGCTGAGTCGGGAAAGGAGCCAGGCATTTGCTGCACTCTTCGCGGAACTTTACTGGGAGTGGACGTCTTGATAGACGAGAGGGTTGACTGGGTTCGTACCATCATGGGCGTGGTTGATCTTGAGCCGGAACCACGGTATGTCCCTTGGGGTACATCCCCATTCATGTTATCGAGAAAGTAGGTTGCCGTGACGAGGGTAGATTCGGAGGCATCGCAGGCTTGGAGCGAGTCGAGAGTTGGCGACTGGGCGGATTCGACCATGTTGTCGTTGATGGATCGGAAGAGGACGTCCACGGCCAGCTGAGTGAGGCCTCGCTGGTTACGGCTGCCAAGGATCGTATGCGTCTGCCGCCAGGTTAGATGGACAAGGCCGCACAGCATAGCGTTTGCATCTCCCGCCGCCGTCTGCGTACCTTGCCTGAGCCCGTGACACCAAGCGTGGCCACGACAGCATCTGTCCCATCGCCACCGTTGGGGGCCAGCACGCCCTCGATCAGCGACGAAGCATTCGTGCAGTGGAAGACGTCGAGCTGGCTGGCGTCCTCCTCAAACACCTGCGTGAAGCCAAACCGCTCGACGGCCCTTCGTCGATCCGGTGGTGGGTTGAGAGTGATGTGGGACGGATGCAGGTTGTCTGCCGCGGCTTCGACGTCAAGGATGCGCTCGGTTTGCAGCGCTCCTGGATACGGGGGTCGCAGTCGGAGATAGACGTCGAAGAGGTTTTGGGATTTGGGCGCGAGCTCCATGGCGATGTGTGACGGCAGATGCAGCCGGATCCCTAACTGAGAAGGAAAAGCAAAGAAGAAGAGAACAAACACAAAAAGATACTGGAGGCGCTGGATGCTGGGATGCTGGTTCGACGTGATGCATTCCCAGGGGCCGGGATTATTCTTGTATGCGCTGCTCCACTGTTTATCCTGTCAACGGCTTTTAGGGGATTCTGCTGGCCCGGCAACGCCCAAGCAAGCGCGAGCCCCAGCAGCCACTTACAGCACTTACAGCACCTACAGCACCTACAGACAGTAGACGCGCGGGTGAGGCGTCCATCCACTCTGCTGCCGGACTTTAGCCTCTATCCTTGCTGTCAGTCACCAGCCTCAAAAGTCAAAGCCCCAAACGTCAAGCCTCACATTTCAAGCCTCATCAAGCCTCAGGCCTCAAGTCCCTTGTACCTTTTCTCGGCCCCGAAGCGGCGCAGCAGGACAGGCAACTGAGGGCGGCCCCATCTGGCAGCCTGATCCACCCCCTCATTTCGCAATCTAGGACTTTCATCCTCACTCCCTCACTCACGCATGTGTATTGCTGTGAACACAGTCTCTGCCATTCACTGCATCTCACTTCACTTCACTCCTCATCATTTCATCGACACGACAGAACATGCTGGAATCTCCTTCTCCTCGACCATTATCAAATGCCTCATTCCTTCTCTTCACATCTCCCGAAACAATATCGGATCCTCCACAGGGCGCGCGACATTGTCCAGTCGGCTTGTCGCCCATGATGCTCGTCATTAGGCAGACTCAGCAGCGGCTGGCTTGGATTGGATAACGGTGCCTAGCGTTTGAGGAACCATGTCCTTTCAAGACACCTGACCACCAAAGTTGGCGGGCTGCAGCTCATCTCGAGCCTTTCCGTGCTTTTCGCCACTCTTCTACTTCAGCAAAGGGCGATAAGAGATGTCTTCATTACTATTACTCAAGTTTGAAAATGGTTACAGTTACAGGTCGCTGCGCCAAACACAAAGATTCCCTCGGTCACGTCACTCAACAAAAACGCCATACGCCATATGCCATTGCCCACTATCGTCATTCACGGATTGCCTTCTCGCCCACCTTTTTTTCCTTCTCTCCTTCTCAGGTCGATTCTGTCGCCTGTCTAGGTACTAGTTGAACCTCATTCGCTCAATGTATGCCATTGCGTACTCCACTATCGATAGTCAGTATGCACCACTCAAGTGATGGGATCGACCCCCCCGAAGTGGCTTACATTGAGTGTCCATCTTCTCATGTCCTGCCATATGCCACGTTTCATTGATTCTGCCCTCCTCTTCAATGCAACAAGGACAGAATTCAAAGTGCGTTGGCATGGGCGAGAGCTCGGGCATCGGCAACAGCCGATCCCGTGGTGTGCTGGGAGCATTGGATCTGTTTGATCTCCTGCTCTGAACAATCTCTTCGTTGTCGTAGGGGTTTTCAGCAAAAAGGTCTTGCTGTGGCACGACGATTGGATCGCACCAAGCGCCAAAACCCCGGAGATCGCGGCTTCTCTCTGCTCTGGCGGCAGTGGAGAAAGACTCGACTTGGCCACGACGATACCGATGAGACTCATCTGGAGGAGGAGAGGGGAGATGGTGTTTTCTGGACTTTCTGGACTCCCTAGCCGAATCCTGGCTTCTTACACCCCTTGAGGATACTGATGGCTGAACTAGGACAGAATCGAGTTCACGTGACGAACGATGTGACGAGGAGTGATGACCAACGGCTTCATACTCTTCAGAGTACCGATGATGCTTCGTTGAATGGCCTGAGCGGTAATCTCTGTGGTTCTTGTGCGGCACGAGATCTTCAAAGGCGGCGTTGTGGATTCGAGGCTCCATTTTGCCTTGCCGGGTCCTTCTGGTGTCGGCCCTGTGGTAGTCGAGACTCATGACACGGTCCCCAGGGGGACTCAGCGACATCATGTCCATGTTGATGGAGCTCATGGTTCTCTCAATGATGCAGGATGTGATACTGGCAGCTTCTTTGAGTTGGTCCTATCCTTGGTTGCATCGACTGGCAGTGGTAGGTAGGGGGGAGGCGACGGCGAGGTGTTGGACGACAGCTAACAGGGGGATGATGTATAGGGGGATGCAACAGCAAGACTCTGTGAGATGAACCTCTGAATGATGTTTTGCTCTTGTTTTCTGTTCAAGTTTGAGTTGTCGGGTGTGAAGAGGGGAGAGTAATGGGGAGGAGGGTAGTCGGGAGGGGACGGCTTTTATACCCTGGGACTGCCCGAGGAGGACCCCGAGGAGGCCCCCTCGCTGTCAGCCAATGAGGGCTCTCTACCTGACACTACCTCCCCCGACCTACCTCATCCTCCTGACAACTTTGCACATGCTACCCTTTGTCATCACCATCATTAACCCGCATCAACTCCCCAGACACGCTGGCATTGCATTATTTGGACTATCCTCGTCGTCGGCCATCACATCCCCCAAGATGCCTACACGCATACACACACACACACACTTACATGACACTCTCATGGGCAACTGACCGTCACTGGCATCAAGACTCGGTTCATCAAGGATGAAGATGCCAAGAAAGAGTCCTGCCCTTGAAAACGTTGTTTTACATGCTTTCTCATCCCATGCAGGCATGCATGCCTTTTTTTTCAAGCCACCGTCGTGCCGTTTGGCCAGGGGCACTTCCTGCCATCTCCCTCCCAAAGTCCTAGGAACTTTGCTGTGCTACGTCGCTAGCTTACGACGCAGACGCAGCCTTGCAATTTCCCTAACCCATTGGCCAATTGGGGTCGAATTACACTCGTTGTCGCTGGCGCTGGCGCCGTCGAACAGATATTCCTCAGTTTGCTCTAAAAGGGTCATGGCCGGAAGCCTGCCGCCGCTTGCATGCAATGCGGCCTTTTCTCCCTCATGCATTACAACACATACCCTGACACCACCCATCTGGCTAGCCCTATGCCGTCGTCTTCAATCCAATCAAACGATTGCCTCTGTTGTCATCGCTTGTAATTCATGTTCTGGACCATCCATCCATGGTCTTCGCCCTGCCCCGTCCAAGGGCACTGTAGACTTGTAGTATCCGGATGGTATCATCAAGTTGGACACTTTTCATCATTCGAGACACTCTACATTGAATAAACATTTAATTCAATTGATTCTATAAGTACTGAGTGGGATATCTCTGCGAGAACATGTCGGCGTCGTCCAAGGTCAAGCTGTCATGAGGTCCTCAAACTGGCTGAGTCATCACCCGGTGGCTGAGTCATCATGATAGCCCTGTGACTTAGTCATCCACTCAATCCATCCAATAAGCGCGACCCGTCCGCGAAGTATCCACGCCGCCAATGTCCATTTGCATCTGGATGTATCGGCATTGGTCCCGAAAATAGAAAGAAAGGAAGGATTCCTTGTGCCCTCCATCCGATGCTTCCAGGCGAGGTCTGGGCGCTTAAAAAAAAACAAGTTTTGTTACAGAAAAGTGAGGCTCTTTTTTTTTTTTTTTTTTTTTTTTTTTTTTCTGCGGAGGCCTGCAGACGTAGAGAGAGAAACAAGCCGGGGAGAAGAAAATAAGACGGCAGTTTTTGGAATTGCGCCCCGGCTAATTAATTCAGGGAAAAAAAAGCCTGTGCTAGCGATTTTCTGTTTTCTGGGGGTGGAGTGTAGGAGCCACATTGTGGCGGAAGGGTGAGCGCGTGCCTGGATTGAAAATTGAGAATTGAAAATTGGATTTTGTATGGCTGACGCGCTGGGGGACGGAGAGTTTCGTGTACGTACCTTGAGGGAGCTCACTCACTTCACTTCACTCACTCACAGTCTTTGTTTGTTTGCTTGAGTGTTTTTGATACGTTAAGAGAGAAGGGATAATTTACTGGATTCTTTGATTTATAGCTTTACTTTCTGTTCGTCATTTTATTTTATTATCCAAGGACAGAGATTGGACATGCCTCCACGGAAGCGCATCAGAGAGGGGGGCGAGGCTGCTGAGCCGGTGGCTAAGCGACGCTCGTCACGACAGGCGGCAGCATCAATCAAAAAAGCCGACGAAGAGGAACAAGCTGCAACGGAAGTGAACAAGGCTGCTCGGCCCAAGGTTGCTGAAAGGGAAACCAAGAGCAAGAATGAGAGCGTCGGCAAGCCAGCAGCTACAACAACAGACGACAAGAAAAAGGCTGCCAAAAAGGCCAACAAGACGGGTGCAAAGAAGAAAGATGACCAAACGGCATCATCAGCTGGTGACAAAGCCAAGGCCGAACGCGCCGCCTCCCAAGACCCCGACATTGACGCCATCCCGGCAACGAACCCAGATGCGCCGCGTCACGACGGCGAGTGGTACTGGCTGATGAAGGCCGAGCCGGAGACGCGACTTGAGAATGGCATCGACGTCAGGTTCTCCATTGATGATTTGCGGGCAAAGGAGAAGCCCGAAGGGTGGGATGGTGAGTTTACTCAAGAGGCTCTTGGTAGCAGGATGGCAGGATGCTGATTAAAGTATAACAGGAATAAGAGCGTATGCGGCGCGCAATCACATGAGAAACATGAATCAGGGCGACAAAGCCTTCTTCTACCACTCCAACTGCAAGGAGCCCGGCATCGCGGGCATCATGGAGATTGTCAAGGAGTTTTCCGAAGACAGCAAGTTTACCTTGTCTCGTAATACTCGCCTTTCTTATACAGAACTAACACGGCGATTCTTACAGAAAGCGCTCGTCGTCCAGGAACGCCCTACTACGACCCGCAATCCTCAAAGGACAATGTCCGCTGGAGTCTGGTCCACGTCGAGTTCAGAAAGAAGTTTGCCGTGCCCATCAGCCTCAAGGAGCTGCGCGAGCTGGGCAAGCCGGGCGGTCCGCTGGAGAACATGCAGATGCTGAAGCAGGGCCGTTTGAGCGTGAGTAGAGTCAGTGCGGAGGAGTGGAAGGCGCTCTGTGAGATTGCTGATAAGAAGGCGGAGGAGGCTGGACTGAAGCACGAGACGACCAAGTTGACGAAATGAGCCTGAATTGGCATGAGAGTTTTTGGATGGAATGGGGATGGAGAAGGGGGGTTGTTGAATGCCTAGTGGAGGATGAGCTGTAATGACAAAAGGTGCGGCGGTCAAGTTGGAGCTTTTGACCGTCTTTTCAGGTTGCTCATGGGCATCATCGTGCGTTGTCGTAAGTGGTGAGCATGCTGAGCGACGCCGTTTGTAATTTTCTTCTCTTTTGCAGCCGTAACATTACCTTAATACGAAGATAGATCACAAAAGATTACGAGTTGCACCTCTCCGAGAATGACGCCTCTTCGTCCTCGGACCGACAAAGTGAAAGAGGAAGAGAGAAAGGAAAACGAAAATCTTTGCGTGGCGCGTATCCCGCTGGCGATTCTCCTCTCACACCAACCCCCCTCTTTCAACATGTCGTCGCACAGAACTGTTTTAACCTCACTAGAGTCAGTCATACAGTACGCATCAATTTTTAGACTGCCGCGAGATAAGCCGGGTCAGGTTGCGATTGGTTGCACGGGGGTCGGGTGTAGTCGGCTCCTCCCTCGCTGAAGAGGAAGCAGAGGTTGAGAGATGGCAAAAAGCACGCAAGAGGGCAGTCCGGTGGATAATCTGAATAGCTTCATCCGATGGCTGGCTCTCTGCGTGGGGTCCCGGAGCTCCTCACGACGCTTGTGCGTTTGTCTGACTTGAATAGTTGATGGGTCGCACGCACGGTAGTTAGTTCATCGCGAGTGGCCAGCGGCTTCATGTGCGATGTTGATCACGTCATGCTGTTCCATGTGTTGACCGAAGCTGGCCGCGGCGAGGGAGGCAAAAGAGCATCTGGATAAGAGGGGGGGGGGGGGGGGGGGGGGAAGCATGTTCAGGTCGAAGTAAGGAGACGGACTCGTATATCGAGTGAGCCTGGATGGGTCAAGTGATGGAGCCGGTTTCCTGATCAAAGCTATGATTGGGCGGCGATGTGCTTTCAACAACGTAGCTTCTCAACGGTGGCTCGCTCTTCAGCTTTGACTATTGGTCTAGAGGCTTCCATGGTCCAAGAACGGGATCGGTCGATGGTCAAGCAAAAACACAGGTAGTCGAAGCCTTTGCCCTGGGAGCACTTTCGGCAGGGCTGGCCTTCCAGCCTGTCGGAGCCGATATGACATCGAGATCCAAGATTCTTTAGCTGAACGTTCGGGAGATCTTGCTCTAGATATAGTCCACCAGATCTGTGTTCGAGCAGCAAGGGCAGATTCCTCGATGATGGCCCAAATAGTCGATGAAGCTTCGCGTCATCACTCTCAGCATCGGTCTTTGGCGTTGGGATCGAGCATCTCGTTTGGATTTGCGCTGATACTTGCCTCTTTCCCCAGCCTTGTTCGACCTCGGTCAGGGTATCACATATCTTTTCTGTCATTCGCTCTCCCGTTCGGTTAGCTCTTTGGTTACCCAAGTGCTAAATTTTGACGTCAGATGGGTGTGTCCAAAATCCATCCTCCGTTGATTGAGTGGCTAATAAAATATCACCACATCTGCGCCTCAAACTCCGCAGATAGCTTCGTTGCAACCTGTGCCACTTAGACACACGGCTTCGCCTTACCCGACTTGAATGTCTGAACTTGTAAGAGAACAGAGTAATGAAGACAGTTTATAATGATGTCCACGTGGTAGGCAATTACTGCCGGCAAGAGAGCGGATAGCGTAAATTTGATAATTCAACGCCATTCATGACTGCGGGGAATGCTAAATCAACACCCTTGAAAGACAGGTAGTGTGGTTTCGGGTAGCTCACCGAGATTCGGGCTTCAAATGGCTGCAGATCCATCATGGTGGATGGCCCAATGGCTGGGTGTGACAGCATCAAAATCTAGACTGATAGATGGCCAAATGAAATCTCTTTCAGAAACTCGTATATGGTATGCTCTCTCCGCCACTGATACCGCTTGTCCGGACATGACCGGTCCCTAGCTTCATGTGCAGGACGGTTGAATATGGAGGCGGTCAGTATTGAGTTCCTAAGAGCTCTATCGATTTTGCTTCTTGACATTTCTAGACATTGTAAGCGTTCTCGTGTCAACGTCTCCATGAGAAACGTACAAATCAAGTAGCGTGCTTGTTTGCCTTGTTGCATTGCCTCGTTGCATTCTGCACCGTTCATCTCTCGGCAGTTTTCTCTGAGAATTCATTCTTGTCAACTTCATACTTCAACCTTGGTTGTCTCAGACCGCCCCAAGTTCGTTCAACAGCGGGTAATACAAGCCCATCCACGAGGCCCCGCAATGCCTAAAACCACAAGAGATTCATTGTTGCACAGAATTTGGGTGAGCATACGTGGTTGGGAATTGCCTCTTGACGAGGCAGAGATGTGGCCACCACATGGAACGAAGGATAGCTGTGCTCGAGGGCGGAATGAGCTTAGTGCAGCTCTGGGTAACCTCGCGCAGGGATGCGTAAATGGCGGTCGGGTGTTGGGTTGAAGAATCCGAAGCCCTCACAGTTGACGTTGATGCTCCAAATCGTTTATATTCGCTCTCACCCTCCCTCTGAAGTTTTGGTCTTGTTGTCAAGTGGAATAGCCAAGAGACAACATTGCAGAGTTCCCCTGGACCAACACAGCTCCTCCATAACCCCCATCATATTCATCAAAAGACGATGGCCGTCGTCAAGGTCACAAATAAGGGTGTAGACTTAGCCCGTCGCCTCATCCCCAAGGCGCGCGCTGCTTCAACAGCAGCAGTGATTGCGCAGACAGCCGCAAGACATGGCATGCCCCCAGGCTTCAAAGCCAAGGTCGGTAGGTTAGAGACCTTTACTCTTCCCGAAAGAGTCTCGGGGTCTGTATCCGACAAGGCCATCGCAGATGCCATGATAGGTGCCTGGCGCAGAGATGGCATTCTCCAAATTGGCATGTCCAAGCCACAGCAGAGAATATACCAAGCCGCCAATGCCGCAAGCAGGCGCTTCTTCGCCCAGCCGCATGTACTGAAGCAAGCCTGTGTAGACGACATGAGCTACTCGGGATATATTGCCTCTGGTGAAGAGATCACAGACGGTATTGCCGACTACTCAGAAATCTTCACCGTGACCAAAGATCTTCCGCACACCGATGAGCGGGTCGCCCGAGGCTGGCCGTGTCATGGACCTTGCCCATGGCTGGACCAGCACATGAAAGCAATCATGACCAAATACATGAATGATTTGGCCGAATCTGGAGAGAAGCTCCTGCAGCTGATCGAAATGGGACTGGATATCCCCACAGGATCACTAACGAGATACACAAACGATGGGTGGCACCACATGCGCGTCCTGAGGTAAGTAACCATACTACCCCCCGTCTTGGTTGAGATAGTGTGGCCGTTGCTGATTAGGCAACACAATAGATTTCCGCAAAATGATAGGACGAACGGCAAAGGCAAGAAGGGGCGAGGCATTGGCTCCCATACTGACTATGGCTTGCTTGTCATTGCAGCTCAAGATGACGTTGGAGGTATGTAGTTTTCACCAAAGACCAGTTGATCCGCAAGTCTAACGAGACATGCTCCAGGGCTTTTTGTTCGGCCACCGCATGAAAATGAACGATTTTCCAACTGGGAAAAGAGCTCGGCTGGCCTACGGGAAAATGAGGCCGGATGGGTGTACGTGCCTCCGGTTGCTGGTACATTCACAGTCTTTCCAGGTAAGGATCCCAGACGAACTTGTTCCAGAAATCGTAGCTCACGAATTCTGCCTCAGGCGATATGATGCAGTACATGACCAACAACGTTCTGCAGTCAACACCGCACAAGGTCGGGCTCAACGTCCGTGAACGGTTCGCATTTGCGTACTTTCACGAGCCCAACTTTCGTTCCGTCATACGGCCGCTGCCGGGTCACAATGCCGGACAGTCGCCAATTGAAGGAATCCATTACGGCACGCATTTCACCAACATGTTTCTGAGGAACTACCCCGACCGCGTCACCACTGCTCGGCTTCGAGAGGAGGGTCGGTATCGGCTACTTGAGTCGGAGGAGCTTCGCGACGGCGATGACGTACTGTGAGATGGTGTCTGTCACATTAGCTAGATGATTGGTCGGCGCATTTGTTTTCCGCTGTTGTCCATAGCAATTGATACCTCTTGCGTTTTTATCACAGCTGAAAATCCGAGTCTCTAGAAATACCTGGTGGCGCGTACTCGTATATGTATCTCGGCTCCGTGCCGCTGAGTTGCACTGGATGCCGTAGACGGCTCATCGAATGCGACCCGGCCCCATATTAGTGCGCCAAAGCGACGGGACATCAGATGCAGGATACGATCTCGAATTTTTTATCTCAAGATTCCAGACGTCAACGACAAGACTTTGGGATGAGAGCCGGGTAAATGAAAATAAGCATGACGTTGTATCGGCAATCCGCCCATAGACAAGTCCTCTGTTGACGGATTTTTTGGTTGCATCAAGGATCCGACAGCCTCTCGAGTATGTACAAGTAACGGCCGAAAGGCTCGGAGTTGGGTGTCAAGCCTCTCCTCGCTTCTTTCGCTTTCCGAGCTAGATAGCGACAGTTAACATGAGGCATAGCGCCGTCATCACTTCTAAAAGAATACGTCTTCATTGCCTACCTGCTCAATGCAGCAGCTAGTCAGTTGCGGGCATTGCGAACCACTCAGGCCAACAAGGCACGGCTTGCCAATGAGTGCCAGCTGCATGTATGAGCCAATGATGGACTGAATGTGATATCCTCGACATGTCGCAGGCAATAGTCAAAAGCCCGGTGCCCCTCACCGCATGTTGATTCAAACGAAATCTGGACGGCAATTGGTGCACTGACACTACCGACATGGTTTTCTCGTCAAGGCACGACACAGAACAAGGTGGCAATGCAACATGCCACTCTAGCTATGCAACCGTCGTGCCAGGCCCGCATCAAAGACTTACTACTGTACCGTTTGGAAAGTAGAGGAGTTGCTGCATGAAGCTGGCATTGCTGAATTCGTACTCCGTTCATGTTCTCACCCGGCTTTCGCCCGACTGATGAGAGACGAGACCTTCTCTTCAGTCTTCAGGGCTGAGTGAACCGGGTCAGTTGACGACAATTGATGCCTGTCCTTGTCCATCTCCCACATCTTCTTTGCATCTCCAACCTGGCAAATGCTGGGATTCAAGCGGAACCCACCGCGCCTATCCGTGCATGCTTGTCGACCAGGGAGGCCGTGCGGGTCTGGGGCCCGCCGTTGGGCGTAGACGAAGGGCTAGCAGCGACTCGGTAGCGCAGTACGAGCCGTCGATATAAAACTGAGGTTCCAGGTCGAGCAGCAGATGTTCTTCTCTCGGGCTGCTGTCTCTTAGTAGTCGTGTTGTTGTTGTTGTAAGTCGTGTCTCTCGGTGTATTCAGCGGTTGGTGCAAGGTGAAGCCACAAGAACAACAGCGATCTCTGACAGCCCAGACACGCCACGTGCCGCTGACCTTGTGCCTGCTCGCCTTATCGGGTTCGTACTCGTATCGTTCGGTTCTAGGGCCAAAAAGCGCCCCGCAAAAAAGAAACACCACCCGACTACAGCAATAATTTCAATTTCATCATCCACCAATTTTCGGGCCAACCACAACCACAGTAACACTGGACAAATCACATCTCGCGATTGAGCTGCCGCCGGGCTCTGATTTGGCAGACAGGGCATTCAGCGCCCCACGATCAACAAACTGGCGTCGCTTTAGGCCAAGCGCGGCCAGGCCGCAACCCCAAATTTATTACCTGATTAGGTGGCCCGTTTTGGAGACTTAATTTGCACGGTTCCTATCAGCGTCCTCCGGGGCTCTTTTGCCATCAGGGGAGCTTCAGTGGCCGATAATTTTCCCTGCTCGCCGCTACTTTTTTTTTTTCTCTCGACGTTCAAGAAAGGGGGACGCTGCCCGCTTCATTCTTTTCCTCTCCCCATCCGCGTCGTCGAGGCCGACTAGACGTTGTGGCTGAGCTGAGCTGACGCCTTCGTCATTCTTTGTCAAGCCTGATCACCGTCAATTGCTGTCAGCATCCTATTGTTCTTCAGCCTTTCGGCATCCCTCGCAACCCACCACACCGAATACGGCAATCCCGTCACCAAGGCTGGCTCGGTGCTTTCAACAGCACGCCAACGTCCGTGAGTCGAATCCCCCGCCATTCCCCCGGCCTCCTGGCCCTTTTGGCTGTCCTTATATATCTCCTCCCATCTGTCACCTCGAGATCTTGATCTCTGTTGTTCCATCACAAGATGCTAACAAGATACTGTGGGTCACAGACCGCATAAAGGTAGTCGGCATCGTACGATACACTTGCCAATGGAATAGCTGCAAGTCGACAACGAAACACCTCTTCGATCCATCGACATGAATCCCTCCACGCTGCTCCCCCGCCGCTTTCGCGGGGAGCCGGCTCCGAGCCAAGCTGCTGCCCCCTCGCGCCTGAACAAGAGGCTCACGCCGCTGATCCAGTTCCTGGCCAAGGTCGCTTGCTCTCATCCTATACATACCATTGGTGTTATTGCTCTCCTGGCCAGCACGTCCTATGTTGGTCTGCTCCAAGAGACTCTGTTTGGTGGCACTGCCAGCGTGAGCAAGGCAGAATGGACGTCGCTTGCGGAAGGCAGCAGAGACTTGATAGCTGGTCCCGAGACTGGCTGGAAATGGCAAAATGTAGAGCAGAGCACTGGTTCCTTTGACGAGGCTGACCACCTTGCCCTCTTGACGCTTGTCTTCCCCGAGATCGTCTCTACGGATGCGGTTGTTGCCGCTCCTCACTCTCATGCCGTGCCTACTCCTTCAAACCTTTCAATCACCACCTTGCCCGCCACCATCAACTCATTTGCTGCCTATGCGCGTGACAGCGTTTTGGCTTATTCTGTTCCCTACGAGCAGGCACCAGAGTTCATCACTGCTGCTCAAGAGATTCCTCTCGAGAATGCTCAGGAGACGGAGACTCAGCATGGTCGTGAGAAGAAGATGTGGATCATGAAGGCTGCCAAGGTCGATGCCGGCAACAACCTCGTGCTTTGGGTTCGCGATTCTTGGTCCAAATTTCTTGACTTGTTGAAGAATGCTGGTGGCTTGGACATTACCATCATGGTCCTTGGCTACCTGGCCATGCACATCACTTTTGTGTCTCTTTTCCTGTCTATGCGCCGCCTGGGTTCCAACTTCTGGTTGGGCACAACCACACTCTTCTCTTCTACTTTTGCCTTCCTTTTCGGCTTGGCCGTTACTACTAGCCTTGGTATTCCCATCAGCGTTCTCCTTCTCTCCGAGGGTCTTCCTTTTCTGGTTGTTACCATCGGTTTTGAGAAGAACATTGTCCTCACCAAGGCTGTGTTGAGCCACGCCATCGAGCACCGAGCCCAGGAGACCAAGAAGGGAAAACAAGTCAAACAGGAAAACGTCATCTCGTATGCCGTTCAAGCTGCCATCAAGGAAAAAGGCTACGACATCATCTGTGACTACGCCATTGAGATTTTCGTCCTTGGTCTCGGCGCCGCTTCTGGCGTTCAGGGCGGCCTCCAGCAGTTCTGCTTCCTGGCCGCCTGGATTCTCTTCTTCGACTGCATTCTGCTCTTCACATTCTACACCGCCATCCTGAGCATCAAGCTTGTCATCAACCGCATCAAGCGACACGTTGAGATGCGCATGGCCTTGGAAGCTGATGGCGTCAGCCGCCGAGTTGCGGAGAATGCCGCCTCGAGTGCTGACGGGCCCAACTCCAAGGAGGCTTCGCTGTTTGGCAGAAATGTCAAGAGCAGCAGTGTTCCCAAGTTCAAGGGCCTGATGGTTTCTGGTTTCGTCTTGGTCAATCTCATCAACATTGTCACCATTCTATTCCGCAACGGCGCTTCCTTTTCCAACATTCGTTCATTGGTGGGTGGTCTCAGCGGCGTTGTCAGTACGCCTCCCATCGATCCGTTCAAGGTCGCTTCCAACGGTCTCGATGCCATTTTGGAGATTGCCAAGGCCAAGGGCTCTGCCGTTCTCGTGAGCATCATCACACCCATCAAGTATGAGCTTGAGTATCCTTCGATTCACTACGCCCTGCCCTCGGCTACTGCCGAGCCATCTGAGGGCCAGCTCTTTGGCGTCGGAGGTCGCGTTGTGGGAGGTCTCCTCAGCAGCCTGGAGGACCCTGTGCTCTCCAAGTGGATCGTGGCCGCTCTCGCCCTCAGTGTCGGTCTCAACGGCTACCTCTTCAATGTGGCCAGATGGACTATCAAGGACCCCAACACCCCAGACCACCAAATCGACCGCAACGAGCTGGCTCGTGCTCAGCGCTTCAACGATAACCCTACCGTTAACTTGCCTCTTGGCGAATATGTGCCCCCCACCCCCCAGCAGACTCAGCCGGCTACTCCTGCCATTACGGATGACGAGAGTGACACCGAGGCTCAAGCGAGGCCCAAGGTCGAGGTTGAGAACCGTAGCCTGGCCGTCTTGGAAAAGATGCTCGCTGAGAAGCGCATTGCCGAAATGACAGACGAGGAGGTTGTTGAGCTATCGATGCGCGGCAAGATCCCTGGCTATGCTCTCGAAAAGACTCTCAAGAACTTCACTCGCGCTGTCAAAGTTCGCCGGACCATTATCTCTCGCACCCGGGCTACTTCTGAAATCACCAGCGTCTTGGAGAACTCCAAGCTGCCCTACAGGCACTATGACTGGGAGCGTGTGTTTGGAGCTTGCTGTGAAAATGTCATCGGTTATATGCCCATCCCCGTCGGCGTTGCTGGTCCTCTTGTGATCGATGGACAGAGCTTCTTCATCCCCATGGCCACTACTGAAGGCGTTCTTGTCGCCAGTACCAGCCGAGGCTGCAAGGCTATCAACTCCGGAGGCGGTGCTGTCACTGTTCTGACTGCTGATGGCATGACCCGTGGACCTGTCGTTAGCTTCGAGACTCTGGACCGTGCCGGTGCTGCCAAGCTGTGGCTTGACTCTGAAGAGGGTCAGAACACGATGAAGGCGGCTTTCAACTCGACCAGTCGGTTTGCCCGACTACAGACGATGAAGACGGCCATTGCCGGCACCAACCTGTACATTCGCTTCAAGACCACCACCGGTGATGCCATGGGCATGAACATGATCTCCAAGGGCTGCGAATACGCTCTCAACGTGATGCAGAACGAGGCCGGTTTTGACGACATGGTCATTGTATCTCTCTCTGGTAACTATTGCTCGGATAAGAAGCCTGCCGCCATCAACTGGATCGAGGGCCGTGGCAAGAGCGTTGTCGCCGAAGCCATCATCCCCGGCGAAGTTGTGCGAAGTGTCCTTAAGACGGATGTCGATTCTCTGGTTGAGCTCAACACGTCCAAGAACATGATTGGATCTGCCATGGCCGGTGCGATGGGTGGTTTCAACGCCCACGCTGCCAACATTGTCGCCGCCATGTACCTCGCCACTGGTCAGGATCCCGCCCAAGTCGTGGAGAGCGCCAACTGCATTACCATCATGAAGAAGTGAGTGTCTACTTTTGATGTGTCTCTTCTCTCCATTGTCAACAGACATGCTAACTATCATATAGTCTCCGCGGCTCTCTCCAAATCTCCGTCTCCATGCCCTCTCTGGAAGTTGGCACTCTTGGCGGTGGCACCATTCTGGACCCTCAAGGCTCCATGCTGGAGCTGCTCGGTGTTCGAGGATCTCACCCCACCAACCCTGGCGACAACGCCCGCCGCCTTGCCCGCATCATTGCCGCGGCAGTCCTGGCTGGCGAACTGTCCCTCTGCAGTGCCCTTGCTGCCGGCCACCTGGTCAAGGCTCACATGGCGCATAACCGAAGCGCTGCACCTTCAGGGGCCCCTTCAAGGGCCATGACCCCCGCCCCATCGTCAGTATCCTTGGCAATGTCCAACGGAACTGCGCGGAGGTGAATAATGATGAATGGTTTTTTTTTCATGTTGGGTAATGTCAAAAGAATCAAGCGCAGTGAAATAAAAAAAGGTCGCGCGGCCGGGTGCTGGTATTTATGGAGTTTCTTTTTTGGATGATACGGGATCAGGGCGATGCAAACGGCATGCTCTATAGACGACATATGTGCGAGTATATACAAGGTAGTTGCAAAGGCGGGCGAATAGCATTGCTTCGATATCGACGGATAACCGACTGTTTAGTCAGATGTGTACTCTATCGTTTTGACGGTTTATACTTGTGTGTTTACACGATGGGAGCTTTTCTTCCACATAATAATACCCCTATTTCATATGCGTCTTATCAGTCCATCTTGGTGCGATAAGCCACCCGACGCCGAGGTGGGGCCGGTTCAGGCACCGTGATCCAAGCATGATTGAATACTAATGTAACTCACAATGTGCTTGACTCATTCTCTTCAACTCTCTGCATCTCATTATTCCGTTTCGTTTAGCAATACCCCTGATTGTATCAACCATGACTATCGACTCGGCGTTTAAGCCCGCGCTTATCATCGTCGATTTCCAAGAGGATTTCTGCCCGCCGGTGAGTTGATCAGCTTCACATATCCGCAACTCGCTTCTCACAAACCCCAATCTCAAGTGAGAGCATCACCCGTCCATCCTCCAGAACCTCCCTCCCCTTGTATCATCCCAACCTCTCCATCAAACTCCCTCGTTAACACTCACTTCCCCCCCATCCAACAGAATGGCTCCCTCGCAGTCCCGGAAGGCCGCGACATCGCGCCCGTCATAAACGCCCTCCTCACACTCCCCTTCGCCATCAAAATCGCCACCCGCGACAACCACCCCCGAAACCACATCTCCTTTGCAGAGAACCATCCCGGCGCCGTCGCCCTACAATCACACCACACCATCGTGCACCCCAGCGACCCGACAAAAAGCGACACGACGCTCCTCTGGCCAACGCACTGCGTCCAAGGAACAACCGGCTCACACCTCGTACCTGAGCTTGACGTGGGGAAGATCGACGTCGTTGTGGACAAGGGCATGGACGCGAGGGTGGAAATGTACTCTGCGTTTCATGACCCGATGAGGGTGAGCGTGAGCGGGCTGGGGGGGAGGTTGAAGGAGGAGGGCGTGACGGATGTGTTTGTGGTTGGGCTGGCGGCGGATTATTGCGTGCGGGCGACGGCGGAGTCGGCGGTGGAGGAAGGATATAGGACGTTTGTTGTGGAGGAGGGGACGAGGCCTGTGATGAGGGAGAGTTGGGAGGCCGAGGGGAAGAAGGTTGTTGAGGGGAAGGGGGTGAGGATTGTGAGTGTGGAGGGAGAGGAGGTTGCGAGGGTGAGGGAGTTGGCATGATGTTGGTGATGATGAGTGTGAGGACTCGGCTCGTTGTGACTCAGCTGAAGAATGGATGGTATTTAATGGCATTGGTGAATAAGTTGCAGTCGCGAGGTGTCTTGAATTGAAGCAGGCCATCTTGAAAGAAAACATTTCAGCCCTGAGAAGTCCTCCGTCGCTACCATTATCATATCCATGCATTAACCTCTAATGATTCCAACGCCTTTGCATACCAATATGCGTAGAGTTACAGATTCCCAACGCTTCGTTTATATATATAACGGTCCCTCTACATCACTTCAACTCCTCCGACCTCTTTCGCAGACGAATCGCCTTTTTCACCCGCGGATGCTTCCCCACGCGCCACTTGTCATGTTTCTCAACATCTCTCCTCCGCCGACGTTGCCTACATTCAATTGACTGTTAGTGACGGATCGGTGTCGACGAGCCTATTTGTATACATACATCAGGATGCGTCCCACTTCAAGGTCCTCTTCACATGTGCCTGAACCTAGTAGATGGGACTCACTGCTAGTCTGGACGTGCTTTGGCTGGACGAGAGACACATCAGCCTGGCTTGGTTCCAAAAAGCTAGGAATCATGTCATAGCTTGGAAAAGATGTTGGGAAAAGCAGCACCGAGGCCGCATCGTTATGATCGTGTGCTTCGATGGCTTCCGGTGAAGAATCAGAGGTGGTACAAGTCAAAGTGGTAGTCGATCCCCGACAGTCCCTCTCATCACAGTCTGTCGTCGCGCCGAGAGTAGCCTCCGCCCGAGACGCATCGTTGTCCACGTTTTGTATAATTTCGGGGAGGAACCTCCTGACAGTCGCCTTGTTCACTCCCAAGGGATGCAGCCCAAGAGGAAGTCGTTCGTGAATATGTTCTTCCGCCAAGTAGCGTTCAAGACGGCGCCCGAAAAGCGAGGAGTCGCCATCATCCGGGGGCTGCGTGCCTGCAGATGGGTCCTCTGCAGTGTATGCGTTGGGCAACTCGAGAGGCATCATCAAGAATGATCCCGAAGTTACCGGGCCATACACGTCTCTGCGTGGTTGGCGTGTGGTGTAAAGATCAGACCTGCTTTGGCTAGTCCGCCAGGATATAGTTAGAGATGAAGTCGAGTAGACGAGTAAAGCTCGGAGACACAAACTCACCCCGGAGGCAGAACAATGTCATCTTCCAAGCTAATGCTGCTGTTAGGGCTGGCATGGTCATCTTGCGGCGTCTGGTTCTCCATGCTGATCAAAGTGTAGATGGACGGCTCAAGAGAGGCTTTGATGAGAAAGAATGTACATCTGAAAGAATCCCTTGCCTAGCCATCAATCCCCTATTTTAAATGAATCGCTGGGCCCCGAACAAAACGCGGCAGAGAGACAACGTCTAGTCCATTGCATCTCAGAAACCATGTCGCTGGTACGCGAACCACACGCCTTTCCCAGGAACCTGGAACTGATGCTACATCAGCCAGCATCGAAATCACGGCGTTGCATTGACATACCGATGCATACGCCCCCTCCGTTCCCCATCCCAAGAGAAACGCTGCTGGATTTGTCCGTCCAGTGTCAACACCCCCCCGGTTCAGCTGCAAAGAAACAGCCACCAGACCCCTGGAAGAAAGACAAAACGGGCGTGGGGGGTGCGTAAATCAACCAATCCAGAATCGACTCATTAACTCTTCTTTCTTTTTTTAACTTGGGTCCATTCCCTTTCCTTTTTTTTCTTTCCTTTTTCTTTGTCTCTCCTTTCTTTCATTTTCCCCTCGTTTCTTTTCCCGTCTGGTTTTACCCATGATTCCGTTCTCTCGATCCTTTTCTCGACAAGAGGCGTACACGTCCCTCTAGTCGAGTTTTCTGTCGGCAGGGAGAAAAGTGGCTGGAAGCCTCATTCAGCTTGCAAGTCAGGGAAACGGCAGGTGGACGCGAAGAAGAGAGCCGAAATAGAGACTGCAATCTCGCCATGCCTTTCAAAGGCTAGGCACTGTACAGAGCCGATAGATACGGAAGCGTCCAGCTCAGTCCAAGGGATGTCGGCCGAGTCCAGCCTCTCCTCAATATGCTCACGTTCCCGGAATCCCAGGTCGATGGATGCACTAACGCACCCCTGTGTCCAATGAACCGCCCGCAATACAAAAAGTCGAGGGGTTTTGATCCGTGTCACTAAGCGTTGCCGTTGTATTGATACATCTGTATAGGCAGACACCTTGTCAGTCCCATAACAGAAATAGTTGCAGGACGCTAATCCCAACGGTTGCGGCTGAGGAACGGAACCAAGTCCGATGGCCAGCCCAGGGTTTGAATGGACCATAACCTGTTTCGCATTGAAACGCAACGAGGACTCTATAGTATTTGGCATCCGTTCTGTCCAGTATGTGCGTGTATCTCTTAGTCCCTGCTGCAAGATCTATACCCAGGCTGAGGGAGGAGGGGGGCCGGAAGCTGGACCTCTGGCTCCGCGGAGACGTGAACGGTAATCTGGCGAGCTGAGAAGGCTTCGAAGCCGAGAGACTTGGCGCCCAGTAGCATCGCAATTTTTACCGACATCTTCATGCAATCAATATCATCATTGCCTCGTGGCCAGCAGAGAACCAGTGCTGCTCTTTGCCTGGAGGCTTGTTCTATAGCAGCTCTCTCCCGCTCTGCTCAAGTCACCGGTGCGCTCCCTCGGGCCATGATACAACGAGAGATTGAATCTGCGCCGAGAGAGGAGGGGCACGACGGAGGCATCTCCGTACTAACAACCAACAGAAGCTTCCGGGAAGCTGATTTGACGAACCGGTCAAGGGTCGCATGCCCGTACGGTTGGGCGTTTGACAAGGCTTTGGCTGTGGATTTTTGACCGGCCCATGCCTCGCGTCAGCCGCGGCCACTCAAGATCCCGGACACTTTGATCGGCTCCAAGCTGGCGGTATTCGCCGTTGGACATCTGGAGTTTGTGGCAGCGGTGGCGCCATCAGGCTCTGCCACCGTCTTTACTATAGCCACCCTCCCCTGGGAGGAGATGTGCTGCTCTACCGTAAATGAAATGTGATTTCAAAGTAAGCGAAGTCATCCCAATGCCAGAAGCAGAAGCCTGCAGCTCGGCCAAATCTCCTGGGCGTCGGCTGATGCTAGACAATGGCTGAGAAAAAAAGCAAAGAAAAGAGAGAAAAAAAGGGACCGGAATCTTCAGATAGAGACACGGAGAGATGCGGCCCCCAACGACTGTCACTTCATCAAACTGCCACCACCACCATGTAGTGGCCACATCACATCTCAAAGACTCTGGCATCGTGGGGGGATCGCACGTGCTCAATACACGGCGCACTCGTATTTGCGGCTGCTCTGAGGCGGCCAGTTACGTTGCAGGTCACATACTCGTAATTGCTGTCTCAAGCCACAGTCATGCCTGGCCTGCTGGAGCTGTAATGCTTGCGAAGCTGAAGTGATGGATTTGACGATGTTGGTAGCCGATCCGGCTGGGACAGGCAATAGGATTCATTCCCTCCCGATGGCAACCAAGTTTTCAAACGAGGCCGTAAAGGGTTTATGCATGACCTGGAATACTGCGCTCGGAACGGTTGGAACTTGAGACATGGCTGGCCTGATATTGGGCCTTGGCTGGTTCTAGGCGCCCGTATATCCAAGTTTGGAAACGATGTACGTCGACAGTGCTTGTACGCATAAGTCAGTTGCGAAAGCAAATGGAAACCAACAGCGTGGATTCGCATACCTTGGCTGACCATCAACGATTGCCTAGCATTCATGAAGAAGGGAAAAGTAGATGCCTTGCTGTTACCGAAGCTTGTGTGTGACCATGGCCGAGTGAGGCATCAATATTTCGATAAAGTTCCGAGAATAACAGCCGTTCAGCGTGATTAGTGATCGAGTCCAGATCAACAGGAGGACAATTCCCAGAATCTCACAGGTGGAAATATTCTTGTTGAGCACTGCTGTGTGTCGGAGCAAAAAGTCTAGGCAAGGGAAAGCAGAGAGAGGCTTCTAGAACAGTTGAACAGTTACCCTAGAGCCCGGTACAGGAGCCTAGCGGGCGGGGGTTCTCCACGCCTTTCGGATCACCAACAAGGCGCAAGAGTTGCTTTGACGCCATCGAGAAGAGCGATGAGACAAGCTTATCAAGGCAGCGGTTTTTTCTTTAGTTTGAATGTCTTCTGGTTGTCTTGCGTTGTCTTGTGTTATAAAGGGTGACTTGTTGTCTCTTGTTGTTTCTGTTGTGGACAGTTGAGAGTCAAGAGTCAATTATCAACCCCGCAGTCAAAGAAGACGAGACAAGAACAACAACAGCCTCGAGACAAACATCACCAAAAATGGCCTCCCTATCGACAACTCTCCCCCTCAACCGCGACTCCGTCTTTTGGGCGCACAAAGTCGTCAAGAATCACGTCCATCGCACCCCAGTCGTGACCAATCAGACGCTTTCCGAGCTGGCATCGACACCGAGGGCCGTTGAAGACCTGGAGGGCACTCGGTTCGCCGGCCGGACGCCCGCAAAGCCCGTGCTGCGATTGTGGTTCAAGTGCGAGAACTTGCAGCGCATTGGGGCCTTTAAAGTGCGCGGGGCGTTTTATGCGCTTCACAAGTTGACCGAGGAGCCCGGATGGCTGGAGGGAGGCGGAAAGGAAAAGGGCGTGGTGACGCATAGCTCTGGTAAGAAGATGTCCCGACTTGGTCTCGTCGAACGTGGATACTACACGGGGAGGAAACTTGTGTCATTCGCCTGAACCGTCATGTCTTATATCAGCTCCAAAATGGTTGCTTACACAGACAAAACCACAGGAAATCATGCGCAGGCTCTCGCCCTCGCAGCCAGGGAAAACGGCATCAAGGCTCACATCGTCATGCCCGAAATCTCCATCCCGGCCAAGATCGCCGCCACAAAGGGCTACGGCGCCAACGTCGTCTTCAGCGGCAGCACCAGCGTCGAGCGTGAGGCCGTCACCGAAAAGGTCATTGCTGAGACCGGTGCACGGCTGGTCCCGCCTTACGACCACCCCGACATCATGCTTGGCCAGGGAACCCTCGGACTGGAACTCCAGGATCAGGTGGAAAGCAGCATTGCCTCCTCGGTCAACTCTGCCGGACAGAGCTTGACGGGCGTTTATGCTGCCTCGGCGACCAAGAAAAAGGGCAACGTGCAAGGACTCGACGCCATCATCACTCCCTGTGGTGGTGGAGGCATGCTCTCTGGTGTAGCGCTGAGCTGCGAGGGCACCGGCATCCGCGTCTTTGGGGCGGAGCCTTCGTTCCAGGGAGCTGATGATGCCAAGCGAGGATATGAGTCGGGCCAACGTGTCCCGACCGTGTCTTCGCTCACTGTTGCCGACGGACTGCGAACACCCTTGGGCGCGCACCCCTGGAGCGTCATCTACGAGCGGCGTCTGGTAAGCGGCATGTTTAGCGTGACGGATGAAGAGATTCTCAAGACGATGAGGCTTGTCTATGAGCGGATGAAGCTGGTGGTTGAGCCGAGCGCATGTGTCCCGCTGGCCGTTGCGCTGTTTGACGAAGACTTCAGAGCGCTTGTGGAAAAGGAGGGTGGCGTAGAGGGATGGGACTTGGGCCTTGTATTTAGCGGCGGAAATGTCGCCGTTGATTCACTTGGAAAGCTGCTGGCTGGAGAGAAATGAGAGAGGCCAAGTTTACTAAAGGACAAGTCTGATGATAAAGGAGGTATAACTTGACATGTTCTGCGCGATGTGATGAAGTCATGGACTTTGTCTCTTTTTACACTTATACACGAATTTGAAGTCTAGGCAGCAAGGCTGAGCGTTTTGAAACAAATATCAACAACTGCAAATTAGGGTATCATAAACTCATTATATGTTCTTCAACGCCTCGTCCATCTGTTTCCTCCACTCAGGCGCATTCCTCCTCAACGTCCAAATGCCAATGTAACCAGCAATCATACAAAACAAAGCTACAGTGGTGAACACCCATCCCACACCTATTGCGTCAATCCACGGAGCCGCGACGATAACACCGACGCAGCTGAGAATGTTGCGAACAAAATTGTTGACTGCAACGCCGGCAGAGCTCTTCTTGCGCACGAATTCCGTGAGCATGGTGGTAGCAGCGGACTATGATGAGGTTAGTTTTTCGATTTGGGATTCAATAGGGGAAAAGAGAAATCTTACAAAGACGAGCATGGATGACGCGCCAAAGATGAAGCTGCCGATAGCGGGAACGATGAAAATGACACCATAGTTGAGCGTCCAGCCGTAAATCAGTAATCCAATAGGGTACATGGTATTAGCCAGCCACATGTTCTCCCTGAAGCGATCCTCAGGCAAGTAGATAAGCTTGCCATTTTCGTCATATCGATTTGCTTTGATAGCCTGTCTAGCCATGATCTTGTCGATCCATCTGCCTCCGAAGAGGGAGGCGATGAAGTAGCCCAGACCTGCAGGGAGATAGAGCAGGCCAACGATGATCTCGCTGTAGTTGTAAGGAGGCTGCGAGAATTTTTGCTGAATGGAAATGTTGGAGATGAAGAGCGCACCAAAAGCAATGGCAGCGGTGAAGACGGTGATGAATACCGGAGGAAATCGGAGAAAGAGGAGCACCTTGAGAGGATCAATAAACACTCGTTTGGCGCTCGCAGCGAGTTTCCTGGTCTGAACTTTGGCAGACTCGGTGGTCGTCATGCGACGAATCGATTCAGGAGCGGGTTCCTCAACAGGTACCTCAACCTTCTTTCGTGCCAGAGTCTCGGGAAGGAAGAAGATTAACATGGCCAAGATGACGAACCCGTAGATTGCAAGGAACCACATGGTAGCCTTCCATCCAAAGGCCTGCGCCAAAGCACCCCCCACAATGGGTGCAATCAGGGGCGCAAGCAACGGTCCAAGGTAAAACATGCTCATGGCACGGCCTCGCTCTTGAGACTCCCAGATGTCGGCAATGGTGCCGGCGCCAACTGCCTGGACAGAGGCGGAAGCACCGCCGGTGAAGATACGGAAGACGATGAGCATGGCGATGTTGGTGGAAACGGCGGAGAGAATGGCAAAGATGAGGAAGAGGGCAAAGGAGATGATGTAGATGGAGCGGCGGCCGAATTGCTCTGAGAAGGACGACCACCAGAGGGGGAAGATGGACATGGAGATCATGTAAAGGGCGACAGAGAGGTTGGCAATGTCTTCGGTGGTGTTGAGACTCTTGGTCATCTCAGGCAGAGCAGCTGTAATTCGTTAGCTTAACGTTCTGATTTGATCATGGATATTGGAACTTGCATACGGTAAAAGATGGAGGAACCGAGAGGAGCGGCAGCAGTTGCCACAGCAATAGTCAAAGTGATGCCCCATTTGGTCGAGTTCTTGTAATCATAGGGACGGTCAACTTCAGGCACAACAGCAAACCGGCCTAGCAGCCCACGGCGCTGAGAGCGAGGAATGATGTTCAGAGTCTTTGACCGCGTAGTTGAAGCCCTAGACCTGGAGCGGCCAGCTTCTTGTCCAGCGGCGTCGCCCGTGGGCTGTACTGCCGTTGCCAAGCTGACGGTTGGGACGAGGGCGTCATGGTGAGGCTCAGAATCGTCCTCGAGGATTTGAGTGCGGGCCGTCTTCTTTTCATGATCAAAGTCTTGTTCTTCTGATTGCGCAGTGGTGATGCTGTAGGTGGAGGAATGGATGGACGGGGGGGAGGGTGTAGGTGAGCCCTCTCCCTTTTCGGGATCGGGTCCAGAAGACATTGTGAATCTTTTCATGTGAAAATGATAGTGTGATGAGCAGATGGCGTTGTGATGGGTAAAAACGGTGTGAGACGAGGGCTCCCAAGTCTCCGTCGGCGATACGAGAAAGTGTTACACGGTATAAATGATACGTCTTGGCTCTTCTATGAAAATCATATAACATGTACGATCGTGACAGCATAAAATAAAATAAAACCAAATCTTAGTAACAAGATGAATAAAGAAAGGAAGGGACCATCAGAGAAGTCCTCATCGCCATGCATCAACACACTCAAGAAAAGGAAGAAGAAACGAGCGACCGGTGAGCAGCACAAGGGTATTTGAACACCACCACACAACCACAGCTAAACTTTTTTTTTTCGATCCCTCCTTCGATGACAACCCATGTCTGATGCCCACTCTGTTACGGCAGAAAATTGCCCTTCTCCGTCACAAGTGGACCTTTTCCGGATAGGCGCCGGCTTAGATTCGATGGCCGAGGTCCGCGACCCGGGACGGGGAGGTGTAGAGAGATATCACCAACGCGGGGTGTTATACGATGAGTTGACTTTGTAGTGCTGTTACATGCTATCAGAGTTACTCATTATTACTACTATGAGACACAGCAACATGTAACAATCATCACCATAGTTCAGCAGTATCATCACATAGCCGATGTGATGTGATCAAGAAGCCGTAAAGGCGTAATCAAAATCAATATGCAGGTCATTTGCTGCCAAGCAGGGGCACCGTTCAATCCTACCGCTGGGAATTAGCCGGGCAATGGACGAGTTTCGATGGAGATTTCTCGAGTATGTGTGGGGCGAGGCATGGAAGCAGACTGACGATTGGTGGACAAGATGGTAACGCAGTGTTAGTCATGAGATATTGGGGTAGATAAGAGGAGTTGGGGTAAATAGAATTGGGGTGGAATGAAAGCTCAGCTCTTTGGACTTGATGGAGTCAATGGTGGATTCGATCGGATGCTGGTGCCGTACCGCAGCATGGCTATGTGGTTGGATACGATAAGATGTGCGAGGTGCGTGGATGCGGAATTGTTTGACAATAGGGCGTCGGTATATCACTTGTGCCAACCCTGATGAGTGCATTTGTATTTACGAAGTTTCACGGAGTGCTCTGTAGATTCGACTACATTGGTGTAAGCGAACCGAAGCTGAGAACTGGTAGCGGCCAAGTTTCGTTTACCAGTTGCGATACGTTTATATAGATATTGGACATAATCATGGTTTAGCCCCCAGTCGAGGCAGCACTTTCTACCATGATACATGGCCCCTTTCTACACTTGAATCAAAGAAACATATAAACCATGGCCTTCCTTGCATGTGGAACCATCCCCCTTGCGGCTAAAATTACTTGTTCTGGCAATTCATTCTAGCATGTGACGAATAAAAAGCGTGGAAGAGTCGGTTTTATAATGAGTTTCCTCGAGTTCGGCCTTGATTATGGGTTCATCTCGATGTATGGTGCTTTTGAGATTCATCCAGGGTGTTTATGTAGTGGTTCTCCGACACCGGATTCATATATGCTGCGGAGAACTCTGTCTTGAATGGCCTTGTTCGTATTCTATTCACATGCTGATTCCACTATCCGTTGATATTGCTGATCCAGCGTTAGTAGTCACAAGGTATCTACAATATATACGGTATTTCCGTAAATTACCTACCTAGGTATCTCCGACAAGCCGAAGCACAATACGGCGAATTCTCGAGAAAGTTTAGTCATGAATGAGTATTACAACGAACGATACCATACTCGAGCTTTATATCTAGTTCTTTCATGTCCGGCGCGAGACGGTGTTGATACCCTTTGAAAGGACGATTCAGCAACATGCTGTAAGACAGATTACTACTCACCCGCCAATAAACAGCAAGATCCCCTCAAAATTGAGAGATATCAGCTTTTCTTTTTTTTTTTTTTCCTTTTTTCTTCTTCTTTTTTTTTTGGTGAACTAGATATCGAGCATCCAGAAATCTACTTGTTATGATGAAAAACAACGGCTTATAGACGTTGAATAATGGCTCTCTTTAGTGGACGAAGGAGTCCTCGAGCACATCTCCAAGATATATACACAGAATATATTACAACCAACGAGCACATACCTTACCATTATAACTCCAACTATGAGTTCTAAGGGCTCAGAGTTGCTCTAACGACAAAGAAGGATATGGTTGGCCACGTCAAAACTTCTGCAGCCGTCACAATTCGGAATCATTCTGCCAGCTGCCACGCAATGCCACAACCCGGACACGAAATGGAAGGACAGAATTCACCGCCCAACGGCACAACATTAATCCTCCTGACTCCCGTTTGTTTGTTCTGCAGCAGAAGCACTGGATAGGGTAGGTGCCTTGGAGGAGGAAGGAGCTTTGACACCAGTTTCTCGACCTTGGGGCCATTTGTATTTCCAAGTCCCGTGATGCACGTTTCATCTTCTTTTCTACCCATCAACCTCTCCATGGCCACCACCTGCGCAAGGCAATTTTGCACAGTTTGATGACCGTCTTCGTCTCCAAATCGAGGCTTTGATTCGCAAATCAACTTCATGGCCAGCAAGATGGTCTCTACCAGCGAGGATCTCATCGAAAGACACGGTTACACCCTCAACTGGGCTATCCACATGTACGCTGCCTGTTCCGTCTCTGTTCACCCATGAATCACGAGGTCTAACTCCGGCATAGGTGTTTCAATACCAAGCTCTACGCAGACGTCACGATTCATCTCGGCGACGTTGAACTCCCAGCACATAGCATCATACTGGCGTCACAGAGTGAATACTTCAAGAAGGCTCTCGAGTTGCCCATGAAAGAGGGCATCGAGAGGAAGTTTAAGTTTAGCGAGGGAAGCATGCATGCGCACTGGAGGATGTTTGAGTACATCTACAGAGGAGAATACATTCACGATCCTGCGGTACCACTGGGATCGATAGGTCCGCATCCATCTACTATAGCGCCTGCGCAACACTCATTATGTCTACGTACACGACTGACTCACGCGTTCTAGCTGACGACGAAGACCTCTTGAAGGACGTTCGCGTTTTCCAGCTAGCAGACTACTTTCAAATCGACAATTTGAAGAATTATGCCTTTCAAAACTTCAAGACCCGAATCAAGAGACTGTGGGTCGCCGAGAATTTTGTCGATTGCATACGAGATGTGTACGGGATTCCGAGCAACGTCAGTTACGCATTGAGGATCGAGATTGCGAAAATTGCGCTCAAACATTTGTCGGATCTTTGGGACAAGAAAGCCTTTCGCACTCTTATCCGCGAGGGAGGAGACTTTGTCATTGACATTTTGAAAGACATTGTTGCTAGTAAATGATGACTTGCAGAACTATCTGCAAGCGCTGCGGACAAGGGTTCGAGAGGTCTGATTGAAGGAAGGACAAGCTTGCACGGATGGCAATGCGGATTGACTGTGGGCTATTTGCCCAGATGATATAGCCAAGGAGATATAGGGGCAGGTTAATATCTCGGAGAGAGAAGATTGAGGGCCATGAAAAGCGCAATCAAGGGCAATATTGACTGTCGTTGATTTAGAACTAGACAGATAATCTATCAGGTTGCAGAAAAGTGTTGGGCTTCGAGGTCGCAAAACTATCGGGGGTGCGATATCGGAAACTTTTGGGTGTGCTACACCATCAGCCAAGGAAAACAGGGGCATCAAGAAAACAAGACCAAATGAAAGCTCAAGTTGATTTCGAAGTGATATTTTTCGATGCAATTGAAGTGTTTACAAGATGAATCAGGTAAATATTTTATTTGTAATAATGCAGTGGCGCTTTCGGTGACGGTCGCCGCAGCGATTACGATTACTGGACTAGGCAATGCGTGGGCCCCGATCGGAGCATGAAAATCAGATCTGACTGTGCCTAAGCCGGCTGATCTCATAATCCAGAGACTCATCGCATACTGGAACCTCGCCTCGAACGCTCATTTCAACCAACGGCATATAGTGACAGAGAAAAAGAGACGGAAGAGCAAAGAGCCGAAGTCACCAGGACAATGTCCCTCACAAACGGCTCCCCCGAGGCCGCCGCCACGGCCGCCAAAACCGCCTCATTCACCCTCGCCTCGCTCCCGGCCTCAGCCCGCAACGAGGCTCTCGAGGCCATCCACGCGGCTCTGACGGCTTCCAAGGACGAGATCCTGGCGGCCAATGCGCGTGATCTGGAGCTTGCGCGGAAGGCGGCGGCAGATGGACAGCTGTCGCAGGCGCTCGTGTCGAGGCTGGATCTGGGGAAGAAGGGCAAGTGGGAGGACATGCTGCAGGGGATATTGGATGTGAGAGATTTGGATGATCCAGGTATGTGTGAATTGCTCTCTTTTTTTGGATGATGATGTTGTTTACGTACTTGCGTGATCATTGTGATATTCTTTCTACTTTTCTTCCCTGCCCTTGCTTGAAGACTCGTCGTCTGATGGCTGTATACGACTTACAAATTGATGCAACAATACTAACCCACACATTTCTCTCCACCAGTTGGCAAGGTACAGCTACGGACAAAGCTCGATGACGGCCTCATCCTCGAGCGGGTGTCATGCCCCATTGGCGTCCTCCTCATCATCTTTGAGGCACGTCCCGAGGTCATTGCCAATATTGCCAGTCTGGCGATCAAATCCGGCAATGCTGCTATTCTCAAGGGTAGGCTTCCATCTATCCATCTCACATTAGTACCCTAATCACACCCGATAACTTACTCATACATCATATCGCAACAGGAGGCAAAGAATCTACAGAATCCTTCATCGCCATCTCACAAGTCATCTCCTCCGCCCTCTCCACAACTCAGGTCCCCAACTCGGCCATCCAGCTCGTCACAACCCGCGATGTCATCCTCCAGCTTCTAAGCCAGGACCGAAGCATCGATCTGGTCATCCCCCGTGGGTCCAACGACCTTGTTCGCTACATCAAGGAAAACACAAAGATTCCCGTGCTGGGCCATGCCGACGGCCTCTGCAGCATCTATCTCACTGCCACGGCAGACAAGGAGAAATCTGCCGTCGCCATCGTCGACTCCAAGACGAGCTACCCTGCCGCTTGCAACAGTTTGGAGACGCTGCTTGTCCAGGACACAGCCCTCGACACCGTCTGGCCCGCCGTGGCTTTTGCCCTGGCTTTGAAAGGCGTGACACTCCGTCTCGATGCTGCTAGCAAAGCCGCTCTCTCATCCACTACGCTCCCGGATGGCACTGTTCTGGATGCCACTCCCGAGGACTACGACACGGAACACCTCAACCTCACCTTGGCCGTCAAGACCGTATCCACCGTCGACGAAGCCATTGCCCACATCAACACTCACGGCTCCCACCACACAGACTCCATCTTCACGTCGAACGAGGCCGAGGCCGAGCACTTTATGAACCAGGTGGACTCGGCCGGCGTGTACTGGAACGCCTCAACGCGACTGGCAGACGGCATGCGCTACGGCTTCGGAACAGAGGTCGGAATCAGCACCAACAAGATCCACTCGCGTGGGCCCGTGGGCCTGGACGGGCTCACGATTTATAAATACAAGATTAGGGGAGATTACCAGCCAACGACTGGATACGGCGAGGGCGAGGGACAGAGGCCATGGAAGCACGAGAAGCTGTCTTTCTAAGGAGGGCGGGTTCAATATACGGCTAGTAAATACGAGGGGGAGGATAAGCAAGTGAGCCACTCTCTCTTCTCGGAGAGAAAGATAGAGAATAATGTGGAATACAAAAAAAGAACGGGATACTATCGGGATTAGCCAGTGGCAGAAAAAAAAGCAAGACTATCATATCGTACGGAGCAGTGGATGAGTGTTTATTTGTTTGTTTTTGTCTCTCCCTATTCGCCAGATCGCGGTGAAGTACCTAGATCGGCGAAGAGCAAGACCACGCGGAGAGAAATCTCCTTGACCAGGGATGCCCGAAAGACATGCTCCGTAGTATGGGGTAATAGTACCTATAGCATCGCCTTGTATCCCTTCGAGTGCGATAAGGCACCACCCAAGTACCGCATCCACCTTTCTTCTAGATTGAGGGGAGAATCCTCGATTTCTGACTCTTTGATTGGCTACTGCTTTTAAGAGTACTTAGGTGGTGCCTTATCGCACTCGAAGGGATACAGATTGACAGATTCACGCCCACGAGGACAGCATGGTCTGATTACAATTCTTCTTCCCCCCTTATTTCAGACAGGAAGGAGGGCGATTTGCTCATCCTGCCCGAGTCAGGAAAAGAAGCAGAAGCAGAAGCCTACTGTAGCTAAGCTGATGGTCTCCCTCTCCCCCCTGGTTTGTGGACAAGGAGGAACCCCCCCCCCCCCCGTCGCGACGGCGACATCCGGGAAGCCGTTTGGTTGGCGGAATAAGGATATCGGTCTGCATTTGCCCTGTAGTACATAGGTAAGGTAGGTAGCTGCACGAGTACCTGTACCTGTACATGTCCCAAATGGCACCATCGATGCGTTGGAGCAAAAAAAGAAAAAGAAAAATGTTGCTGCAGGGGGTCAGCTCGCCGACCTTGTGATTTTTCTTTGTCTATCTGGTGATTATGTCCTCATCCGATCCGGGGCCTTTCTCCAGGCTTGCTTTTACGGGCCGACGAAAAAAAAAAAGGTTCGTCGGATCTACGACTTCTCTTTTGTCATCTGATTTTCTTGCTGTGCCGTAGCTTCTAAGCAGAATCTATTTAAAAAAAAAAAAAAAAAAAAAAAAAAAAAAGCACAAAGTAGTATTGCATCGAAGCAGTGCATAGCTAGAGTAGCATCTGCCATTTTGACATTACTCGGATGTGCCGCCCATTCGTATCACGCGAAAAGGTACCGAATACATACTTGCGGGCGTTGGGATCCCGTCTTTTGGGGGTACTAGCGACTCCTGCACGACAAAGGGCTAGTGGAAAGCCAAGCCCAAGCTCAATCTAAAGTGCTCTTGCCGGGCTGCCATTTGCTATCCCCTATTATTTTTGGAATACGAGGGAGAGAGGATACCTACTGGTACTGTAGCAGAGCAGAGCGAGCGCGGAAAAAAAGAGAGAGAGAGTGACCTGTTGACCCGGCCTGGTTTGATTCCTTCGGGTCAATATAGCCTTCACCTGACTATTCTAGTTGGGCGCGTTCGTATCTTAGCGGTTGGGAGTAGTACGTTTGGTGTGTCTATGTGTGTCTATTCTTTTACGAGTGCTCGTATGTACTACCAATTGACTCACTATCCGTGTCTTATCGGTCTCTTGTTCCTGCGCAAATGTCTTAGACGCATATACGTATTCGATGGAGTCTAGGCTTGCACACCGTTTTTGTTGTCCGGAAAAAGGGTGGACCCTGTGATATCACATCACCGCCTCTTGGACGGCCCGTCCCAGAGGGATCCCGCGACGAAGGAAAAGAAGATGAAGACAAAAAGGATGAATAAATCACAGGAAAAATTCCTCCAGCTCCAGCTCCAACAGTGGATTGTTTCTCGCCTAAACGCCCCAAACGACCCCAGGGTACAGTAACATACAGTATGGCCGTCAATGCAAAAATTCATATCGAGGGCGGCGGCATGTCGGAGGGAATCCAAGCTGCTGTAAGCGGGATCCATGCCCGCCGACCCCCCATTAAAGCCATACGCTGGGCGCCTCAGAAAGACAGCTTTTTTCGGCCCTAGCAGTTAAGAGTCTGACTGGCCATCAGAGAAGGGAAGGCGATTACAAAGTGATATCACCGATGGGAATACCTACTGCAAGTACTCGTCGTACTGCTTCCCGTCAATGGAAATTTCCTCGAGCGTACGAAGTACTTGTACATGGTGCCATATATTGCTTCCTACGCTCGTGATACGAGAATTGCCTGCAAATGAGAGTGATTCAGAACGGGCATTGCATTGCCGCCGCACCTCGAGGTGACAGCAAGACCCCATGTGATCGTAACATCTTTCTCTCTCTCTCTCTCTTTGTCTCACAGGGAATTCTCTCCTGTCCCATCAATCACCGCCGCGCTATTGGTACGGGTGCATCATAGTCGAAAAGCTCGCCTTGCTCGAAATGGAACGATACGAGGGCACGTTTGCGCCTGGTTTGGGCTCGACCTCGCCACTGGATTCGGCTTGGCTTCGCCTTTGATAGTGCGCGGGAAAAGGCAAAATGTCTTTTTTTGGAAACCCCATGGCGTCACTATTCGTTCGATGTGGGCGAGGTGAGCCCTTTTTTTGCAATTTCCACCTTGTTTTCTGCGAATCTTTGTACGAAGTAGCTTTTTTGCCATCTCGACGACCTACAGGTACTATATTTTTCATTGGAACACAGTGCGTAGGGCAAGTGGTTCGCGACGACGATCCCCGGGTAAGGCTGGGACATACGGGTGGGAAACGGTGTGTGGCTGTGCCCCTGATGCGCACTGTACACTTGCGGCGAAACGTTGCGTCTGGTTTTCCCTCGTAAAGCTGAGCTGCTGCGATGAGCTTTTGCAAAAGCCGAAGCAGATTCTCCGTTGCGGCTTGCGGGTACAGGTACATTCGTACCTACAGTACCTACGAGTACCAACCACCTGCCTGGAGACCGCGAAAACGTGGAGTTGGTGAATGGGGGCGCTGCGGCGCTATGACGTCTTATTGTCCAATGAACATGCGCTATTGCAGTCATCCTTCCAAAAGAGGATTAGACCGTTGTGTCTCAGAACCAGTCAGCTGTGAGGGGAAAAGAAGAAAAAAACGGGGGAAGGCACAACCACTGCTACTAGCCACACTTGGGGCCTCGTCCAGCGAATCGAGCGCCAGGAAAGCTCGTATTGCTCTGTGTCTCGCCATTTTTTTCTCTTCTCTTCTTTTTCACTCGTTTTCCGTGCTGGCTGGTATTGTGTGGCGCCGGCCGCTGCACCGCGCAGCCGCATTCTTGCTTGGCGCCTCTCATCTCCTGCTGGCCTATTGCTGGGCCTCGAGCCACGAGTGGCTGGCCAGGTAGCGCTACCTCCGAGTACAGCCGCCGCCACCGGGCGCCGCGCCCTGCGGACTGTCGGCCAAGTACGGGCCAGGTACCGCTACCCAGCGACGGGCTGCGATGGGGCGACGCCAGACAGGACCCCTGGTTAGCACCGTCATGGTTGGGGCCCGACTACGCTGCAAGCTCCCTTTTCCGCTGCTGGTGCTGGTGCTGGTGCTGGTGCTTGTACGAGTAGGTATCCAATACGAAGAGCTACGAGTGCTGCTGCTGCGTCTGGGCCCTCATCGTCACGCCTGAGTTGTTCTTTTGCACCTGCGAGGGCCCAATTCCCGACGGGCTAACCGTGATACGAGTGCTCGTTGGCCGGTACCGAGTACTCGCCCGATACGACCGGCCACAACGAGGACACTTTGGCATACCTCAGCCAAGAGGGATCGGCGCACACGAGCGGCTTGTCACTCGGCGGCCGCTAACCTCAATGTGCAGGTACCAGCTCTCGTACCTGTACTTGGACTCCCGGCATTCGAGGGACCCTGGCCGCCTCCCTGCATGTGCCTTGTTTGGGTTGCTGGGACAAGACAACCTCGTATCAAAGGCACATCCAGACGGACTGCATATATAATATCACGTCGTGTCCGCCGCACACCTCTTTCCCTCTGTTTCTGGTCCATCCCATCAACTACTACACTCGCTAGTTACGCTCAGCTTCTGCTGTACTCTCGTTCAACGAACCAAACATCTACCTACATCCGCCTAATATCTTAATATCACCCTCACCTCCGTTTTTACCTATTATAAAAACAGAAAAAACCCACAAATTACATTCAAGATGAAGACCTCTGCCATCATCGTCGCCGTCACCGCCGCTCTCGTCAGCGCCCAGGCTCCCCCCGAGGGCACCAACAAGGTGACCTGCGCCAAGCCCAACGCCAACTACTGCTACGGCGGCGATATCATTGTTCGCTGCGATGCCAACGGCGTCGGCACTGCCGGCCGCTGCTCCGACAACGTTGCCGGATACCCTCCTCTGGGCGGTGTTGCTGAGTGCTGGCAGAGCACCGAGACCTCTGGTGACGCTGCTTGCCAGAAGAACGTAAGTTGATCCCCCCATCTTATACACGACACCCTCGTGGGATGAGGATGAACATGAAGCTAACATCATCACCAGTGCGTCGTCTACGCTCAGCCTTCTTCATTCACCCTCGCTGCTGCTCAGTGCACCCCTAGCTTCACTGCCTCTGCCACCTCTGCTCCGGCCACCACCCTGACCAGCATCATCGCTGACCCTACTGGCAGCGGCAGCGCCAGCGTGATTTACACCACCGTTGTCAACGGAACCGTCACCACCACTGTTCCCTGCACCACTGTGCCCGTCGGTCCCTCCACCACTCCTGCTGGTCCCATCATCACGACCACTCCCACCGGCCCTATCGGCACTGGTGTTCCTCCCCCTCCTCCCCCCCCTGCCAACAACGGCACCGCTCCCGGAGGTCCCTCTGGTACCAACACCCCCGTTGGCCCTACCTCTGCCGGCCCCAGCACCATCCCCACCAACGCCGCCGTTGCCAACCGCGCCACCGGCGCTCTGGCCGTCATGGGTCTCGTTGCCGCTGCTTTCCTCTAAGCGAGCGGCCCATGTTCCTTGATCTGTCAAGTGAAATAACGTTTACGACTGATTTCAAAAATCTCATGAGTTTGAGCATGATTCTATGAAATGTCTGGCGACGACAGAAAATCAACACGAGAAACTTTAATGTCGATGGTCACGAAGGGGGAAATTGGGATGTCGCTTGCGTCCGACTTTGGTCGTGCTCTTTTACTTTTAATTCATTTGCGAAGGGTTGTACATAACATGGTAGCAAAAGAAAGAAAGAAAAAAACAAGACAAAGATTGGAGGGGAAGATTTATTATACCTTGGGAAGTTAATCTTTTGGATCTTGGGAGTTTGCTTTTTTATTTATTAGATACTGAAGTATGATGGAGGGGGGATACACACGCGGAACACGCATTATACCTTTGAGCATGTGCGAGGTGGCATGCCTTGACAATGGAAATATTTATTACTTTGACGAAATCGTATTGTGTCTTTTCTCGTGCCTTGTCTTGATTAATATTGACATTAATATGTATAGGTAGCATGATGTAAACTATATCTTGCTGTCAAGTCATCTATAATATGTATAGCATGGTGTAAACTATATCTTGCTGTCAAGTCATCTACAATATGTATAGCATGGTGTAAACTATATCTTGCTATCAAGTCATCTATTATAATATGTATAGCATGGTATATATCAAAACATGCCTGTCGCTGTAAAACAAAAAGAACGAATATATGTAGTCATCGCTGCTGCGCCCATTTCTTCGAATTCATAACCCACAGCTGCGGCGCCTCGCCCTCCCCATCATAGATGTAACTCAAATACAACGAATACCGAAACAATGCCTGCCGCAGCGTCTCCTCCGTAACCTCATCCATCCCCACCGTGCTCCCAAAGTTGCACGCCGTCACACTGTCCGCCTCGGAAACAACATCACTGTCCTCGCCATCGCTCCACGCCGCCGACGACGACACGGACGAGGCCCTCGACGTCGCGGGGCTGGGACACGGCGTGCCGCGCAGGGCGACGTGCATGGCGAAGAGGAAGCTTTCGGGGACGGGCAGGCCGCGGGGCACGGAGCAGCCGGGGGACCAGATGGCCTTTGGACGGCGGTTGAGGTCGGCGGCGAGCTTTTCGATGGTTTGCTGGGCGGTGGCTGGGTCGATGAAGGTGGCGAGGGTGGTGAATGTTGGTTTGGCGAGGGCGGCGTTGAAGGCTTGGCAGGTGAGGCGGGCGGATTTGTAGGAGGAGGGGGGGAGGTTGGTGAGGATTTGGGAGACGAGTTCGAAGGGGAGGGAGTCCATTTTAGTTTGTGGGTGAGGAGATTGGGTGTTAAGATGAGGTTGTTGTGTGGATGTGCGTGTAGTATGTATTATTGTAGAGATGGTGTCGTGTGTATTCTGAGTAAGTGAGACGGTTTATGTGTGTGATATGTCGTCGTCCGTGTTGGTTTGAGTGAGTATCGTGTGATTGTATGTGCTGGACATGTGCTGCAATCTGTTGTTCGTATAAGGCTGATATGCGTCTCTAGTATTGGTAGTATAAAGTAATGGTGACTTCACAACATCATTAAAACCATACGATCGTTAGAAAAGGGAAGAAGAAGAAGAAGAGTAACAGATCAAACCAGGACATCTAACAGCGAGGAATCACGGTCAGATATATACCTCTGCTCCCCAAAAGCCACCTCGTGAGCTTTACCCTCAAGGTTCGCCCTCAAGGTTCACACACGCCCCCCTCTCAACAACCCAATCACACAGCAAGCCGGGACCCGGGATTCCCACGCAGATCCATTCATCGTTTTTGCGGAGAGCGACGGGGTCTGTCCTGATCCTGCGCTGACTCTTATCTTGCCCAAGCTAGCCTGGATCTCTGTGGCCTCCCCCCTTTTGCTGCCTTGTCTGTTCGCCCCCCTGAGAATCTACCTCGGGGGGCTTGCTCAAGTTCGCATCCTGACGTGAGACCGCCCCAACTCAAGACCGCCTTTTTTGGTGTCTACTACCTGAAAAGAGGCGACCGTCCATTAAAGCTCGCCCATTTCATGCCCGGCTCCCGCTTTCCCACGCGGACGCGGACTCGGACTCGGAAATGGGCTGAGTCAAGTGGCAAGCCTCCTTAGGGCTGACGGATTCGTTTTAGGAAATAAACGTTGGCTCCAATCCACGTAAAGATTCCGAGGTTTTGCTGACGGCGGACCTATTTAGCTAACAAGGGCGTGGGTCATTTTTTCGTCTTACATCCGTGGAACTGCTCAGCACATCAAATCTCCGTTCCTATTTGTATTAAAATCCGAATAAAAAGCCAAAACGCGCATGTCACACATTTGCTATTGGATCAACCTCTCGATAAGTAAAAAACAACAAAAGTAAAGTAGTAGTGCGGGAGGGTGGGCGTGTGAATAGAAAAAAGATTGCGAATTGGGCTGTGTCATGTCTGTCGTTGGTGGTTTTTTCGTCCCAAAGTAGCATGCTGATCGTGGCGGGTCGAATTGAATTGAATCGCAAATAACCAACTACCGGCTAATCGTGTGTTTTTTTTTTTTTCGCCGCGGGGAATACCCAACAGCCAAGACCATCACGAGGAAACGTCTTTTGTTCTCCAATTCCAAATAGAAAGTAACAATAGGAATTCTAGCCTCTGCGGCAAAAAGCGCCGTCTTCGCCGGTTCTCGGGTTAGAGAGCGCGTGGCTTGGAAAAAAAAAAGCCGGGGAGAGGATTCGCAAACTACCCACCTAGGGATCCATCCTCAAGTCCGATCTGAGAGCGATTTCGAGGGGAACCGCATTCGGAAGGTTTGCGCGAAAACGTTGAACGGGGTATAGAAGTCGCAATTTTTTCTTTTTGGTGAATATGTGTGACTGGTGATGATGATCGCTACGTGGCCTATGGAGGTGAATGACTCGTAAAGTTGTCCTGCTGGCCTGCACTCGCGTTGATGAATGGTGCCAAGGCTGCAGGAATATCACGGCGATGGAAATTACATGCAGGTTGATGTTTTGCCCTTGCTTGAAGCCACAGTAAATACGTGGCAGCAGTTTCACTTGCAGCTGATATCCAACTCTCTGTGCCTAGCTGAACATGAAGATGGCAAATGGCATTGGACATCGAGCAGGGCTTAGCGACGCATCCACGCTCTACCATCGCAACCTCTCCTTACTCAATCGAGGCACATTGGGGGCAAGTTGCATCAAATACCGTCCGCCAATCAATCAGACAACGACTCCGGTCCCCCAGACAAGAAAGAATGGTGAGGCAAAGATCCACTACTCCGCAGAATCTGGCAAACCAAACGCCGTTTTAGTGGGCGCGTCCGGCTAAGTGGGAACTTTGGCAACCTGTTGGATGGCTGTTTTGTTTGTCGAGGGCTTTAATCATGCGGATGTTGTGCAGGGGGAAACTGGTGCAGTAGCTGCCACGGCATCCGGGAGTGTGGTCTTGAAGTAGTACATGTATGTATCCATGGGCGTGATGATTGTAGGTGTTGGTTTTCGGAACTGGGTTCGGAATGGATGGAGGAGATGATCAGCTGCTCGTGGGAGTATACCCGCGGGATCCATAATGTTGTATACATACTTGAGTTGATCACGTTGTTAATTGAACCGTCGGATAGGAACGTCGGATGCCTTCTTCTTTGAGGTTGGAATTGAATCATCGGCTAGACCAGATGAAAGTGTCCCATGACTACCTATGGATATGTGAACAATCCATGATTTCATTTATAGTCATGTAGATAGTCTAACCATGGTAGAAAACTCGACAAGAGTACCCAAAAACGGTAGAGGCGAATTCCCTCCAGGGAGAGTGGAATCAGGCTCAGTTGATGTGACAACATGCATGTATATAGGATACGCAATCTCACGTATATCAAGTTACCAAGAGATTCAGAATCATCATCATCGACATCTCATCCAACATACACTCTATACAGCAACAATGTCTTCTATCCTCCCGTCTATCCCGCTTCCCACCGTCCATGCGCTATATCCTCTTACTCAACCTCCTCCGTCTCCTGTTTCCACCACTCCTGCATCAACCTCAACCTCTCCGTCCTCTCCCTCGCCATCTCCCTCCCCACATCCGTCTTCATCATAGTCTCCAGCTTAAGCAGCTTCTCCTCGAAATGGCCAATCGAATCCCCCAAGTCCCTCCCCTTGGCTCCGCCAAACGCAAACACTCGTCCAATGCCCACCGCTCCAATGGCGTCTAGTCGATCGGCGTCCTGCACAACGGCAAGTTCCGGGTGTTGTTTGATGAGATCCCGCACACGTGCCAGGTCCTTGATCTCGCTCGAGTAGCTCACCCCCAGACAGATGACCTGAATCTTCTCCGCCAACTCCTCCGACGCACCGAGAGACGTGAGGGCCGTATAGATCATGCGTGAGGCGTCTTCTCCGGGCTTGAGGTACTTCCTGTCGCCTACGTCGTGCATGAGGGCCGCAAGGGTGACGATGTCGCGCTCCGTGTTGGGCACTTGGGCCTGGATCGTCTGCGCGAGATGTACCACGCGCTTGATATGGCTGTAGTCGTGCGAAGGGTCATAGTTGGCCATGTAGACCTTGATGTAGTCGGTCACTTTGGCAACGAGCGCCGGATCGACGGTGAGAGGGGAGCTCATGGTTGACACTGGCAATAAATGCAGACTGTGAAATCTATGTGTGTGTGGCTTTTAAATTCCCTCTGCCAGTAGCGGAGGATGTGTTTTTGTTTGTTTGTTTGTTCCTGTTCTTTTTATTTAGATAACACAATGTTTCCTCTTGGCCAAAGTCTTTGTCCCTGGCTTTTTGCTCATATGGAAATGTCCAAATCACCAGCTTGGTAAGTCACAACCAGACCTAATTGTCCAATGTCTGTCAATTCAACGTTGGAATGCATTCGCTTTCAAGTACCTGGGACGGATGACTGTTGCATTATATACATGGAGGGATGAGGCGGATGCCCTGGCTGATGCTGCGTGTTTTGCTTGTTTGGGCTCGCCGTGAATGAGTTGCAAAGACAGGCTGCGGTGCAATTTATCCACCAAAGTGAGTCAGCCGGCGATGGCCCACGTGACTTTGTTTTCCTCTGTATCGACCCGTTCGTGGGTATTTCGGGTTGGATCTTGGAGTGAAGATGAGGCTACACCGTGCATTTTCAAGATGAATTGTCCATGGAAGATCATTGAATAATGAATGATTATTTTGCCTTGTAAAATTAGCCCAGATGTGTTGGAGGGGAAAACGGCTGGCTCATCGAGTGTAGCCCTGAGCTTATTCGGTCACCCATGTCGAGTTGGCTGCCATTTACAGTGGCATTCCATCCACACGGTAACATAAATGATGAAATATCTCTCCAACCCTCCCGTTCCAGATATTACAAAGGCAAGCTCTTCTTCAATCTCATCCTCCAATAAACTCCAACATCATGCACGCCGTTTGCCGTTATTCTCAATTCTCATGTCAAAGAACAGCCCGGAATAACTCCGGCCCTCATACCGTCGACTCCACCTTTATGATTAGTCACCACTCAGATTTGCTCTTCCTGATCCCTGGTGGTGGAGAACAAACTACTCCAAGCGGGAAGCAATTCATCCATCTCCACTCATGCCACCACAGGCCATCTTCGATCTAGCGGGCAGCCACTCGTTTAACTCGCTAAACGCCTGAATGTTGATCATGGCGGCAGTTCACGCGGGAGTCGACTTCAAGACGATGCTGCGCTCGGGGCAGTTTTCCGACTTGACGCTGGTTTGCCAGGGGAAAGAATTCAAGATTCACAAGGTCGTTGCCTGCCCGCAGTCGCCTGTGCTTTCTGCCGCCGTCAGCGGAGAGTTCAAGGTAAGCAGGGAGGCACACGGGCGAGTAGTATTTCGTACCGAGTAGAGCAGGCACTGAATCTGGATGCAGGAGAGCCAGACAGGCGTCGTCCAGATTGAGCTCTTCGACAGCGAGACGGTCAAGCGCATGGTTGACTTTCTCTACACGGGAAATTATGACTGCAGCCACCCCCCGAACCCCCCAAGTCAGAACATAGGTTGGTTCATGTCGTAGACCGGGACGGAGTACCAGCTGGTGATTCTAACCTGTACCTGTTACTTAGTACCTGGTAATCATCCTGCTGTTGCACATGCTGCCGTGAAAAGTACAAGCACTCCAGCCTCAAAGACAACAAACACCACCCTCCCAGCGCCTGCTGCTGCTGCTGCTGCCGCTACAAGCACTCAAGACACGTTGACTCATGTGCGAGTAAATGCAATTGCGGATTACTACGGCATTCAAGGTCTCACGCTGCTTGCCAATCAAAAGATCCAGCAGGCATACCAGGCCAAGTGGGATGCCAAGGCGTTTCTCACTTCAGCGAAAGAAGCCCTCGACAACACCGGTGACAAGAAGCTGCATGGCATGATGGCACTTCTAGCAGCGCAGCATCTGGAAGAGCTGATTGCTTCTTCCCAGCTGGCCGACTTGGTTGGCGATTTTGCTGCCGAGGTCCTACGCTACCATGCCCATAAATTGGAAGCGTCTAAACAAGAGCAACTCCAAACGATCCGCCAGGAGCAAGTGGCAGCCCAGACACGACAGGCAGAGGTCCAGGCCCTGTCCCAGGCCGCCGAGGCCAAGACTGGCCGCGTCATTGCGAATATCAGCAGAGTGGTTACCATGATGTGCGAGAGGCAATATTGCCGGAACAATGCCTGTGGAGAGGATTTTGGTTGCTATCTTGAGCAAGTCGGCGTCGATGAGCCCGCGTATGTTCTTCGGTGTTCTTGGTGTCGGTGCAGGCATTAACCTGTTATCCTTGCCGACTGTGGAGAGGCATCGAGTGGGCCATTGAAACAATGTTTTGTACATCTGCACACACCAGTTATAAATCCGTCATAGCAGGCCTTTTGCCGCCGACGCTAGAGACATGTCACACCTAGTTATATGCATCTGATTAATGGAAATCATGGCTACTACTTTGTAAATTACCAGCAAATGTTGAATGAATCATCAATCATCATCCTGGGTAGGACACAGAAGAGAAGAGGGGGAAATATGCAAGGGAGATGCCGCACGGGAGCACAAGACACAAGACACAAGACATGTGCAAAGCCACTTTGCTTTAGTCGGACGGTCGCCTTGATGGGCCGCAGGAGGATGCGGTGATGCCTCTGTGCCTCTGTCCGTGAGGATGGTGCGGAGTCCTTCGCCCGCGTCCTGCCTTGGCTGCGTGGTATTAGAGAAACTAAACGCCGTCAAGGGCAAACTAGTTGATTCTAGCTGCGGGCATTGCGACGGAGGCCATGAGAGACACATCATGATCCATGCTATCGTGCCGTCATGGCTACCAATACTTGCGATAGTACTTGGTATATCCCATCACGCTTACACCACACGTTGGTCGCTTCTCATGCGGCCTCGACGGGGAGATGCGGATGATGCCGTGGTTGGTCTCGTTTGGCGGCCGCTGAAGGCCCGTCTGAAGGCCCAGCCATGAGGTGGAAGCCTGCTTTTACCGGGTGTTGAGTGTGATGTGACCAAGTGCGGCTGGAGACGGACAGGGATCAAGGTGTTGTGGGATTTGGAAGAAACATGCCGTTATCGGGGTTATGAATATAGCCTGCCTAATGCATTTGCCCAACTCAGGCAGCTAAAAGCTCTAGCGGCCGAGAATCAGCCGGACCTGAGCTTGGTGGGGCGGTCTGGTCTTTGTCTGGCATCTCGTCACGAAACTTTCAGCCTTGTGATAGCGTGCCTCTCTTTTTGAAACCCCAAACGCCCGACGCCAGCAGACAAGATGAGCTTCGTGCCGGTCAACCCGCGGCCTATGCTGCAAGATCTCGTCGACAAGACGGTCCTCGTCCGCCTCAAGTGGGGAGAGACGGAGTACAAGGGCAGACTGGTGGTGAGTTGGAGCCGGAGACGAGTTCGAGGCGGTCCCCCCCCTGGAGAATGCTAATTGCGCCTTGCTACTTCTAGTCCATCGACAGCTACATGAACCTGCAGCTGTCCAACACGGAGGAATACCTCAACGACAAGCTGACGGGCGAGCTGGGCCAAGTTCTGATCAGGTAGGACGCGCTTTGCTTTTTCCCTCCTCGTGCTTTTGTTCATGGGGTTTTAACGATTACGGTATAGGTGCAACAACGTTCTTTACATCCGCGGAGCCGACCAGAAGGAAAGCGGTGGAGATACTAGAATGGAGGATTGAAGAGGGGATACATGAGAGAGAGAGAAAAGACGCAGACTTCTTCCGCTGAGCGTTGGATTACTAGGCGTTGAGGCTTGACTTGCTGCTGGGATGGGGGGGGGGGGGGGGATGGGAAGCTGTACAGACTATCGCACGGATATTGCTCAGGGGAAATTTCCACGATTGGGACGAATTAAATCGATCTCGATGTCGACACCTGCAACCGAAAGAATGATATACCAGGGCGTACAACAGATGGGATAAGGAGGCCGTGATTACTACAGGCATCATCTCTCGGAATATATTTAGCTGTTCATTATCAGCATCTGTCTTTTTTTTACACTCGGATCGATGCTTTTTGCAGAGTTTGTTTGACATGTGAGAAGCTGAATTATTGGAGGTTGGAATATTGGCTTCACTATGGCCTTGCAAGGTTGTTGCTTGCGATTACTCCGAGGTCAGTTGAGTGGCATTGAGGATACCCTGGAGCCAGCTTTGGAAACGGACATGTGATGTCAGCTCCTCACGAGTTCATCAATCAATCAATCAACTGGAGCATAGGTACATGGAGTCCTACTGCTCTACCTGCCTTGTCTGAGCATCGAAATGATCTACACTGACTTCGACACAGCAGGACTACTATCCATGACCGAGCATTAGTAGCATATCGTATGACTGCTTAGATGCATATCGTTCTCCGTCGACAAGCGGCTATGGGGCAAGTGAAGTTGCTCCTCGGGCCTTGTATCCACCGCCATTGTGTGATCAAAATCCTGCGTCTGCAGTTTTAGCTTGGTTGTCTTGTTTGTTTGTTTGTTCGCCTATGATCGTATGCACTCTGTCGATGCTACCTCGGTCCACCCGCAAGCGCTTCGACGAATCACGGCCAGCTCGGGCGCGCACCAAGAGGAAACCAAAAGGACACCAAAAGGACACCAAAAGGACACCATCGTGCGTAATTACCGGCTGCAATCAGGCCACGAGCCAGTCACAGCAGGCAGAGGCCCCGCGCCCGGCTCTGCAGGTGACGAGACCTGCTGGCGGCAGTCCAATGAAGCGCCGCATCTAGACGCCGGCAGCGCTGTGGATGGGCGCCACACATGAGTGGTCAAAGGCGGTTAACCGCCCAAACCCCTGCCGGGTGAGGGGGAGACGGACGCCGAGATGCATGCAGAAGCGGCCGTGGTGTGCGACTTTGCCGCGTTATTGGCCCGCCGTGATGGGCTCATCCATGGCAAGCCGGCCCAAGAGGTTGCAGGCAACTTTCACGGCTCATCTTCCCCCTTGCCTCTTGGGGCCTGGTCTAGGCTGTGGCCGGGCCAAATCGTGACGGCCTCTCCCTCGGGCCCGCGCTTTGCAAAACGTATATCAAGGCGGCCAACACCCGTCTGTATGTTTCTCTTTTTTTCTTGTTCCTCAGCAAGTTCTGCCAACCTCAAATCCACCTTTCTGTTTTTTTCCCCCTGTTTTTTTTTGTTTTTTTTTTGTTCTGGAGCTGGTCTCCCTTTTTATCTTCTAATATCACATCTCGTCTTCACTTACACAAACCCTTACATACGTCAACTACACCATCAAACATCTCAGTTGCCGGTCAGCTTGAGACGAGATAATTTTTTTTACATTGATTTTTTTTTTTTTTTTTTTTTTTTGCAATTTTTACGCCCTCACGACATCTTAATTGATACCCCCCTAATAAACAGAATTGTGGATTTCACTTGCTCGCTGGCGATCAACACCATTTTTTACACTTTGCCCAAGAATCACTAGAACTCCTACGACAAGCATCTCCCTAATCACAACAACTTAATACCCACTAATCAACATGTCTTCCATCCAACTCTCATTCTCTCTCCGCGTCTCTTCTGGCGTCAAGACCGTCCACCTTCTCGGCTCTTGGGACAACTACGTTGGCCAGCTTCCCCTTGCCAAGGACAAGAACTCCAAGTCCGGCACCGCATGGAAGGGTACCTTCAAGTTCCAGAACTCCACCCTCGAGGCTGGCAAGCGATACTGGTACTACTACATCATCGACGGCTACCACGTCGCTCACAACCCTTCCGTTGAGTCCACCACCGAGCCCACCACCGGCCGAGAGCTCAACATCCTCGACGTCACCGAGGACGGTTCCAAGTCATCCCACAAGTCAAGCAGCAAGAGCTCTTCCCGACACTCTTCTTCCAAGGACAAGTCTTCTCGCCACCGTGCTTCCCTGACCGTCGACATCCCCAAGGGCCGACCTCTCTCCATCTCCCAGATCAAGGCCCCCAAGCCCATGTCTCCTCACGCCACCAAGCACATCCTCCAGTCCGACTACGAGGATCTTGAGGAGCTCACTGCCCGCTTCGGCAGCGCCGGCCTCGAAGACGACGTCCTCACCGACTTCAGCACCTCCCCCGTCTCCTCCAACGGCTCCAGCCTCTCGTACCGCTCCGACAGCTCCTCCCCTAGCTCCTCGCTCTCCGGCTACAGCACCCCCAGCTCCGACTGCAGCTCGTGCACCTGCGAGCGCTACGGAATCACCCGCAAGGGCGAGCGTGTCAAGATCGACTGTGGCGGCTCCCGATGCGGCTACGAGGACAGCTCCGACTGTGCTAGCGACGTCAGCGACGACGAGGAGGCCGAGTACGAGGTCTCTGCCCGCCGCAATGGCATCATTGTTGGTTGAGCGACTTGGACAATGCCTGATGATGATGACGGATGAAACGATGATGAGAATAAGACAAGCATGTTTATTCCCCACGACAGGGCAGACGGGCTGCATAATGATCCTGCAACGTCTGTGCCTGCTCGGTGACACACATTAATGTTGTTGTGTGGTAATGTATACACAAAGCACTCGCTTTTATACAATCATTCCCCACCGCGCCGCACCACAGGGCGAGATCAACGCAGCACTCCAAGCTGGTTCTTGGATAATGGTGCTCGTCATCTTCTGCACCTGGAGCGCGTGTGATGACCATCTGGGTCGATGCTGCGGCCCCCCGTGGAGTGGTCCCTCCCATTTCCACGGGTTGTTTTGTTTTTGTTGATTCTTGAGCCACCTTTTTGGCAAAGAGTCGGATAAGAACCACTCTTTTGCTCATTCAGCCAAGACCGGAGTATCATCCCCCTTTTTTCCCGTCTCTCGTGGAAGACACAGAGCAGGAAAATAAGGGGGTTGGCCAGCTCCGGGCAACATTTTGCGACAAGGTCATGGATGTGGCCTTTCGGGATCAGGTTATGTAAAATGATTTCGGAGGGCTAGCCAGAAAAAAAAGATTGTGGATGAGGGGGAGGTTTATGGCAGATGGTTAAGGATTTACTGCCGTGTTGGATACTAGATAGATGACTATATTGAATCTACGAGTACTGACTGATGAGATAAATGATTTGATCTACTTTTGCTATTGTGATGTTATGCCAGTGAACGTATCGGAATACACTTCTGCTTCTATGGGCACTAACATGATGGGAATGATGAACTTTGTGATTTCTTGCTTTGGTGAACACGAATCGAAATCCGCCTACGTTAGATGACTGAGCAAACCAAGATTCAAACTCTGGGGCGCCAGATATAGTGAAGAGCACTGGGTCTGTGGATACTAAAATTAAGTCTTAGAACAAGTATCTATACCAAATCGATGGAGTAAATTCCCATGCTGATACATGGCAAAACTTGTATGCTTTGAAGGCTGAGTTTTACCATGAGATAGATACCTTGGCAGAGAAAGGTTAACGATGATATCGAAGCCACTCTATGCGATGAGGCACTGGATACTTTTTTTCGGCCTGGGAAAATGTACAGCTGTCAGGTACCTGCTGGGCAGCTTTTTCTTTTTGGTTCTTTTTTTTGCCCGTTGAACGTTGAACTTTTTTTCTTCCCCTTGCAGACGCGATTAAACTTTTTATGCGAATTGTTTCTCCCTTTGTCTTTGCTTGCCCCGTCAATGGTTTTCACGGTAGAGATGGCATCGAACTCGTCATTTTCTTCTCTTCTGGCGGAATTCTGCAACATGGAGCAGTTTGAACCAGAGGCGCCCCGGGAAGATGTTTTGCAGCATGGAGAAGAGATGCAGGATGTGATGATGGCCTCTATGCAGCAAGAGGATGCCTCTCAGGAAACCGGACAGCCTTGTGAAAAGGTAGAGCAAGGGAGCAATGGTGTAGAGGAGCGCACAAATAAGTTTGGTTTCCCTGATTTCTATGTTTGGTCTGTTTTGCGATTAACTCGGGAATAGGGAGCCTCACGTCGAATGCACACCGGTGAAGGATGAGGGTGAGGGGACATGGCAGGGACAATGGGAGACGGTATTTCCTAAGAGCAAGGCCGTCGCGAGAGATCTGTGGTATGGGGTGAAAGGCCTCGGACAGAGTATGTGGCTCTGCATCTCCCTTGAGATGATGAAAAGAAAAGCGTGCTGACACCAAAAAAGGTCTGCTTCAAAGCTCACATTCGAACTATTCTAGTACAACGGAACAGCCTGCGCCTGCAAAGCGACGAGGATGCCGTGGGGGGAGAAGACGGAAGAGCCGGAAAGAATCAGAGGAAGACGATTGGGTCGTTGTTGCGGACGATTTCGACATTTTGGTTTTCCTGGATGATTAGTAGATTAGTCAAAGATTCGAGTGTATAATTTCGGGGCTGGGAGCTATTTCCAGCTCTTGCTCTGTCAAGAGTTGCTTCTTTTTGGGGGGTTTTTCTTTTGGTCTTTGGAGTACTGGATGCTGGATTAAGCGAGGCGTATGGGATATCTGGATTGCTGGAGCTGAGATGCTTTCCCCCTTCACAACTAAACCTCTACACAAGTACGAGTACAGCTAGTTGAATCGAGACTCTACTTGGTTGCCTATAACCCTGGATGGAATGTAGTTGTAGTTGTAGTCATGGTCGGTCTCGATCGTAGGCCAAGGCTAAAGCTGACTCGAGCTGGAGAAGAGCGTCTGACATTCTGCAAGGATAGTACGTGTAGGATCATGCAAATCAGCCAACTATGATGCAGAACCACAGTCTGTTCAGAACAAAGTCTAGAAACCCAAGGCCAAGCAATAGTATATATCGCAAGCCCATGCCTGGCATCCCTTCGTATTACCCTGGGCCGCCCTCCCTCCCTCAACGGCGTAGCGCCGGGTGACGATGGGGCCTCGAGTTCAGCTCGCCACTATGCAAGCGACTAGACCGGATGGAGCAGAGCCTTGTACAAGGGCTCCAGGAACGCCGGCTTTCTAGGAGGGAGGCGAAAGCTCGCTAACCGTTGGATGAGGCGTATCCACGGAGCTATTCGTTCGGTGTCTCGGCAACATTTTGTATAAATAGATGAGAGTCAGGCGTTGAAGATGTAGGGAAAATTGAAAAGAGGAATCGCCGAAACTGAGAGCGTATGGTGTACAGATGCTTGCATCATGGATCTGCGAATTGGGGAGAGGAGGTGGATGGGCGTTGCTTTTGTCGGGGATGCAGGGAGGGGGAAAGCCGGTTTGACACGTCATTTTCGCGAGTTGAGATGGACAGAGTTCTAGATCCGTTGCTACTAGTTGCAAACACGGTCTGACGGCATATGGTCTGGTGGTACTGCGTCTTGTGCGAGGCCGAGACGGGACATAAGATTTGGTGTTTTCGGGTGTTGTTGAATGGATCGAGGTTTTACAATACGAGTACCCAGATACAGCACAGGCTTGGATTTTATCGGGGATGGGGGCCCTAGACGAGCTGATTGCCCGTACAGTGGATGCCTGTAGGTGCTGAAAGTGCTGAATGCTGCCTGTAAATTGCCCGTTACCAGCCACTGCGCCCTGTAATCAACAGCCAAAGCACATGGAACTTCTGTCAGTATTCACAAAGACCATCTCCTCTCACCCTCTCTTGGCAACTTGGCTTTCTCGCTTCTTGTCATCACCGCATCTCTTTGACGTCGAGTCTGAGACATTCCGCCTCTAGCGCCGCATCGCCTATTCGCTGTGCCGAACCGAGCAAATCGTCCCAACAGGCCGCCAGCATCATCCGCACGCCCCAAATCTCGCCTTACCTCTGTCGCCTCCCTCTCCACCACAGACCCGCCGTCGCTACGAACCGTCTGAGCCCACTCGTACGAGTATTACTGCGCTGCTAGTTTAGTACGAGTACGACCCTAATGCCCCCATCTCGTTCATACCTACACAGGTTCCTGTAGCCCTGCGAGAGGGCTGGACGCTGGCTGGAATTAGCCCGAGCCTTGTGACTGGGGGACTCGCCGACGACAAAATGTGCCGATCGCTTGCTGAATCTGGCTGGCCATTGGCCCTCTCCGCATAATGGCACCCAAGACACAGAGGCGCATCTGCATTTCCGATTGGCGACAGATAACAGGGGACATCCTGGAGGCCGTGACCACGTCTGGGCCGCAAAGCCTTGCGTGCGCTGTCGCTGCTGTTGCTAGCACCAAATGTTATTGCCCCCTTTGATTGCCATCCACTTCCCAAGGTGCAGAATGGGGCATCTTTGGCGGCCTGCCAAAGACACTGCCAATTGCGCCGTTGCGAGGGGGGCCGGAAGAGGCTGACTGACATCCATCGCTCCTCTTGTCCCCTCTTGTCAAAGATTACCAGCCCTCAGTTCGTCCCTGCTCGGACCCTGCTCCGTGGTTCCCCAGTTGACAATCCCAGGCTAAACGCTTTTTTTTCTGCGTGGTTGCTCACGACGGCGTTGTGCACAAGGACCAACGAGTACTTGTACAAGTCCAACGCCAACTGAGCTTGTGCGCGGTCGGGCTTGTCTTGATTCTTTGTTATAGCTTTGCCTGGTTGACTCGATTTGATTCCGCTGCTGTGCCTCGCTCGCAATTGAATAATTCCTTACCAACGAGACACGGACGAGACACACGAGATCCGCCTGTTGGCTTCTTCCCAGCGGTGAAGATGTCTTGCCTTTGCGATGCCTGAGCTGCAGTCTCGTTCCCATCGCCAGCCTGTCGATATCGCCATGTCATTGTACGAGCTCCTTCCGAGGGGCCTCGCCGTGGTACGTCATCTTGACTATAATTCCGATCGGTTTCTATCCTGGCGCCTCGAGTCTCGCTTCTACCCACAGCATCGCTGGCCGTGCTGCACCTGCATCTGCACCTGAAGAGCTGAAGCGGGACGCGACAGTTATGGAGCAAGCCACAACCTGAATCGTGCTGTGTACCGTTTGCTTTTGGCTAACCTCTGTTATGTTTCGACTTGTCGTAGCCCAATGACACTCGAGTTGGGTCTAGCCGTGATGGCTCTGACGGCGGTACTCTAAGCACGGCAAATGGCAACAAATCGAATTCTCTGTCTAAACTTGGTGCTACTTTTGCCCCTGTTGCTATATATCTGGGTCTTTGCTTAGCCCTATTCATTTTGCTGCGGCCTCGTTCCAGGCGAGTTTACGCTCCAAGAACTATTCCCAGTCTTCGATACCCAGAGTATGTCCTATCCTTCTCTGACTTTCTATCATTTACGTCTCTGTATCTCCCCTATCTTCGCATTCGTAAATTCCCAAAACCGTTACAATGGCAATGCCGGCACCATATCTCACACAAGGCGTTATAGGAAACCCACTCCTGAATTGCCTTCTGGCCTCTTCAACTGGATCATCCCCTTCTTCAAGATACCAGACACCTACATTCTCAACAATGGCTCTCTTGACGCCTACTTTTTCCTCCGCTATCTCAAGGTCTTACGAAATATTAGCCTCGTTGGTTGTTGCATCGTCTGGCCGATCCTCCTCCCGGTACACGGCACCGGCGGCAATAGTCTTCAACAGCTTGACCTCCTGACCATTGGTAACGTCACCTCCGGGTCCTCAAGACTTTGGGCCCATGCTATAGTTGCTTGGTTATTCTTTGGTAAGATTAGGTTAGCCCTTCTCTACCGCTAGGACACCCGTATTGACATGCAATTGAAGGCTTCGTGCTCTTTACAATTGTCCGAGAGTGCATTTACTTTGTCAACCTGCGCCAGGCATACCTTTCGTCTCCCTATTATGCCGACCGACTGTCGTCCAAAACATTGCTCTTGCTGTGTATCCCAAAGCCTTATCGCGATGAAGCTCGACTTCGAAAGCTCTACGGCGATTCTGCGAAGCGCATCTTCCTACCTCGTACAAGTAAAGATCTCGCGAATCTGGTTAAAGAGAGAGAACAGACAGCTATGCGACTAGAGAAGGCCGAGATTGCTCTTATTAAGAAGGCCAACGCCGCGCGCAACAAATATCTTCGCAAGAACCCCCAATCTGTCAATGTGCTTTATCAAACGGCTAGCAAAGAAACCGAGACTTCCTCAAAGAACGAGATAACCACTCTGGATAGTGGCGAAACCGTCCAGCAATCCAACAGTCCGATCGAGGTAACCTCACCCGGGTCCCAACTTGGAGAGGATATAGAGAATCAGGCAGGCTATACCAACGTTGAGGGGAGCGTCAAGCAGGTCAATCTCGAGGAGGAGGAAGAAATCAAAGCAGAGGACTTGGACTATGTGCATCCATATGGCCTCAGACCCGACTTGGCGGACGTCAGAGGCTCCGTCGCAGCCCAATGGATACCAGCGGAAGCCCGGCCGTATCATCGGCCAATCGGTAATTTTGGCCGTCGAGTTGATACAATCAAGTGGACTCGCAATAGGATCAAGGAACTCAATCTCCAGATTTACAAATTGCGACGCCAAATCAAGAGAGGCGATGCTGAGCCTCTTCCGGCTGCGTTTATCGAATTTGATACGCAGGAGGCTGCCCATGCCGCACAGCAAGTTGTTGTGCATCATTTGCCGCTGCAGATGGCTCCCGGGCTGCTCGGCATTCGCCCAGACGAGGTCATATGGGAATCTCTGCGGATGAAATGGTGGGAGCGCATTATACGACGCCTGCTGATTCTCAGCGGCATCACCGCCGCCATCATCTTTTGGTCTATTCCCTCTGCATTTATCGGCATAGCATCCCAACTGGACTTTTTAACCGAAAAGATTCCCTTTCTTCACTGGATCAACAAGTTGCCCAGCTTTCTAATAGGCGTTATTAGCGGTCTTCTTCCACCATTCGCCTTGTCTGTGCTCATGGCGCTGGTGCCGATTCTGTTGAGAAGTAAGGAATCCCTACGTTTATAATCACTGTCTAGAAGATGATAGACTAACGCTTCTTTTATAGTTTGCGCTGCTCAAGCTGGCATTCCATCGCTGATCATTGGAGAATTCTTTACCCAAAATGCCTACTTTGCGTTCCAAGTCGTCCAGGTCTTCTTGGTCACTACTATCACTTCGGCCGCCTCGGGTGCGCTCCAGGACATTATCGAAAACCCACTGGGTATCCAATCACTTCTCGCACAGAACCTGCCCAAGGCGTCGAATTTTTACCTGTCGTATATCTTGGTCCAATGCTTGGCTACGGGTGGCACCCAGCTGCTGCAGTTGTTTTCCTTGACTCGGCACCACATCGTGGCGAAAACGTCGGATGTGCCCAGGAGACGGTTCACAACCTGGCGTAAGCTTCGGCCAGCTCGCTGGGGCGGCATCTTTCCAGTGTTTACAAACATGGGAGTGATCGGTATGTACCGCTTTGATTTCGTGCCCCCTGAAAGAGGAAGTATTATGCTAATGGAAATACGACTTGCAGCACTTTCATATGCCTGTATTGCGCCGTTGATCCTGATATTTAGCGCGGGAGGCATGGCCTTTATAGGACTTGTCTGGAAGTACAACTTGATCTATGTTTTCGACACCACAACAGACAGCAAGGGTCTCTTCTATCCGCGCGCCCTGCAGCAGTTAATCATTGGCCTTTACCTGGCAGAGATCTGTCTGATTGGCCTCTTGATTTTGAATCGTGCATTTGGGCCCATGGGCATCGTCATTACCCTCCTTCTTCTAACGGGCTTGGTTCATTTCCTGCTTAGAGATGCTATTTTGCCCCTCATGTGGAACTTGCCGCAGACGCTGGCAGTGGAGGAACAGATCCAAGAAGAAGAAAAGGCAAAACTCGCGGTCCACAACGAAGACGGAGAAGCACATGGAAACGACGCGGGCGGTGCAGCTGCAAGCTACTTTGACGTGGAACAAGCATTTGGAGACGAAGAAGAGATCGAGATGGAAGAATTTGACGTAGATGATCATCACGTTGTCTCCAGCAGGGGCCTCGAAGGCGCCAGCAGTATTCGAATGGCGCTGACAGCGTGGATGAAATCTGCTGCCATAGAAAAAGCCAAGACCGAGATGGAAAGGTCCGGGCTTAACGCAATGTTGGACAAGATGTTTGCATTTGCGAAGAGTGGAGATGGAGAAGGGCCTCCTGGCTTTCTCGCCAGATGGCTGCATCCGGAGGAGCACGAAGATTTTGTGGCATTGCGCAAACTGATTCCCAAAGACGAACGGCCGCCTGTTTCGTACACGAGCGGGGACAAATACGCTACCTACCAACCCCCGGAGCTCTGGACACCGAAACCCATCCTCTGGATACCAAGGGATGAAGCCAGAGTGAGCCGACAGGAGGTGGCACACACTCGGCTTTCCACGCCGATATTCGATTTGGGAGCAACACTGAACGAAAAGGGACGGATTAGTGTTGATCTAGACGCAGCTCCATTTGAAGAGCATAGGATGATATTGTAGCGAGTGTGTTGTATATCGCTGAGCGTTTTGCGTTACCTACTAGGTAGCATCTACTATACCCGGCCATAATTGAATGTACATGGCCACTACAGGAATAATATAATGATTGGATTTATACAAATTCGGCCTGCTATTTTCTTTCTTGTGAAATCGGTTTGGACCATCTTCTTCATCTCTGTAGCGGCCGTAGGTCAGCGCCACATCAAATATGCCATCAGCCATCAGCCACACCCGTAGCTTGGACTGACCCCACTACGCTGCAAAGCTCCCAAAATTTCTTGAGTCTTCGCAGACCTCGAACTACCATCTTCAATTGGGATCTGTCGCATGATAAAGTACGTTTGTCTCACTTCTTTTCTGTCACAGCTGTTCAATTCGCATCTCTGAGCAGCCGAAATGCCTCTCGACACGTCCACATACTCCCTCGCGCTTCTGCGCATTGACGGCCGACGATGGAACGACCTCCGTCGGCTGCACGCCCAGATTCACACCCAAGACGCCGCCGACGGATCGTCATACCTCGAGATGGGCCACACAAAGGTCATGTGCGTGGTGACTGGCCCGGCTGAGCCGCAGGCAGGCCAGCAGAAGAGGGGGACCGGCGGTGGCGGCCAGGCTGGCGGACAGAAGGACGGGGCGAGCATCGTGGTGAATGTGGTGGTGGCTGGCTTTTCAAGCGTGGATCGCAAGAGGAGAGGGAGAAATGATAGGTGAGAGGCTGATATATGACGAAGAAGTGGGGTGTGGGAGACTGACCGAGGGGAATTCTAGGCGCATCCAAGAGATGGAGATTACGATTCAGAAAGCGCTGGCGGCCAACTTACATGTCCATCTTTTCTCACACTCGACGATTACGGTGTCCTTGCATGTTCTGTCCCAGGACGGCTCGCTCCTGGCTGCGTTGATCAACGCGACGACGCTTGCGCTCATCGATGCGGGCATCCCCATGACAGATTACATCACGGCCTGTACCGCGGGCTCAACGTCATCCTATGCCGCCGGCGATGATTCAGCCGATCCCCTGCTCGACCTGAACACGCAAGAGGAGCAAGAGCTACCTTATTTGACGGTTGCCACGCTGGGAGATTCCGACAAGGTTGCGGTGCTGGTGTGCGAGAGCCGTGTTCAGGTGAGCCGGCTGGAGGGCATGTTGGTGGTGGGCGTGGATGGGTGTAGACAGGTGAGGAGGCTGCTGGACGGAATTGTGAGGCAGGAGGGCAGCAAGATGATTAAAGAGGGGGCGGTGCAGAGGAGCGATATGATGGCTGTGAGCTTGGAGGATTAAGTGGTGGGTGTTTTGGATCGTGAGTTTGTATGGGCAACACGATATCTTTTGCCCCTTGAATGATACCAGGTACGTTTCCACAATTTTTTTTAATAATGACTATGTTCAATCTTGTTTGTTATTCTGTCTTGCTAACTTGGATACATGTACTATATAGCTAGCCAAATGTGCTTTCTTTAGAGCTCGTCGTGCGCAGACTCCTCGGCAGCCTCTTCAGCTGCAGGAGCCTCAGCCTCAGCCTTTGCTTCTTCGGTAGTCTCGGGCTTCTCGACGACAATTCCCTGGGGAAGCTTCTTCTTCTCGCCCTCGCCCATTCGGACAGAGTCGATCCAGGACTCGACGGAGTGGACGTCGAAGTCGCCATCCTCGTACCGCCTCCACCAGCCGCGGCGGGCGTTGAGGGCAACGAGCTCGATTTTACTCGAGAGGCCGAGGGCTTCCTTGAGAGCGGCAGCGCCTTCGACGTCGCTGTCGACGGAGAAGAAGGGGAAGTGGCGCTTTCCGTGGACGTACTTGGTGTGGAGCTGGGAGACGGACAAAAGGATCTTGTTGCGCATCTCCGAGGCGGACGCGGGGACAAACGCAAGGACACATGTCTGAGACTTGGACTGGAGGCAGTGCTCTTCGAGTTCGGCCTTGGAAGCGAGGGCAGGGATGTCGATGAGGGTGGATTCAGGGGCGGCGGCGGATGAGGTCTCGGAGGATGCGGTAGCCGAGGACTGCTCGGCCTTGGGGGCTTCCTTGCTGGCCTTGTCCTTGGACGATGCCTTTTTGTTGGGCTTGGCGCTGGAGGGAGACGTTTCGGGGTTGGGCTGAGCGACTTGCTTCAAGAACTCGACCATGTCCTTCTTGTTGAGTTCTCCGCTGTAAGTGATGGGCTCCTTGCCGCCTCCGGGAATGAGAACGAAGGATGGGAATGAAGAAATGCCGAACTTGTCGACGGTAGCAGTCTCCTTGTTCCTGACCTGGCCAACGGTGACGGCATCGAGAAAATCAATGGCAAGACTCCTAAGCAGCGCGCTCGTAGTTCCTTTCTCGGTGAACAGGATGGCCTTTGGCTTCTCCTCCTCCTTGTCCAGGAAGCCGTCAATCTCCTTGTCCGTCAGCTTGACGACGTGGTTGTTGATCTTGGCCACGACGGCGTCGACAATGGCTCCCGCGCTGCGCTGGCCCTGGTAGTCCTCGACGACGGGGCGGCCAAACTTCTTGCCGGGACGGACGATCTTGAGGGTGGGGAAGCCCTTGACGCCCATGTTGCCGCAAAAGGCCTTGTTGGCGTCATCGTCGCAGTCGACGGCGGCGACTTTGGCGAGGCCGTCGAGGTTCTTGGCGGCCTTTTCGTAGGCGGGCTTGAGGTTTTGGCAGTGGCCGCACCAGGGGGCGTAGAATTCGACGATCTGTGAGGACGGTTAGTTATCTGTGTGTTATTTACTTTGTCTTGGTTCCAATCTCATTGTTTTTATTCGTGGATGTGTTGGTTTGACGTGATACAAGTCTTTGTGGTGTTTTGATGTGTATGAGATGTTGAGTTTGTAGGCAAAACTTACAGATGTGTGGTTGGACTTTGCGATGAGGCGGTCGTATGATTTGGCGTCCACCTGCAGAACAGGCGAGTTTTTGGTGTAGAAGCCAGCCTGGGCGACAGGCAGAGCCGCAAGCACAGCCGAGAGAGTGGCAAGAAGGGTTTGTTGATGCATGGCTTCAGATGTCCGTGTAAGTTGATAGGATGAAGCCCTTGTGAGTTGAGTGGAGTGAGAGACTGAGATATCAACAGCCTTCTCACAACCTCTGTTTCTCCCTTTGGAAAGGGGGTTGATGCTATACAGAAGAGAGGACGAGAGAGAGAAAGAGGGTGAGGATTTTTAGCCAAAAGGAAGTGTTGCAGACGTGGCTGTGATGCTTTAGCCCTTGAGGATTTTTATAGCTGGGCTTATGAAGATGATGGCCCCCGGAATTTTTGGGAAAAGGCCACGCTGGAGAGAGAGGCACAGTGTGAGGTGTGGCTTATGCGTTGGCTTGGCGGTACGATGTGTTTCTTTGTCTTGCTTTGTTACTTTTTGGCTGGGTGGAATGAGTTGTTCTTTGTTGACAAGCTTTGATTGCGAAATTGGAATAATTTTATCAAGATTGATGTGGAGAAGATATCAAGTCTCTTGAGGGATCGTCTAGATGGTGAGTAGCTTCTTGTACTCAGTATTATATCACGACATCTTTCGCATACAGTGTGACTTTTAGCAAGGCAATGTTTCCAGCTTCCAAATCAGTTCTCGCTGTGGCGCGACCTTGAGCGGGGCATTTCGCTGTGGCTTGTGCGTGGATGGACGAGTAGGTACTTGAATCAATGTATCGTCAAGGCCGCAGCTTCATGTGGGGGAAGCGCATCGTCACCTGCGATTACGTCGATGCGCCCATTTGCATGAACAGTCTCCCATCCGCCTTGATCTTTTTCTGCCTCTTCTTCGCCCTTCTCTTACTCTACCCTGCATCAAACATAATAAACCAAGCAGACAATTCAATCACTTAGTCGCAATGGCCGAGCCAATCCCCGCGCCGCTCAAGATCCCCGAAGTCAGTCGGTTTCTCAACCGCGCAAACCAGCTGCGCGCCTTCAAACCCGCCATCTCATACTGGTGTATGTGAAACCAGAGCCTAGAGAATGAAGTAAAGAAATAATCATCTCTTACAAAATATATTTATTTACAGGCGAATACCATGCCGTCAACCAGATTGTGGGAAAGAACCTGCACACCACCGACGATGACTGCTTCGCCTTCACAAAGACGCTGCTCGAGCGCCTCGAGTCCACAAAGGCCGAGCGTCCAGACGACGACGCCATTATGGATAATACCGCGGGGCAGGCCTACGTCGAGCAGTTTGCGCAGGAGACGTTTGACCGCGCTGAACGAACCATGAGGGCGAACAAAGTAACGAGGTAAATAAAAAAGACAAGTTTCTGAAACTTACGCTCTACTCTAGCTGACTGTCTGTCGCGGCTAGACAAACCGCCGACACCTTTGACGCTGCCGCCACCTTCTTCGATCTCACCCACGAATGGGGAACCCCCGAGCCAGACGTCCTACAAAAGATCAAGTTCGCAAAGTGGAACGCCGCCCGCATACTCAAGGCCATCCGCGAAGGCAAGGACCCCAACGAGTCCAACCCCAAGCCCCGCGAGGTCCAAGACGAACCAGCCCTCGACCCTCTCGACCCCGACGTCCAGGAACTCGTCAGCCCCCCGCCGCCGCAGGCTGCCTACGTCGAGGACGCTCCCGACGGGGGCGAGCCGTCGCGCCAGGAGCCCGTGCAGGAAGGGTATTTCCCCCTTACGCAGGCGGCCGAGCCCGACAACGAGCCCTTTGTCCCCTCGCCCATGAGCACCAGCCCTCCACCTCAGGAGTCGCTCCCGACACAGCCGCCGCATTCTACGCCTCAGCTCCCCCCGCAATTCACCTCCTACGCGCCTCCCCCTCAGCCTCCCCAGCCCATCAACCCTTCTGTTCCTCCCAGCTGGACCGCCCCTACGGCACCCGTCCCTCCAGCCGTCGCGTCGCCAACTCTCGTCTCACCCCCCGTCGCAACTCCCATCGTGCCGCCGGTCACAAACGCCAGCGGCAGCAGACCCGATCAGAAGAGCATGGCACAGTCGCAGAAACATGCCAAGTGGGCGATATCCGCTCTGAACTTCGACGACGTGCCGACCGCCGTGCAGGAACTGAGGAATGCGCTGGCTGCTCTTGGGGCACTGTGAGAAAAGGGAAAATTGGCTGGGATATTTTAACGCTGTACATGAGATACCTAATCGCAAAAATGAAACAAAAGTGTCAAAGGACGAACAAGGGCTTTGGTTTTCTTTTTTTTCAGGAGTAGTAATTTTTGCCTATAGAAAGAGCGGCATGTTTAAGCTACCTATAGTATGCAGAGATAGAGAAAAGGAGTGCCAACACTGGAGCTCTGACGTTGTAAAGACATTGAAATAAGGGTTGCAAGGGAAAGAAATTGACGAAACTAAGAATAAAAGAGTTCCAAAAACAAAAAAACAAAGCGCCAAGTCCAAATCATTCGGATCCATCGTCAAAGTCATTCCGCAAGGTTCTGTCGTACACAAAAAAAAAGAATTTCATTCCCATTGCTCCATGCCAATTCCATGCTTGTATGTATTACGCCACAACCATGATGTTGTGTGAGTTTCCGAACCCCTGGATCGGAACGCTCTCGAGTGGTCTGTTCGGGTCAGGCCCGGCAACAGCCGCCGCGGTGTCTTCGTCCTCATCCGCGTCCGTCCAGCCGCGCTCTGGCCCCCATCGGATCGTCACACCATTGGTTTCGGCAGCGACCTTGATGAGGCCGGACATCATGTTGCCCGTCTTCTTGACGCTGGACCAGGCGTCGAACTCGACCGTGCTCACGGCCGGCAACACCTCGAGGACGTTGGTAAGCAGAGCGCGGCTAAAGGACTCGTAGAAGCCCTCGGAGCGGCGGAAGCCCTTGAAGATGCCGTCGCTGGGGTCGCATTCCACAAGGACCTTGAGCTTGTGCACGTTGATGCAGTCCTTGAGCCCGAGCGCATCGTTGACAGCCCACCCCTTGGGTGGCGCATTCCACCCCGGCCCGAGGCGCAATTCCAGGGACGTGAGGCATTCGCGCTGGCGGGGCTTGAGGCGGGCGAGCAACGGTTTCTTGCTCTTGAAGTACTTGCCCGGATACGTGGGGAAGAGGCGAAACGTGCGGGTGCCGTAGTAGTAGTATGTTGCTTCCTCGCGCAGCAGCCTGCAGACGCGCATGAGGCCGAGCTTCTTGTGAATGCTCTTGTAGTTGTTGGGGGATAGGTCGAGGACCTCGCCGTCGTCTTCAAAGTAGTATTCGTAAATCTTGACGCGCAGCTCCGAGGGTAAGGAGAGGAAGTGGAACGGCGTCGCGGGAACACGCGCCGGCTTCTTTCGGAGCGGGATCAATGGGGTGTCGAGGGTAAGAGAAGCAATTGGAATATTGTTGATGTCATCGTCGATGCCGCTAGTAGCAGGAGCAGGAGCAGGAGCTTGCATCTCTTGCTCCGGGGCTTGAAGATGCTGTTCCGGCGACGGGGGGTTCTGTGCCAGCGCCTGAGGCTTCTGCACCGCAGTTTGCGACTTGTTCACCACGACGTGCAGTTTATGCGCCGCTGCTTGCGACTTCTTGGCCGTGGCCTGCGCCTTTCTCGGTGCTGCCGGCGGCGGAGGCTTGGTTAGAGATGGCCGTCGACCGGCGCTCTTGGAAGGATGCTCAGACATGGCGAAATGAATGAAACGAGGAGATGTTTTGTCGGGTTTTCGGATCGAATCTCGAGGTGCGAAGAGGAGCGGTTCAAACGGGCAATCGTTACACTGTACAGAAGACTAGTAATGCCAATCTTGGTCTTGCGCGCATGCCACACCGGCGGTTAAATAGGACGGGTAGAGTCAGGTCAATCAATCACAACGGAACGAGGTGCCTCGTCGAGGGTGGTTCCATGGCGAGGCGACAAAACTCGAGATGAACCACCCTCTAGATTGCACCAAACGCAAAAGCCATGATATTGGTTGGACTGATTGGCGGCCGGGTTTCGCTTGGGCAAATCAGGCGATGTTGGAGGAATGGCGACGGTTCGAGAACGGAGTGAAACAGGGACAGGGTCGGATGTGGTGAGAGAGAGTCGCAGCAACAGTAATGAGTAAGATTACTGTAATGACAGCAATAGGAGAAGTGAAACAAGGGTCCTCTCGCGTGAGGGGGGAGAGACAAGACAAGAGACGGCACAAAGCTGGGGAAGAGAGAGAAACTCGAATCTCTTGAGGTATGACAAAACACTGAGAGACAAGTACTCGGTACAAGTCGGAGGTTTTGGAGATTCGACATTCCCCAATTGGCACTTTCACGTGAGCCCGTCGACGGCGCGCTAGTCCGCAGGCGGCAGTGAGGGGCCCAAACGGGGCAAATGCAGAAAACCCCACCAAGCGGAAGAGAACATGCCAGAATCGTGTAAACATCGGCTGAATCCAATCCCGGCAAAAAAAAAATCTGGATGACGGAGGGCGGGTCAGTAGACAGAAGAAGGACTTTGCCTTTGCGCCACTAAAAGCGTCGTTTCCATGACCTGCAGGTTACAGGCAATTCCTACTGTCGAGACACATCTGAACCAGCCAACCAGGAGCCTTGGATCCGGCGGCATCGAGAGTAACGTCGAGCGACTCGGGACATGCGCAATTGAAGAGTCTCGCTTCCGTCTTTGAGGCCTTTGCACCGTCCATCCCACGATGCTCTCCAGAGTAGCTCAAGCCTCTCGGCTGGGGCTGGCGGCCAGCCGGCTACCACGAACGGCTGTGCGTCAACCCATCCGGTTCCCAGCTGCTGCTGCTGCTGCTGCTGCTCCGGCTTCGCAATTCCTCCGTACCTATGCGAACAAGAAATCCAGCCCCGGAGAGACTCCCCGACCAGCTCCGAAGCAGCCCTCGTCAGGACCCAAGGACCCCGCCGCAGAGAGCTCGCCAGCACCAGCACAAGAGGGCAAGGTCGATTCCTCAGCTGAGCAGAAGCCCGCCGAGTCCGCTGAGCCGGAACCCATACCCTTCCACAAGCTTCCCGATCTCACCCAGGGCATTCCCTCGACGTTGGAGGCCGAGCTCGAGCAGAGAGCCGGCAAGTCGCAGTCGTCGCTGACACTGGGCGAGGAGGAACCAGCTGCTGGAGGAAGCGGAGGAGGAGGCCGCGGCCGAGCCAGAGAGGAGTATGTCTCTACCAGCGAGCGCAACCGCAAGTGGTGGACTCGCTTCATGTTGGCCGTTGCGGGCTCGGGATCACTGGTGGGCATCGCATACATGGGTCGAAACTGGGAGGATGCCATCGAGGCAGAGCGCCATCCCGATATTCCTGACGGATGGAGCCCGGCGCTGTGGTGGCAGCGCACCAGAGCTCGATGGGGAGAGTCAGTGTCTTATTACCAGGACCCGGCCTTTGAGAAGCTACTACCTGATCCCGACCCCAGCTTCGAGCGCCCATACACCCTCTGCATCAGTTTGGACGACATGCTCATCCACAGCGAATGGACTCGAGAGCATGGCTGGAGAGTCGCCAAGCGACCTGGAATGGACTACTTTATCCGATACCTGAGTCAATACTATGAGCTTGTGCTCTTCACTACGGCCCCCTTTGGCATGGCGGAACCGCTGGTTCGGAAGCTGGATCCTTTCCGCTTCATCATGTGGCCCCTCTATCGCGAGGCAACTAAATACGAGGACGGAGAAATTGTCAAGGTAAGCCCCCTAAGTTCGATCAATGTCAATGCAGCAGCATAACTAAGTTTGTGTGTTCAAACTAGGATCTCTCTTACCTCAACCGTGACCTTTCCAAAGTCATCATCCTCGACACCAAAGCCTCTCACGTCCGCAAGCAGCCCGAGAACGCCGTCATTCTAGAGCCTTGGAAGGGTGATGCGAGCGACAAGGAGCTTGTCGCCCTGATTCCTTTCCTCGAGTATATCCACACCATGCAGTACTCGGATGTGCGCAAAGTCCTCAAGTCGTTTGAAGGAAAGCACATTCCCACTGAGTTTGCCCGCCGAGAAGCTATCGCCCGTCGAGAATTCAACAAGCAGCGAGCTGAAAAGTCAAAGCACGGAAAGCCGTCCGGCATGGGTGCTCTCGGCAACCTGCTTGGTCTGAAGCCCAGCAAGATGAGCATGACGGTTCCCGTTGACGGAGAGCAGGACCCTACCGAAGCCTATGCCCAGGGCAAGATGCTTCAGGATATTGCCCGCGAAAGAGGCCAGCGTAACTACCAGGCCCTCGAGAAGGAGATTCGCGAGAACGGCGAGAAGTGGCTCAAGGAGGAGCAGCAGCTCATGGAAAAGGCCCAGCAGGAGATGATGAGCAGCATGATGGGTTCTTTCTCTGGCATGTTTGGCCCCAAGAAGGATGGCGGCGACAACACCAAGGCATGAGTCGCTGTACCAGAATAAAAAAAAAGGGGGGGGGGGGGGTAAAACAAGAAGAAAAAAAATTGGTGATGGATACGACGCTGCGGTTCCTCTTTCTCTCTCTCTCTCCGCTACATAATGGCTTCAACCACATAATAATTGTAAAAACACCAAAAGGGGGGAATGAACGTGGCAAGGGTATGGTCCTCGGATTCGTCCACCGAGAACGGGATTTCATTTGCATATAGAAATTTTTTCGGTATCATGGCATGGGGTCAAACGAGGCCTTTCGCTGCGAGGGGCGATTTAAGGAGGTGGTGAAATGGGGGCGCGAGGTGATCTTTTGTGATCATATTTTTTGTATTTGCTACGAACAAAGAAGGATATGAAAATACTTCTGTGTAACTTGACTTGTATACTAGAGGATGTATGAGACGATTGATGCATTATTGCTGAAGACAAAGTTGTAAGAGTGTGTCTGAGTGAAGAGTAGGGATGTGATCGATGCCAGAAGTGATATTAATATTAGTATGAGATGGTTGTGTGTTATCTAGGTGTCTGTCTGCTGTTCTTTTTCTCTTTTTGCATACTTGGGTCTGATACTCGGGTGTTCCAAACGAACAAATTATAAAGAACAACTGCTTCTGTCTGGCCTGTAGTTGAATCATCCTCTCCTTACCCCTGAAATCCAAAAGCATACTCCATCACTTCCACTCAACAGTCACACCCAAAACCCACTGCCCTTCAACTATCGCGTGAAGAAACAATCGCACGAAGGCGTCACAGAAAGAGTCACATAGCTCGTCCGCGTCAAAGTCACAAACCTCGTCGTAACGCGCTGCGACGACGGCTGCACAACCACGACATGTGCCGTGCCGTCCGAAGAGCTAGTATACGTCCCTGGCAGCAGCGTGCGATAGTCTGTGCTGAAGAGGTTCGTCGCGGGAGGGATGGGAGGAGTTGGATGGATGGTGGTGACGTTGATCCAGCAGTGATCACAGCGGGGATTGGTGACGCATTGGAAGTATCTGAAGTTGATGTTGTTAGTTAGAAAGGGGGGTGATGTATGAGTTGTGTTTGGATTATTTTATTCTTACTCGTCGCCGTTTTTATCTGGGATGCGGGTGCAGTCGCATTCGGCGCCGGGTTTGCACATGTCTTTCCAGGGATCGGATGTTGTTGTTGTTGGTGTTGGGAAGGATGTTGTTGGAGGGATGGGGAGAGGGATGGGATGGATTGTTGTTGGTGGAGGATCGATTTCGACGCTGGTGTTGTGATGGTGAGGATGAGTGAGGATTTGGGGGAAGGAAAGGACTGTTGGGAGGTGGAAGAAGATGGTTATGAGGAGGCGGAGGAGCATCATTTTGATGGAGTTGATGGTTCGATAGGAGGAGACGGTTGGTGTTGGAGCGTTCATTATCGGTGTAAAGATTTTGAAGGGAGGAGGGAAGGAGAAGGAGAAGATGATAATATCAAGGGGATCGTTAGATTTTTATATCTCCTTCGTCACTATGGTGATCTAGACTCAGAGATGTGATGGCAAGGAAGGAAAAGGTGAGTTCTTCACACGAGATCTAGCCGTCCGTCAAGCTTCTCGGGAACTATACCGAGATGTTTGTTTCTACCCACGACGGATAACTGCAGCTCATCTTGGTGCAAATCTTGCAACACCATGACAACATCAAACTAATGTAAGAGACAAACTTGCTCTTGTAACATCAAAATAATGGTAGCCAGCTCAGCTCACATCGAGAAGACACAAAGAGTTTAGCCTTTAGTGTTACATTGGCATATGCTTGAATTCTTGTATACGTTGCTCGGCGGCGGCAAACACCAGATGAGGATCTTGTGCGTGGCTTTTCACAGATGGTGTAACACAGCAGTAGTTATGGATGATGAAAGGCAAACCTGGATGTCTTTACACATGTTTCCAGACTGATATGCTTTAAGTGTTGCTTAGAGGTTCTAATACGACTTCACAGGGATCAAATAAAAGTCTAGCTTCTTTAATCCACAAGACAATATGGATCAAGCCATCTTCATATGAAACCAATGGATATCCATTTCATCCTAAACCTGCAAGTATAACCGCCTCCAGCTACCTTATGCATTCACAAGCCATGCGTTTCTTTACCAATTACAAAAGTAACCCAGCAAACACGATACAAGAAAAAGTTCCGACCCCAATTCATGCGTATGCTACATAAACACGTCTATTATCGTACAAGAAAACTCGGGGGTATTCGCTATTATATCCAATCACCCTTTTATCCTAGCATGTCCGTTCTGTGTCGCCGCGTCGTTCCTCCTCGTCAACCATGCCGGAGCCAACTTGCGCCATATCCAGGCAACCAGCTGAAAGAAGCGTGCGTCCACATCGACTCCCACGAGCCCCAGGATGCTCACAACAATGTACACCAGGAAAGCGATGACGACGCCCAAATCCAGAAAGTGGACGAACCACCAAAAGTGCTGTGTGCCCAGACGACAATTGACAAACTCGTACTCCCACTCCCACGTCTCCTGGTTGAACCACATGCTGAGAAGGCCCGCGTTGCCGCTAAAGTCGCCCATCATGCTACGCACCGTAATCTCTCGTCTGCCCGGGACACCTGAAGTGGTCAGGTTCGGCAGTCCTCGAGCCTGAGCATCACGCCATCTAGCCACCTCCCAGAAGCGCTCACTCGGATCCGTGCCGTTTGTCTGGTTGATGAAGTGGTATGTATCACAGCCCTCGTGATCGTGTCCGTTGAGGATCAAGCCCTTGCGGCCTCGCCCGGCACCGGCCGCGTTGGGGTCTTTGTTCATGCCGTAGAACCCTTCGAGGAAGCCCTTGCTTGCGTCCGAGCTCAGCAAATACTGCTCCTTCACGCCACCTCCGTCCTCTGCGCCGTGAAAGTCGAAAAAGGGTGCGTCGACGCAGACGCCCTCGGGCTTGTACAGCGGAATGTGGGTCAAGACGAGGGTGAAGATGCCCGAGTACTCGACGGCGGCCGAGGTTCCGATGACGGCGTTGATGAATTTGTACGTCTCATCTTGCAGCTCGGTGTCCTTGGCAGGGGTGTCGAGATTCATGTCATTGAGAACGACGATACGAATCTCGGGTTCCAGTCGGGGAGAGTCGGGGTTTGTTTGGTCGTTATGAATGGTGGCTAACACATCCGAGTCGTTGATGGGAATTCCGAATCGAAGTTCATAGTTGACCTTGCCAAAGACACGCTCGAACCTCTCCAGCCGCTCGGCAGTCAAGTCTCCAGCATATCCAATGTCGTGGTTGCCAGCAACGTTGATGATTCTCTTTGTCCAAATCTCCTCCGCCTCGGATCCGTCCAGCATGCCCGTCAAATCATATTCGTGCGCTGGCCACGTGGCGATATCATCCGGCACTCTCTCTCCGCCGCGGAAAGTCCTCTCCCAGAATCTGTGGCCTCGCTTGTCGAACTCGTCGTCTTCGATCCACTGACTGCCCAAAAGATCACCAAGGACGCTCACGTGTGTCGGACGCGACCACCAGTGTAGGGTTCTGTAGATGTGGGCGAGGTAGAAGTCGTTGCCGAAGAGGTCGAGACGTTTGCGCCAAGAGTCGAGATAATAGGGAATGTCTTCGAAGAAGACGTCGACGACATCGTGCACCGTCCAGCGGATGCGCTCTCGAAACGACCAGTGCGCCGTCTGAAAGGTGAGATGCTTGTAGATGCTGATTACGTGGGGGAATGTGCCCAGGATGACCGTCGCGACCGAAGTGTCGCCCTCGAGCTGCGGATCGCCCAGAGCAAGCAGTCGAAAGGGAGCAAGTTGAGTAGGCACATGATCTGCGTCGGTTTGAGTCTCGTTGAAGGGCCAATGGAGTCGTTTGGTGGCCTCAAACGCTTCGTGGGCGTCTCTCGAGGGCAGGGGAAACGCGCAGCCGCCAAACAGGGGATAAAGATAGAGGTAAATCGTGCAGGCTATCGCCACAGGCACCAAGAGGCCCAAGCCATTGCGCAGGAAAGCCGCGACTAACATGTAGCCAGCCGCATGTGCAAAAAAGCACGACAGAAGAAGAAGAAGAAGAAGAAGGGGAAAAAGCAACGAGATAAAAGGAATGATGGTGTTTTGGCCAGAGGTGTCAATCGACGGTTTATTTTGGGCGTAGGCTGTTCAGGGGTCCAACTCGCCTTAACAGTAGAAGCCACGAGTACTTGGGACTGCGCTAAATTAGCGTGCAATCTTGTGTATCTGCTAGTGCCCCGCATTAGTGCTTGACCATCCCCTAACTGTTCCATGGATGTTTTAGGGTAGAAGGCGTCGATAATATTCGAGTTTCATGATATCGAGAAGGATATATAGAGTACTCTGTAGAATATGGAGATATCTACATTTCAAGTTTTTTAATTGTTGTGAATGTCACATTTATTCCTTTTGCTTACAGTCACTTGGGAATGGTGAGGCCTATAAACAAATGGGCATGAGTTGGTATACATCAAAAGTTCAATAAACGCTATTCGATCTGGCTCGCATACGATCAACAATATATATATAAAGAAATGAATGAGATGGCTTTTCCGATCCCCATGCCAAAGAAATATTGAATCCATCTTCCACCCCCAACCGTTCAATCATTCCATCATAGTCATTTCGTCGTAACCTAACTTGAGTAAATCTGAAGGAGTCATCCTCCACCGTCAATGCTGATAAGAGTTGGCATTGACGTCGTTTCCAGGCATGCTTCCATGCAACCCAATTGTTTCTGTTTTTTTATTCTCTCTTTCATCTTTTTTTCTCTTTTATTTTTTTCCGGTGAAAAGTTATTATTTCAAAGGCCAATTATCCATATTCAGGTGACGCACACCATCCGAAACGACGTCGTTGGTAGTTGCTAAGCCGGCTTGTAGTGCTTGGACGTTCGGCTCCGAGACGTCGTCATGAACACCAGCGTTGCCTCCGATACCAATGGCAGAAGAGGCATCGGCCATGTTTGTAGCCTGGCTACGGCCAGACCTAGTGATCGACCTACTTCGATTCCGGGCGAGTTCCCGCTCAGGCTGCCGAGACAGGAGAGAATTCTTGAAGGCATTGGCCATGTTGGCGAACGACTTGCTGATGTTTTCCTGAGCCCGGGGTGCCATGTGAGTTTCAGCTCCCTCTGTGTCTGAGCTTGCGGACTGTTTAAACGAGTCCTGGTTGGACGCTCTTCCGCAGAGACGGTTCGCCATCTGGCACGACAAGCAAGGATAATGACCATCGCATCGCGTCTTGCGCTTCCGACACTCGATACACGCAGTAACACGCCTTGGCCGCTTAATGCTGCGCTGGTGTTGTTGCGGAGCGTTGGCTGTACCATTGATGTCTCCGCTGCTGACAACAGTAGGGCGGCCAGGGGGAAAGGGAGGGCTGGAGCTTCTTCTGCCTCCAAACGGGGCGTGATCTCGCTCTCCTTGAGCTTTTCGCTCTCGATGAGCTGCGGCAGAAGTGGAAGAGAGAAGGTTCATCTCTGGATGCGATGGTTGTACAGAATCTTGAGAGGTGGGCAGATTTCTGCAATCCACGCAAAGAGGCTTTCCTTCGGGACTTGTTTGCCAAACCTGACTAACTTGGCTAGAGCAATTGGAGCAAACGACCTCCTGAACATCAAAACCTCCGGTATCCGCTGGTGGTAAACCAGAGGGCTCTGGTATATCAGAAGTCATTTCCGTATCTTCGTTGTCGTCGTCACAGTCCATCGCCGAAAGGTCACTCGCAGTGTATATCGTTCCACTGATGCTTGTCAAGTTTGCGGGCTGTCTGCTTGAAACAGTTGACGAACTATCAAGCTGCATTGAAGAAGTCATCGACTCGGTCAAAGCGTTGTTAGACTCCCTCATCAGGTGGAACTTGGACAGCTGAGCTACCGTTCTGCTCGTTGCTGATTCTCCTTTCCTACCTGGCGCGAATGACTCCAAAGTCTTTTTGCTGTCTAGAGCCGTTAGGAAATCGGAAATATCCCCCTCCTTGGCCTGCAGTGCTGCATTTGTATCGCCAGCTTGAGTTAGTATTCGCCCATTTCCATCGACTTGCACCTCACAACACCAATCCTTCAGCTGTTCCGTCAACGTTCTTATGCCTTTAACGGCATGTAATTTCCCAGTAGATGGATCTCTCATATGCTCGATGTATAAGTGGGCTATTGCTCCGTTTGCAGTATCGTAATGCTTCTGTGCCGAGCAAGCTTCGCACTTTGATAGTGGATTCATGGCTTCAACGTCGGGCTTAATGCCAACGGAGGCCGGGTCGCGGCATATGAACTTCTTCGTCATCTTGTTGCTATTATGTCGACGCATATGACGATCGAGCTCGTGAGGCCCTCGGAAGCCACCTGGATGGTCGTTACAGAGGGTGCATAAGAACGTGGATGATTTGCGCCTCTGATCTGAGCTTGAGTGTCCGCCCAGGAGTTTGCTCAGGCGTCCGCTTGAACGGCGAGCGATGGCTTGTCGCGATTTCAGAATAGGAGCTATTGATGAGCTTATTTCATCCATCGTCATCGCAGCGACTGGAACTGGGGGATAATCGGGCGAGGTGAGAACTGGGGACGTTAACGGGGAGAAAGATGCGTCGTAAAGTGCATGTGGGTAATCGGGAGTGGCTGACGGCTTTGGCGCGTACGCCGCTGAGGGCGGTAAGAGAGATGGCGATGATCCCTCAAGTGGTTTATCAAATGTTGGTGCAAGGGGATCCCCATGATACAACAATTGATATAACTCATGCCCTTGAATAGGATCGAAGGTCGAACTGGGAACTTCATCTAACGCGTCTCTAATAACCTGAAATTGTGATTGTGGTCCATGAGAACCAACATTATATAACTGGTAAGGAGAATTGGCAACTGAGCTGGGAGTCGCCGTCGAGACTGAATGTGGTGAGAAGCTGAGCCCAGGTAACTGTATCTCCCAGGATGGATAGAGTGTTGCAAAGTGCTCGACACGATCAATACTAGAATAAGGGAAGGGCGCATCTGTCAGAGGCTGAAATGATGGGATGGATGAATCGACGTCGTGAGAAGGGGAAACGTTCTCAGTTAAATTAACGTCATAAGAAGGGGAAACGTTCTTAGTTAAATTAACGTTGTGAGAAGGGGAAACGTTCTCGGTTAAATCAACGTCGTGAGAAGGGGAAACGTTCTCGGTTGAATCAACGTCGTGAGAAGGGGAAACGTTCTCAGTTGAATCGACGTCGTGAGAAGGGGAAACTTTCTCGGTTGAATGTGACGCTTCATCTTCAGTAACCTCTACAATGGATGAGCCAAGAGGCCCATCCATCTTCACAAAAACTTCCTCAGTCCATAGCCGGAGATCCGACACAGCTGACGATAAACGAACGACCCTGCTGTTACTGTTGATGAGTGTCTCTTGATAATGCCGTTGGAAATGTCTCCGCCGAAGATGGTCTGCTGCCATGTAATATGCATTATACTTCTTCCCAGACGAACACTCTGGGCACTGAGAGAGTGGAACATCAGGCTTTACGTCGGAATAAAGACCTGCGGCGGTTGGATCTCGGCAGACATATTTCTTGACGAGTTTATCTTTCCCGGTAGGATTGTAGGCGTTTGATCCAAAGATATTGGAGGTGCCACTAGGAAGTGACAGCGGCATTTCTGCCACAGAGCTAGAGCTATAGGTGCTGTCATTATCGTCATCCATGCTCTGCAATGTCGACTGCTTGAGTTCTTGTAGCTTATGATGGGGCTTCAGTTGCCGATTCTTGAAAGCAAGGTAGGCTGGCCCATGATTTCGAGCAGACTCATCCCGGTCCTCGAGAGGCAACACGAAGCTTTCCCACCCCTGGCTTCGTCGCACGCGTTCGATGCCATCATCGCCAACGGCGAAATCGAGTTCAACAGAGAACTCACAAGCCGCACGAACTATGTCAATATCGTCTGTGAGCTGTCTCATACCCTTGAAAGAGGTAATGAGGTATAAAGGCACAAAGCCTTGCGAGTCCATTCGCGCGCGGAGATATCGATCCCCAGCCAAGTTTTCAATAGAGAAGTAATATTCAATTTTATCTTTCAGTGCAGAGAAGCTGAATTCGGCATGTTGATTCTGAGGCGCCTTCAATGCAAATTGTTCATCTAACTGAGCTCGAGCATGTTCGAAAACAAGTTTGGCGGGCATAATGGCAGTCAAGCCGTTGGAGAGATTGCCTGCAAAGACGTGTCCAAAGAGGCGACCAGTTGCTTTGTCTCTGACCCAGCCTCCACAGTCTCCGGGGCCGAGTGACCCAAAGAATATCGCGGTATATACCTCGGTGAACTCTTTAGAGTGAGGAAGCCGTACGGGAAGTGTATCCTCCGACATGAGTCCATGGACGACTCTACCGTTTGAGGCCACAGTCTTGACGGCCGTGTTGCGGGGGCCAGACTCGATCTTGTCGAGATCAGTAAGGGAAATTGCCTTGTCGAGTAAGGACTCTGAGGGAGAGTTCATGTCCACTTCGAAGAGGGCATAGTCGAACTCTTCACTGCAGATAACAGGGTTGCCTTTGCCGATTAGCCGCCCTTCCGGAGAGCTGGGTTCCTGCGGAGAAATAGAGAGTCGCCTCTGAGAATTTCTATCGCTTTCAGAGGCTGAAGTAGGGGGATACGAGTCGTCCATCTCGGAGTCTTTACTCTCGTCTACGTCCGAAACGCTGCCCTGTCTCACAGTTTCAACAAAATCCGTGTCTGTATCATCGTCGTCGTCATCGTCGAAATCGCCCAGGCCCGTTATTTCACAGTCGCTGATCTGGCTCGCCTCGAACTTATGCGCCGGTGATTCGATCGATGGTGAATCTCTCAAGAAATGGCTGATGCTAAGCAACATGTGTTTGCCCATATGGCTTACAACACCACCAGCAGTGGCCGTTCGGATCGAGCCTGGCTTGGCTGACGTAGAAATGCTGCGCTTAAGCATCGACTTGCTGCGAGATCCGCTTCTAAGTCGTGATTCGGATCGCGACTGGGATCGTGTCCTGGACTTGTTGCGGAAATGCTGGACGAGGCCAACTGCGGCCTTGTCTGAGACAGAAATGCTACGCTGCCGGCGGCGTGAGCGTGAGCGTGAACGAGAAGATGAGTGTTCATCGCCCGAGGAATAATAGCCTCGGCTTTGGCTGCGGCCCCGGCGTCCCTCTTCCTTTTCGACTTTGCCAGCCTGGAGATACTTTGCGGCACCAGCTACGGCGAGGGCAGCTGCAGCAAGGCCCAGACCTTGTTTGGGCGCGGAATTGCGATTGGGAGATGCGTCACCGTCTCCGGAGCGATCTTCATATGCGTTGTGGGCTCTCGTGATAGACTCGGTCCTCAGAGCTCCTAGGCTGGCACCGGCAAGAATCTTCCTGCCTGAGACCTCTTTGTCTGAGATATCTTGGCCTGAGATTAATCGATAACAATCTGAAGCGCCTTCTTGCTGTAACGAGAAAACGGAGACGGTGTCGCCGGCCCAGGCCATGAGCTTTTCAAAATCTGAGTGCCCAAGCTCGAAGCCCGGGTATTTAGCCATGATGTCGCTGTGAAGAATCAAATCATACGCTTCCTTGCGGGCGACTTTATCGTCCGACACGAGCATGACAACAGGCTTTGCTCGCTTTGGTCGCTTTCCAACCATAAACAACGGGATGGAAAGATAGCTGCCAGACTCTTGCGCTTTGTCGCTGTGCTCGAGCAAGTAGTCGAGGATGGATTTTTTGAGGCTGCTCTCGAATAACCTCCGGGCCTCCCCCTTGGCCTCCCAACAGAGGATGTCGCTCAGCAGCCCTGGGTGTAGTGTCCCTAATAACTTTCCAACGGAGTCCTGTGACGAACTCTGCGCGTATGGCCACGTCTTTGGGCTTCGCGAAACGATAGTCATCGCGGCGCTCTTTAGTGGCTATATTCACCGGGACAGTCAAGCAGAGTTGTTGACCGTTGACTCATTTAGTGTACTTTGAGATGGCGGAATTTGTAAGTGTCAGAAGGGAGATGCCTGGTAAGTGAAACTTTCGCCAGGCAAGAAATTGTGTTAGTATTAAAGAATGGTGTTAGTTGGACTTGGGTCTGAAGAGCGGGAAAGACAAAGGACGGCCGCGCTTTGGCATTGTTGGTGAATCCTGATGTCGCTCTCGTCGACTATTGGACGAGACATCTTGGTGCACTGCCTCGATATGCGTATGCAGACAAGGTTGATGGAGCACGTAAGGCTCTCAAGGAGGCGTAAATGCTGCAGATTAGCCGCCGACAACCACACCAACTATCAAGAGGGTTGCATGCAGATGGCAACAATACCTCGACAGAACCATGAGAAGTCGTGTAGAACTGCTATAAAACCTGGAGCATCAATGAACAAAGCATAGAGACGGTGCATCACTTGGCGATGATGATGTTCTCGCTGGATTCATCCCGTTCTAAATGACCCTTGACTGTTGTTGCTGCAACGACTTTGATTCCAATCAACATCATCATGTCCCATTGTTAGTGGATATTTGAAGGCTGTGTCCGCCTTGCCTATTCCGCCACGAATCCTGGTATAAGTGAGGGTGACACTCAAGACCCCAGCAAAGAGCCTCATAAACCATCCCATTGATAGAAAAGTAAACAAAATGCAATGATTCCGTCTATCCTCGGCCTTTTGTAATCCCAAACATCGTCTAGATCCGGTGTTTTTGCGATGAATCCCAACGTCTCTCAATTATCGCAGTCTGAGGCCTTGAATGAGCCGCTGCGGAAATTCCCAATCTCAGCATCGGTGCAAGAGGGGCTGCTCGAGGCACTATGGGAGGCCTCGGGCCGTCATGGCAGCATGTCGCCTTACTTTAAATATTATTCCAACCGTATTCAGCGTCTGCGGCTCGATGGCTGTGACGGATTCTGTGCCGACTCCCACGCAGACATTGCCTCGATCGCCAGAAGAATCCTGGATGGGGCTTCCAGAGATGAAATATTTGAGCAGGTCGCAGTTGCGGAAAAGTGTCCGTCTGCATCTACCACGGCCGATATCAACCATGGCATAGACATGTGCGCAAGCTTGCTTGTCATGACGGAGATTGAGCTCAACGGGGTTTCCGCTGGCCTATCTGGATTGACTGCTGTACCTTGGAAGATTGGATCGTTGAATAATGCGTTGGCAACTTATTTCTGTCCGCAAAAGACGCTGCAAGCAGATCGGCCTAAACTTGGCAAGGTATTCACGGCTAGGAACCTGAATCGCATAGCGGGCATTGAGATTCGATGGACAACAAACTTGGCGGACCATCTGCGTCTTGTGGACGATGACCAGGTTGTCTTTATTTTCCACTGCGCGAGCTTTCTTCAGCTTCAAAAAAGGTAAGCGGACGAATCCTACCAAACAAGAGATACGAAGCCTAGATGACTGACGAACAACAACAACAACAACATAGTCTAGACAACAGCCCATTTCCAGCATCATTTCTTCAAGAAACGTTGGACACCCTCGCTCTTCTCTTCCCATCCTCGGATAATGAGACGGCGAGTTGGCTAAAAAGCATCGCCAAGATTGACCCGCGACTATTGAAGTGCGGCTCTCTTCGTACCCGGGAGCGCAGACTGGAGAATTTTGATTATTGGCATGACCAGCTTGTCATCTTGAAGCAGGCGTTTGACGAGTCCAGTCCCAGAAACATTTCTCAATGGTGGTTCGACAGAAGGAACGGCGTCCAATGGTATACGTTTTGGATAGCGATACTTGTTTTTGTGGTTACCATCTTCTTCGGCATCGTGCAAAGTGTCGAGGGTGCATTGCAGGTCTATCTGTCGTACAAGAGCATGCAATCAGGGTAGTATGGGTCGGTATCGTGGGTGCGGCGTCTTGGGGAGACATTTGTGAGCGAATGGTTACACTGTATACCTACTTGGAAATTTTTGTTTGAGATACCAAAATTGTTATTTTATTTTTAGAAGAATGTCATTTGTTTTCGATTCACTAAAACTGAAGGCGTTGAGAATAATGATTCACGTAGACAAACCTTTTTTTTCCCTACCCACGTTGAGAGATCACACCACGAACTGTGGCTATCCATTGACCCAATTACAACAGCTCATTGGTCTTCTCATACTGATCATAAACAAAAGCCTCTCTATAAACAATAACAATGTTTAACAATCAATTAGCTTAAATAATTTTGATATGTGTTATTTCCCTCGTAATGCGTGATATGATGCGTTGGCAAAAAGGCACAAGTAGCCTGTCCACTCATGGGCGCGAGGTCTGGTTGTTCATGTGCTTGGCCCCATAACATCTTCGACAACCACGGTGAGTCATATTTAAAGGCCTATTCTCTAAGAAGCAAATGCAAAATTGACTTGTAATTATTAAACAAAAACCCTGACAATATCCTGCTCACACGACACTCTCCTTATACATCCATCTCCTTCTCCTAATCGCCAACCGTGCTGCACTCGGACAAACTTGGCTGCCCGAGGCCGTGGAGGCGTGAGAATCCCGGGCTTATGCAGACAGGGATGTCCTTTTTCTCTTCCTGGTATAGTCTATGGATCTGATCTCTGGCGCTGGATCCACACAATTCTAGTGCAGGCAAGGTTCTCTTATTTCCATTTTCGTCGCTTCCGAGATGCTAGCTTCCATGTAGAACCACTTACACGTTGTAAATTGTTCATGATAGGCTTCTAATATGTAAATAATTTCATCAAGATTCAACTTGTAACAGAGTAATTGTAATGTTAGTCCCTTGATTGCTCGTCTTACAAATCAGCAAATCGATGGACAACTGACTCATGAGAGGGGCGATGATGTAGTTTGTCAAAATACAGCGGAAGAAGTGGGTTGAGGAATAGATATAAATACAGTATTGATCTCGTCTTCCAAGTTCATCTTGAGCAATCACTATCAATCACCATCACTGTTCTATTATACAATTCTCTATAACTAACCTGCCTCACAATGTCAACCACAGACTCCCTCTCTCTGGCCGGCAAGACAGCCATCATCACTGGTTCCGGTAAAGAGAACGGCATCGGAGCCGCCATCGCCCTCGCTCTTGCTAGGAATGGTGCTCGTGTTGCCATCAACTATGTCTCGGAAGCCACTGCTCCTCGCTCTTTGAAAGTTGCAGCGAGCATTGAAGAAGTGGCAGGCAAGGGCAGCGTCGTGATTATTCAACAGGATGTCACTACGCCTGAGGGAACCAAGAAACTAGTTGAAAAGGCTATTGCGGGCTTTGGTGTTGACCGTATCGACATTCTTGGTGAGTGTTTGTCATGCAATGGTAATATGGAAGCTTGAGCTGATAATTCAAACATAGTTAACAATGCCGCATGGGCTTCGCGAGAGCCCGCCTTGACTGCGGCCCAAGAGGGTATTGAAAAAACATTCAATACTTGTGTTTTGGGGCCACTGTATCTCATCCAAGCTACAGTCCCACATATGCCACAAGGTGGAAGGATCATCAATGTCGGCAGCGTGGCGTCAAAGCTCGGAATCGAGGCGGTTTATGGAGCTGCAAAGGCAGCCATGGACGCTTTGACGTACAGTCTGGCAAGAGATGTAAGTGCTTGAACAAATTTAATACCCGTCGTATGACGCAAGCTAACAAGAAAAAAAAGCTTGGAAGCGACAACAAACGCATCACCATCAACACCGTGATGCCCGGCCCTGTGCTCACCGACTCGCTGAAAGCCGAAGAGTTTGAAATGCTGAAGGAAGGGTTGCTCAACTTGACACGAGCAGAGAGGCGATTTGGAACAGTTGAGGACATTGCAGACTCGGTGCTGCTTCTTGCAAACGAGAAGAGCCGATGGATTACTGGAGAGGTCATCTCTGTCAGTGGTGGCATAACAGGCAATTAACAAGCTCTGGTTGTGGTGACTCTCAACTCGGACAAATTCATCTCCCGCGAGAACAGGGTCCTAAATAAGATGTAGTTTTTATTTAGCCTTCACATGCTAAGTTAATTATTGATTCTCTTCTTACGCTGCCCAAGTCCAGCTGTTATTCCGTATTTCCTACGGTGACGTTTCCTCCGCATTCGTCCGGGAATCTGATCCATGGATGTGTGGAGCAACAAGCCCACCGACCAGGATTGGTGCTAAAAAGGGACTGGAGATTCTCGGCAGGCCACCCGAGCATTTATTAATGCCGGCTTCCCGTCTCCGGATCTATGTAGCTAAACTCTTGTCTTTTCAAACTACCAATTCGAATCCAAAGTTCCTCTCCATTTCAGCAAAACTCGTCTGCGCGTTTCATCATGGGATCCAAGCAATTCTCCTTCGTCAACATCTCACACCCAGAAGAGAGTCGGAGCCGCCACAACCTAACCTACGTTCGTCGCCATGTCATGGCAGACGTCGGTCGTTTGAAGCGCAAAAAGCCCAGATATAAGATTATTCCCCTTCAAATTGCTCCCAAGGAAGATGCACCTGGGACAAAACCAGTGAAGATTGAGGCGGCCGAGTCAGCTCCTCTTGGGAGAATGCCGCCATCCTTTCAAACCCATCTCGTTGACACGAATGCTCGTGCCTGCGAACTTATCAGCTTCAGTAAGTGTTTAGTTTCATGCATCTCATTTATAAATGTTACTGGGAATCACATTATTGACGCGCATTATAGTCGCTGCTGAGGCCGAATATGTATATCGACCGTTCCGCATGTCATGGGTTCAGATTGGCCTCTCAGATGCAGCCGCGTTTGATCTATGGCTTGCACAAGTCATTGTGATTCGAGATCGCGCTGCGCATGAAAATCTTACCGCTTGCCCCCGTATGGAGTATTTACACAACCCCGAAGCGAATAAGTACTACAGTAGATCACTCAAACAGCTATCCCATCGACTGAGTAGTCGCGAAGAGTGTGTAAGCCTCGGCGTCATAGCAACCATTATGGGATTTATATGCATTGATGTAAGAAAATCCCCAGTAATTGTTTTAGTATAACCAGACACTAAAGGATTTTACCATGTCCAGACACGCGTGGGAAACTGGGATCGGTATTCCATGCATATGAATGGTTTGGAGCGAATATATCATCTTCGCAACGGGTTTGATGAATTAGACAAGGAGTTTTCATTAATGGCGTTTTTGTTAGTATTATCACGCATCACGTTCGTGGTTCCCACAACTGCTAATAACTCAATAGTGTTGATTTAATGGGCGCTTCCATGCTCGATCGCTATCCTCGATTCCCTATTCCGAAGCACTGCGTCATTCCTTCGGAAATGAATTACGAAAGCGACATATCAGATACGTTGCAAGTTTTACTCAGCGATGCCAAAACCATGGAACCTCAAGGAGAGCGGATATACGCTATGCTCAGAGTAACAGCATCAGTCGTCGCGATGGCCAACCGGAACGCCAACGACCCCCTATTCTGGACCCATGACGCGGCTCTGGCCGAGAAATTGGGCTCTGCGAGTCACTTTATACTATCAGTACCTAAATCTCCACAAGACGATCTGCATACAGACTATCCTGTCTTCATTGTGCAGAGAATGGTACAGCTCGCGTGCTTGATGGTCATGTCGAAGCTGAAGCAATTGGCGTCTTTCCACTGGGACGATATAGACCCCCTTGGAGACCGACTTGGCAAACTGCGAGTCCCTTATTACGAGGTTCCTGTACACCTCCAAAAAATACGTCTCTGGGCGGTTGTGACGGCTTGCTCATTGATGGATCCCGAAGCACAAGTCGCGTTTCGTATCGAATTGAGGCAGTCAATAAGAGCACTTGGCTATTACACCGCCGAGGAGGCAATTGAATATGTCAAAAGTCTTCTTTGGCTTGAAAACGTGGACGTAATTGCAGCAGAGAGCCTATACGGATGTTGTAACCCGTAATCGGTGTGTTGAATGGGTTGAATGGTGGGGAATTATACACAACATGAGATGATGGCTTCGATATTGATCAAAACAACAATTGAGAAAGGACTTGCAACTGTACAATAGAGTAAATACAAGAAATTATTAGGAGATGAAGTCCGACAAAATTCCACTTGATTCCATTAACATGGTGTTGCATTGACAAGAAAAGAAGCTAGTGTGCTGAAGGGGAGAGTTGAGAGCGATTCGAAGCTCCATCGCCAACCTCACAACAAGGATATTGTTGATTAAAAAATAAATAAATAAAATCCACAGGTTATATAATCAAAAAAAAATCTAAATCAAATAAACCAAAAAAATTGACCAATAGATCTTTTAATATAATACCCTGCTGCAACTTTCATCGCGAGAACGTATCGCAGAATGATTTAGCCGGATTTATGTTTCTCCGCCACGCACCATCATCGCTTTTTCTCTGGCGATAGCCTCAAGTAAAGCTTTCGGCAAAACCACACTCTCCAGCGACAAACAGCTCCATTCCCCCACCCCATCTCGATATCCAGAAAAGAGGAGGGAAGAATTCGGCTGGGTCTCGCTTTGTACGCACTCAATCCAAATCCAAAGAGCGGGCATCCAAACATCAACACCTCAACCCCCCCTCCACAGAGATTCTCAACACCAAAGTCGAGATTCGTTGAATCCTGATCGCCTCACCTCCTCGAGAGATACAACCGATAAATCAACATCTCCAAACTCAACAATCTCACCAAAATGGCGTCCTCCTCCCTCACCGGGCTCTTCAGCCGCCTCTCCCTCCTCTCACAAACCACAACCATGACAACAACAACAACGACAACAACCCGCCTCTTCTCGACAACCTCCTCCTCCCTCGCCCGCAAACTTCCCACCCCATCCGCCGCCCCCAAAGCCGCCCGCCGCAACCGCGCCGCCCCCAAATCCGAAAACTTCATCCGCATCCGCACCCTCCGCCGCAACATGTTCTCCCCGGCCCCTCCCCCGCTGCGCATGGCCCGCCAGCGATACCTGCGCCACTGGACCATCCACCGCGCCTGGATGCTCTTCCGCCGCAAGCAGCACGAGGCCGTCGACAAGGAGAGGAGCAGGATGCACGCCGGCATGTACAATGCCTGCGAGGAGCTGCGCAAGACGGTCGGGCCTGAGTCGAGGGGCGAGGGATACCTGTACCGAGTTGCCATGGAGAAGAAGGGCGTCTATGGACTTGAGGGCGTGCCGATAGAGTATGCTAGATTTCAGACGGATAGCCCTGCGAAAGAGCCGTGGAATCACGACTGGAAGAGGTAGACAAGGAAACGATATGGAGCTTGTAGGAGGGAGGGGAAAAGAAGAAGAAGAAACGAAATAGACGCCATGTATGAATATGAGGAATTGTATAATACCACCCATGGTATATTCAAAAATAGAGAGTGTGGTCAAAATAAACTGAGCATAAAGGCAAACAATACATCACAAGTGTTAACATGAACATGAGCATTCAATTGGGAGACTCGACATTCTTATTGCCGAAACAGCAGAGTATAAAAATCGCCCTCTCCTTCATTCACCCTTTTCCATCCAAAAAAAGTCCCGTATACCACAAAAAAGGGACAAAGAAACCACAATGTACCAGTTATTGATCTATGCCATCCACCATATTAGTACAGAGGTTGAAACCGCTTCGCTGTAAAGCGCTTTTTCTCCGCTGCGACAGAATACGCTTGCCAAACATTTGCGATAAAAACAGCATTTTAGAAACACAAAATTAAAAAAAAATAAAAATAAACAGAGCTTTCCAATGAGGTAAACCAGAACGAATGGCGAAAAGATGGCTGGTAGCCCCGACCCTCCCAGGCCGAGATTGTGTTCTCGTAGTGGTTGTATGCTTTTACGCAATACTTGATGTGATGAAATCAGCTGCAATTCCAAGGAAGGAAGAAACATTTCGTTTCAAAGGCCGTGTGATGGTGATGGACGAGAAAAGCATTGCGCTTATGCTCTTTTCTCAGCAGAGATGGGGATGAGCTGTGCTTTGTCAAGCAGCGACAAGCATTAAAGATGCAGGCATCATGTCATGGCCTCATTCGTCAAGATGCAGGCTCGTGACGGTGCGTTGTTCGGCCACTTTTGCTCTGGCCCAAGTATTTCATGTCGACTTTCGTTCGACCCGTGAGGACAAGAATTCCAAGTCCTAGAGAACAACGCAACAGCCAGTGCTCTCCCCCTTCTCGAATGTGAGGAGAGCCGCTCGGGTAGCCGCCTCAAACACATCATCAACACCCTCTCCACTCAAACTGGAGCATTCGAGATATCTCTTGGCGCCAATCTCTCGAGCGACGCCCTCGCCGTCGTGTGTAGTGACGAACCGTAGTGACTTTTTGCGCATCTCCTCGATAGCGACGGGATCGTCACGCAGATCTTTCTTCAATCCAACGAGTATGATGGGTACCCCTTCGCAAAGGCGGGTAGCTTCCTCAATCCACTAGAACAACAACAATATATCAGCATACATCCATTCCGTCACATGCTGAACGGGCGCCATCGAACCTTGTGCTTGACATTGTCAAGAGAGTCCGGTGTATCGACGGAGAAGCCTATTAAGATGACATGCGCCTTGGAGTAGGCAAGGGGTCGTAGGCGTTCGTAGTCTTCTTGGCCGGCCGTATCCCACAGAGCAAGCTGCACGGACTTGCCATCTACTCTGCAGTCGGTTACGTAGTTTTCGAAGACGGTGGGAATCTGCATCGGGACGTTAATCTCGGCTATGTGGGTGCGCAATCGCGATCAACACTCACGTAATGCTACACATGGTCAATGGTTAGCGACCGCAAACACCTTGTCTAGAGCAGGGAGCTTGGAATAACATACTGTAGGGAAATAACCGAGTGTGAAGACGCTGAGCAGACTCGTCTTGCCGCAGGCACCATCGCCGATGATGACGAGCTTCCTATACGTTTGCTCTGGTTAGCAAAAAGCAATTCCGTTGTCTAGCATATTCTGCCATGGCTCAAGACCAAATCATGGGCTCGACACCCGGCATCGAACGAATAGAAAGCCACCAGTGACGACAACAACAACAACAACAAACGATAACAGAGCCATGGACGTCGATCGTACCTGCGGATGACATTTTGCGGACTCCCACTAGCCATGTTGAAGCGATGCGATTAAGAGCTGCTGGATATAGATAGATGTATGGACGGACAAGTTCGTCAAGCGGTAGACGAAGACGGAAACAGAAACAGGCAGACAGGGCCAGGCGTCGGTTTCTCCCCCAGTCCCAACGGCCTTGTTCGCCGAAGATCTGTGGATGACAGGACCAGTTTAAAAGCAGTGGCTTCCGGGGCAAACCGAGCTCTATTATCGATGTTATGAATCTTGGTTCGGGAACGCCGCTCTTGTGCTGCCTCCCAGAATCGTACAGTCGCGTCTAGGGGATACGGGTTGACCAGGGCGGTGGAACGGATTGGTTGGTTGCCAGGCGATTTTATCGGAATACGAGCTTGGACGAGTCTCCAGTTATTCGCTGCGGCGAGCGGTCGGCTGGCGAAAGGGACTTTGGCCGCGCCAATGGGGAATCACACAGATCGGGGCAGGCTAGGGGGCAGAATATCACACAACTTTGCTGCTGCTGCTGTAACTGAAGCGAGACAATCAATGTGAGGATGTGAGGCAGGAAATAGAAAAGAATGGGAGAAGAGGAAAAAAAGAAGAGGAAACGACGAAACAAGCAGGGTTTAAGGGGGGAAGGGCTGCTGCTCACGGCGCGCTATCGTTGCTAAGAGGGATAGCAGCACAGCACAGCACAGCACAACTAAGTCCTTAGCAATGCAGCCCAGCAACGTTTCACCAAACAAGATGGGCCGCTAGAGCGTTGGTGGATCGAGGCCGAGTTGAGGCTTGCGTCTGACGCTCAAGGCCGGGCCTTTACGCTTTACGACTCGAGAGAGACAAGAAGAAGGAGTTCGCGCCGGATTACATAAAGCGGCGAGCCGGGCCAACCAGCGGCGCAGCTTCGCCTCTCGGCCATGCCAAAGTTGTCTTGAGTTGGGACGGGCGGGCTGTACCTTTTGCCGGAAGCATGACGGCCACAGTAGCGTTGACTGCTACTAGTACCTGGCTGGCCGATTGAGGTGTCTTACGGAGACGGTGATATTTTTTTTTTCTAAAAAAAAAAAAAGTGGCATTGAAAGCATCGAGAGGGGGTTAGTGGCGAGTTCGATAAAGGGAATTATTGCGATGTACATGTATGTAAGTAAGCCTGCAACTAACTGCAGGCTTCTGACTGATCGTCCGTCCGTCTACATGTACCTATGCGTCTGTCAGTCTCTCTCTTGTCTCCTCTTGTTTTCTCTTCTCTGGCGTCCTCCTCGGAGTCGTCCTGATCTTCGCTCGGTCGGCGGAATACTACCGATCGTCCCGCTTCCCAAGCGAGGCTGAGTCTCGGGCGAATGAGCGACCGCCTTCAAAGCCATGGTGTAACATCACGCATGAGAGCGAAGGGCGCTAAGAAAGCAAACAAAAGCATGGCTTTGCACGTCTATTGGGCGCAACGGCTGGATGCTCTGTACGAGAACGCCATGGTGCATAGCAACGCGTCTCGTTTTCTGCCGTCTCTCATGCAGGGACTCGGGTTGATGGCAGGTCCATCAATGCTACTGTATGTCACGATATCAGTCAGTCCGGGGACAAAGACGAGAGTGGCCTACTGTAGTCCGCAGTATGGGGGGCTATCATATCGCGGTTGATGCCCGACAAAGCACCAAGGAAACTTGAGGATTCACCACAGGCCCAGCTAGGGCTGAATGAGCGCAAGCTTTTGCGGCAAAAGAAGCTTCTCGGGGCATTCTGGCGAATAACGAGCCGCCAATGTCAATAGTCTCCCCTGTTAAATCCATGGCTTGCATCAGGCACTTTGCCCGCCTCTCAACGGATCAAATGTCAACACTGCCCTAGGACCAGTAACTACCCAAGCAGGTTACCGTGATTGCTAGTGGAGGCCATGATGGACAATGGTGGGGTTCAGCCCTCTGCAGGATTTCTTACCTTGCATGAGCTCCAGACAAACTACGAGGACTGGGTTGCAAATGGGCTTATTTTCAGCTGCCAGACGGGCGGCAAGGCAGAAACAGAGGAACATTGTGAAGCATTGGACAAAGCGTCGAATGTTACAAGTCGAGAGATGCTACGAGAGCCCCCCTGACATGCCTGCTGCCTACAATGCGTCAGCTGCTTGTAGATAGACATGCGTCTGTGTCTAACAGCACAGGTCAGGAGAGTGAACAGCCACTCTGCTTCACCGAATGTCATCCAAGGCGTTTCTAGATGGTTCTTGTCCCAAAGCGGTAGGCTACGTAACTTGACGTAGAGCACGAGGGTCTCTTCTCAATGCGGAAAACGGACCTCCAATTCATATCGATAGCCAAGCTACATCTGAGATGCATTGTTGCCGTCGTGGTAGGCATCTACCTACCTGTATGTAAACAATCTAACTGCCTTTGTACCGAGGACCCCTTGCTTTGAAATTGTGGTACCTGCTTGATATCAAAGGGCTGTACGGAGTAAGGATCTGAGTAATCCTTATGCTTAGCAACTATCAAGTAAAGACATATTGGACGCCGGATCAGGGTAGCATCCATCTGTCATCTACCAGGTAGCGATCAAGGTGGTATTACCTAGGCCTATGACGCAGACTCCTGGTGCATATGACGATCCATGCCTCAGAGAGCCTTGTGGAAGCCGTAGCGAAATAGACTATCATCCACCACTCTGTGGCATCAGACCATGGCAACAGCCTCGTGAGTAAATGGCAACGTGGTATTGCATCCATGTCAATACAGCAGGCAGACACAGATGCAGCCACGCTGGATGAGGCGAGCTGGTAACTACCTTATCTGTACGACCTTGATGCCCAACAAATCCGCTGCTCCTTGCATCGCTACCAAGGTGCTAATCCAGGTAGGACTATCACAGGCCCATTATGTACATGTACTCTGTACCGTCAATAGGACTACCGGCGCTTCACCCTTGCTTGTCCTTGCACGGCAGCTTCAGGTGAAGGGCGACTAGGACCACGGAAGCGCTGAACCCGAACCCAGGGAGAGTTTACCTGCTATAAATAGGACATGGAGACGGGAATAAAATGCAGCTGCTCTAATTAGACGTCGCTGCCAAACAATGTCCAAGTTCTGCTGCTTTGTGTAAGTCGAAAGGGTCCATGTGTTTAGCTCAGGCACATACGAGTACAGCGATAAGGCAGGGAAAGCTTCAATGCCTCCATGTACATGTACCAATGTAACTACTCGTAGTACTTGTAATCCATGGATGTGATCCAATGTGCTGGATGCGGTGATGTGCGCCGCCATTGCTCGAAACAAAGCAGCACGGGCAGCGGTCGATGCCAATCACGGGGTACAGGCAAACGCCAGTGACATTGGCCGCGCTGCGTACGATGCACAGCACCGAGTGTCCATGCCCTGCGCGCTGTTGTACGGGTACTTTGCCTGGAGGCCATAAAGGTCCACGTCTGCTGGAAGCACCTGGAAGGACCCCTACTGTACGCAAATACAGCGCCTGTTGGCCCTGTGCTTTTAGGTGCTTGGTAGGCCGGCCAACGCACCCCAGCGCCTCAGGCACAAAGCCAGATTTCGGCTCGGATCTGGGTAGAAAGAGCACGAGCATCACGTGCCGCAGCACAGGGTCGCCTTTGCAAATCCAGCGCGAAATCTGATAGACGGCTTTCAGCCCCGGTTTTCGCCAGCCTCAACAGGGACAGACATTCTTGCATAACAGAAGTACATGCCGCTATGTAACTACACCACACGGTGACTTCCCTCGATTTTCTGGCCCTCCAAAAGCATCGCCCACGACTCTCCCAATCGCCTTCCCCACGCAACCGACGCGAAGCCTCACGACGCGCCGCATCTCACAGGCTCAGGCTCTCGGCCGGGGCTCTCAGAAACCCCCACTGGCGTCATTGCTGACCTAACCCTGAATTGGCTTTGCGGATTGTGAGTGCCTCATTTTGAGTCGCCGGCAACCTCCACCAGCAAATCCAGCCATCGCCATCAACACCGACGCCGTGCTTTGCCACCCGCAGCTGGCCTTGTCCTTGACCGTCCGCACGCCCTTCCCGCTGCTGCTCTGCTCTGCCCCGTGCCCCGACGGCTGACTTGCTTTGTCTTCTTCCTGCTGCAGGCTGCGTCGTTTTGGTTTTGAGCCGCCCTGGGCCCCCCAGTCCCGAGACTTGATGCTCTCAACTGCCTTGCTTGCGTAGATTCACGATGCCGGCCCATCACCAGAAACCGGCCCCCCTCGCGCCGGCATCGCCTCGAAACACTGCCAAATACACTAACAAGGACGGCTCCAAGTTCATCACCGTCCCCAAGGCCAGCCCGTCGGACTCGTCCCGGCCCTCGACGCCCACCATCGCCAAATCCAACCAGGCCCCGCCGCCCGCGGACCCGACAGGCCTCGACACGTCGGCGCCCACCGTAAATCGCAAGAAGCAGAAGCGGCGGCAAAAGGCTGCGGCCAAGGCGGCCGCTGCGCAGGCTGCCAATGGCCATCCCAGCCCCGCTCTCAGCTCCGACAAGCAGATGCCCGCCGACTATGAGCTTGTCGCAAGTGACGAGGATGATGATGTCTATGATCTAGTTGACGACGCGGACCCTAGGCCGGCGACGAATGGCCACGCCATAGATCCTAAAGCTAATAAAAAGAACAAGAAAAAGAAGAAAAAGTCCGGTCCCGGTGCCCACGCCGAGGAGATGGATCTGGCACAGCATCGTCACAACCACCACACTCACAACCATCGCTATCACGGGGACGACTTGGCGCCAGCGGCTCCGGCGCTGCGTGGCTCCGGAATGTCTAGGGATAAGATATGGAGCACCAGCAATCACGAGGAGCGCGAGCGTATCAAGGAGTTCTGGCTTGGCTTGGGCGAGGATGACCGGAAATCCTTGGTCAAGGTGGAAAAGGACGCCGTACTAAAGAAGATGAAGGAGCAGCAGAAGCATACGTGTAGCTGTACCGTCTGCGGGAGGAAGCGCACCGCCATCGAAGAGGAACTGGAAGGTCTGTATGACGCATACTATCTCGAGCTCGAGCAGTTTGCCAATCAAGGAGAGGGCCCCCCGATGCTCCCCCCTCCTCCCCGAGACTTTTCGGTCCGCCAAACGCGAGGCTTGCCCGGGGGATACCCCCGGCCTCCCCCAGCCCGCGGTCGAATAGTGGAGCACGTGGGCGACGATGACGAAGAGTTAGAAGAAGCATACAGCGAAGACGAAGCGGAGGACGACGAGTATAGCGACGACGAACCTCCCGAGGAATTTCACGGCTCTCCTGACCGAGACGTAGCTGATTTCTTGACGTTTGGTAACAGTCTCCAAGTCAAGGGTACGCAACTTCTTGAATCACTTCTGCACAGATATGGTAACATGGACTTAGGCGGCATTCTCACCGTGGCGGATGACCTACTCAAAAACGACGGCAGACGCTTCATCGAAATGATGGAGCAGCTTGCAGAACGTCGAATGGCCCGAGAAGAGGACGCGCGAGAGCACTTCGCTCGCGGCTACGGTCATCCCAACGGCTCATACTCCGCTCCTCACAACCATCCTCCTCCCGAAGACGAAGAGTACGAGGACGAAGAGGAGGAGGAGGAGGAGGAGGACTACGACGACAGTCAAGACGAGGAGTATGAGGATGAAGAGGTATACTACAACCCCTCTGTGATGCCGTCCAAGTTCCATACTGAGTGCTGTTGCCAGGACCCGATGACGGAAGAGCAGCGAATGGAAGAAGGCCGTCGCATGTTCCAGATATTCGCCGCCCGCATGTTCGAACAACGAGTACTATCCGCGTACAAAGAGAAAGTCGCCAAGGAGCGTCAAGACAAGCTACTGGAAGAGCTGGAGGAGGAAAGCCGAGCTGTGGACGAGCAGAAGGCGAAAAAGGCAAAGAATGCGCAAAAGAAGAAGGATAAGGCCGCCCAAAGGAAGCAAGCACTTGCGGACGAGAAGGCTCGAAAGGAAGCCGAAAAGGCCGCCGAGGAAACTGCCCGAATCGAAGCCGAGAAGAAGAAGATTGCTGAGCAGAAACAGAAAGCCGACGAGAAACGCAAACAGAAGGAAGCCCAAAAGAAGGCCGAAGAGGACGCGCGGCTCAAGAAGGAGGCTGATCGACTGCGGCGGATCCACGAGCAGAAAGAGAAGCAAGCCGAAGTGGAACGAAAAGCGCGCGAGGCCAAGGAGCGAGAAAAGAAGCTCAAGGACGAGCAACGCACCAGGGAACGGGAGGCCCGAGAGCAGAAAGAGCGAGAAGCTCAGGAGCGTAAGGAGAAACAGGAACGCGACAAGCGAGAAAAGGAGGCCAGAGCTGCAAAGTCCCAGAAGGAGGCCGCAGAGGCCGCAGAGGCCGCCAGAGAAGAGCAACTGCTGCTGCTGCGAGCCAAGGAAGAAAAGGTAGCACCAAAGGTTTCCTCTGTTCAGGTAGCCCAGACTCAACCCTCACAGCCTGTCAAGCGTGAAAATCAGCAGCAACAGCAGCAACAGCCGCCTCCCCAGACGCAGCAGACTCCTGTTTCCTTGCCCGCAGTCTTGCCTCAACATCCTCCTAATCCAGCAAGCTTCATTTCGCCAAAGATTCCCGTAGCAACTCCGGCAATCCCCAAGGCACCAACTCCCATACGGCCGAGGACAACGTCCCAGCAACACGGGACCGGCCCGGCAAGCTCATCCGACTCGCAGACAGCATCCGTTCCTAGTCAGAGCGCATCACCACACTCTGTCACGCCGGTGTACACCAGCCCGAGCTCGACTGGGCCCGAGAGGAGAATCAGCGCAGGCACTCCGGTCACGATACAGCCAGCTACAATATCAGGTACACCGCCTGGGCTACCACTGCCCAAGGGCCCAAGCCCATCTGCCCCGTTCCAGCTACCCATGATGAACATGCAGCCTCCTCCAGGACTAGGTCCCCATCCTCCTCCACCCCCGCCAGGTTTCTCTAACCGGCCGGGCCACGATCCCATCTTCCCGGTAGGGTTTCGACCAAGTCCCGGACATAATATGATGATTCCGCCGCCAGGCATTAACAGCTCTGCGGTTCGCGGCTATCCACCCGTCACAATGCCCCCTCCCGGGTTCTCACAGCCAGTTGCTGATTATCCCATGAGCCAAGTCTATCCCATGCCTACCAGAGACGGCCCTGTCATGACACACGGGCGCCAAGGTTCCATTGGATTCGAGAGCTCGCCCGGTACTCCTGGACAGCCGATTGGGCGACCAGCACCGATAGGCCGTCCTGGCAGCGTCAGTCATGGATATTCGCGTGACAAGGAGGAGGATACGCAGCATCTCGGAAGCCGTGTTCTCGTTGAGGACGATGAGCCATTGGGTGTAGATGCTGGTGTTGGCGGCTTGCGTCATCAACCACTAGGACCTCGAGGCGGCTTTGCTGCAGGCCCTTTTATTGACTCGGGATTCCCAATGGGCCACAACCCTTGGGGTCCCATCAACAGCCCTCCGCAGCCTTTCCCTCCCACTACGGCCCAGCAGCCATTTGCTCTACCGACGTTTGGCAATCCAGGCTGGGGTCCTCCAAGCGGCCCACCGGGATTTCATGTTGGATCTCCGAGCGGATTAGGATCCATTCGATCGCATGCCCAACCTCGCCACGTAACAGTGCGCTTGCTACTCTCGCAGGCGTGCAAAGAGCTGACGAATACGGCCACTGCCGATAAGGATGGTTACGTTGATCTGGCAGACATCAAGGGACACGTCAGTATGGTATCTGGTGACCCTAGCATCTCGGAACAAGACCTGTTAAACCTCTGCGACACAGTCGGCAGTCTATCCAATGGTGGAGGGTCTTTTGATGTGAAGCAAGACGCTGTGGGGCTCAAGAAGATACGATGGGTTCCTGACACGGACGAGGGGCTAAATCCTCACTTTCGGGCAGTCGGAGCTCCCGGTGAGATTGGCAGTCCTTTGGTAGGCCATGCCTCTTTGCGCGGGATTTAGGCAGATCTCGAAAAGATGCAGCACATGGGAACTGAAGAGAGCCCTTCTAGGCGGTTGAACCTGTTGGAACGGATCGGAGTCACCCCGCCGTCTACTACGGCTGAGCTCCGAGCAAACCGCATTGCAACGAACGCGACTACCGGAGATACTGCGCATGCGTCGACAAGTTCCCCCTTTGCCGGCTTGACAAATACAAACACGCAGAGAGACGACGCTTCTCTACAGCAGAACATTCAGAGTACTATAAGAGGAATGCACAAAAAGGGAATCAGCGAAAACATTACACACAGCGGTTTTCACGGGGAGGGTTCGGATGAAAGCAGTAAAGTGGACACCTGGGTCGGCTTTTACAACCCCCGCAAGAATGGGAGAAGATCTTTGGGGCCCTGATGCTGGATGAGATGCAGCATTTGAGCTTTTTTTTTTTCTTATTTGTTCAAGGCAGGGGAAGATACGAAAGGGGACCAACATTGTGTCGTTGCTGGACGTGACGACAGGCTATGAGATAGGCTACTATCAAAGTAACAAATCAGCATGGCGCTTGCGCGTGTTCTTGTGTGATTTTTAGACGTGTGTGGGTTTATCATTGGGAGGGGAGACTCGAGAGTAGCAACTAGGTGCGAAAGCGTGTCGACATAAATACCCCCCGGAATAGTGTATTCAATCATGGCATTTGTCAAGTCATTTGCACGTTTATTTCCCCTCTCTCTCTTTCTTAGTAAGATGCTGAATGTGTGTGTCCAAGTTGTTAAGATACCATTGTAAGGGCATCTGGTATTATAGGATGATTTATATCCATGTCAATTTGAACAGGCACCAGCACTTGTATTAAACTGGATACCTACCTCCTGTAGTTCAGACTATTCCATACCAGAAGGTGCGGCGATGTTATGTTGATACATACTTCCATTCTTCTTCTCGTTTATTGCAAAGCAAAACACGTGAGAGCTGCTGCAACATCTTCCAAGTCACAAAATGCCCGTTCCAATTCAAGTACCTTATCTAAATCAATGCTGCTTCTTTAAATAACATCAAACCCCCCCCCCAATTTCCTACCCGAGGCTCGCCTCAATCTCTAACGGAATCTCTCTTTTTGATGATGCGTGCCTTGCCTTGCCATCTTCCCGACTGAAGAAGAAAGCGGCAAAAGTCGCTGCCCACCCTCCCTTGACCTTGTCCTCGATACTAGAAGGTATGGGTACTATAACGTTATGCCACACCCTCCGTCTTTGTTCCCTGTACCCACGGCTCGAAGAGCAACATGATGCGCCGAAAAACATGAATAAAAAAAAGCAAGACATCAAAAATGTGCTGGTCCGATTTCCTCCCTTTATGCCGTGTGTCACGAAACATCGTGGCTGTTTTCCTGTTCTCTGACCACCTCAAGCCTGCTTGGTGCTGGGCCAGCGCCACGACCTCGACCTCTCCTAGCTCTCTAAGACCGGGCCTGGTCGGCGAAGGGGTCGGGGCCCTCCTGGCGCATCAGGGGAGCTCGCGTCTCGGCGGCGCGGGCCTTCTTTGTCTGGGCTCGGGCGAGGGCAGTAGCCTCGGCGCGGGCCTCGAGCTGCTTCTGGTGGCGGCTCTCGCGGCAGCAGGCAAAGGTCAGGAAGGTGATGGCGACGACAATGGCAGTGCCGAAGATGATGGCGATGATGATGCCGCCGACGTCGAGGTTGTTCTTCTTCTTCATGCAGACGGTCTCGCCGAGGGAGTCGAGAGAGCACATGAGGCCGGGGGCACAGTTGGCCTTGGCCACCTCGGTGGGGACACATGAAAGCGTTCGCAGGACACCCTTATCGGTGGAGATGTCGCACGACGACGTCTTGACGGTGGATGTGGCCATGCACTGGAGGCCGTCGCGCTCGCGCATCCAGTGGGTTGGGAGCGGTGCCGGCTGGGCGTTTCGGACGGCGTACGTCTGGATCGGGCTGCCCAGGACGCCGCGGTATCGCTTCTTCAGGTCTCCCATGTTTTGGAGCTCGTCGCATCGCCTCAGGGCATTTTGGGCCTCGGAGACGGCCTCGTCGATGGAGCATCCGGCGTTGGTATAACAGGACTCGAGGTCGCTTTCGGTTTCGGAGTAGCCGAGGGTCGACAGGCAGTACTCGAGCGAGACGTGCTGGCCGCAGTCAGAGTATCCGGCCAGCTGTTGGCTGTGCTTGCTGAAGCATCCTGCTTCCAGGGCGAGGGCACTGCCGCTGAGGGCGATGGCGGCAGCAGAGAAGAACTTCATTGTGAGAGACTGGAGGGCAACCCGGTTGCTATGCTATGCTACTTCGGAGAGAGGAGGAGGGGGGGTTATGAGTTCTGAGCCGCAGCTGATATGATGGGCAAAATACAGCGGGATGGTGGGTCTCGTCGCGGCGAAGAACCAAAGGCCCGTGGAACAGGAAAAGGAAGGTATTCCAACAATGAGACGACAAGCAGCAGGCTCGCGGAGAAGGACAGATGAGGGATGAAACAGGTGGGAGAGGTGGTAAGTGCTGGAGCAAAATAGAAAAAGAAGCGGTTCTGCTAACATGAAAAAGGAGTCGACAGGACGGGAGCGGCACTTGTCCCCTTTCAGTTAGGGGTCTCTGGGTCAGCCTTGGGTCTGACTGGGGCTGGGTTGAGCGTTCCAAGCAAAAAAAAAAACAGGGGGGGGGAGCAGATTTGGCCCCAACCTGTGCGTGCCAGAGCTTGGCTTGTTAGGGGAAAACAGCACAGCAAAGCCGCTGATGAGACGCTTATACGGCGCCGCCATCAAGGCTGTGCAGTTGGACTTGGAGCCACAGCCGCAATGACAGACAATTCACACATGATTCCAGCGTTCGACGGCACTACAGGACAGGACAGGACAGGACAGGAAAAGCTTGGGCTCTAGGGTTCGGGACTGGCGTTCATTTCCTATCGACTGGGAGCTGGAGCTGGAGCTGAATCTACGATTGATTGCTTCCATTTTTAGCGACGTGGTGGGTTAGCATACAGTACATCGCCGGGCACATGTGAGGCATCGACCTCAAATCACTCACTCTGATGATACGAGACGGAGATTGTTTCTGGATGGTGATGGGTAAGAAGATGTATACCTCTTTTTTTTTTTTACACCTCTTTCTCAAACCTTTGCCTTGTTCCTTTGATCTCTTTGCTTTTCTTGCTTTCTTTTTTATTTATTTTCTTTTTTTCCCCGTGCCTTTTGGCAGTGAGGCATCGTCTGCGGGTGCCGGCCGTATCAATCTAAAGCGGTGCATCCTCCTGACTCCATCCACTCCATCTGAATCAGCGCTACCTGTGGCTCGCTAAGAATAAACCACCCTTTGTTTTGTCACTAATGCGCGTCAATCCTTGTCTGGCCATTTTGCACTCTGCATTTTGCGCAGGATAGTACAAGTACGAGCATTTGCTCCATTGCCGTACTTGTACGGATTGGATGGCATTCGCATCGACTTTTATGGCAGAGACTCATATGTACATAGGTACGCTACAGTACCTAGAATTGGTATAGTATTTGGCCTTTGAGCTTTCCAGCTGACAATACTGAGCGCTCTATGCTGGGTGTCATTTAACATGGATGTCGGTACTTGGTGGCCCGTATGAATAATCGGCATTGCTCAATCTGTACGAAAGCCCAACCAGGTGGTGAATGGGCAGAGCTGCAGCAATCAGCGGGGACCAGCGACTGCGTGAGTGGCAGCAAATTACCTGCAACGCTGGAAGCAAGCGACATTAACCGTCAAGGTACGGAGTACTAGTCCTGCCTCGATGACCCTTTTTTTGGTCTTTTTATTTGATTGAGATTTGAGAAACGGCGAAAGGGGGCTTCCGTGATTTGATAAGCAGAGTTTTTTGAGTGCATTACGCACCTTACCTAGCGAGTTGTTGTATTACGTACTGGGACCTTGTTTTTTTATGCTTTCCATCTGTCTACAATATGAGACCCCTATGAGATCAAGCATTATCGGATAGCGATGCTGCGACGACGTCATCGGTTGCGAGGCCTCGGGACGCCATAACCTAGATCTTGCTTTTCGTTCCGGAACAGGAAGGAAATTAACATCATTATAAGAGTTGTACAATACAACCTTTTCTCTCTTTCTTCTTCTTTCTTCTCCATTCTCCATTTACGTGTACTATTTCTTCCTTTTTTTCGACGAATTCTGTAAGTTTCACCCCTTGGTACTCTGCACTGTACATGCTTCTTTCACGGTTAACCCAACGCTAATCACGACGGCAGGCTACCATAAGAAGCAAAAGCTCCATCTATCGACTACGTCTTCTGTAACCCACGCACTCAATTCAATCCATCATGCCTCTCGTCGTGCCCGGCATCATGAGCAGTTCCGACGACAAGACCCAGGTCTGGGCCAACAAGCTCGTCGGAAAGACCTTTTCGGAGACGGAATCCAACGAGACGGTGCGTTTCTTTTGGTTACTCTCCATTTCCTATGCACAAGCCCTTTCGTTCCATCTTCATCATCATCATGCCACTTTTTGTATCAAGTAGAGCGGGGGAGGCAAAAACATCATGGCTAACATGTAGGAACAGATGTTTTGCAAAAAGGACCTGCCGGAGTCTCATCGGATTATTAAGAAGGGTTCGATTGTTACCAAGGATTTCAGGCCGGATAGATTGAATGTGCATTTGAATGAGGATGGGACGGTGTCGCATGTTGTTCATGGGTAGAGTGAAGAAGGATCCATGTGTTTTGCTATGAGCTTTGAGGCGTCGACGACGTCGTTTACGTGCGACCGACGAGATGCCCAGTAATACAGAGAAATAAATTGTTCCTTATCTCGATATTCTTCGATTAACATTTTGGCTATGAATCATCTCTTTTATTTTACTTTATCACTTCTTCATCCAAGTAAAAGCAAAGCGAAGCAGCATTTCCATCATTGATTCTCTCTCCCCCCGCCTGATTGCATGTTCTGGCTGTTTTTGCCCCGCCATTTTCTCCCTGGCTTATCGATGGCGGGGCTGCTCCGATAAACCTGCGCCTTTGACTTGAAGCTGCGATTCGCTTTCCGTCAATCATAGTCACATCCATCATCACGGCGAAGAAACGCAGCGATTCCCCCCTCCCATTTTGACGCGCCTTGGTTCTGGGGCGATCCTCTCTTTATAATCTATACATCAATTGTTGTTATACTCCCATATAGTCCTTCAGTCATCCGCCAAAATGTTCAAAAAAGAGTGCGTCGATATCCCCTCCAAGCAAGCAAAAAACCCCCAGAAACAGACAGACAGCAAAACCCCACGAGGCAAGCTACAAGGAGACACTCTTTAGCTAACTCTTGATGTGAATAAAAAACAAACAGCCTCCCCGTCGCTCCCAAGCAAAAACTCAAATCCTCCGTCCAGCGCTCCCTCCGCAACTCGCTCCTCGCAACGTACCCGCTGCTGACGCCCTACATTGACGAAATCATGCCCAAGAAGGGCTCCCTCGAGAGCATGAAGCTGCCCGACCGCAACACGCTCTTCGTGCTCGACTCGGTGCCCCTGTTCTACCAGCAGGACGGCTCCGACCTGCTGCCGCACCTCAAGCTCGTGCACCGCTTCCCGCAGGCGTTTCCCAGCATCCGCATAGATCGCGGAGCGATTCGCTTCGTGCTGTCCGGCGCGACGCTCATGGCGCCCGGGCTGACGTCCAAGGGCGGGAGGCTGCCTGTGGAGGGCGCGAAGCCGTTGGAGGAGGGCAAGGAGATGGAGCAGGGCATCGTGGAGGACGGGCGGTGGAGCAGGGAGTTGGCCAAGGGGGAGCCGGTGGTGATTATGGCGGAGGGCAAGGAGGAGGCGTGTGCGGTGGGCATCTTGGTTGCGGGTACGGACGAGGTCAAGGCCAAGGGTAAGGGGCCCGTGGTGGAGGATGCGCATTTCTTGGGAGATGGGCTGTGGTGTTTGCATGCGTAGATGTAGATGGAGGGTTGTGGTATCGTGGTGTTTATACTGGATTTTTGTTTATATATTTTTTTGGGATTGTACGGAATAAGACAGCCCATGTATAAGTTTCTCGGTTGCTGCTACTTTTATTTATTTCATGTCCTCAATAATATGGAGTATCGGTGATTCAGTCTTGTCAAAGCATGGCCCTTGCACGTTCAACATCTACTCACACTGGTTTAAATAAATTCTACAATATTGAATTGTTTAAACTTTGATATTGGGTCATTGAATACCATAGTCTAAATGATATTCCATTCTAGCAGTCAGACGTTAGTGCTGAGTATAGCATCAGAGGTTTTTTTCTCTTTACCTTTTCGACTCAAACCCGTAAGGCTCATAGTCATACCAAAGTCCGTGATCCAAACAATGTCTTGCACGAAATCACATCTGTTTGCAACTGATCCAACTTGTAAACCCAACCCAGATCCACAACTATCTTGAGAGGTACTCTAGGACGATGGCTTTCTTGCTTTGCTCTTCTTTTTTTCCTTGGTTTCCAGGTAGCGGGAGTTATGACGAGCCATGGCTGCCTCTCCAACATCTTCTTGATGCTTTTCGATAAAGGCCTGAACGTCCTCCAAGTTGTATTCGCCGTCAGCGTTCTTGAGGCTCTTCTCCGGCACAATCCCGTAACTCGCATCATCTTCAAGAATAATCTTCTTCAAGGCCTTGACAAGGCACGACCTATAAAGAATGTCTCGTTGATCAGTGGATTTCGGCTCTGGGACACTACCCTTTATGGACGTATTCCAGATGAAATCCCTTTGTCGCTCGGCAAGAAACTCCCTGCGTCGAGCGGTAAACTCCTTTTCGACGCCAAATGCAGAAAAGGCCTCCTCCGTGACTTGCTCCCTGGTACATTTGCGCTCGGCGAATTTCCCAAGTCGACGGCACTCTGGAAGGAACTCGTCGACCCATTTCCTGAAAACTGGCCGGTAATTCATGCGCCGGCGGTCGTTTGCTTTGAGCTTCTTTGCATCGGGCTCTTGCGCAACGGGGGATACCCACATCAGTCGACAACGAGCAGCGTATTCAAACATGTCTTCGGCGCGAGGGAAAGGCTTGTCCCAGTATCCGTCCATGGGCATGTCAAGAAACTCCATGACTTTGGCCGGGTCGGACGAGAGGAAGATTCTGGCTCGCTTCCGATCGGACTCTTCAATCTCGGAGATTCTGAGCCACATGGCGCTGTCGTCAACTGTCAAGCCGTACCCTCTGATTGTTGATCCCAAGAGATTCCACAAGTCTCCGTGGCCGTGCTTGAAAAGCATCCAGCGTAGCCTGTGCTCTGTGTCGCATACTCGGACGTCGATCTGGATGTACTTTTTCTCGGACTCTTTGTTGGCATCTTGTTCATCCGCCAGCCAAGGGATGGCCAGACTGCCCGCAGGCTCGTTGCCTCCCGCAGTGATTGATCTCTCTGCTCCGAGGGCTTTTGATATGGTCTGAATGGCATATGCGCCTCTGGAAGCCTCTGGTTTCGGCGAGGCGAGCAGAAAGTCGATATCCCCAAAGTCTGTTTTACCTGGGCCCTCGAGAGGGGACTCCACGCACGAGTACAGAGTGCGGAGAATCCCTTCGCATTGGCTTTTGATGGCCACATAGACTTCTTTCGGCATTCGGGGAGTGAATAATGGATTGACTACTGCGGAGAATGCTGAGCCACCCATGTTGAGAAGCTGTCGGCAGCGCCTATTTTTCTTTCACTATTTTCTAGGCTTCGAAAGTTTCCAAACGTGATTTGGCGCAAATCACTAGATGTTTTCAATGTATTTCAAAGTGTTGAGTGGGAGTCTTTTCCTGGAGTATTTAGCAAGTCAGCTCTCGGATTCAACGTGGGTGATACGAGCGCCCAGACTAGAGCTTGGGAGAGGCTTTATAGCTCTGAAATCGTATCATGAAGCATCCCAGCAGTTGGTCTCTGATTGAGGCTATATTTTTAGCTATGACTCACCAGTAAGTATCCTAAAACGAGGAGTTTGATGCGTTTATCCAAAAGACATGAGCTTCGCGGTGTTGCGATAGCGGATTCAAATGACTGTATTTGGCACAATGACGACAAACGTGCAAAAGGTTGTAGGAGGTGTAGCTTGAAGGAATGAAGTGAAAGAGAGAAGTGACCAGCGAATAGTTTAAATTTACTTGTGCGCCTGAGGCAGCAAAAACGCAGGGGCGCTTTTGTGAAAGAGGCAGAGGAAGAGGAAGAGGAAGCTGGAAGGCTCAAATCGGTGTTGCTCAGGACGATTGGAGCAATAGCAGCTGATGATTTGTAGCCTCAAGTTCAAGGTTGTTTACACCGATGACGCCCCCGCAGTGACCTGGCGCTTACCCTAGATTTGATGATGGTTTCCTTGGGATCAATAATTAATATTTGTGGTATGAAGAAAAGAGGCGTGAATTGAATATTTTTACGAAGGAATTGAATAAGCAACTGTCAATTATTTGTTCCGAGTTGGGAGAGAATCAGCCAACTTGTGAATCACTTGCCGGGATGCAAATCTAGCTGCGAATAATTGAGTCACGTCTTTCATGCTGCATCACTGCAACCACCAATTGCAACCAAGCCGCATACGTCCTTTTCGTCTTCTTCTAAAGGTCCTTGCTTTCGTTTAGCTAGTTGGAGGATCGTGACATGAGCAGTTCGTAAAGAGATAAGCAGCAAGGCGCAGCAGTTCACACCAGCTTCATCATGCTCCTAGGCGTAATCAGCTCCTTATTGGCAATTCGCAAGTTGGCTATTCACAAAATATTATATTTCTTACATATATTCTCCGATACCTTTCTGCAATATTACAATAAATTATAAACTTTGAGAAATAGTATCACCATCAATAAGATGGACCCAGCTGATCCTACCTGTACGTCCTTGTAGCAGCATACACTGGACAACACCGAACATATGAAGAGTAGAACGGTGAGCGCTACAATAATGTCGAATCAAGTGTCTGGGATTTCCATTGTTATAGTGGAATTCTCTCCACAGCATTCTGGTGTGGTGTGGCTATGCGCAGTACACCGGTATTCAACTGAACCAAACATTGGTCGAGATGACTGCGGCTTTGTTTCTATAGGCAGCGACAAGGTTGGATCAGCTCCATGTTATTGATCCAGCCTCGTCGCTGCCTGTGTTCCCCCATTTAACCCCGCTTGCCAATCTCTGCGTACATGGGAAGAAACACGAAACTTTGAACGCGACGTGACTTGGCAAACCGCGCCAGGATAAAGCCTACGATCGGTCCGGGACTGTCTAGGTAAAAACGTGGCCAGCTGCTATAACAATAGATCTGGACTATCGGCGTGTCTGTCAACGATCTGCATGATTGATTATTGATAACGAAATTTAAAGGCGTGAACAGGGCATCACCGGGGAACATGAGTACATATAGGGTCAGAGGCGTGCCGGCCGACTGGGATTGTCAACAATTGCAATCTTTTCTAAATGATCAAGAAACTGTTACAGATGCCGTCATTGAGTCCCTCGCTCATGAGAATAACGGCATGTGTCAGGTAGCAACAGCGACTTTTGAGAATTTACCCTCTCAGCTTCGGCATGGCCACAATTGGTCCATTCCAATACTGAGGGCGCCTAACACCAAGCCTACTCTCAAACAATATCTAACAATAGATAGAGATTTTCATGGATTAACTACGCTTTACACACCACCTCTGGAAGATCATAAAATAGACTAGATATACAGGCCAATGGGGCGATCTGTAGCCAACGCTTTCAGTATTATTGCATTATCAGGCCTTGGAGGCCATGCTTTTGGCTCGTTCAAAGAGAAAGGCGGAAGCTATATGTGGTTGCGCGACTCTCTCCCTTACGACCTTACCTCAGGAACCAAGCCGATAGCTCGAGTTATGATCTACGGCTATGAGTCGGCTGTTGTTGAGAGTAAGAGCATGCAAAATCTAGAAGATTTCGCTACCAAGTTGAATGTTAGCCTGCAAACCCTAATGAATGCTACGACAGTTCGGCCCATCATTCTTATCGGCCATAGTCTTGGGGGGCTAATTATCAAGCATGTGAGCTACTCTTTAATGCCTAAACTTTCGTTCCTCATGTTCATCTCTTAAACAGGCGCTCATATCTTTATCGGGATCGGAAAACAAAGAAAGCCGAACACTTATCCGAGCTGTATATGGGGTGGTCTTCTTTGGAACCCCACACCATGGCATGGACATCAGCTCACTTATTTCCATGGCTGGAAATGGGCCAAATCGTTCCTTGATAGAGTCTCTCAGCCATGATAACTCGCAAATACTTACTATGCAACATCGTGAGTTCCATAAAGCCTTGGGAGGTGAGGGTGAATCAGAAGTCTTCTGCTTTTACGAAACTCTCAAGTCACCAACAGCGCAGCAAGTGAGTTTCCAAATAGATTTCTTGTGTCCGACGAACTCACTAACTGTGATTAGGATCAATATGGCGGCTGGACAATGACTGGGCCTGATGCGTTTCTAGTCACCAAGTCTTCGGCTACACATTGTCGTCCTTGGGAAGATGGCGCTGAGCATATCTGCGCCCTTACTCGTACACACTCTGAAATGGGCAAGTTTAAACCTAACGAATCTGATTACGACATTGTAAAAGAAAAAATTGAGGGTCTTTGTAAACGGGCATTTATAGCGCGAGGCCGGTCCTTCGATCTTTACTGCAACAAATGTTAGTACCAGTACCTCCATTCGTCTCGCGAGTGCTTCCATTAAACAGTATAGGTGAGGAATTGGGCATACCTCTGGCGCCCCTCACTGTGTCGGATGTTAGCATCAGTCCCTCCACCAGCCTCGCGGATATTAACATTATATAGGCCGAGAATTTGGGCACACTGCCTATGATGTTCACTGTTACGAATGTCAGTGCAGCTGCCTCTCATCATCTGACATTACTAACATCAACTTATATAGGCGGCGGAATTGGGCATTATGCTGACGAACCTCACTGTTATGAATGTCAGTGCGAGCATCTCCCCTGACTTCTTGACTACTGATTTTGAACGGTATAGGCGACTCATTCGAACATCTTATATAAGATTGCCCAATGCCGTAATTGGTAACGAGGATTGAATACAATGTAGTAGTTGTTGCCTGAAACTACGGTTGCATCTAGCTCGATTGGGTATTCAACAATTATTTTCATGCGTTCTTCAAAAAGTACATTCGCTGAACACTACATATGTCTTATATGATACTGGTAGGTAGATGGCTCAAAAGCGTTAATCCCATATGTGCTTCCTACATGTAGAGCGCAATAAGATCATGTAAAGAGACTTCTTAATCATCTTGCTATATACACAAGAAGTAAACTATATACAATAGTACTGATGATATTCACAGTAGCCAACAGGCGCTCTTTCGCTTAACCAAATAAGTTCATTGGACCGGGTCCCTGTATCATTTAGTTGATATCTCCTTTCCAGTAGTAGACGGAGAAGGTGTTGCCATCGCCGGAAAATGGCTCAGTTCCGAATTGGAAGCCTATAACAGATTAATATCCCGTTTCTTTCGCCAAGGCAATTAATCGACTTACTGAGAAGGTACTGGCTGCCGATAGGGTATCCTCGGTTTGTAGCCATCCAGTTGTAGAATTGCTTGACATCTCCGTTCCAGTTCTGGACCTGGCTGTAAGCAACAAAGCTGTAGACTTGCATCTGGCCGTTCCAGCCGTAGTATAGCTGCCAATCTTGGCCGTTGATGTTGACATTGCCCTGGGATGAACCAATGGGGTAGATGTCACCATATCTGCCAAGCCTGTTTCATCATATTAGTAGCTGAAATCACAATTGGCTCTCTTTTCATCGTACCAGATCATAAGCTCAAAGTCTCCATAGTAAGTCGGGTGGTTAGGGTCGGAAGCAGTGAACAAGTCGTAGGCGACATCAGCGCGCAAGTTGTTTCCGGTATAGTTCCATACGGCGCCGGTGGGCATGCTGTTGATGCTGCTGACCAACTGCTTTGCTCCTATGTTCCTTTGCACGTTTGGAAATGACTTGACGTTGGAGGGACTGCCGGACCATCGCCAGTCAGCATGCCACGCCGTGGCATCAGTGATCCAGTCGTTTGTGATACAACCGAATCCTCCAGGAGATGCAGCTGACTCGCCCCAGAGATTGTTACTGATGGTGAAACCGTTGGCCGATATGGTTGAGTACTGATCGCAAAGAGTTTGCGCAGCTACAGCTGGCAGCAACGCAGCCAAAAATGAAAAGGCCTTCATTGTGTTTGTGAAATGAACGCTATTCAAAAAAGTCTACGTTATGTTATTGAATGCCTGCTGAATGAGCGTGAGGATGAACTCTTTAATTTGTCGCCGGCATGAAAACCTCTTATACCTAAAGATTGAGAGATTAAGCCATCACTGGTACGAGTTCAAGTTCTTCGCATAGCCGCCCAATCACCCAATTCCAACCAACATGGCAGGTGGAATTGGTGAATAAAAGTCTAGACACTTCCAGTCAGTGACTTTCCTAAACTCGATGGATAGATTAAGACAAGGCCCATTCGGCCGACGCCGAGGGTACGACTCTATCCGGCTTAATCCGTAATTAGACGCCGTTGCCCCTGGTTTAGTTGGCACTTCATTTGAGAACAGGGGCGGCACAACTGACAGCGATCCACTCTTCAATACACATAAAACATCAGGTGTATCAAAATGAAGCTGGGCTTTAGAGCACGTGGCGCGCTGACTCGAAAAATATACCTCTTAGGAAGTTGGACGACTAGGCTAAACAAACTTCCTTGGGGATGTCGAAGCATCAGCCTATTTGCGAATGCTCTGACAGAAATAAGCCAACCAAGTTGCTGAGCTTTATACGACTTTACATCTGGCAACTCAAAGTGTATGGTAGGTGATAGGACTCTTTAAATTGACTTGTTATTTTTTGTCTTTCGAGAAACTCAAAACTTGGTTATCAATTCGTGTTGTTGAAGACGATATTCGACAAGCGTCAGGAAATCAGCAACATAGTGTGATCCGTGTAACCCATACAGGCCATTGGCGCTTCAACCAGGGTATTACAAAAGGTGTCACCCATAAGCAAGGGCAATTACAAAAGAAGAAAGAGGTTAACCCAGCAAGTAGTAGCGGCCTATTGAATTCGGCAACTGTTAACTAACTCGTGAAAATTGCCCATCGTAGCCCATTCTGCTGTCAACGGAAATGAATCTGTCCCGAGGTCCTTATCGGCTATCTAGCTCACCAGGGACTTCACCTATTGGCGGGATAAAATAGTAAAATAGCTACTACCTAGGTAGTTAGGTAAAAGATATCCTCCTGTTTCCGTAATTGGTGAGTGTGGCCTGCCATATTCAGCAAATAGGTGCTCAATAGTGTGATCGAAAACTTATGTTCCGTTCATTGAGGCACTCATGGAGCTAACTGATCTGGTATGTCGCAATTTGTAATCGTTATCAAACGGGCCTATTGCACCATGTTCTGTTGTTCAAAGTTCCAAACTATACTTTATATAGAAGATTAGACATAAGCTTACGCTGCTGTGCGGTAGAATTGTAGCCGAGCATTCACCTGGTGATGCTCCATACACAATGACCTTATCAAGAGCCGTTGAAACACTGCAAGTTGCCGTCTCTATATGCATTCATGTTGCCACTCTTTTAGAAAGAAGAGCACACGCCTTCACCCCGAGTGGATCGGGAAACGAATTGTATCCCAAACTTCACCTCGTGATGCTTCGTCTCATATTCGTCAACTCTAGTTGTCCGCAATCATTGTCACATCAAGCCGTCCTATCCCTTCGATTTCCGCCAAGATGTGATCGCCTGGCTTCAGCCAACAATCCCCATGTACATGTGCTGACCCTGATGGGGAGCCTGTAAAGACAATGTCGCCCGGCTCGAGGGTCATGTAACTGCTGATGATGCTCAGCTGCTCGTCACACTTGTACAGCATTTCGCTAGTAGACGCATCCATCATGGGCTTATCGTTGACGGACAGTCGGATGCGTAAGTCGGATGTATCAGGCAGGAACTTGGCTGGTACAATGAAAGGCCCGCATGGTGCCATGGTGTCTTGTGCTTTTCCGCGCATGAGATCTACTTGCAACTCGTTGCCAGCTGGAATCAAGTTCCTGCATGAGAGATCTAGTCCAATGCTGTAGCCAGCGATGCCCTAGGCTGCCTCTTCCCGGCTGGCATGTCTCAGCTTCTTGCCCACTACCACGGCCAACTCACACTCCCAGTCGAATTGTTTCGTAGACCTGGGATTCTGACAGTCTTTCCTGGACCGACAAGACTCGTAGTCGGAGGTCTTATGAAGAACGGCATTTTCGCACACTTTTCTGCACTTAGACCCATCTCCTGTATAATTTGCACCAACTGCCACCCGCTTGTTGGGGTACATGATGGGAGTGAGAAGCTGGGCATTATCTGAGTTAACTTGGCTTCCACCCGGCACATTCTGACCCTTGCTATTGTTCTGGGCAAATTGCTCTAGTATTGGGAAAGTGTCTGGCCACGATACCAAAATGTCTTTGACCGTTGTATGCTTGATCAGCGAAGGAAGTGAATCAGGAAGCAAATAGAAACTGTCAACAACCCCGATGGCTGCGACAGGCTCATCTTCGATACAAAGTGTAGCAAGAGTAAACCTCGACATGTTTCAATGATGAGAAGCCATAATGAGATTATTGCATGCTTAGGAGGACTTTCATCTCTTCGCTGGGCAGTCTGCAACTGTCGCTATCCTGATGTTAGGAGAATGAAGAAACAGCTGGGAATGCGACAAGCTTGACATGCGTTGATTTAAGCATCAATCATGGCAAGATACGGAGCAGGCATGGGAGAGCTTTCTCCAGACTGCAGTTCGGGACGCTCCCGCGTGGCGCAGAACTTTGAACATGATGCATCTTTTGCACTCGCGGAATTCACTGCATATGAATTGGCCGATGCTTGACCCGAGCCACCGTGTAATGGACATACCACTGGCACGCCAACTATATGCAGTCTTCTCAACTCTCTTATTCTATGGCTATATACTTGCGAATATTATGAAAGCCATCAATGGTGCCTCAGGTGAGCTGCAAGAAGCTGGCTTATGCCGATGGATCAGCTTGCACATTTCCAAGCCAGTATTCATCTTGATCGGGCTTATCAGTCCATTCATGCTCCTCGTCCTCAACATAAAGGCGTACTATCTTCCCGTCCGGGCCTTCGCAGGCCAATACCCACGCTTTAATGCCCATGTAAATAGGACTTCGCTTAACTTTCATTGAGTCGAGCCACGCCGCCCACTCGTCGAGATCTTTATGGGTGGCGACCCCATATGTGACGGGATCCCACCCTTTCTGCACCTCCGCTTGGGCTGGTTCATAGCGGACCTCGACTATCAGCCCGGTGGGTTCGTAACGGAACATCTTTGCGAATAATTTGTGATCCGGAGTGAAGTGGTCCTAGCGAGGTTGAGGGGTGAACGGAAACACTTTGGTGTAGAAATCGTGTGTCTTTTGGATAGAAAAACATGCCAGCTTCAGATGATTGATGCCACGAAAAGAGCGCGGCATGGAAACTGGACTGGGTTTGTTGGCCATGGTGGATGAGTGCTTACCATCACCACACAAAGAGAGGGTTGTAAGAGCACGGTTCGCAATTTATAAGATGCGGCGAAAGTACTGGGATTTTATTCTCTGACTCAGATCCTAGCACAACATACATGTATGGAGCGCGTCCGGATACACTAGATCTGAGCATTCTATACTCCGTACTGCTATAATAATTGTTATTCAATCCCAAAAGCAAGATGACTTGAGACACGGCCACCTGACGGGAGCCGTCCGTGTAAGCCGTATGAGTCCGGGCAGTTCCCGTGGTCCACTGACAGAGTCCGCCACTCGAAGCTGCTGATGCTTGTATTAAACCCGGGAACAGTCCGACAAAGAGGAGTAAGTATTGCAATGTCTTCTCTTCATCCTCTTCATCTCCATTGTTCAAACCACCGGTAGGCTTCCGTCTTGTCGGAACAGCCCGAGCCGTATTTCGGATTCGGTTACGAAAAAGGGCGGGGACACAACTGAACTTGGTCGCTGAGCTGAATCTCTATTCGCCGCAGGCTAGCAGCAGCTTAGACGTGATGATATCACACAACAAGCGACGACGCGTGGCCCTCGCCTGTGACAGCTGTAGGGAGCGCAAAGTTCGATGTGATGGGGCGAAGCCTGTCTGTGGGCCGTGTCAGGCGAGAAACCGACAATCCCTGTGTGTTTACCATCTGCTCGGCGACAATGGAAAGGAAGGGAGCGAAAGAGCGTAAGTCGGGCAGAATTCACAAATAATCACTCTGAGATGTCTTCCTTTTCGTCCTCTCACATCATTGCTATTCAGATATGTGCAGTCTCTACTCGCGCGAATCAGCCTCTTAGAGCAACAGGTCCGGGAGAGAGGCGATGAATGCCATAGAGGTTCACCAAATTCTGCGCCTTCTACAGCTGTAGCACCAGATAGTCGTGGCATTTCATCATCCGTGCCTCTATCTTCTACCAGTGGTACAAACCCTCACCGTAAAGAGAACCCATTAACTTTCAAGGCGTTGCTCCCAATCATACCCTTGCAACATGACGCCAACCTAGTCAATGCAATGGGTGCCACTGTGCCAGCGAGAATTATGAGTGATTCGCTCGACGTAAACAAGCAGTATTATGGACACTCCTCGACCATTTCACTCTTACAACAGACCAGCCGCGATAGACCAAGAACCGAAAACAGTCAACATGGTGAGACACAGCAAGCTAGAGAAGCTCACTACGTACCGCCTGCTACCACAACGGCGAAATCGGCATCGATTGGGCTGCTCCACGATCAATTCTGCCTTCCGTCTAGACGAGTGACAGATGCCCTTCTTGAGGTTTACCGGAAAGATGTGCACACATTTAATCCCTGGGTACACTTTGACAGTTTCATGACTCTCTATTACTCAATCTGGTCGGGGGACGGCTTGGAGGAAGGATCCGATCTGCCGGACATTGGACTCGGAGGTAGCAATTGTCCAACAACCGTCTTCTATTGCGCATTGAATGCAATGCTGGCCGAGGCATGTCAATTTTCTGACATGCCACCTCAAGACAAGAGGTCCTGCTCGACGATGTTTTACGAACGAGCTCGGGCGCTCTTACAAATCGACTTACTCGATAGTGGCAGCTTGTCTCACATACAGACGCTATTGCTTGTGGCGCAGTACTTGCAATGTACGGAATTGGCGACTCAATGTTGGAATCTGGTAGGTATGGCGTATCGCATGTCTGTGGCCATCGGGTTGCATCGCGACGAAATGTCTGCCGGCTCGAGCTCTCTGGAGAGGGAGATGCGGAGACGAACATGGCACGCATGTCTCCAAATGGAATTGTAAGTATCTATCTCGTGATTTTCATGTAAATGCATACGTTTCATGCCCTATTCTGACAAGTTCAGGATAATGAGTATGACTATGGGTCGTCCGGCTCAGTCGGTGATCGAGCACAATGTTCCGCTACCTCTGGCAATTGACGACGAGTACCTATCTCCTGCTCGGTGTGACTGTCGTCAACCAGATGATATTGTCTCTCGTAACCAATACTTAGTGGAGAGCTTGAAGTTGATACAAGTTCTTGCCCAGGTTCTCTCCACCATGTACAATGCGACGAGGATTGAGCGGCAGGAGGTTTCTGGTGTGGTCCCGATCAGTACGATGAGGGCTAAATTCATGGATGTGCTACAAATCGAAACCTCATTAGCCAATTTCGAATCATCTCTTCACCCGAGTCTCAAATGGGACGGATATTACTCAAGCAGGGCAGCGAATAACGTATTTGTACGCCAATCCAATGTGCTCCATGCAAGGTATGAAGAAAATCCAACTATTTTCACGGCATGTGGTGTGGGGGGACTAAAGATACTACTAGACTCTTACACCTTAAATTGCTTCTCCATCGTCCAGCGTTGAGTCTCTACTGCTCTTCCAAGGGTATCAACGGTCTGCCGCCGAAAGTACTATCCAGTGTGAATCGGGTTTCAAACCCTTACCCGGCCGATTCTGCGATAGCATGCGTTGAGGCCGCTTGTGAGTTGATTGACGTAGTAGGTCAAGCGGTCGCAAGTAGCTCTGCGGGCGCTTGGTGGTATTGTGTCTTTTGTAAGTTGTGAACTCACACTACTCTTTTGATATGCGGATTTCTGATACGACGAATAAGATCTATTATCTGCCAGTCTCGTCTTAGCTCTTGCAGAGTCTTGGGATGATCTGGTGGCCCGCTTAGTAGCGAATACCTTGGAGTTGGCGTGGTCAAAATGTGATCAGGCTCTGTGTCGATTGGCAGAACTAATCGATGGACCTATACAAGATTATGCCACTGCCTTGCGCGAGCTGAGGAGACGTGTCACAGATCAGAGTAAGTCGGGTTACTTTTGCATTCTCAGAATTACATCCTTGAGTATTTAGTACCGTTTCCATTTTAACCACCTATATCATTATTTAGACAGACAAAAACCTGATGCGAGAGAAAGCGAGAATGGGCAAAGTCGGCCAGAACAGACTCCCACAAATCAGTTTGAGTCTGCCGTAAAGCCTGCGCTACTATATGAGACTCTTCACAACCAGCTAGGAAGACAAACTCATACTTTTATGGGGGATCTGCTACAAGATCACCTCGATCCACCAGCGTTGCAGAATTGGGATGCGATTCTAGATGACGTTAGGCTTCCGGCCCATCTTGTCCCAGAACGAGACGACTGCCCCATGGCGCCAGGCTTATTTTAATTAATAAATAACATAACTGTCAAGAGTTATCTCAGCAGCCGATTAGTTTTTTCTCCTTACTTGTCGCGGTAAACTTGAGGGAATAGCATCTGTTCTGAGTACATGATGGATAACCCTTCCCGACATAATAAAGAAAAGCTTGAACAGGTACTAATTTTGACTGCTCATAACCATGGCCATGGTACATCTTCCTTCTCGCGCAAGGCAATCAACCTCTAATCCAGCCGATCCAGCATGGCCGTAATGAGGCCTGTGGGAAACTCAGGCAATGTTCTCATAAGATCTTGAAACTCAGCGACCTTCCATAATTCTTCTACTTTACATGCAGCATACAAGCAGACAAGTGATCTTAGAGGATCGGTCTGCTCTCCTTTATCAGTCGTTTCGTTGAAACAATATTCCACAAGTCGAGTTACATCGCCACAGCCGTTTGCATGCAGTTTGAACCGAGTCAATGCCTGGCGTAGTTTGTGGAGGGCCATGGTCTGTAAAGCCTCTATTCCATAATAGTCCGCAAAGACATATGTTCGCGCATGACAGAGGAATACATCTGTATAGTCGTCATCTGGTCCGTTAGTGGACAACGAAACGGCGCGGGCCGAAGGTAACGGATGGAGCTTCTGAAATCTGTTCCACAACAAGTCTTTTTTGGTCGAAATGGGTGGAGGTTTAACTCCCCCTTGCTGTCTCATCACCCTACCACCTACTCCCAGCCGCAGTCCGTTCCATTCGGAGAACACAGCTCTATTTTGTTCGGCTTGACTTGGCGTGAGGGTGTCGGCCTGTCGCTTCTTCGGCTCTGATTCGTCGTAGTTTCCTGTGTATACGTATTGGCTAAACCGAATAAAAGTTTCCTCATCTATTTCTCCCCATATGGCACGGCGTTCTGTGGCCTCTTTCATTCGCCCATTGACGAGTGCGTTCAAAGCTTTTGACTGACGCGCGACGAGAGCAGAATGAATCGTATGCTCCTTCTGCTCTGGGCCGACAAGAAACGTAAAAGGAGGCGAAGCGGTAATACTGACTAGATCAGCTTGCGTTTTCTTGCAACAGCATCACAACTTACCTTTTGTAAGGCAGGGAAGCCATGCTAAACGAGTGAGATAATTCGGTAAAGTCGACAAAGAGCATACGGATGTGAGTACATGTACGTAGGGCGGGGTTGTGCACTGCAAGTCACACAGACAGTGAAGGCCTTGTCATTGGATGTTCTGGCTTATGTGCATACACTTGTGTGATTTGTTCGATATAAGCCTGCAGCGTAGCCCATCTGCCCCAGAATGAGAAGACTGCCCTATACCGCCGGACTTGTATTAATTAATAATGAGATATAAGACGAGACCTTCTTTCGTATAGGCAGCTGCGACTATAGCTGCATATGCCTGCTGCAGGCAGCAGCATGTTCTTGTGGGTATCTGGATACTAATGGAATTGTGTATGCCCCGAATAACTAGGCAGGCGAATTGTTTCTTGATCCTGCTACGCCTATGGTTGGGCTTTTATTTAAGGTATAATGGGCAGTCAAATTGTCTTATAACAGCACAGGGCTATAAGACTGGGATTTTAACAATGAGATGGGCTATCTATACTTTATCCGACGTATAAGCTTGGTCTGGATTAAGTTATAACAGTGTGCTCCTGATTCCTGAAATCGTTATTGGCATCCCGTTGAATAAGAATTGTCATCTCTTGACCAGCTCCCACAAAAATGACTGTCTTTCCGTCTAACAGACGGTATCCAATTAACTTTTGTGGTTGAGTATTAAGCTAACTTTAAGCGTAGAAAAGCATTTACCATACTAGTAACGTCATCACAGTGCCATGGATAAAAAGCCATAATGGTTGGATTCGTTGCCTCACTTCATGTTCCAATCTTTTGAGGTTAAGCCCTCACTTCGAACGTTGATCACAGCTATAGGCAACTATGTAGTATCACCTGCCTTTTTATTACAAATTCCGTCTCAGAGAACCCGTATGTCTACCATGAGCTTCGCAGCTAGATAGATAAGAAAAAAGTCAAGGTTTAGACTAGGTTTTGTGGCTTACAGAGGAATTGAACATAAAAATGAGATTTCCCCCTTATTTTGCGAAACAAGTCAAAGCTAAACGGACATTGCTGAGCAACTAGCTGTTCAATAGCAGCTTACATACACAGACCATCTGCCTTTCTATCTCATCATTATGAATCAAAACGTTCGCGAAGTTGACCCAAATGGGGATACTCTTCTCATCCTACGCCATCCTGACGCACCATTTGCAGTCATGGATTCAGCTGCCTTTTGGCCTGACCTGCTGCGAAATTATATACCGCAAAAGATGAAAATGACCGAAATAGAATTAATATGCTCCGGAAGGTCTCTTCGTAAACCGCAGGTTCAACAGAACAAAGAAGAATTACGAATACGTCTCTCGTCAACACATCTTACTTTAGCGTCTGCATACTTTAAAAGAATGATGGCTAGCAACTGGAAGGAGACCCAACCTGAGAATGGCTATTCTTTCGTCGTTACCGCTGAAGAATGGGATCAAAAAGCATTACTCATCCTAATGAATATAATCCATGGCCAGACGACAAAGATACCCTGGGTAATCGATATTGAGACGCTTGCCAAAATAGCTGTCCTTGTCGATTATTACAAATGCCACGAAGCAGTGGAGTTCTATGCAAAAACATGGATCAGTAATTTGACAGAACCACTTCCTATTCATTATGGAAGAATGCTCTTGCTTAGGCTATGTATATCGTGGGTATTTTCAGAATTCGGCACTTTTCGCACGTTGACAATGTCTGCCTTATATCAGAGCAGAGGCCCTATTCATTCACTAGGTTTGCCCATACCTGGGGATGTCATTGGTAGGCATTAGGAACAGCTCTCCTAATACAACAGCTAACTCTATTTCTAGACGCTATAGAGATGAAGAGACAGAATTTTGTCTTTGAAGTCGTTTCCGAGCTACACGACTTAAAATCTCAGTTATATAAGAATAAAGGACATAAGGATAAAGGACATAAAGATAAAGGGACATGTTCCTTCGAATGTTGTTCAATTCTATTGGGTGCTCTTATCAAAGGCATGAATACAATCTGTATTCTTGACCCACTATCCGAATCGCTTGAAGGCTATAGTATCATGGCACTCCACCAAGCTGTGCTCAGGATCCAGGAGCCAAACTACAGTTCGATACCTGCTTCCTACAGCCTTTGCAAAGGAGAAGCACATATGGATAAACACCCTCACAGATGCACACTCCGTGAGAAAATTAGGATATTCCTCCATCCAAAACTTGGGGCAGTTGTCGGGCTAGAGTTGAATGCCTTTACTAATCAAGTTCAAGATTAAGATACTATGTACTATATAGTAGATAGGGACCCTATTTCTTTAGTATCTACTGTTTTAGCTATATTCCCTTAGTATCTGCTATTATAGTCACTTCCTTTTGATATCTATTGTTCCCCTCTAATATTATCCACTCTACTCCGGTATCTTCTACTTTTTTTTGATATCTTCTACTTTCCTTTAGTATCTTTTACTCTCCTATAATATCTCGAATTATATTGGGTAGCTTAGACTGGAGCTGTGGTCGTACAAGAAGGTGGTCATGCGCTGTTCTAAGGACGTATTGGAAACCCGGTCAGCTGCATGTTGCCAAGCTAGAATACAGCAGTAATTCAGGCTGGCACTCTAATACTGCATCCTAAGTGGTTGCGGTAGCTTGGGCAGCAAACTCGGGTTACACATCCGGGAATGAGCAAATAACTACGTCGACGCGCTGGCACAATTGCACGTTTAACTGATTTCCAAGCTGACTTGGCCAGTATTGTTCAATGTTATCTTCTACAACATATCAAACATCACCTTAAGGCATCTCTTTTACAAACAAGGCTCTACCAGCTACAACGCTATGAACGAGTTAACCACGAGCCTGACCAAACTAGAAATCAGCCAACAAATTCATGTTGGCTTGAATGACGATGACGATGATATACCAGATGAGGTCCCGTTCCGCCCATCAGGCAATCTGGCAACCAAATTGCACGACACTCCGCGTTATCTCTTTCGTGTTTTTTCAGATGCGTCTGCAGGAGAGAATAGTAGCGAATGTATGAAATCCGTGGACGCGCTAGACGACATTTTTACAGACATTTTTGCACGAGATGCTTTCACTGTTGCTCTAACTCTCAACGAGCATCTCAGATGGCAACCAAAATCATATGGAGATCCTTTTATATCATGGACAACGTCACTTCTTGTCGCAATCCAGTACGCTATCTACAAGCATAAGACGGAATGTGCCGCCCTCAGCACGATTCATCTGTGTATTATTGACACCACTTTATTCCCCGACGGAGTGTTCTTAAAAGACCTCGACCTCATCGAGGAATTTCAAGACAAGGTCCCTGATCACTATCCGGTCATTTCAAAAGGCGCTCAGTATGACTGGAAAGGCAGAGGGCTCAACAATATCCGTGAGTTGCGGAACAAGCAGCATAAGGACTATTCTGGTGTTTACTACTTTGGAGAATACCTTTCACAGGGGCAAACCAATATTAAGGACCGGTCATGCACGGTGTCTTGTGATAAGATCATTAACAACAGCTTATTTACCTTTATGCCTCAATTCAAAGTCGAAATAGAGAACAGAACTCTATTATGGGCAAACGCAGTTATAAAGCTTCGACAACCGTTCTACGATACGGAGCAAGAGGGGGTATACAATTCGGACTTCACCGATTCAATGCTCATAGCGTTTGACTTTCATACGACATGGTTTCTGCCAATGCTAGCCAATATACTGGCTCTAAAACCTCGTACGGCTAGCAATCCCAGAATCATAAGCCAGATATCGAAGGGTTTCCCCGGTACGTGCCGGTCCTGAAAGGGTAATGTCCTGATTTGCTAACAAAACATCAGATCAAGTAATACAACATCTAGCACCTCAAGTCACGAATGTTGTGGCCAATGACAACATTCCCGAGGTCCTCCATTTTGGAAAGATCATTCATGGTATTAGCCAAGACTACTACACTAGGTCTGTTGTTGACTTGATGAGTTCTATGGAAAATACTACAGGTGCGTTCATCACCACGGGCTGCGTTGCAATAGTGTGCCAAGGCAGATTCTTAAATATTAACACTTCGAATTCTACGACAGATGTTATTCGCCGCTTTATAAGCGAGTCTGGAACCGCCGGAGGCCGAAAGACGCTTGGTATAAGAGACTTGGCAGAGCATCTCCCTGCTGTAGATCATGACTATGTGCAGCCACTTATGCAGAGCTTGGAAACTCTAAGCGGGATTATACAAGAACTTGAAGAAGATGCAACTTAGAAGAGTGGATTGGAGATTATGTGGCGCAGAAGGCCTCCAGATAACGCCACGGACATACGGAAGCTGTTGGGCCTAATTTCAAAAGTACAGTTCCTGGGCTGGCAGATATAGTACCGAAGTTACCACACTTGCGCAATTGTTCCCGGTGGGGTTGATGCATCATTCATAGCTAATATTACGAAGTCGTGAGGCTACATGTACTTGAGAGCCCGCTGTTGGGCTTGGCGCGTCTCCCAACCTTATATTACGCCTTTTCTTATCTTGAATAATGCAATAAAAAGCGGTCAATGCTCGCAAATGACGATTATAGCCTACCCAGCCCTTGCATTCTGCTTTCAGGGTGAAAACGGGGGACGAGGGCAACTCCCGTTCGCGTTCTATAAAACACACAATCCTTAAGCCTTGCTATTGCTGTTTGGCTGTCTACGGTGCCTGAGTTGGGTGTTTGCGTCATGTTGTACCATTTGCAGCGTTCAAAAGGAAAGCTACAATGAGTGAGGTCATATATAGCCGAGCTCAGAGCTGGGCATCTTGTTCTTGTGGGTATTTGAGTACGTGGTTGTATGTGGCCTAGGTAATTTGGCAGGGAGAGTACATGTAGTGTATTAGCCCGGCTGCTTCCATCTCGAAACACAGCCTGGAAGGCATTTATTTCTACAACTGACTTTTCTACTAGACACCTTTACCTACCTTGGTATATGTAGGTAGTAACTTAAATCAGTGAGAATGTACCCACACAATCCATCAATGTACAAGAAGAACCGCAGAGTACGCTTGACGCAAGTAGAAAGGCAACAAAGGTTGCGTCTGCAATGCTCGGCAGAGCACATTGTGTTATTTGGCTGAATTCTTGGCGTCAGATGTACATATGTGTACCCAGGAACCAGAGGATAGGCCTAACACATGCATGGTATGTGACACCAGAGATTGTGCGGGATATGGCCTTCACTCCCAAGATAGCTCGCTGCCTAAGAACATCACGTCAAATGAAACTTGGACAGCTCTATTGCATCCTACTTCATGCCTAATACTGCGTACCGGCTTCATTGCAAACGGGAATACAACATCGCCAGGCGGCATTATTTCAAATCGGTTTATTCGTGCAACAGGAAGACATAATGGATTCCTCAAATCTCAATGCATCTATTCCTTCGGAATCCGACGACGAGGCTGATGACGCTCTCCTCCCTCTCGGAGAGGTCTGGGCTTATCCATGCAAACTTACATCCTGCCCAGACTACGGCAAATCCTGGCTACTGCGAAGCAATTTTCTTCTTCATCTACAAGGGCAAGACGCGCATCAAGCACATTCCGTAACAGCTGGCGCCCGCCGCGCTATCGAATTGGAATGGCGATATAGTACAGATGCCAATTTGCCTCCACTCCAGGCACCACATTTTCGACCGCGAACGAATCCAGAGGAACATGTTTGGATGTATGGAATTAAAGAAGGGGCTGGTAATATCATAAATAAAACGGGAACACAGAAGCAGGTGGAAGAGGATTTAGCCAAGCTACGCAAGAGCGGGAGTGTTGGGGAAACTACTGCTTAGATTCTACATCTGCTTTGATCTGTGTATCAAAAAACACACAAGTAATGACAGTACTATCACAGAAAAGTATATCCGTAAAGTAAGAATTCATCTAGAGTAACATTCTGAATAGATGTTGTAGATCGTCAATAAATATATCACTCTTCCCCATACAAGCACCAGCAATCTGTTGCCTCCCACCACCAACCCATTCTCATGAGAATGTAAGAACAATTCACAAACCTTCTCAACTCTTGTACCCATAGATCCACAAGCCCTCTACTTCCGTTCAACTCTTGTGCCCATAAATACACCTCGCATCTGAACAATCGCTGCCCTTCCGATCCGCTTTGAGATTCTTATAACACACGTGTTGTCGAGCTATCCACCATAGCGCATCAAACTCCTCATCTGTAAGCGGCCGGTGCACATGGTTGGACCGGCACGACGGCACCAAGCATTCCCCGCGAAGGAAGAAGTAAAAGCACAGAGATCCCTTCTTAAGCCTCTCCACTATCGCGTCATTCACCCGCAGCGTGCGGTCAACTCGGCGCCCCCTATTGTCCTTCAGCACTGGCCCAAGTCTTTCTGATTGTGCCTTTAGGTTTTGATATCCGCGCAACGGCGTCACAGATACTGACGACGGTCCAGGTCCAGGATTTGTAGGCCGGTCGGTCGTCGCCACGTTCGACGATGCCGATCCTGCTGGTCCAGACGGCACCACTGGCTGCATCACCTCATCAAAAACCGAAGCAAACCGTGTTCTCTTCAGACCCAGATTCTTAATCACTGCCGGGAACGGGCTTCCCTCCAACAACGTTATACGCTCCGCAACTTGCTTGTCTCCAATAAACTGCCCCAGGAACGGGGCATAACCGGTGTCGTGCCCGCAAGCCACCACGACGTGCTTGCACTGAGGACTTTCCACGAAAAACTTGACACACTCTGCGGTGGCAATATAATGTCAGAGTATGGACACTTGGGAGGGGAGGGGCGGGATCGGGGCTGAGGAGGGCAGAATTCGAGGCCTGACGAAACAGAACGGATGCTGGATATCTTACCTTGTATCTTGTAATCTGCCCGTTCTTTCCCAGTGCCGACATCCACAAAGTCGAAAAAAACTTGCCGGTTGCTGAAACCCGTTGCAAATGCCCTCAGCTGATCGATATCCTGCAATCGCCTGTCGCGCACAAGGGCTTTGCCCAGCCCACCAACATTTGCAAATGCTCTAACGAGAATATCCATGTTATTGGGAAGTCCAGTCAGTCCTCGCATATACTGCTGCAACGCAGTAAGGAGCGCATCCGCAGCGTCTTCACCACCCTTTTCTCCCCGTGTAAGGTAACCATCACGGAACTGTGGTGATTCCGAGTTAACAAGCTTCTCATCAAGCCTCGATGGCATGCACGCTGCTTACCACATAGCCATCCGCGTCCGCATCGATCAACGCGACCATAAACGGCCGTCTTTCCTGCCGGTCTCTCCATTCCTTGTTCTCTTGAGCCTCCTTCTGTAGCCGCCTTCTCGTCTCGGTCTCGCTCTCCAGGTCAAGCTTCGTCTTTGTCAACTGGGTTTCCGTATGGTCTAACTTGTCCAAAAGCTCCTGCGGCAAATCCGTCAACGCACCGTTCAGTTCACGGCTAGGGAAGCAATGTACATACCTTGATCAGCTCCAAGCCTTGAGTGACCTGTTTACCAAGATCCGTTTCAACACCAGCGAACCGAGCACGATAGACATCGAGCCCCACCTCCATCATGGGCAGAGACACCGTGCGGAAGCTGCTTCGTGGAAGTAGGCGGAGGTGAGGCTGTAAATGATCCCCGCCATCAATTACCTGCAGCAGTAACGGTAGAAGCGGTGACCACATGATGTCGCTCGAGGATTACTACCTTGAGGCTCGCTGATTGGTCCCCAAGTACATGTGTAATTTATTTGGACTTTATTGAGAAATATATACTGTATGTAGTAGTTTATCTAAGCTATTTCAATAAATATTATCTTAAAGTTTTTCTGATTAGTGCATTCTAATACTGCCTACTAAAATGGCAAATATGAAAACAAATTCTTTTATTTTCACCACACATACCTACCGTCATTGGATATAGTAGGTAGACGGATGCAGGCCGTCTACCTGTATTGCTGTACTACGATTGGTGACTAAGCCAGATTCAGCTCGGCTCTCTAATAGGTAGGTAGGTGTAACAAAGGGTCGTTTCCTTATAGCTATGGAGATCAAAAGACAAGATGGTTTATCCAGTTGAGAATGACGTCTAGCTCAGACAGTGGCTTCTTACCTAGAAGAACGAGGCTTCGGCAGCTAGATCAAATGGTTCCCCGACTTCGTCTCGCACCGCCGTCCTTATAACGATTAGACGAGCTAGGTCCCTTGTGATATGTTTGGCGTTCGTTAGTCTACCTGTTCAAACGTGCGTTCTGAGTAGATGTAAAGACAACTATTTGTATGAAATCCACTAGTGAGACGCCAGATTTCGTTCAACAGGACGCAAATGCCGTATCCAACTCAGGAACCAGGGAGGACGAGAAGTGGATGAAAGGTAATTCCCGTTTGCGTTCGAACTATGGAATACAATATCAAAGCCTTAGTATTGTTATTTGGCAGCCCCTGGTTTCTGAGTTGGGCGATTGCATCATTTCGTATCATTTACGGTGTTGGAGAGGTCCACGTAAGCTACAATGAGTGAGGCTATATATGGCCGAGGTCAAAGCTTGTCTCAAATCTTATCTTTACCCGCAACCAAGCAACAGCCGGCGACTTTGTAACGCATTGTTGCCTTTAACTTACAACATCGGAAAGTCAACATCGTACGGTTCTGGTAGTAGCAGTACAATGTAATAATTTCCGTTTGACTCGTACGAGTACAGTGACGAGGACCCTATAATACGAACAGGAACGAAGCTATCAAAAGTTCATGGATCCAATCGGATGGACAAAGCGTCAGCACACTATCTGTCTAGCGTAGGACAAGATCGCCGTGTGGCTTGGATTGACGTTGGAGTCGACGGCTTCTAGCGCAATCTCAGCTGGCGGAAAGTGAATTTCAGTGAAAAAGCATAAGCAGAGTTTCTTGGTGATACCGCAACTGCCAGGTGTATAGAAGGTATTTGCAGTACAGCAAGACGAAACGAAGGCAACTGTAGCTCCCTTCCAAAAACGTGTGCGATGCTACATGAGTCGGGAACGAGGAGCCCAGCTGATGGAGAAGCTAGAGAAAAACGACGAGACAAGCCCCGCTCGTGACGGCGTTGAAAGCCGAGCTTGATGACCTTCCCAACTGGATCGGGATCCGTTGACAGGCGGAGGATAGCATTTGTCCTTGTCCGAGCATTGTTGTTGTGATGAGTTCCTGTGCCGTGTGTCAGAAGTGCTTCACGCACAGACTTGCCAAGACGGGAGTCGTCTGAGAGCAATTTCGTCTCTCAATCTTGGCTGAGTCTGAGTGAGTATGTGTTAGTTTGAGAGGGAGGGGGGAGAATCAGAAATCCAAACGCCCAATCCAGGTACCAGCACATGCAAACTCTCTCAGCTCGTGCCGAATTCGAGAAGCCCTGCATCAGAGTCCCACAGAAAGCCGCCTATCCGGAGTCTAGCGACAGAGGCGCAGGACGTGGTCGAACAGAGTTGGTAACGCGCCGCAGCCACACCGATCCGAAGAGCTGCTCGTTTTCCGGAGATGGACATGTCCGGGCAACAGAACACGGAGAGTCGGCGCCAACAACGGAATGGGCTTTGGCTAGCCTTGACAAGAAGGAAACTATTGATGCACCGCTGGGATTGGGATTGGGCATGTGGAGGCGAAACCCCCAGACGCGGATCCCGTCCTCAGCCTCCCTTCCGCCACGGCTGTGACGCTTGGCTGCTACGTAATGGAATTGATTTCTTCTTTCGTGGATTCAATGCAACGATAAATAGTACTAAGCATCATCTTCGGCCTCTTTTCCGTCTCCGCCTTTTTTTCTCTTTCCCTTCTTGTTTGTTGTCGTTGTCGTTGTTGTTGTTGTTGATTTCCCGAATCATCGCTGCGGTACGGACACAGAGCACTGCCTGACCTCAATTTTACTTACACAAAGTAAATACCCAAGCAAAAGCAAAAGCAAAAGCAAACAAACAACCGCCAGAATGCGTGGTCTCGCCCTGTCCCTGTCCCTGCTCGCCGCCAGCTCAACGGCCGCCGCGGCTACGTGCGCAAAGGGCCTCTACATGGTCGTCGCCCGAGGCAGCGAAGAGCCCGCGGGAACCGGTGTGACGGGCAACCTCACGAGCCAGATTGCCGCAAAGGTGCCCAACAGCCAGGTCGTGGCCGTCGACTACCCGGCCACGCTCAGCGACTACGAGGATTCCGAAGGCGACGGCGTCAAGGCGATGCAGCTGCTCATCAACAACTACGGCCAGGCCTGCCCGGGCAACAAGATTGCGATTCTGGGCTACTCTCAGGTGTGTACATAATAGTTGACGGCTTGTAACTTGGTGACGGCTTCGCTTCACTCAGTGAGCATATGGGCTGATCTGATTCATCTGTATCTTGGGACAGGGCGCGCAAGTCTCGTCTGACTCCGTCTGCGGCGGCGCCGGCGAGCCCTTCATTGACGACAAGGCCCTTTCGGACGATGTCATGAACAGCGGTGAGTTTTTTTTTTCCATCATTGGCTGGGCGCCAAGCAGCAATTGAGGGGAAATGGAAGAAGAAGAAGAAACTAACGAGAGACTCCCTTGTCCGTAGTCGTTGCCATTGCCATTTTCGGAGACCCAACCCATGTCGCCAATCTGACATACGACAGAGGCACCAGCGTCAAGGACGGCGTGAGTTGGAATTGATCGCGATGGGACAACTGAAGAATGTGCAACTGACTCTGCGATTAGCTCTTCAACCGAAGCTCAGCCAGCGTCGACCAGTGCAAGAAGTACGCCAGCCGCATCATCTCGTACTGCGACAAGGGCGACATCTACTGCGACGCCGGCACCAACACGACCGTCCACCACTTGTACATCGACCGTTACGGCGACGAGATTGTCGACTTTGTCGTCAGCCAGTTCGAGAAGAGCAGCGGCTCCGGCTCCGGTTCCAACGCAACCACCACGGCTCCCTTTCCCACCGTTACGCCCACCAGCGGCGGCAGCGGCAGCAACGGCACTGCCCCGACTAGAACTGGTGCTCCTACTATCAGCCCGACCAAGGGATCTGGTGCCAATATGTTGACGAGCAGCTTGATGCTGGGAGGTCTGTTGACGGTTCTGACGGCCGTGTCTCAGATGCTGTAATCGAGGACTATGCTATTGATAATACAATGTTGGGCACATCAGTCAGTAATACGGAGTTATTTGATGCCGGAGTTTTTTTTTCTGCGGTGTTTCTCTTTGAGGCAATTGCACAAGAGTATATATGAGACATAGCCCAATAATGATGAGACAATTGACAATGTGTGTAATGCAATATTCTGTTGTGCTCTGGTGACTCTGACTTGTCTCTGGCAGATGTAAGTGCGTACCCGTCTTGTGTTCTGTGATTTGTGTTTCGAGCTTTCAATGTTCATGTATTAGCAAGGTTTATTTCGGTCAGCTGTTGCATCAAAGGCGTGCATTATTAATTCTAAAGGAAGAAAGAGGAGGATGAGTGGGAGATGAAGGGACATCATTCCATCTTGGGTCAATAAACTTCAAGCTTGATGACATTGATGACTAGACCACACGCTACTTGCCCTACGGAGATCGGCCGAAGATACATGTATCCGAGCCAACAATGAATGACTAAAACCAAAGTAATTGGCCACAAATGTTGATGACAAGGACGAATTGCAGTAGATGGACGGACTCGTACTCGTCGTCGACTGCCACAAAGAGAATCACGATTCCCCCGGCTCGGCATTTGGAACTAAGCTTGACATGTCAGATATCAAACATCAGCCCAGAACCTGTCAATCTAGAATCTAGAAGAATTGAAGATGCCCTGCAACTTCCTCATCTGGCCTCATATGTCCGCTCCAATCTGTCCGCTCCGCATCAGCGTCAGCGGCAAAACGGCTGCTTGTGTCAAAGCGATCAGAGATGCAAGTAATGTACCAATCACGATTCTCTGCAAAGTCACACCGATCGACCAAATCACTGTAGCACAACGATTCTCCATTATCAATCAGCTCGATGAGTCTTGCAGCACGCCCTATCCTGTACAGCATGCTCTGCTTTGCACCAAAACGGAAAACAACCAACAATCCGTGCTCAAGGCCAAATAGAAAAAAACAAAGTTTAGCGGCCGTGTTCCGTGCCCGCAAGGTGAAAGCTTTTGCCTCGAAAAGGCAGCCAAGGCGCAACTCGGGCGCCGCAGTAAACCGAACAAAGATCGGGGAGCCCCCCACAGTTTCCAAGAAGTTGGAATTTACTCTTTCCATGATTTCTCTGATTATTTTGTCGTGATTTTCTTAACAGTTGCTCTGAGTTGCTCGAAATTAACTGACTAATAGGAAGCCGGTGAGATTCGTCATTCTCATGACCCTTTCGGTGTGCTATTCCATCGACCTATCGGGAAGCTTCCATCATCCAGTTTCATCCAACCTCGAACGAATGACAACTTCTCTCCTCCCCCCTTTTGGCGTCATCTACACTAAATCATCCCCCCTCCCCGTTATTCCCGGTTCAGAGAAACAATACACAACCAACATGGCAGTTGTGATTCATCCATTGGCGTCTTTGTTGCTATCTTTTGCCCCGATCCGGCCTCGACACCGGAAAAGCCAAGGCTCCACAGCCCGCAAAGCGCCCATGGCTAAAGCGAACAAACGCCTCCGTACGAAGCGGAGGAGTCCACTAATCTGACGACCCCGTATCCGATTTTTCTCTCTTTTTTTTCTTCTGCGGTGCCTTTTTTGCCCTTGGCCGTGGAGAAAAAGGGTAGAAGCTATGTGAGGGCGTGAGAAGCTTAAAATAAGACGAGAGGAACACTTCAGGAGGAAACGAGAATGCCGTTGGGAAAAGGACCATCTGTCAACCACTTGACCGTCATCATCAACGGGAGCTGAGTTGCTCTTCACTCAAATCCAAAATCTCCATCGGGGACACACCGAGCAAGGACACCAAAAAAAAAAAAGGAGAAACAAGACAGTTAAAATGGGCAAGGAAGAGCCTCCCGCGGTCTTGGAATCCGGCGTCCTCCCCTCTGGCCAGACATCGCCAGACAACAGCCAATTCATCGACAAGGCCGAGATCGAACGCCTGGGCCGAGCCCGTCCGGCCGTTCTCAGCTCATGGCTCACCGAAGTCCTCTTTGTCGCCACCATTGTGCTGTCCATGACCATGGGCGAGTACTTCACCGGCGGCTTCAATATCATCCTGCCCCCCGTGGCCGATGCCCTCGACATCCCCGATAACACGCGGACATGGCCCGCCAGCGTCATCAACCTGACGACAGCAGCCTTCCTGATGCCATTCTCACGTCTGTGTGACATTTATGGCGCCCGCTCCGTCTTCCTGTTTGGCCACATCTGGTTCATGATCTGGTCCATCGTCTGCGGCTTCAGCCAAAACACCATCATGCTCATCATCTGCCGCGCCCTCCAGGGCGTAGGAACATCGGCCTTCACCCCCGCCGGCCTCGCTCTCCTGGGCCAGACATACCGCCCCGGCCCCCGCAAGAACCTCGTCTTCGCCATCTGGGGTGCCTTTGCCTGCCTGGGCTTCTACTTTGGCATCTTCATGGGCGCCGTGTGCGCAGACTTCATGACCTGGCGCTGGTACTTCTGGATCGGCGCCATCATCATCTTTTGCATCGCCTTCACGGGCTTCCTCACCATCCCGCGTAATCTTCACGACCAGGACGATTCTATTCGCATGGATTGGTGGGGTCTCTGCACGATTGTGCCTGGCCTGATTCTCGTCGTCTTTGCCTTTACGGACGGAGGCCATGCGCCGCGCGGCTGGCAGACACCGTACATCTATGTGACGTTTATCATTGGCATGCTGTTCCTGGTTGCGGGCGTCTACACTCAGGGCTGGGTGTCTGCTCAGCCGCTGCTCCCTGCAGACCTGTTTCGTCCCAAGTACATGAAGCGGCTGTCTTTGGCTCTGTTTTGCCTGTATGGTGTGTTTGGCTTGTATCTGTTTTATTCGAGCTACTAGTGAGTCAACCCCTTTTGTCCTTGTCCTGCCCTATTTGACATCATCTCACTAACACGAATAATCAGCATCGAAACCGTACTCAACACGACTCCCATCCTCACCGCTGCCTGGTTCACTCCCTTGGCCATTGGGGGCGTCTGTCTCGCGGTTTGCGGCGGCTTCATCATGCACATGATATCGAACCGTATCCTGATGATGATCTCCAGCGTGGGCTTCCTCTTGTCGGTGCTCCTGTTTGCCATCATCCCCAACCGCGTCGACGGCCACCCCTCGACCGGCTTCCTCTACTGGGCGTACATCTTCCCGGCCATGCTGTGCGGCACCATCGGCGTCGACATCACGTACAACGTCACAAACGTCTTCATCACCACGTCGATGCCGCGACGCCTCCAAGCTACTGCTGGCGGTCTCATCAACACTCTGCTGTATCTCGGCCTGGCGTTTTGGCAGGGCATTGCCGAGATGGCCGTGTCCGAGGCTAACAGGAGGAAACTACCCGAGGGACTCAGTCTGCGAGAGCAGTACAAGATTGGCTTCTGGATCGGCGTTGCCATGGCCGGACTGTCGCTGATACTAGTGCTGACCATCAAGATTGACAAGGCGGCGGCTGAGTTGACGGCCGATGAAAAGGCAGCTCAAGCAGAGCGTGAGGCAGCATCAAACTAAGCTTACACAGCTTTGCCTTGGTTTTGAAGTCTCCTCTCCAACAGCGAATATTTAATTTAGGAAGAAGAAAGTCGATGGATGCATTAATGATTGAAGAGAAGCGAATGTTTGTTTTTATTTACTTTGTTTATTGCTCGAGCTGCATAAAGGGGCATTTGTTGGGTTTGCTTTATCACGGATAGAACTGTATGATTCGGGAGATACCAGGGCAGCGCGCATACTAGAGGGATACGGAGGATTCACGCAGCATTTACGACAGAGCGTGCGGAACATGGCGAGATTTGGTTTTGGATCCATTTGGATGGAATATACCTGCATATACCACGAAAACGAAGAATGACAATTACATATAACCAATGCCTTTAAATAAAAAGAGTGTTTCTTGCTGAATAAACGAAAAAGACAAGCCTCGGCTGATGGCGGCTGATGTCCAGAAAGGGCGCATAAACCCGGGCATTTCCATCTCCACACTTCGCCGGACGGCACTTGGAATCCCGGTTCCTGTCGCCCGAACTGATCGTGACAAGGGCGCGTCTCATCTCAAGTAGCCCGTATGATCTGGTCTATTCCAGCTGGTAGGGTTGCAGTTTCGGCGTCATACTCGACGGTTGCCGGGACAAGAGTTGCCGAATCTTGACGTTCTATAAACCTCGTCAAGAACTCTGAAACTACATGTACCAACTCCCTCGGAGAGACACATTCTAAGAAACAACTCATAAAAGCGTTCCATAAGAAATAGAAACATGGGCATCTCAAGCAACCTCGTCAACCGCACCTCCTTCACCGCAGCCGACATCGTCAAGGACATCTGGACGAGCCTCCATCTCCCCCCTCACGCCCTCTCATCTCTCTCTCTTCCCGGCCATCAAATCGGACCAGCCACGCCGTCGTCTTTCAAAATCGGACATCTCGCACAAAGTTCAATCGCTCTATCCGCTCTTACAGCATCTCTCGTCCACAGCGGACCATCTTCATCTCCCTCACCACCAACGTCAACGTCAACATCTCCCACCCCCCGCGTCAGCGTCCCCCTCGACCACGCCCTAATAGAATTCAAATCCGAACGCCTCTACAGCATCGACAACCAGCCCCCCGAATCCGTCTGGGGCACAATCGGCGGCCTTCACAAGACCGCGGACGGCTACGTCCGCATCCACGACAACTTCCCCAACCACGCCCTGGGAACTCTCCAGCTGCTCGGCCTGCCACCAACAGCCTCCCGTCAAGATGTCGCCGCAAAGGTAGCTCAATGGAAGAGCGTTGACCTCGAAACAGAAGCCACGGAGAAAGGAAAGCTCGCCGTTTACGCTCTACGGTCATATGCGGAATGGGACGCCCTCCCTCAGGCATCAGCCATCGACGACAATCCCATTCTCATCAGACAACTCGCCCCTGGACCCCCGAAGAATCTTCCCGAGGCTAGCTCCAGTCGCTGTCTCCAGGGCATCCGCGTCCTCGAAATGAGCCGCGTCATTGCCGCCCCCGTGGCAGGCAAAACTCTCGCCGCCCACGGCGCCGACGTCTTATGGGTGACGAGCCCCAACCTGCCGAACCAGCCCGGGCTAGACAGAGACCTGAGCCGTGGCAAACGCACCATCCAGCTAGACATCCACAAGCCCGACGAAAAAGAGCATCTGCTCGAGCTCCTGCGTTCCTGCGACGTCTTCATCCAGGGGTACCGCCCCGGCAGCCTCGCCGCGTACGGCCTCTCGCCCGAAGAGCTCCAAAAGGCAAACCCGAACATCATCTGCGCAAACCTCTCCGCCTTTGGACCGTCCGGCCCGTGGTCCCAGCGCCGGGGGTACGATTCCCTCGTACAGACGTGCACCGGCATGAACGTCTCCGAGGCAGAGCACTTTGGAGCCGGCGAGCCCGCGCGCGTCATGCCCTGCCAGGCGCTCGACCACGCAGCGGGATATCTCCTCGCCGCTGGGGTTAGTGCCGCGCTTCATCGACGGGCTCGAGTTGGAGGGTCGTGGGTTGTGGATGTTTCGCTGGCGGGGGTGATGAAGTATCTTCGCAGCTTGGGACAGTATCCTGGGAAGACGGGGTTTGAGAGTCGGGATGTGCAGGCGCAGGAGGATGTGCGTGCCGAGTATCTTGAGACAAGGGAGACGGCGTTTGGAAGCATGAGGGCGGTTAGACATAGTGCGAGTGTTGAGGGGTGCGAGGTTGGATGGGAGGAGATGCCCAAGCCGCTGGGTTCTGATGAGGCGAGATGGCTGTAGAGTGTGGTGAGCAAGTAGTTTAAGTAGATGTGTATTTGTAGTGTACACCCCCATCTCTCCATTATATTAGATCTTTCGCTCGCTAGATGTCGACGCCGAAAACATATGAGAGTGTCAATGCAGACAAAGAGTTGCACCGCTTCTATCCCAACTCATGTACGCCCCTTGAATCCACCTCCACCACTGCCGGCTGTCCTTCTACTTCAGCCAGCGGCGTATACGTCTGCTTCATCCCCATTGATTCCACTGTTCTCGGATTCACCTCTCGTCCGTCCTTCTCAACTCGTGCCATCTTCTGCTGCTTCTTCCTCCTCAACAGAAACCATATACCAACAGCACCGCCAATCAACGCAATCCCACCCAAAGAACCTCCTACCGCAGCCCCAATCGTGGCCGACTTGTTACTCTTGTCCTCTACACCATCCGTTTGCTGAGCCGCTCCGCCATTTGTTTGCTCCGCCGCTCCGCCGTCCGTTTGCGTTGCGCTACTCCTGATAGTTCCAGTGGAAGCCTCTGTCGCACTTGTCTTGGTCGTAGTATCGTCGCCCTTGGCATCGGGATTTCGATCGAGCAGGCTGAAGCGCCGACTTCCATCCCTACAGCAATCCCCATTATCAAAGTCCGGATTGCAGCAGTACTGTCCCGAAGCGCACTGCTTCACCTGCAGCCATGAATTGGACAAAACTAAATAAAAGCAATCCGCTCAGCTCCCAAACTGTCATATCCACATCAACAAAGGAAAGAAACTCACCATCGAGGCAAATCTGCGGACACCCCGACCAATCTGCATTCGTACATCCTCCCCTATAATCATACGCGCCGACGGCATTCGTCAGATGCGTACACAGGCCATCGGGAGTGCATACGTCCTGTCCTGGAATGCAGCATTGGCTCCAAGTCGTGTTTTTACCGCCGCAGGGCTGATAGTTGTATGAAAAGTTTTGCTCGGGCTTGCCGTTAGGGTAGTAGCATTTCGAGGAAGCCGATGGTTTAGGGGACTTTGTCGGAGTTTTTGAGGGCGTGGATGATGTTGATGCGCTGGAGAGTGTCGCGAGCCATATTGCTGCAAAGAGCAGGGAGCACCGAGCCATCGCAACTTGGCTTCTCAATCTGATAAACAATATCCAGGTTCGATATGTAAGTCAATTGAGAAGATAAAGGAGACAAGCAAGTTCAAGGAACCAAGAAAACGGGCCTCCGTCCTCCCCTCATGCTATCCTCCGCCCTCCCCTTGCATCCCACCCGTCTCAGCCTCTCATCGACAATGAACCCATGCATTTTGAATCCCGCAAAGGATTCAAATCCCATCCAGCCGCGCAAAGAAGGCTAGCAGCTAGTATTAAGCCGGGCCAGTCGTAGGCCAAGGAGTCATGCCAAGCCGCATCATCTTGTTCCACAAAGTGGCTCGGCTTGTTTGGCTAGCCAGCTGCTCTTGAAGACGATCCTTTGTCCGTCTAATTTTGCTCCATCACCTCGGCCCATTTATACAAGCAAAGACAATGCTATACCTACATTGTCCATAAGATAGCGAGCATCTTGGCATTGAATCCTTCGCCCACCAAATTCACACGTCCGCGATCAAAGTAAGAAAAGTCCCCGGTCAGAAGCCTAAAGCAAAAGCAAAAAAAGGTCATTCTCGGCACTAACACTGCAGATCCCTCTCACTCTAATTGCTCCACACATAAACCTGTTCCATCTGATCCCGCCGCCGTAAAGCCTAAATCTGGTGTCATATGCCGGACATCACCAAAAGAGAGTGGCAGTGGATACACGTACCTGGATAACAGGGCTGATTAAACTCAATATATTTCGCCCATCATATAATGGTAACAACTGCTGCGTAACATCAATTTCGTATCATCATGTCGTATATAATAATCTTCATCCGTCATCCATAAAAAAAAACGCTCCATCCCAAATAGCAAACCCATAAATAAATAAAAAACCAACCCCAAAAATCCCCATCAATCACGTATCAGCCTCCCCCTCAACTCCCTCTTACTCACCAAAATACACATCACCATCATCAACCCGCCTCCCGCAACGAGCCCCGGCGAAAACTTTCCCTTCAACGCCCTCACCACCGCCAACCCAACCATCACCAACATCACCACCAACAAACCCACTCTCAACAAGCCCTCACCGCTGAGGATATTGCCCCCCCTCCTCGGAGAATTCCGTTGTTGTTCTTCTTCTTCTTCTTGTCTTTGTTCACCGCCTTCATCTTCGCGGTGCTGTGGCCATGGCTGTGCGGCTAATGCAGATGGCCCTCGACTCGTGGGCAATAACGTGCTCGCCTCACTGACGTCTTCATCCGCGGCTTCGTTCACATCTCCATCTCCATCAACAGCCGCTAAAAACTCAAACATCCATCAGTAAACCCCAATTCCAACACAATCCTCTTCATGAAAAGGGGAATTTTAATGAAAAACCACATACAATTCAGCATCCACTCTCTCACCAAACGATCATCCCCATCCCCGCGTCGTTCCTCGTCTCCTTCGCTCATCAAGCTGTCATCGATAAAGTCCTGAATCCAGTTCAACAAAACACACTTGCTTGTATCTTATCAAACCCAGCAGAGCAAATGTTAAAAACAAAAAAAGAAGGTATTAATACCTCCCTTTTTAAAGATGATGCTTTGTTTTCCTTCTCAAGGTCGTCATGAAAAAAGATCGACGAGGCGGGGAAGCCCGCCATCCAGTCATCCCCCAAAAGACTAACAAGTGTTAGGCCGGGGCGCTCTATTAGCCTCGCCCTGGTGAAGTGAGGCTGAATTGGCCAATCTGCTTCGGGGCATTTCACCCATCATAGGTAGTGCAAGGCGCATGGAGGCGCAGATTTTCCAAGTTGGACCAAACCCCAAGATAAGGGCACAATCTAAATTACGCTTATATTTTGGACTACATTGAAATGACTTTTTTATATAGATGGCCGGCCTAGCTAGCTGTTCGGTTCAACCAAACCTGCACCCTCTGCATCAGGCACAATCTGTCCATTGTCAAATAAACGGCTCCCATTCCCAAGCTGAATCCGCGCAGGGCGTTCCCAATTTAAGACGGTAATACCCTTCTCTCGCTGCTCATGGCGCATATCAGTCAGGACGACCGCAGTTTCAACAGTAGAATTCCCTTTGCCGTCTGTAAACACCAAGTCCCTCGGGGCCGGCTCTGGAAAATCCAGCCATTCCGTCTCCTGTCCACCCAGTCGTTCAATACCGAGCGGTACTACGCAACAGAGTGATCAAGTTCTACATCCGGATGCTGCACCCATTCCTCTAGCCCCTGTACATCGGCCGTATTCTGTTTATCGAACGGAACGCATCGAAAATGCATATCGCGAGTGATGATTGCGTACAGCGTAAATATAACTCCTTTGACATCGTTCCGGTCCTCTCCATATCCAATGCCACCTATCCGACCGCTGTAGTTGAAGTCGAACAACATGAGGGCATCAGTCGTAGAGTCGACAACATGATTCCGCGCAGAAACATCCTGATGGGCGATGCCGTACTTGAAATCCAAGTCGTCAATGACGGAAGTTAGCTGTCGGAGCCACTCGAGTTTAAACACACGCGACTTATTCTCCTCTATGGTGCCGCCCGGAATGTAAAGACTCGTAAAGCCGACGACGTGGCCGTATAGTTCGTCCAACGCAAGTCGGTCAAGCGGGACAATGTTTGGATGCATGGGGAGACGCATCCACAGGTTCATCTCATGCCACACCTTATAGAGAAACTGGAAGAGAAAATAGTACTTGAACGCAACTTTTCTCGGCTCACCTGCGCGCATGTACGAAACAAGGTCGACATTTGGAGCGAGTCGATCCAACTCGAGCAGATCCAAACGAAGCACAGTCTTGACATGATCTGGTCTCTGAATCGCCTGTAGCGGAGGGTAGTACACACAGGTCGCTTGGTCGTCTTCGGGGTTTGTTGAGACTGAGAACAATTCACCGTCCTGCGATACATGGATGGCGTATACGTCAGGCCCCAGAGCATCGATGTGCTTCTTGAGGTGTCCAACCGCAAGATCCTCGCTCTCCTGCTCCTCATCCATAGTAACAGCAATATGTGCTCGGCCCCCCGGGCGTAATAGCGCCGCCAGGTGCGAAATATCTCCATCTCTCGTCAATCATGTCTCTCTTACTGCTTGAACCAAACAAAATGGAAAATAAATACTAGATGCTTTCTTTATAATTGAAAAAAACGCACATAAAGAAAATGTGTTTTGACAGAGGTTATCGAGAGCATTCGCGAATTGCACCGAGAATGTCTAGACTCATTGACTCATTTCGGCTCAAACATTCAAGTACTTCATCCACCATGATTAAACTACATTTCATCACTCATCAGACAAGTCAACCATATACAGGCCTAAACTGTGATATTATATCATTCAGCCCAACCCATCATGCTCAACCATACTACAGGCATGTTTTACCATGTCTTGATCCTATTCAATCACCCTTTTTCGACCTCAGAGTTACTCTCTCTTAGCCCATTCGTCGCAGCCCTCGCGACCAACTTTTCAAGTGCCACACAACTTTGATGAAAACTCAGTCTCGCCGCCTATTGAGTACCAAAATATGGTAAGAAAAAAAATAAAATAAAAATAAAAACTCCAAACGAAACATTGTGCGCAAATGACACGAAAATGATATAAACCCCAAATGGAAGAAGAAAAAAAGATGGGGAATTGAACTGAAATCAGGGTCGAATAGGAAAGTAGTAGACTCCTCCAATGATTACTTTAATCGCTTAGGAATGCACACCCTTCGTTCTCTCCTTCATCAGCTCACGTCGCGTCTTATCCTTTTCTGCAAATTCGTTAGTTTGTCTTGATTCACGATGACGAATAGAAGCTGTGTAGCTTCGGAAAGAGAAAACTTACCAGGATCAAAGACGAGGAACTCGTGCAAGGCCGATCCAGCCGGCACCATGGGCAAAACGGGCACCTTCTTGTCGGTGACAACTTCCAAGAGAGCGGGGCCATCGGTATTGATCAGCCACTTCAAAGCATCAACAAGCTTATCGGGCTCTGTGACGCGCTGGTGCTGCACGCCCATTGCGTCAGCCAGCTTCATGAAGTCGGGATTCTTCTGGTGAGTGTGTGAGTAGCGGTCTTCATAGAAGAGGTTCTGCCACTGAGTCACCATGCCCTGCTCCTCGTTGTTGAGGACAACAACCTTGACGCCAATGTTGAACTGCGCAGCAGTGGACAGCTCCGTCAGGGTCATGTTGAAGGAAGCGTCGCCATCAACGTCAATGACGAGAGCGTCGGGCTGAGCTACCTTGGCGCCAATGGCGGCGGGAAGGCCGTAGCCCATGGTGCCCAGACCACCGGAAGTGATCATGGATCGAGGGTGTCTCCAGCGGAAGTGCTGGGCAACCCACATCTGGTGCTGGCCGACGCCGGTGGCAATGTACGTCTTGTCCTTTCGGTCGGCCGTCAGGTTGCTAATCTCCTCCATGACAGTCTGCGGCTTGATCAGGCCAGTCCGCTCAGCTCGCTGGTAGTGCGATAGAGGGTACTTCTGCTTCCACCCGTTGATAAGGTCGAACCATTCCTTTCGGTCCGCCATGGTCTTGGCTTTTACCTGGGGAATGAGGAGCTTCATGTTGGTGCCGACATCGCCTTCCACGGCCTCGGTGGCCTGGACGACCTTGTTGATGTTCTTGGGCATAACCTCAAAGTGAACAATGCCACCACGGCCCTCGGCAGCAGCTTGCCTAGCTGCAGGCGCAAATTTTGAGACGACACCAGTGACACGGTCGTCGAATCGAGCGCCGAGAGCGATGATAACATCAGCCTGCTGCATAGCCATGTTGGCATATGCTGAGCCGTGCATGCCCAGCATGTGCAACGACTTCTCATCCAGCTCGTCAAAGGCGCCTAGACCGTGGAGGGTTGTGGTGACGGGGATGGAAGCCTTGTCTGCAAGCTCCTTGAGAAGCTCAACGCCACCCTCGGACTGGATGACACCTTGACCGGCATAGATGACGGGCTTCTTGCCCACGTTGATGAGATCAGCAGCACGCTTGATGGAAGCTTTAAGCTGCTGTGTGCTCAGCTCCTTGGCAGCACGAGAGGCGGCACTAGGCAGAGACGGCAGAGCCGTCTCGGTCGGGATAGCTCTTCTCAGGATACCAGCTGTGATATCTTTGGGCAAGTCAACAAGGACGGGGCCAGGACGGCCACTGGTGGCAATCTCGAAAGCCTCGTTGATTCTTCTGGGCAACTCAGCAACGCTCTTGACCATGACGTTCCATTTAGTACAAGCCCGTGAGATTCCCACAATATCCGCTTCCTGGAACGCGTCCGAACCGATTGCTGAAGTAGGGACCTGGCCGCAGAAGACGACCATGGGGGTTCCGTCTGACAGAGCATCTTGGATGGGAGTGAGTACATTGGTAGCGCCAGGGCCGGAAGTCACCAAGACGACACCGGGTTTGCCCGAGGCACGGGCATAGCCCTCGGCCATATGGCCGGCTCCCTGCTCATGACGGGGCAGGATAAAGTCGAAGTGTTTTGAATTGTGAATGGCGTCGAAAACTGGCAGAATAGCGCCGCCAGGGTATCCGACTATAAGGTGACTCAAGGTTAGCGAGATTTGCTTAGCTAGAGTTATGGAGTAGATGGAGCCAGGGTTAGCAGCCGGCATCGGAACCTACAAATGTGCTTGACACCTTGTCGCAGCATCATCTCGTGGAAGATTTCGCCTCCGGTTTTGCCAATGAATCTAGAGAGTGAGAAGAAGAAAGAGTCAGAATAAGCTCAATTGGCTTTTATGAATGCTCTCTTGAGGTGGTTTTTCGCCCATGTATGCACATTCGTAGCGGCGGAGAAGGTTTTCAACGTACGATTCATCCATTTCAGGCGTCTGCTGGTTGACGAGAGGCTGCACATGGCTTCGATCTTTGTCTGCTGTGTTGAAGGCAGGGCTTGGGATGGGACGGACTTGTCTGTTTTGCGCGACCAATTGTCATCTTGTTAGCAAATCCCATCCAAGGAAAACAGAAGAATTTCTCATGCAAGCGCCAGCTCGAGGCAGCAGCAAAAATCGATTGTCTGCATCTCGTCCACAATTTGGCACCCCCCGGTCATCGGCGGCAAAACCCCAAGATGTAAGAACACCTGGTCCTCGAGGCGCACAACCGAGAGAAACCCCCACAAATGCAAAGCCCGCGAGAGTTTCAATGTGCAACTTACGGTGCGGCGCTCGCAGTCGCCTGATTCCTCTGGCCAGTAGGAATCTTCTTCTGAGCGGCGGCCTTGACGGGCGTCGTCGTCGAGGTAAAGGCACGAGCCTGTCCCAGAGCCCGAACGGCCCTGGTTGTCGCCTGGCGACTTCGGAGCATCGCGAATAGAGCTATAGTGGGTAACACATACAAGAGTCGACGTAACGGCAAAGAAGGCCGGGGATTGAAGAATAAAAGCGAGAGTGTGCGCAGAGATGTTTTGCACGTGAGCAGACTGGGTGCACTTCTTCCTTTATGAGGTGCAACAATTGAGGGTATCGCGGGGGAGGAGTGGCGAAGAAGAAGAACAGGATGGAGAAGAGAAATAAGAAGAAAGAGACGATTGAATTAAGAAAAAAAAAAAGTCACTTAGCCTGGGCCAGGCTAGAGTCAGAGAATGTTCCAAGGGCGATGCCGGGGCAGATCTACTACCCGTTGGATCCACTCTTCGTAATCCAACTGTAAGGGAAACCGGAAGGTTTTTAGATCCAACGGGTAATACTATTTGGCAGTCGAGGGTAGTCTGTGGGGTACGATTTTTTTTATTTTTATTTTTTTTTTTTTTTTCCTTTGTGTTATAAATTTGCAGCAAGAATAATACCTAGTAAATACTAAACCTCCAGCTCCATTCATATTCCCATTGGCCCCCGGAGACGCCAGGGCAGACAGAGTTCAAACGGCAGCAGTTCAGTGACGGCCAGACCGTGGCCGCCAGCCAATCAGCGGGCCTGTGAGCGCCTAAAAGTGTGGGACTTGGGCATTTGCCTGCGTGTCACGGAATACATGTACATTAGGTACTTGCAGTCAGGTACTTGCTACAGCACATGTGTGCCACGCCAGCCAAGTACCCCATACTTGCCATTGCCATTGATCGCATCGCTAATCGTTTGATTGATCCCGATTGCTTCTCATGTAAGTTCCTACATCAATGTATGTATGTCAAGTATCTATGTCTGATCGTGTTCAACGTCAGCCTTTGCCCTGCTCTAGGAGCCAGCTTGCGCTACATGTACAAGTACCTCCCTCCGCCGCTTGTTCCTATCTCAGCACAGACAAGACAGCACAGCACAGCAGAGCACAGCAGAGCCCTAGTACTTCCAGGGCTTACGTTTTCCCCCCTGCGTTGTGCAAGTCTAGCGCACATGCAGTGATCAGTCAATGGGCACAGGTACCTTAGCTTGTTCCCAGGCAACCCCATCCATCAACTACGGCGTCACATCGACAACGAAATCCATCTGAAGCAATTCCATCCGTTCATCCAGCACAACTCTTCTCAGCCTAGCCGAATCCCAGCTGCGATTTACGGAGCGTCAATCCAAACGCCCGTTGACTCACAAAGCTGCAAGCTCAAAGAGAAAAAAAAAACCCATACAATGTCCTTTCGCCAATCCCTTATCCCCGGAAAGCCTTCGTCCAGAATACATGGCCTCGCTCGTGTTTAGCCTAGAGCACATGTCAACCACGGCTTCCGGTGGCGCGACTACGAGTACTTCTCAGGTTAGCAGCGCAGGCTAATGCCAGGCTATTCCGCTCTATTGGACACCCGGAGTTCGCGGGATACAGCAGCTTGCTTTTTCCCCTCTCCGAACGAACAAGGACGTGAGATGCCCGGGGATCAGTGACCAGACCCCGACACACACGGATCCCGAGTCGGACCCCGGATGAATCAGAGCTCGTTTTGGGAGACTTGGGCCAATCAAGGAGACCAAATTACGTTGGACAAAGCTTTAAGCAAACGACATCCTGAAGGAGGACTAAACAAGGCCCGGATTTGCTTTGCATTCAACCGGGGCAGAGTCAAAACAGACTTCATATACA